GTTCCTGAGGTCCCCGCCACCAGCACCCCTGCTGCTGAGACCACCCCTCACGTTCCTGGCGTTCCCTCCAGCTCCGTTCCTGAGGTCCCCGCCTCGTCCGCTCCCGCTGTCCCCTCCAGCGCTCCTCTTAACTACGGCAGCGGTTACCCCGTTCCTTCTGCCCCCGCTGGCGGCAAGAGCTCCACTCCTCTCGGCGCTGAGAGCACACCTGCCTTCGGCATCCCCTCCAGCCACATCTACGCCCCTACCGGCGTTGTCGGCACTGGTGTCTCTACCCCTCTCGCCTCTGAGGGCTCCAAGACTTTCCACCCCAGCGGTGGCATCCCGACCGGCACCGGTCCTCGCCCCACTGGTGTCACTGCCTTCCCGTCTGGCACTGGCTCTGGCAACTACCCCGGAAACACCCCCGTGAGCGACTACGTTACCTCGGTCATCTACAGCACCCAGATCTTCACCGTCACTGCGTGCCCCTCGACCGTCTCTGACTGCCCCGCTCGCTCGACCTCGCTCGTCACCAGCGTCATTGCCGTCGGCACCACCGTCTGCCCTGAGGCCGATCTGACCAAGGCCACTCCTGCGCCTTCGGCTCCTTCGGCTCCCGCCTCCAAGGAAGAGGTCCACACCAGCTCGTACCCCGTCTCTGAGGTTCCCTCCGTTGTCACCGAGACTCTGGTCTACACCATCGGTACTGGCTCGTCTGCTCACCCAGTCACCACCGAGGTCGTCTCCACCTCCACCAAGACTATCTACTCGACTGTCATTGTCACCAAGGAGAAGCCTTCCTCGACCCAGCCCGCTGGCTCCTACCCCACCGGCCCCGCTGGCGGTGAGGGCAAGCCCTCTTCCACTCCCGCTGCCGAGAAGGACTCTTACCCCACCGGCCCCGCCGGAGGTGAGCAGACTGGCACCACCACCCTGAAGTCCACCCAGACCCAGACCCGCTACGTCACCGTCAAGCCCACTCCTTCCGGCTCTCCCGACGTCCCCGTCGGCGAGAAGGGTGTGTCCACCGGCCCTGCTGGCGGCGAGAACGCCTACCCTACTGGCCCTGCCGGTGGCAACACCGTTTCCACTCCCGCTGGCGAGCAGAGCACCCCCACCGCCCCTGTTGGTGGTGAGGACTGCGCCGCTCCCGTCACCGTCACTGTTACTGCTAAGGAGACCGTCACCGTCACTGCTGAGGAGAACACTGCTACTCCCGAGTCTGAGAAGCCCACTGCCCCCGCCGGTGGTGCAAGCTACCCTCCTACTGCTCCTTCTTCCATCCCCGCTGGTGAGATGTCCCACCACACTGGCCCTGCTGCTCCTTCTTCCACCCCTGCCGGTGAGGTCCCCTACCCAACTGGCCCTGCTGCTCCTTCTTCCACCCCTGCCGGTGAGGAGTCCTACCCAACTGGCCCTGCTGGCGGTATGTCCACTGGTGCTCCCTTCCCCACTGGCAACGGCACCGTCCCTCACCCCGCCGGTCCCACTGGTTTCTCTACTCTGACCAAGCCTGCTCACCCCACCGGCACCGGCGCCGTTCCCAGCGAGACTTTGCCTTCCTTCTCCTTCGTCTCTGAGATCCCATCTCCCTCCGCTCCTGCCTCGACTCCTTCTGTCGAGACCCAGGTCCCCAAGCCCTCGACCCCCGCTGGTGAGGAGGCTACCTCTAGCGCTGTTGAATACCCTGCCTACCCAACTGCCCCTGCCGGCGGTGAGGCCAAGCCTTCTTCCACTCCTGCTGCTGTAGAGTCCCCCTCTGCCCCGGCTGCTGAGTACCCTGCGTCCACACCTGTGGCCGCTGTCTCCACACCCGAGGCCGCCACCTCTACACCCGCTGCCACCCCCACCGCTGGCTCCGACTACGGTTCCGGCTACGGCACCTACTAAGCGCTCCCAGCGTCTAGTATGAGTTAATGCGATGCTCATTCTGTACAAACTCTGATGGGTTGCTTGACCCCTTTCATACATGTCCTGTCTGCGTTCCGCCGTCTTGATGTCTCTTCGGGCAAGGGCTCAGTGTTTTGGAGGATGTTTTGTCGTTTGTAGGTATTCCACAGGAGCTTCAGACAGCCGACAATAAAAACTGTCTTGCTTTGCATGCTTTGGCCCTTGCACATGGTTGGCTGACGAGCAGTGGAATAGACGGATTCACGATTGTTTCTGATCTAGATGTCGAGTCGATTTTCTTATTTCCTATGTCACATCTGAGAGCCAAAACTGTTAGGCATTGCGCGGAGTCTTTCTTGTAGCATATTTGAACAACTTTTACACTTCAATGCCCCGTCCTAAGCATGCACAGTGACTTGCAAAGAATGCACAATTCAACTACCGACCCCAGAACATCAAATTTCGGGATATTTTTATCAGACCCGCGATCCCGGTCTATAAAATGGAGCACACCCTCCATCAGGGAAAGTCACTTGAGCCATGTTTCAGAGCTGCCGTACTTCCGAGCAAGCCGTCTGTCGCACGTTCACACATCAACCAAATTGCCCTCTGCTCCGCCACTCCCTGTAATAAGGTCCTTGACGAATGACATGATTGCTACCAACTTGCATGGCCAGTCTATGCGCAGCAATCACCTCGCAATTCCGACCCACACTGATCGCCAATTCGCGCACATCTCGACACAGCTTCCCTGCGACCATCGTCTACAAATAGCTAGCAATGTCATCCGGTTCCACGTGGATTTGCATCCGCAGATTCGATACATCAAGTCTATCAGCTTGCGCGTTGCTGCCATCTTTGGCGATGATGAGCAAGTTGATGTTATAATCGAGATTACGAGGTTGCCAACGGTGTCCATGCGCTTTGCGCCATCCCAAACTAAAATGTGCTGCCTAAGGCGAGTGTCGTATTCGATAGCGCGATCGGGGGGGGGGAGGGGGGCTCGGGACCTACTCGCGGTGCTTCGTTTAAGAGAATACGGTGAGCCGGGGGTGCTCAATGCTTCTGGATAACACCATCATATATGCTGGGACTGGTCGATTTGTGAAGACCATGCATTTTATGAAACGATAAATTGCTGCGCGTGCGTGTGTTGATGGATGTTGTATCGACTGGACCCCTTTCTCCTGTGTGACGGAGCGATAATTGATATGCAATGCACGATGCTGTTGGTCTGCTGCAGGCCTGCTGGTGAGATACATTCAGGGACGTCAGCAACGTACAACAGTTGACTTGCGGCTGAACGTGTGGTGTAAGGTTTGTGTTCTCGTTTGTGTTCTTGTGCGCAGTCCACCACCCTCGATCCGCGTGCCAACGAACGTTCGTGATGGCCTGGGGGTCTCTGAGAGAGCAGAAAGCTGGGATCGCGAGATCTACTTCGTTGAAGGTGAAAGTGAATCGGACGTCGTTTGTGCATCACCTACAGCTTAATAAAGCCTTCGAAGGCTTGATATACCCGTGTTGCTGCCAGCTCCATCTGCCATGTGAGAGATTGCGATTTACTTGCAGCTTGTAGCATACTTGCTGTTTTTGTGGCTCGTTTGTCACGTGGCCAGTGCATCTGCCTAAGTAAAGGTGAAGGCATAACTAGTCTGGTGACCTGCAGTTCCCTTTGACCCTGCACTCGTGTCCTATCAACTTAGTATTCGCCAACTCATAACAAAAATACTCCTACCTTTTTGTTCCTAAAACGATACCTCAATCCTCTCACCAGCGGGTCTCAATCGACAAGACCAACACAACCATGGCGCCACCGGTGCAAAGGCGATTACCGCACACCTATTCCCGGATTCAAGTATAGTTGCAAGGCATGATACTGACCCAGCGAAGCTCGATGCGCAGCCAAACTGAGTCGCCGCTGCTCAGACTTCCCAACGCTATTCAGGCATGCTGATATCAAAGCGGTGGACCATCTCCGGCACAATTTTTTTTAAATCTCAGACATAGCCAACTATCAAAAAATACTAGTACAAAGTCACTGTCTGCGTTTCGCATACAACACTCATATGTTGCCCTGAGCACGTGCTTGCTCCAGCTCCAACCGACAGCATTATGGTTTTCATCTTTTAAGTGCTCTTTGTCGGCCTCCAGCCAGCGCTCTGGGCGAAATGACTCTCCATCACCCACGTTTTACCAGTATCCTCACCGTGAGTCAGGCCAGTTCTGTCGCCAGACTCCTCGAGAACATCCAGTAGCCGGCTGAGCATGTCATGGCGTTGCGAGCTTTCTTCTCTTACCATCGCTAGCTCCATTTCGCGCACCAAAGTCTTACAGATGTCGTCTACTGCAACAACAGCTCGTACGAGGGATAGTACTTCTGCAGCAACTTAGGCCAATGCCCTTTCATGGCCATACCAGTCGGTCTTTTCGAGAGGTTTCCTGAGGCGGTAGATGACTATTAACACCATCTTGCTTTGAGTAGGAAAGCTCATTAGGTGCAATGCGGATGAGTCGTCCTGGATGCAATATCAGCTTAGCGCATTACCCAGCTGGACTCAATGCTTATTTATTGTGGAGTACGACTTGAGCAATCTGATAGTCCCCGTAGTACATGCCCAGCGTGAGCCATGTTCGTGACAGCGAAGGCCACACTGTTCCAGGAGCTTTGACGAGCGGGTGAACAGTCTTCGCGTAAATTAGTCAGAAAAGTCAGTGTACGGCTAGTACCGTGCCAGACCTGAGCGCCACAGAGAGGAAGCTACCATCTAGGGAGCTTAGAAAAATTGCCATGGTATCTTGAGAATACGAATACTCGACATGAGGCTGGCAAGGCAGACGGACAAAAGAAAGATGAATTGCACGTGTAGCTTTAATGTACTTAAATCAATTCAGCACCATGCCCAGGTCCACGGCCAATTGGAAGTGCTCCGTTGTTGTCGACTTGAGCGTGCTCAGAATACACCCATGTCCTGCATATGCAGAAGGACGCCTGGCAGTACACGGGGTGAGCGATTGAGTGCTCACAAGGCCATGGTCTTCAGTTTTCCAAGTATGTTTTTCCATTTGCCATAGCTGTGGTACTCGTCACACCGTACGTCCCTTGATTGCGAATCGCACAACAGCTGGAGCCTGGATAAGATATTCGGGATGTCGACAAGAGGGAGTCCTGCTCCTGTACAGACATTTCAACTGCCGTGTCGTCTCCCCGCATCGCGAAGGGTTGCCAGCGTTCGAAAGGTAGGCGATGTGAACTGGCACGAGGCTATCCAGTGATCAGGTCCTTCTCGCGGAACAGCAGACGCCGGGCCATGTCGACTGTGGAGGATCGTATGTATCTTTTTAGTGAAGAAATAGCGTGCATGAGGTGCTCACGACAGCCTGAAAACTCGCTCGTCCGCATACTAAACACCCCCAGGTGTCATCAGACGGTCCACGAGAGGTCAAATTCGGCTGCCGGTCAACAATGCGCTGAGTGGCCGCAAGTCCTGAGCAATGAGCTCGGTTGGGGCGAGAGATGCATTGAGGATTCCTAATCAATTGTCGGAAGACCGACCGGGATGGCGCCGAACAAGACTGGACATGAAGAGTAACGATGCTGAGGTGTGCCCATCCTGGCCCGAGGTCTCCGAGTAACCGCTGACATCATCCTCCGCAGTCCTTTTATCCAAAATACACAACCTTTTCTTCATAGACAAACACATCAACCGCATTCCATGCACTCAGTGGCTGCTGTGCGATCTGCAGGTGTACTTGGGACATGCAACTACGATGGAAGCCTCGATGCGACGGTGTCTTGTCACGCCTCACCTATGCGACTTCAGACACGCGATGAAACGCGTCCGCACTCTGCATCGCGCACCACTGCCACGACGTGAACGGCTGCTTTTAGAGCCGCAGGCACACATCTCAGGTCGACGACTTAGGATGCCTTCCTTACGAGAAACGATTGCTGATGCGCCGGTATTAAATTAACACACGGGTGCAAAGTAGGTATAGACCGCAAGCCCAGGCCATGATCCTCCCTTCCGCCGGACACATTTTCACGGACGATCAAGCTTCGACACGCCTTTGGCTGGTCGATCGTGGTTGTTTCCTGAGGCGTTTCTTCCTTCCGAGGGCGTTCGAAGCTCTTCCGAGGGCGCGTTGCACGATCCATGCCCAAATGAAACACCAAGATCGTACCCGAACGGTCGCAGATCTACCCGGATCTCCCTCTCCGGCCCACTTTGGAACACAATACAAGCGTAGTTTTCAATGCTTGGCCATGGTCAAGCTTTTAGATGGGGCGCCTGGTGGTCTTCGCGGCCCTCCAGTGGCTTCATTTACTGTTCGCGCGGCCCACATTTCGATCTTTCCAAACCCAAGGCGACTGGGCATGAGACTAGGCACGAAACTTTCACCTGATGGCTGTCTCCAGACGTTTGGAGACCCTTCGAGGCTGTCTCGCGGGCGGAAAGTGCGTTTGCGGCCGGCATCAAGCTCCGTCTCTCCTAATGGCATGACTTTCGATGCCAAAAGTGTTTTCGGTTCGCTCGCAACCAGCAGACTATATATCTTGGTCTTGGGGCCTCTTCCTAAGGATCAGAATTGCAGGTCATTCGCATCAACTTCCTATTCCAACATCTGATACATTTCTTTAATATCCAGTCCGCGACTGTCTTCCACTCACTACGATAATTTAATCTCGACCACTACAACCTCAACATGCTTTTCTCCACTATCCTCGCCGCCGGGCTTGCTCAGGCCATGACCGCTTCCGCTGCCACTATGATGGTCACCGTCGCGGCAAACAACAAGTTCCAGTTCACTCCCAACTCGGTCACCGCCCAGCCCGGAGACATGGTCGCCTTCAACTTTGTTGCTCAAGTAGGCATTAACTCCATAATCTTGGAGAACACCACTAACTTTTTCAGAACCACTCCGTCGCTTCATCGACTGCCAATAACCCTTGCCGGCCTGAGCAGAACGCGATCTTCTCCGACTTCCAGCCCATCCCCGGAAACCCCAACGGTTCCCCTAACGGCGCTGTCACTGCTGCAGCCAAGGGAAAGGGAAAAGGGAAGAACAAGGGCCGCCAAGCCGGCAATACGCCCATGTTCATGGTTCCTATAACCGACAACGCTCCCATCTACATTTACTGTTCGCAGGCTCAGCATTGCCAGCAAGGCATGGTCATGGTCATCAACCCTCCCAACGGCAACGCTGTCACTCAGTACCAGAATAAGGCTGCTCAGGCTAATAACAACGTTTCTCCCCGCGGCGGCATGTCCGGTGGCTCCATCACCAATAACAACGCTGGGACCAACCCCAAGAACGTCCTCGGTGCCCAAGCTGGTGATGCCGCTACTGCTGCGACCACACAGGCCAAAGGCAAAGGCAAAGGCAAAGGCAAAGGCGGCAAAAATGCCGGTGGGGCTGCTGCGGCTGGCGTTGCTGCTCTTCTCGGTAAAGCCAAGGGCAAGGGTAACTAGAGGTTGGTGAGATCTTAAGAATGGGACTTAGGGCGTATAGGTTGACTGGAAGAGTTGGGGGACCATGTACACAGAAGCTGGACATTCTATCAATATTAATTCGACACGAGGCTGACGATTGTTCGTGTGAATCATGACGCGCTAAAACAGAATGAGCTCTGTTAAGCTTAAAGCACATTATGTGCTCTTTCTCTTTCGTGTATGTAGCGGAACTGACAGCGCAGCCGGTGTTTGTTTCGTGGACCGTTTCGAGCTAGGAGTCGACATTTGGCTCGGCATCTGCGGAAACGAGCATCCGGAACCTTGACACGACTGCGAGACATCCTAATGGAATCATTCGGGCCTTTCAGACACTCCGAGTCAGATCAAAACAAGAGTCAGGAGCGTACACTATTGAAGTGTTGAGCACATGGGGACAGGATAGGAGCGCACAGACATGGCCAACAAGCGAGACACATTACCTATCCCTTGCTGGTTAAGTTGTCAACACCATCCTCTACCACTCAACATACAGGCTCACAGAGAAGACTTGGAACTATCTAAGACACTGCCCTCATCAGACTCCATTGCAAAACGAGACTTCCATCATGAACAAGCCCATATTGAAGTTCTCCGCTACTTTCACAAGTCGATGTCATCACCAGCTCGGACAAAACTAGGGCGCGATGCGAATATAGGTGCTAACGTCCAGAAGAATCTCGGTACAAGCACCATCAGCTTCGAATTGATGGTTCGCGAAGACATGTTCATGAGCGCCTCCGTCAGGTGCCACGCTCATACAGCTTAGTCTCGGGCCCAGCGCCGAACTCTAGATCTCCCGATGCCCGGGACGGCGCGCATGACTGCTCAAATCCGACGAGAGCTCCACAGCAGGCTAGCCAATGTGCCGTAAACGCAACTCTATTACCGGCAACTGCCTTTTTGCGATAACTCGACTGCCGATCCCCATGGGTTCCCCACATTATGATGGCAATCGTATACGACCTCCACACCATGCCCCGAATAGCCACCAATCGAAAGTATTGTGCTCCTGAGAAACGACCGAACGGAGAGATAACCAAGGCTTTGGAGCGGATAAAGACCTCTAGTGGGCGCTTGACCAGTGCAAAGTGCAACGTTCCTAGCTGCTGTCACTACAAAGGATTGGAAGTATTTCCACAACTGGAGACCGGAGCGGAAGTCCCCCAGAAGAGGTTACATCTGTAATGATCTGTTCCTGTGGTATTGCAGCATGCGAGCAGTATATATTAGGTCGTTATTCACACGCAAGATGAACCTCAAGCCTCACACACCTACCGTTCAAGATGCACATCTCATCTTTCTTATGCGCTGTGGCGCTTCCTGCGGTCATCTCTGCCTTCCCCAATGCACCTTTCGTCACTGAATCCCAGTGGGTCCATGATTCGACTGGCGAGAATTTCACCTATGTCGGCGTCAACTGGCCCGGCGCTGGTGAAGTGATGATTCCTGAGGGTCTTCAGTATCAAAGCGTGGCGTCTATTGCTTCTAAGATCAAGAGCCTGGGGATGAACGCTGTGCGTCTGACCTTCGCCATCGAGATGATCGATGACATCAAAGACAATGGGGGAGACGTCACACTCCAGAACGCTTTCAAGAAGGCACTGGGCGATGCAAATGGTACCACTGTATACAAGGAAGTGATTAAGAACAACCCACAATTCGGTGCTTCGACCACAAGACTTCAGGTGTGTAATTTTGCTTATCACAGAATTGGCTAGCTGCTGACCTTACCTAGGTTTACGATAGCATTGCGGCCGAACTGGCGAAGCAAAATATCTATGTGCATCTCGACAACCATATGTCCAAGGGAGCATGGTGCTGCTCTACCAACGATGGCAACGCGTGGTTCGGCGACACATACTTCGATGTCACAAAGTGGAAGCGCGGTCTCGCATACATGGCCTCACACGTAACAGATTCAGATCGTTCATTCAAGATGGTAAGCTAACAAGAGCTATCAGAGCAAGCAATGGCCCAATATGGTCTCTATTGGCCTTCGCAACGAACTCCGCAAGCCAACCAACGCCGGCTCTTCTCTTCCGTATGACTGGCCTACGTGGTACGAGCAGGTCGTTGCCGCAGCTGACGTTGTCAATGCTGCAAACCCGGATATCCTCATCTTCCTCTCTGGCCTGAACTTCGACACCACTGTCCAGCCACTCCCCTGGGCTGATGATCTTGGCAACGGCAAGAAGTTCCTCCTGACAGACTTCAAGTACGCCGATAAGCTTGTCTTGGAGATGCACAACTACCAGAACTCCGCGACCAACTGTGGTGACATTGAGAGCGGCCTTTGGAACAACGGGTTCCGCGCAACCGGTGAGAAGGCCGTAAACCGTATGCCCGTGCTCTTGACCGAATTTGGCTTCTCGAACGCTGGCAGCGATTACAACAGCGTGTATGCGACCTGCTTGCGCAAGCTGATGCCGCAGTGGAAGAGTGGATGGATGGTATGGGCGCTTGGCGGTAGCTACTACATCCGTAGCGGAACGCAGGATTACGAGGAAACTTGGGGTCTGTTGAGCCATGACTGGACTGCGTGGAGGAACGAAAATGCGATCAGCGCACTCAAGAGCATGGTGACTTCAACACTTGCGTCTGTCGAGTAGTAGCGGGTTGGGGCTTCGTTTGTAGACAGTGCATGAACCAAGACTCGGAAGTTTTTTCAGGCTCTCACAGAATCATGCTGGCCAATGAACCCACTGATACGAATGCGAGGATGCTCACACCGATCTTGATGCTCCTTACGGAAGACGAGCTGCTAGTAGCAACTGTCGATGCCGCCGCTCTCTGCAAATCGATCGAGTCTGTTGCGCTGGCGGTGGCGTACGTAGAAGAAACGGCCGCCATTGGTGTCGCCGAAGACGGAACCGTGAAGGTGGATAGGTGGAGAACCCTGCCATGTTGCAAGGAAGCCATGTTTAAGATGTGCTGACGTATCTCTCTGTGCTTAGAGTCTTTCAACGAGTGTGGAGGTAATGATTCCAAAACTGCATTCGGAATTGACTGGGGCGACACCCTTCTTAAAATACCGGAGCAACGGCTTCTGGTGTGTACGCCGCCTGGATTGCTGCTTCGACTCTGAAAGGCGGCTGGCTGAAGCTTCCGAGAGCACGGGAAATTGCTTAGTGACTATATAGCTATGCCATACCAGGTCTATGTATCTGCCGAGATGAGCTTGGGTGGCCTGAATCTACCACTTCAATCAAAGGGGCAGACTTACCGATGGAAACGATACCGGTAAGGAAGGTGTGCCGCGGTCTAGCGCCGTTTTTTCAACTCAACGGGAACATCCCATCCCTGGATTCTCACCTCCAACTACGTACCTGCTGGCCTGTTTGAAATCAGGCAAATCGCGAGCTCTCGCAACTGGTTCGACTTGACCTACCGTTTTCAGGCCACTGGTTACAAACAGTACACGGACTAGCACTACAAGAAGCATTTCTCTGGGAGGACCCTCAATAGTCGTCACGTTTATTAACTTCCACAACCTTCCGGAGACATGCACAGATCCATCATCGCCTTGCAGCCTGCTCAGGCATCGTAGCCACTCAGAACAGTACCATTGAGTTCTTTTGGCACGATGCAGCCCTCTGAGACGTCCCCGCCATCACAGTCCAATCGGTCAATGCATCAGCCACAATCCTAAAAATCGCCTGCCCGACTTCAGAAACATACAGTCGTGAATGGGTACAAGGCATGAATTACACAATCTTCAACAGCTCAGCATACGAAGCAACAGTGACCAACGCCTCCTACTCACGTGGCTAAGGAGACGCTTAGCGCTCACACAAAAAATTCTTTCTCTCATAACGGCATGAACACCGTTTGTCGTCAGCGATACCCGTCTTCCGCAGCCTTCCCTAACTCGCCTCGCCCTTGTCCAAGGCCCTGCCAAGCACAGGCGGCAAGCTGGTACATCTTCGCTCTCCCACGCATCACACGCTTCAATGTGATCCAGCTCGGCTCTGGACCATTCGTACCAGTAAACTGTAGGTCCTTTGCAGGCCTCGGGTCTGAATCCTTCAGCAGCACATTCTAGGGATTGTCAGGATGGTCCGGCTTCGGTACAAACATTGCTGTCCGACGAGGCTTCTTTGGGAAGAAGTGAAGGCATGTGCCGTGAGTGATAATGTTCGATAGTGGTTTGAGGAAGCTTGTCGAGTCTGGAATGTTCGCATGAATGTTCCAGAACAATTTGAACGACGCCGTGTCTCTGTCGTACTGCTTTATCTCTCTGAATTCATCCTGCATGTTCGGTTTCAGGAAGACTGTTAGTAGGAGCTGCTCGTCGATCCCCTTAGGCTGCATGCGGTGCTTGTACAGACTCTCGATCTTGCGGATGCGCTATTTCTCTGGTGTGCTCCAGACCTCGATGCTGATATCTGGCCCGCTGAAAGGGTTACCGTGTTCCGTCTTGCGTATTTTCATATAGATGAAGATCCGGTTTTCCTCGCAGAATAAATTGCCTTGACCCCAGTCGTAGGGCTCGTAGTCACCCCGAATCATCGCGGACATAGCCCAGCCATGCAACGCGATTTCCAGTGTTCGCGGGAACTTTTTTGGCGGAGGAGGTGGAGGCGTTGGTGGAGGCGTGTGTACCCCAGAGTCTGATTCCGAGTCGTACTGGGACCCGGGAGCTGCCTGGTATGGACTGTGATCGCCGTATCTCTTGCGTTTGGCTGGACGTAGCTCCGTCTCGTCGTAATCTCTGCGGCGTTTTGCATCTTGGAGAACCTCCCAGGCGCTATTCGCTTCCTAACTTTTTGTTTTGTGTTCGGTCTTCTGCTCTTCTGTAGCATTGGGATTCTTGCCAGGATGATACATGAGCATCCAAGCGTAATATGCCTTCCTAATTTGTGCAGCTGTGGCATCTTGCGTGACCCCCAGAATCTCGTAGAATGTCAAAATGATGGCGTTGGGTGCTGAAAGTAAGGCAAATATTACGTGGATAATATTACAAAGGGTGTGAGACTGTCATGTTATGACGAGGTGTCTTTGGCAATGCTGTCGTTTTCCATCTTTTGCTGAGCCATGCGTCATTGTGGTAACGTCTTTATCGGGTTCACAGTGCCTAGCGTCAGCGCAATAGACCGTTTGTTGTTTGTGGCGGTCCAATCACAGCGCACGCAAAGACCTGTCTCTGTAATATAGGGTCTTTGGGGGCAATGATAGCTACCCTGACTCCAGCTCAACAATCGTTTGATCGTCTTCCTTGTGTACAGACTAGCTAATCGATCTTCATTGACAGCATGTATTTTCAAGGTCTTTAACAGGCCAAGAACGGATAAGATCCATCCTGGCTAAGTTTGGACACCGCTATGCTGATCGGTATGGTGCACGTGTACCCAGATGGTGGCGCTTGTGCGTCCAGATCGAGCTGTAGTCTCGAGCACAGTTCTGAGAATGTAAATATGAGCCAGTACAATCATTGGAGACGAAGTCGGTTATAGGCGCGGACTTCCCGAAGACATTATCATTGATCTGCATAAGTCCAAGCACCTGTCGACTGTAGGTCACACGCTGTGCAATATCCGCACGTGCGACGAAGGCTTTTAGATCTTGCCAATACCAGCGCCCTTCTTGACGACCTTGGACAAATCCTTCAGGGATGTGAGCTTGTATTTGTAGGGGGCCCTGGTGAAGTTTCCAACTTGGGTTATGTTTATAGTTGCACGGCCCCAGTCGTTCTCTAAGACAGATTAGCGCGTGAAAGGACAGTGCGTAACAGGTCAGCTTACTAGCACCGAGATTTGCGAATCCGTCAAGCTCGTAGTCACCATCGGGACTGGTATTAGGGCTGTCCTCAGGGATAACAAGACCGTAGGTGCTCAAAGCCTCGCGGGTGTTACCGGTGAAGACGTTGCCTTCGACGAGAACCTGGTTGTCACTTCGGCTGTGGATAGCCTGGTACAAGAAGTCCTGATAAAGGTTGTTGTAAATGTGCTGGTGACCGAAGCGACCAGCCGGGCCACGTGTGCCGGCGTTCCTCCAGTAGTTGTGGTGGTAGGTGACGTGGAGGTGGCCAGAGTCGATGGCTCTGAAAGCGTCACTGTTGCCGATCAGGGAGCTCTTCCAGTGGTCGTGGAAGTAGTTCCAGGAGACAGTAATCCAATCTGAGGCGCGGACGATGTCAAGCTGTCCGTCGTAGTAGTCAGGGCCAATCTCTACGGAGATTTCCGAGCTGAACTCTGGTAATCGTTAGAAGTGATGGCGGAGTTAGGGGCAAATGCACCTACCGTTGTGGTCGATCCAGACACGGGTGCTGTTCTGGATGGTGATGCCATCGTTGTCTACGATCTTGCGGATCGCAAGGTTGCGGATGATGACATTGTTCGCGTTGATAATTGTAATACCTGCGCCAGTGATCTCGGCGCCCTTGCCGACACCGATGATCGACTGCAAAGGTAAGAAAGCGAAGTTGTTCGGCTAGAGTGAAACAAACCTTGTTGCTGCCGGGTCGCAGACGAGAAGTCAGATTAAAGTTGCCCTTGGCATAGATGATCTTGGGCTCTGTGCCAGCAACAGCTGAGATGAGCTCTGCGACTGAAGAGACAGTGACGGTAGGGCTGTCCTTGCCAGCACCGCCGGTAGTGGGTCCAATCGGATTGTCCTTGGCGAAACCAACCAGGCTGTAGTCGGCTTCTGACGGGGAAGCCGCTACTACGAAGGTAAGGGACAGAATGGAGATGAGTGAGAGCTTCATCTTTACAAAGCGAGAGCAGGTGCTAGAAGTTTGAAGATCCCTAGCTACTCAAGAATCGGACCGCTGAGCATGATTCTTATACCACAGGTGTTGCCCCTGATTCGCAGCATCTTCAACCCAGGTCGTTGGAACACCCTCATGGCTCAATTGCAATTCTTCCGCGTCGTGGCGCAAGATTGACAGGAAGGAAGAGGCTACATGTCCGCGCGTGGGTTCCAGGCGCTGCAACTCATCATGGACAGTCTGACAAGCCGGAGGGTGGCTTCGAGCAACGAGATGAAGCTGTACGATGGCCGAAGGGAATCGAGTTGAATGGTGGAATAATCGGACCCCAGAGTGTCCAGAGTCGGAGAGGGAAGATCGACCGTCTTGGAATCTCTTGGCCGGGGGAGAATGCGGGTGAAAACGAGGCCCGTGCGAGCTTCTCTCGGCCTGCCAAGCGCAACCTCCACCAGTGCTTGACCTCGACCCTGCTTCATCCCCTCATCTGCGCTCATCATTTAACGAGATGAGCAAATTTCCGCTGCTATCACCCACCACTGTTCTCGCGTGCACCTGTCAAGCATTGCATGTTCCTGAGCCCTGAACCTCTTGGATGCCATCAATGAACCCAAAATCCTCGATAAGCCACCGACAAGTATATCTTCATCTGCTCTATGATGGTGATGTCTCTGTACTTAGCTTTAACCTCATCCAAGAATAGCGACATAGGGTAGCCTTCACACGGACGATACCTGTCGCCATTGAGATGAAGGAGCGATTGGATGATATCTGCGTCCTGTGATGGTAAGATTATGCCTGTATAAATACTGCAAGATTAGTCCTTGGAGTAAGTAAGATGAGTGCAGCTTCTCCGCTCTTGAGCAATCCTGTCATGTCGACGCTCAAAGAGAGGCGCACTTTGTGTGTTCCACCACCTTCTGATGGGCGATAGCAGTCACTACTACGTTTCAATCATATACCAACCACGCACAACGTCTTTGGGTGTTCAAGGTTGTGTGCGACAAGGTACACAGCGTCGTTCTTGCCATAATAAGCTCGGCCATATAGTGGTCGGCCACCCCATCACAACGCGTCACTCTTTCTCTGATCATCTACATTTTAACACCACGCATTTGCTATAGATGGGGTTATACGAGCTCGCTGGTGTGTTGCTGGCCTTTGCCTATTCAACCCAAATCTAGTACTGCTCTCATCACAAGTAACTGGCCGGCCAGTTACTCCACTAGCAGCTAGTCAGGCCTTATTAACTACATCAGAACAAGTCTTCAACACCCCTCAGAGCTTACAGGCTCTATTGTCAGAATCTCTCTCACGAAGCACCCGAATAGTGCTTGGCAGGGCAGGCAAGGCAATTGCAAAGGCAAATACTTGAACTGCCCAGTTTGAGGCTGAGAATCAACAACTCAAACATCAACTATTCCACTTTCGCGCCCGCTTCTTGATGTTCTCAAATTTCGCCCAGTCATCACCAATTTTACCAAAATTCTCTCTGCAGAAAAAATGTCAAAAGAGCAAAAGAAGTGGACTTGCTGGGAATCGAACCCAGGACCTTTCCCAAATTCAGACGCAGTTCGGCACTAGCGAAGTGACCGATATGCTAAGGGAAAATTATACCACTAAACCACAAGCCCCCTACACTCAATAGATAAAAGATGGATATTTTTTTTAGATCTATCAACTAACTAAGACGCTTGCCATTGAGACGCCTACCCCCATGGTGTTTGTCGAGACTGTGCGAACAACAAACGAACGCCAAAGAACATTGTGTAAGTTCCAAATTTTTTTTGCAAAACAATGCTTGCGTAGTAGTGTTGATGCGTGAAAAAGACGGTCTGGGCGGGCCTCGGAACAACAGAAATCTTTCCACATTCCTCGCAAGTTTCTGAGAACGCGCAGCAGTAGTATGGTGGCCTAAGCGGATGCATTGAAGCAACTCCGATATGCGTTGGACGTCTGAGTGCGAGTGCGCAATGTGTGATTGCGTTTCGCTCACCTGGATCCGACCTCTAAAAAGTAGCCGACCACCATCGAAACTTCAAGCAGTCTGATGCGGCTCTCTCCTCGTCTAAGAGGTTGACAATTATCGTCGAGTTTTTATCTGAAGATTTGGGAGAGGTTCAATTTGCCGCGAATTCAGAGTAACGTAATTTTTCTCATTGCATGTTTGGCTGCATGCGAGAAGTTGTACAAGCATGCGCACCCAAATTCTTGTAGGCTTCAGACATACTGCAATCTTACGGACAAGGTCCAGATTGGCTGCGCATTCCTCCTGTCTCCACACCTCCAGGCCTGCACTTCGTGCGCCCACAATTGGTGTACCGCGCTCAAAGTCTTTGTATACGAACGTCGGGCTTGAGATGTCGATCACGGCACTACTATTCGGTTGTATACACTTTAGAATTCTGTACTATGCAACCGTTCAATGCTATGCGTGAAGATGTGCTAATGAACGTTGTCACCGGACTGCCTGCTCGCCGCCTCTGCACCATCCAAATCCATCTTCCTCTTCAGGAAACTGCTCAGCTTCGCACCACGACTCCCACTCTCGATCTGACTCCCTGACACTGGCGGCCCTCCATACGCGGTCTTGATCGGAGGCACAGGAGGTGCATCGGCCGCAGGTGGTTTCGGTCGGTGTTCGTGCTGCGCAAACTGTTGTGACTCGATTTCCTGTCGGCCGGCAGCGATCGCAGCCTGGTTCTTTGCGTGCACGGGGTTCTCAGGCGCGTGGTAGCGGCGGTCGATCGTGTCGTTGAAGGTGCCGCGGAGTGCTTCTGAGGCGCCCTAGCATCGTCAGTACAACGATCCATTGCAGAAAATCAGACTTACGTGAATACCGGCCGCCGCGGCTCGGAGATTTGCCATGGTCGACTGTTTCTGTGCGGTACGCTCCCCGGATTGTTCGTGTCCCATTCGATACGGCACAGGTCGACCGCCCTCCTCGTGCGCATTCTCGTCGTACTGTCCTGCCGGTACCTGTCGCGGGACACCAGGGGGCGGCGCTCGCGAAGGGTAGGAGAAGTTTGCGCGTCCTGGGCTTGCAGGCGTGATAGGACTGACGGGCTCATTCGTTGTCTGTCTGTTCATGGGATTCTGGCGCTCGATGGCAGGAGAAACAGAAGACAGCTCAACTCTGTGTCGGATATTGCTCTTATTAGGTATCGGTGGCGAGGGATTGATGGGAGCATTTACTGACGGTTGAGTTGGGAGAGGCTCAACGTGTTGAGGGACTGGTGCTTGGACAACGGGCGACACAGACTCGGGAGTTGGCGGACTGGGTCCCGACATACTGGTCACGCTGGGTGTGAGATTGCTCCCAGTAGGCTGCTCTGTCGTTGTACTTCCCCCTGGTCCGGTTATTGTTGTAGTGGTGGTCGTCGTTGTTGTGGTTGTTGTGACGATGTTCCCCGTTCTGTTGTCCGTATGCGTCTCTTTCTCGACATTCTCAGTGCTCCTCGCGTATTGTTGGGGTTGCTGAGGTGGTGCAAAGCCAGCCTGCTGAGCGTTTACAGGAGTCCGTGCAGGCGATCGAGGAGGTGGGGGGTAGTATTCGTGTGCCGTCTGCGTGAGCGGTGCTCGGCTCGGGTCCGCTGGTGGTGTAGGGGGAGTCACCTCGGTCGATGGACCTTGGTGATAGTTTTGATTTTGCTGTTGTTGGTAGTTGTTCTGTCCTTGTGGCTGTTGGTAGCTTTGGGGCGGTACTGGTGGATGCGCATACTGTTCTCCAGAGACCGGTCTGCTTGTGAAGCTGGGGTTCGCGCTGCTGCTGGGCTCGCTGCTTGCATACGCCGAGTCAAAAGTGTTGGCTGAAGACTCTTTGCGGATCTCATTCCTCTCTTGGAGTTCGTCCTTGTCCTTCTTGTGTCCAAAGCCTGACAGCCTCCATCTTGACTTCTTCTCCTTCTCGGCGCCAGTCATGGTGTCGGATGGGCCTGGCTGCGATGTGACTGCTGAATGATTGCCGAGGCCACCTGACATCTGCGTGCGTTCAAGTCCTGTGCGCTCGAACTCTTGTCGTTCGCGACTCTTACGTTTTTGTAACTTTGCGGGTGGTCGCGACTCTTGCATGGCAGTAGGCCGGTTACTGGGTTGTGGTTCGTCTCGTCGACCTTTTTGTGCTATGGATGTAGGATCCTCACGTTGTAAAAGTCATGAAATCAGTCTCAAGTCCGGATTTAATCGAGGAAGAGATTGCAGGTGTGTGCAAGCGCTCACAACGGAAAGCAACAGGCCCCCCTCTCACAGCCCATGATATCATACTGGATTCTGTGGCGCGTCCGATGTGTGGCACCCAATAGCGAAAGGCTGTCATGACGATCACAAACCAGCGGGGTCTAAGGCAAGGCGGGAGACCAGGATGATTTGATGCTCGATGGCGTCGGCGGCAGGGAAGCTTGGAAGAGGCAGGTTTCTGGAGTGCGCGTTGCCCTGTTCGGCCATTGACGGTTGCGCATGCCAACGAAGCAAAGACCTGTCCCGTTCCAGACGCGCAACATCCCCTTTTTGGTGAGGAGCCTTCTGCACGACGTCAAAGGCTTAAACAGGTACCATGCATCTCATGTCGACAATGCCACGATGCGATTACGCTGATCGCAATATCGCGGAGCTCGAACAAACAATGCCGCTGCATCAGCACAGCCTCGTGCAACCCCGCCTGATGAGGCTGAGCAAATCTCACGCCCACTTGCAAAGACACAAGCGTCGATATTTACAAACCGAAAACCGTTCTATCCGAGTTCATCCTCACAGTTTACGAATACGACTACGAAAGCGGCTGTCTGGATAGCACTGGTATGACGGAGCTGTTAAGCCTCGTCGCAAGTGTTATTCAGGTGGCCGGTGCTAGCGTGCAGTTATCCAAGACGCTGTACGATTACGTTGATGGGGTCGCAACCGCGGACCGCAGGATCAAATTTATTGCTACAGAGATCAAGATGACGAGCATTGTAATTGAAAAGTTGGAGGATGTGTTCAAGCATGAAGGGACCGCATCGGTGGTATCCAAGAAGGCAGTACAGGCTGCAAGGAAGAGTAAGAAGAGGCTGATGGAGGTTGTGGAGCTGGGCAGTACGGAATGCTACACTGTCTGTCTGAGTCCGAAGAGTCGAGCCGGGATGAGGTCGATGCTTTGTTGAAAAAATGGACCATCATCCGCCACTGAATATCATACAGGATATGATTCTTGATGCTGAAAGCAGAGCTTGGTAGGGCGTAAAGCATAGTGATCGTAGTCTGAGCCGAGTCTTCCAAAGAAGTCACTGGATGTATATTTAGCCGGTCCGTAAACAATAACTGCAACTCACCAAAGCCGTACACTTTGAGCTCAGCAAATATATCTCATCGTTCGACCCTTGCAGAGCCTCAACCACCCGACCAGCATCGCACATCCCACGCGCGATCAGATAAGATCAATCATCCCTTTTGGCGCCGCAATCACCCGAGATCTCCTCCGAAACATCTCCATAACGCAGCCTCCGACAACTCCCGCCTCCGGCGACGCTCCATCCCGCCCCACAGCATCTCGACGCTTTCGCCGCGTCCTAGCAGGAAACTCCGCCGTGACGGGCTGCCGCTCAGGGACCGCCAAGTATTGCAGTTTCTCTTACTCGATGACAACCGCGGTTTGGCTTCGTTAGTCTAGTGCGGGTGCGCCGCAGAGATAGTTACTCAATTGCTTCACGTATGTGGGCTGCTTGTACCACGGCACACCTGGGCAGCGCTTGTAGCTAGCCAGGGCCAGCCAGGAGTCGGGCATGTCAGCCCGTGATGTGTCATGCGCTTTGGAAACTAGCAGAGGAATGTGAAGGGAACATGGCTAGCTGGATGCGGAAGATGTGCCGCATGCAGTTGCTTTGGCAATACTTGAATTGGAGGATATGTTTACATACGGTGCTTCTGGTAATTGCTTTTGCGCTCGACGTTGCTTTTTCCGTGGGATGTTGTGCAATTGCGGGGCATGAGATTGCTTTTGTCGTGACGTAGCTTGGCATGGCGGGGTAGCTGAATACAATGAAACAATTTCTGTGCAACAGTGCAAAACAATGAGTAACGTGGTGAAATGGTATCAGTCTATTCATCAGAGTTATCAAGTATCTATGTGATACGTCCCGTATGCCAAACGCCATGCCCAAAGTAAAGGAATCATAGGTATCATATACAATAACAGCGCCGTTCAACAGCGAGCTGTTCACCACCAGTCACCCTGGTCGTGCATAGCAGCAGCGACCTTGCGGAAGCCAGCGACGTTTGCACCGCCGACGAGGGACGGGAACTCGCCCTCGGCAGGGGTGATGTACTCCTTAGCGGTCTCGAGGCAGTTGTCAAAGCAGTCCTTCATGATCTTCTTGAGCTTGTTGTCAACCTCCTCGTACGTCCAGGACAGGCGCTGCGAGTTCTGCGCCATCTCGAGGCCGGAGACGGCGACACCGCCGGCGTTGGCGGCCTTGCCGGGCGCGTACCAGATGGCCTCGCCCTTGTTCTCCTTGCGGTGGGCCTCGAAGACGTCAATGGCCTCCTGGGTGCAGCCCATGTTGGAGCCCTCGGCGATGAACTTGGCGCCAGCCTCGATGAGAGCCTTGGCCTCCTCCTCGGAGACCTCGTTCTGGGTCGCTGAGGGCAGAGCAATGTCGACCTTGCCAACCTCCTTCCAGGGGCGGGCACCTTCGATGTACTTGAAGCTGTGGTTCTCGAGAGCGGAGAGAGCCTTGCGCTGGAGCTTGAGGGTAGCAATCTTCTCGATGTCGTCAGGCGTGAAGCCCTTATCGCCTTCGGCGAGAAGAGCACCCTTGGAGTCGGACAGAGAGACAACGATACCGCCGAGCTCGATGATCTTGAGGGCAGCGTACTGCGCAACGTTGCCGGATCCGGACAGAGCAACGCGCTTGCCCTTGAACGACTCCTTGCCGCCGCTGGCGTATGTGATCATATGCTCAACGTAGTACACGAGACCGAAACCGGTGGCCTCGGGACGGATGAGAGAGCCTCCCCATGAGCCACCCTTGCCGGTGAGGACACCCTCCCAGCGGTTGCGCTCGGCCCTGTATGTGCCAAAGAGGTATCCAATCTCACGACCACCGACGCCGATATCGCCCGCGGGAACATCTGTGTCGGCACCTGTCATTTACGTAAGTGCATGTTCATTGGAAGCTCGACGCGACCGCGCATCTCGGCAGAGGTTCCAACGGCCTGGACAAGATAAGGCTAGCAACAGCCCGCTCATTCCTGTTGGCCAACTGCCAGATACGCGGTATGCGGGACCGTTGAATGAAGGGTACCACGCCGCGCACATGCGCGACGCGTGCAGTGAGTGTAAGACTTACCGATGTGTTTGTTGAGCTCCCTCATGAAGGACACGCAGAACTTGCGGATCTCGTTGTCGGACTTGCCCTTGGGGTCGAAGTCGGCACCACCCTTGCCACCACCCATGTTCAGGCCGGTCAGAGCATTCTTGAAGACCTGCTCGAAGCCAAGGAACTTCAAGATGGAGAGGTTGACAGTGGGGTGGAAACGGAGACCGCCTTTGTAGGGACCGAGAGCAGAGTTGAATTGCACGCGGTAGCCCTTGTTGACCTGGCACTCGCCCTTGTCGTTCTCCCAGACAACACGGAACTGGATGATGCGCTCGGGGACGGAGGCAACCTCAAGGGCCTTCTTGTACTCGGGGTTCTTCTGGAAGAGAGATGAGGACTCGAGGGTGGAGACGAGCTCTGTGGGGAATTAGTATCAGGCGATCGATTCAATTGAACATCTCAGTGAAGTGAGGTTCTGTTGTTGACGGTGGTACATACCCTTGCGGGCCTGCTCGAATTCGGGCTCGTGAGACATCTTGAATTGAGGTAGTGTGGTGTTGATTGAAGTTAAGCTCGTGAAGTTAATCGGAGCAAGTTGGATGTCGAAGAGATGGCAGGCTAAAGTGAGAGGATAGCTGTATATATACGCCCAGTCTAGGGTCTACCTGGAGCTCCAAGATTCGGCGGGGTGAGCTTGCCGTGACGGTCCAAAAAACAAAGACTCGATTTGAAAACGTCAGTGGCCGCCATATCGTGCGCGGAGCAGCGTTCCCAGTGGTGAATGGCTGTTCTCGCTGCACTGTGCTATGCTGCTACTCGTTTCCATGGTGTACTCTGACAGAGATAAGGAGTGCGCAGCCAATCAGAAGTATCGCGGGGGCGAACGCGTCAAGATACCGCGCGGGCTCCGGCCACTTAGTGCTAGCCGCGCGATGTAATTCTTGGTCGTCATCCACAGGCGAGACGCACCAGAACCGTGGCAGAACGTCTGCCGGTTTCGGGCGCACACGGCGCGGTGTCGGGCGCTCTTACGTTGTGGATCAGGGTTCCGTGGGGCACTTATTTTGGTGGGGTGTTTTCACGTGAAATGTCGGACCGGATTGTGCTGCGGTCAGACTGCACGCGACAGTAGCATTTCAAGCACCGGCATCGCCGTGGTCTTGCGCAGTGTCCTGCATGCGTTTGCAAAGTTTGTAGCCTGATGCTGCCATGACATGCCACTCTGCAGCCTTTCCGCAGGTACTGGAGCCTTGCAACCCCCACGCATGTGTTTCTCCGTCCTCCACATTACGGGCAGTCTGTGGGGTCCCAATCTGGACGCGAAATTCACCGTTAGCTCGAGTAAAGGATGTTAAGTAGACGGCCGCCGAGATCGCACGCTCTACCATGGATGCGTGGGTTTGACAGCTGTCAAGAGGACTTACCGGTAACCAGATACTCGTCCAGACCGTCCATCATCTTCATGTCGCCGTCCTCAATCTCGAATCCTCCGATCTGCGAATTCTCGACGATGCGCTCCTTCTTAACGCTCTTGGGCAACGGCACGTAGCCATGCTGCAGACTCCAGCGGACTAGCAGTTGGCCCTATAGTGTATTAGCACAGCCAAACGTTTGAATTTCCTCTGACATTGGCAAATCTTCTGCCGGTGCGGTTGATGGGATACTCACTATTGTCATGTCAGCAGGAACAGGTCAAATCAAGGAATAAACATACCAGGGGTGCATGAGTACTTCTTTGAGAGAGATACTATCTTGGGATGCTTCATCTTCAGGGCCCGAACAAGCGGTGCATAAGCCTCGACCATAATGTTGTTCTGCTGGCAGAAGGACGCAATGTCCGTCCGTGTATTGAATGGATGCACCTCGATCTGATTGACGGCTGGTGCAATCCTGGGTTTCGAATCGAGAAGCTCTTGCAGCTGGAGTCGTTAGTTCGACATGTTCGCTGCAGTGGTTTGAGCCAATGGCTGCGTGCCCCGAGCGCCTGCGAAATATCCCACAGGACCACTCAAGGTCAATTACTTGTGCAAGAGATCGATGTGTGGTTACACAACAACTCCGGGATTCTCGCTATCCGGCGCAAAGATCACTGCTGGGATGCGAACGGAGGAATTGAAAAGGTAGACTTACATGCTTGACGCCGTAATTAGATACACCTCCGATCCTCACCTCGCCGTCGTCAATAGCGTCCTCCACAGCTTTCCAGCTCTCAAGTCGTGCTTTCTTGCCACCATAGGGCGAATGCAGGAGGAATAAATCGATGTAACCAAGTCCGCATTCTTTGACTGACTTTTTGATCGCTTTGCGAGCTGTGCCATATGATGAGTTGGACGCTAATTTGGAAGTGAAGTGGATGTCCTCTCGCTCGAGGTAATCGACGTTGTCGTCGCTGGACAAGAAGTCTAGAACTGCCTTGCCGCTCTCCTTTTCATTGTGGTACATCTGCGCGCTGTCCACTCTGCAAAGACATCAATGGCCATACAAATGCAGGGGCAATACGATGAACCTACCCACGATATCCAGACTGCCGGTGTCAGCATTGTTAGCATAGGTACGGGATTTAGGCCGAGAAAAGAAGGAAGCATACCGCTAGCGCCCATCGAACCGCTTGGTAGGTTTCCTTTCCCGAAGTCAGGTAGACACCAAGGTGGATTGTGGGCATGGAGAGCCCATTGGCGAGCTGCAGATGGTCAATTAATGGAGGCGCTCGACCACCACCGGCACTCGCGACGGACCTTTGTGCGCGAAGCCAATGAAAACGTAGTTTCTGCCATCTTGGTAGGATTCTCGTATCGCGTCGTGCAGTGCAGTGCAGATGATGATGTGCGATTCAGCGGAGGAACAGCCACGATGTTGACAAGTGACGTGCTGCATGGACATGCTCGGCGCCAACGTCGGCGATCTGAGTCATTACATCATACTCGCTTGCACCTGGCGTCCGCCCCGTATGGAGGGGAACATTCCCGTGCATGCACACGACTCTACACATGCACGTCTTATGGCAGTGCTACGCTGGAAAAGTCTACGCACCCTGCCCAGCTGGACAGAACCACGACGCGTTCATGCATAAAAGCAACGAACCACATGAGGCTGAGCGAGCCATAGCGTCCGGTGACTAGTGCCGGGAGCAGAGCATTCGACAGCGGAATTGCTTCTTCTGCTAGCAAGTCGCGCCGACTCGCCGACCAACTGTTGTGCTGAAAGAGCGTGGGAATTGGAATGACTGAGTCGAGTGCAACGTGTGCAGCCTCGTGGTGGTGTTTGATCGCCGAGCACACGGTCTGCATTGAGTTGCACACGATTCCCGCAACCTGGAAGAGACGGCGGTGCAGCAGTAGTACACTGTTTCGTGCCTGAACCTCTGCAATGGGCCAACTGTCGCTGCCGCAACCGCCGTAATGGGTTCGTGCTACCGCGGGCACCAAGTTGATTTACCCTTTGTGGGCGTAGGCGTTTGAGGCGCCTGTCAGTTCTGGCTCCTGGATGACAAAGTCGCTGCAGGCTGATGTTCGTCTCGACGCCTTGAGCCTGGCCCTCGATGCGCCTGGGCGGAGCGGCGGCTCTGGCCTCCGCTGCTGCATCAGACGGCAGGACTGAGGATCGTCATTACAAGCAGCCGACCAGCAGAGGGCAGATTAGCGGCCTGCGATCAGCGTCAACGGGTGCTGCAGCGTGGTATGAGGGTGATCACTTCGTGGTTGCTTCGGTCGCAGGGTCATGCTACAGCGCTTTGGCGCGCCGGCGCTAGAGGAGTTCTGCACTGCGATTGTCAACACGAGTCGCGTACGAACCGTGGGAGCGCATCTGCAAAGCCACACATCAAGCGCTCGCGGTATGCCCGTCCGCCGAGGGGCCGCGGCGACCTATTGGCTCGGCCCGGCCTTGTGGGCTCAATGCAGCCGAACGGTAGCTCGACTTGATCTCCTCTGGGATAATTCCAAACTGCGTCAACTGCGGGCTTCAATAAAAATCTCCTGGAGGCTTGGGGCGGCGGCCACCGAGCCGCGCCCTGCACATCCATTAGCCTCATGTCTTGCGCTCACCACAGGCACCGAGCTATAAATCCCCTACAACGCTTACTAGCTGCACTCATCTCGCCAACGCCGAATAGCAGCACGGGGTCCCTCCGCACATCTACTTCGCTGTCGTCATTGACTCCCTTTCTGAGTATTGCACGTGGACCCTGAGACTCTAAACTCCAGCTCCTGCCCGGAACACTAGCTACAGCTTGACGATCCGTCTCTCGGGTTTTGCGACTGTTACAGTAAGCCTGGTAGGTTGCAAGCAGTTGACATAAATCTGGCGTTCCCGCCCCGCCCACCAACCATTTGCTAACAACGTCCGTTCCTGCAGTAGTCCCTTTCGCTCTCCATTCGCACTCCATTCGCTCTGACCATGGCGAACCTTCCTGGGTTCACCACCAATTTTCCTGCCGGCTATCCTACCATCCCACGGGCCTCGAATTTCGCCGGCGGTGCAAGCAACACGTCGTCAACAGAGTCCCCATCAGGCCAGAATGCAACCGCTGCGCCGCAATTCGACATCTTCGACTGGCATCCTGCGTACCAGAGCTGCCAGCGCTACTTTCTCGACCATGCCCAGCACGACAACACAGTCCAGGTCGTATCTGCGCTCATCAACATCTGCCTCCCGTTCCAATGGACGTCCCATCCTATTCTGAGTTCGGCAGGCCCGCTTCAACACTCATCTGGTCCTGCAGCATATACACAGTCGTGGCCCCGTCAAGGCCCCGTCCTCAACTCAAAAGGCCAGCCAACACCGGCATGGGTGTCGCTGATACCATTCATCAGGCGGCTGGTCATCACGGGAATGGATCAGGCGGCGGTCATGCATGGGTTCTTCGGCGACGACTGGAAGAAAGGGGTGGGTCCAGTGCACGAGTGCGAGAGGCGGAACTATCTGTTTGCAGCCAAGAGTGTCGGGTGGGCGAAAGTCAAGTGTCAATATGATATGTCTCCGCACGAGTCGGTCCCGTTCATGAAGCCCCTCCAAGACGTCCAGCTGGCGGAAATCGAGGGTGCTGAGAAGACCTGGAGTCAGTGGCTCGCAATGGAAGATTGGATGGTGGGGCCGCGGGCACCAGATGCGGATGATCGGTTTCCAGATGCTCGGCGCCGTGGATCCTGAGAGAATCAGATTTAGTGGATGGCGTTGCATGGTGTATGGGAACTGTCAGGGTTAACAGCTTCGCCGTGGGCGGGGGGAGGCGCCAGGGCGGAAGGAATTACAGGGGCCAGGGTTTAGCGACGATGCACCTGTGAGCTGCAGCTGCGATTTGAGTTGGCGTTACTTTTGGGTATCTGATGTAATATTGTGGGTACGACGAATAATGCACGCCGACATGTCCTAGGCGGAAAGCCTGCGCGATTCGAAAGAAGCAACCACATGTACCATACAGCGCCTTGTCCATACAATGCCACAAGTCCCGCATATGTTGTTCCTTGCTCCTACCAGGATATCACGCGTTCCTCCGGACAATTCGAATTTGTGTGATGTTCGTATGCACTCAGGACCGCACAGACCAGCATTCGGCTAATCTTGATTGCCCTCCAGCGCTCGCTGCAGCACCCTTCACCACACAACCCCGGCTAGCATCATTCATCATCCATACCTCTCTATCGTTGGATACATATTTAGCTGATACCCAGCCCCGGTCTTGCGGGCCGTCCGGCACCTAGTTGATGGATCATGGAGTCCATGGTCAAAGAATGGACGGTATTCCTTGACCGATGCTTGAATCAGCGCGTGCAGACCGACTTGTTCGATACTGCAACTGCACAACTGTACCGGAAGTCGCCTCTGCCCGGACGCAAGCTCGCTGCACTTCTTTTGAAGCCCCGGTCTCCAAATGCGAGCAGTGTGGACCCCCGCGTGATCATCTATCTCGAGCGCCTACTAGCGCTGAAGAAGGTCGACGCGTCAGACGCCCTGTCAGCAACGTTCTACTATTCCAAGGACCGACTGCACAAGACTGGTGACGACTCGTTAGAAAAACCGCCAAGATGGTGCAACTCGCCCGAGCTGGAGGAGCTTGTGTGCCATCGCCTTCAGAGAGCATTTGCCGCCGAGGAGCGCCCTGTGAATAACACAGAAGGGCTGCAAACGCTGATGGTCGTCACGAGATGGATGCAGGCTATGGTGACTTCTCACACCAGCAACACCATGATGCAGGTCATGACAGGTATCTCACAGCATCCACAGCAGCACTCTATCAATGTTCGTGAAGCCTTGGGCGTGCTTGTTGTTGGCCTCATTGAAAATTCGAAGATCCTGATGATCCTGAACCACTCCACAGCAAAAGGTGGGTATCTCACAGAAATGATGTGTACGTCCGCTTACCTGGACTAGATCTACGCAAGCGTTTGGCCCAATCGCTGGCATCGTTCGTACCGTTTTTGTCTCATAACTCCCTGGGCTCACAATCGTCACTGGAGATTGCCAATAGACTGGAGATGTCGCAGAAGCAACACGACCTCTACGAAAAGCCAGCGACAATCGACGGTATGCAAAGCGAGAACACAAACCTCGAGGTGGCTGCCCTGCAACTCGATGCGGTCATGGACCTGCCACTGGTATCCACAAGAGCTGGTCTCTACGTATTCTTCAATTCATTGGTATGTCCAGGAATTATTCATCAACTAGTGCTGACGCCTTCGCAGCTTGTTGCTCGTCCGCTTACAGATGAATTTACCATCATCAACTATTTGCATTCAAAATACAAGGTGTGCACCTCTATAACTGTGTAAAGCTTACACTCATCATCGGTAGATCGAGCCCCAAAACATGGCAACAGACCTGGTCACCGCTTCTTTCGATATCCTTGCGAATGCGATGTACCGCAGCGAGCCGATGTCAACTATGTTTTGCCTTAAATCGTTCTTGATAAACAAGGTCCCTGTACTGCTGTCGCAGCTTTCGGGATCGATCTTCCCATTGACACCGGAGATCAGCATCTCACAAGCCCTCAGCCACATTGATCCTAATGCTTTCCCGGCGTTTTCGCAGGGGTTCGATGACATCATGGGCGGCAACAGCTCGCTCTCTGATGTGAGGCAGGACTTCTTGAATGCTTGTGCTTTGCACGGACACATCACTACCGGCACTGTCGAGCGACTTCTTGGAGAACATCCAGTCCAGGGCCCACCAGCGAACAGATACGAGAAGAAAGCACTGCTGGACCAGTGTAAGAATAATTTCGATAAAGTCAACGCCTACATTGACGAGATGGAGAATCTTGACGGCAACGCGGGCGCCATTGTTGGTGCTGTCACTGAGGTGAGCAGTCAGCTTCGACCACCTAGCTAGCGCTGACCCTCCAGTTCATTGCGCATCTCTGTGAGACTCAAGTCACGATGCACTTGAAGCAAATCTGTAATCTTCTGTCGAAGAAGCCGCAGTGTCTGGACGTGATGTTGCAATTCACATCGCCAGCAAGCATCCTGCGTCCTCTTTGCGAATTCCTCGACGACTGGCACTACGACAATGACCAAGGTCGGTCTCTTGTAATCTTCTAACATACCCTGCTGACTCTTCAGGAGAATACCAACCCGTGTACGACGAGTTCGGGGCGATTCTTGTCCTGATCATGGCTTTTGTATACCGCTATGATCTCTCGCATGCTGATATTGGAATCAGTCAGGAATCGTTCATTGCGCGACTGATCCAGTACGGCAGCCACAGCATTGCCCCAGACGATCTGACAGACGACCAGGGTAAACACCTAGCCGGCTGGCTGAAGGGACTCTACGATTCTGGAAACGAAGGGCTCAGCAACGATGTGTTTGCTTCATGTCGCCCGCAGGACTTCTACCTGATAGTGCCGACGTTCTTCAGTCAGACCGTCATGGCGTGTTCGGCTGGTGTCTTGTCACACGAGACTGTGAAAGCCGGACTGGAATGTAAGAATTTTTTTGAATGCTGCGGCCGCAGGCTGACCAGTTGTACAGATCTCGGGGAGACATTCCTGTTGCCTTCGCTGATTGGAGGATTAAGCTGGATGGCCAGCCATGCTCTCAAACAAACGCACAACGATCTCGACGCCATGATGAAGATCTTCCACGATGCGATCCTCACAATGCCCTCAAGTGGAGACGCACAAGCCATGCACTCCACGATCATCGCGATGGTATCGAGCCGTCTGGAGAAGTGCTTTCGCACGCTGCAGCGACGCGACACGACTCGAACCAACATCGAGCCTCTGTTGCAGGCTATCAAACCTAACGCCCACTACGATCGCTCGGTGTATGCCTCGATCCGGGAGCTGGAGCAGTGGACAAACGCACCAAACAGCACTCTGAACACAGCCCTACGGCACACGGTGCAGCAACTGGCACAGTGGGCCTCTACTGCCGCCATCAACCCGAATCCGCCAAGCTACACGCATCGCCAGATATACGCGTCGTGCAGCACGCTTGGTGTGTACCAGACCGTGCGTGCAATCATAGACGAAGTCAGAGCACAGACGGAGGCTGGCAACGGCGCAGCTGCGTTGGATATTGGTGTGTCGATCATCTGCGCGCCGACCGTTGAAGACAGCCCCATACCGGTGGACTGGATAGGGAGCTCAATCCCTGCGCCGGCGCCGGCACGCAGCGGGATGAACCTGCGCGAGATGCTGAAGCACGTGTTCGACAACGCCGCGCCTCTGGTCGCGACAGATCCTTCGAGTGCAGAAGCAATCGCGCGCCTGCACCGACGCGTGGAGGCACAGCTCGCATCGATCGGCCAAGGAAGCCTTCAACCGCCGGTTCTAACACTCCCCAACGTGAGCATCAACGACATGCAAGCGCAGACAATCAACGACGACATCAGCAAAGCCATGGAGGACGCGGCGAATGCGTCTCTCACTAACGATCTCGACCTGCAGAGCATGGACAAGAAGGCGCTGGAGCAGAGCATGGAAGACCTGGCCGGCACAGGAGGGCTGGATCTGTCGAGCATGGGCATGGATGCTGGCGACGACCTGGCTGGCGACCTGACTGGCGAGATGAACGCCAACCTGGGCAGCCTCCCAGACCTCGACCTGAGCGACATGAACAGCATGGGCATGGACATGGACATGAACATGGGAGGGGGCGGTGACGACGACTGGGGGCTGGACTTTGACAACATGTAGAAGGCGTCGATGCATGGCTCAGACTGGCGTTGGTTATTCCAGGATACTGGGACAGCAGTGCTTGATTCAGATGCCGTGTTGAACAACGAACCCTGCGCGTGGTTCAAGTGAGTCTGTGGACAAGTGGATCCTCGGTGTGCACTGCTCCGGGTTCAAGTTCTCCGGAAAAGCAGACCTCGGCCGCGGGACCGGCAGCAACCCCAAGGTCAGCCTCCGGTCCACCCCCACACCCTCGACCTCGACAGCGCCGTCAGCCCTCAGCAGCCTCCTAATATGCACACAAGGCAATAACAGCCGACTCTCGATCGTAATGTCGACCCCGCGCATCTCTGTTCCTCGAATTGTTCCGCGTATCGAGGCGGCGCGGAGATGGATGAGCAGCAGCCAGTTGACGGCCAGGAGACCGAAGACGGCCATCTTCTTTCCGGGTGCGCCCACTCCGCCAGCACATGCATTGAGGATGCTGACAAGACGCAGGTCAGGGCGTGCAGCGCGTCGGCATGATCACGCCCTGGCTCGAAGCCTTCCCTCGCACCGCGAAGCCCATCCTCGAGGAAATCGACGCAACGCTCCGCCTCGCGCACACGCCGCTGACCCAAATCATCGCGAGCGGCACCAACGCCGAGCTCACGCATACGGAGAATGCGCAGCCCGCCATCATGGCCACCAGCATCCTGATCCTGCGCATCCTCGAGCACGAGTTTGGCTTCAAGACGACCGAGCGCGTCGACATCACCCTCGGGCACTCGCTGGGCGAATTCGCTGCCCTCGTCGCCGGCGGCTATCTCACCTTTCAGGACGCGCTGCGCATGGTGCGGCGCCGCGCCGAAGTGGCCAGCGAAGCCAGCCGGGCAGCCGTCGAGGCCGACGGCGGCGAGTTCGGCATGGTGGCCCTGGTCTGCGAGTCCGAGGAGCACATGAGCGCCTTGATCGCCGCAATCCACGAGTTCTTGCGCCTGGGCGGGAGCCGCAGCGATTCCAACGACGACCTGCCCGCCGTCCAGCAGGTCCTCATCGCGAACATCAACAGCAAGAACCAGATTGTGCTTAGCGGCAGCATCGCGCGCATCAACACCCTGCTGACGAACCTGCGACAGTTTGGCGGCCACGACCCACGCCACGTGCGACTGAAGAGCGACACCCCCTTCCACGGCCCGCTCATGAAACCCACCTACGAGACCGTCAAGCGCATGCTGTACCAGTCCAAGCCGGATGGGAGCGACATTGTGACCTGGCCGGGCGTCATGCCCTGCGTGTCCAACGTCACGGGCAAGCCGTACGAGAGCAAGGGCCAGCTCAAAGACCTGCTGGCACGGAGCTGCATCGAGACGGTGCAATGGTGGAAGAGCGTCAAGTACCTGCACGAGCAAGAGGGCGTCAAGCGGTACATTGGCATCGGGCCGGGCAAGGTGGGGCGCAACCTCGTCGGCAAGGAGGTCGGGATGAAAGGCGCCGTGAAAGGGGGCGGCGTGTGGGCAATCACAAGCCCGGGAGACATGGAGGAAGTCATGCGCGCGCTGGACGACACGGAAACGATTGAGGACTGAGCCGGACCTCCATCTACTATTCATACTGCCGGGGTGAGTAGCATCTAGCCTACGCGCCCTGCACGTTCAGCCCCGCGTCGACCTGGATCCGCATCCCCGTCATGCTCGCATTGCGGGCGAGCATCACAAACGCATCCACGCAGTCGGCCAGGTCCGTGTCCTTCTTCAGCACGGCCGCGTTTTTCAGCGCCTCGATGCGCTCCGCGCTGAACTTCCTGCCCCACTCCGTCAGCAGCAGGCCCGGCAGGACCGTGTTGACGCGGATCTTGGGCCCCATGGTCACGGCGAGGCATTTCACCAGGTGCAGCTGCGCGGCTTTGGTCACGCTGTACGGCATGCTCGAGCCGCCCTGGCTGATGGCCTGGGGGAGGTTAGCGGGCGATGGAGTTTGGAGACAGCAGGTATCGAGGGCAAAGCTGGAGCAGGTACTGAGGGCAAAGCTGGAGCAGGTACTGAGGGCAAAGCTGGAGCAGGTACTGAGGGCAAAGCTGGAGTAGGCATCGAGGGCAAAGCTGGAGCAGGTATTGAGGGCAAAGCTGGAGTAGACATCGAGGGCAGGAGGGGGTGAGGGAACAGCGAAGCAACGTACCGCTATCGAGCCAGTAGTGATCATCAAGCCTCCCTCAGGATTAGCATCAAAGGTGGGCTTCGCAGCGAGTAGCAGCGCACGCGGGACCTTGACGTTAGCGGCCCAGCACTGCTCAGCATCAGCATCAACAGAGCACACGTAGCAAGCCGAGGCGAGTGCAGCGTTGAAGCGCCAGCAGACAGACTGAAACAAAATCAAACATACCTTATCCCACTCCTCCTCGCTCATCCCCTCATGGTCTTTCCAATCGCAGAACCGAGTCCACCCCTGCACCACAGTCAGTTCGCGCCATCTTCATCTTCGCCCATCCCATGCCGGCGGAAAAAAACTCACCGCATTAGCAAGCACAATATCAATACCGCCCAGCATGTCAATCGTCTCCCTGACAGCCCTCCTCGCCTCGTCGGTATTGGTCATGTCCTGTCTCCACATCAGCCCTCTTTCCGAACGTGCTTTGAAATGGTGCAGACAGGACAGCCGTCGTCCACGTCTCAAACTTTGCAATCCTCCTTTTTTTCCATTCCATGGACAACTCACTTACCGCTTTGATCAACACAGCCTTAACACCCGCGGCTTTGCATTCGCGCTGCACGCTCTGCGCGGGCTCGAGGCGGTTGAAGTAGTTGATGGCGACGTTACATCCTTCTCTGGCAAAGGTGGTGGAGAGGAGCTCGCCGAGTCCGCTGCGCGATGTTAACATCTACCTGAAGACTTGTTGAGCGAGGTTCAAGGAGGACATGTCGGTCCAGGAACATGTTGATGTGTTTGGAGAAAGCAAGGAGAGGGTGGGGGCGCGTACGCTGAGCCGCCTGTCACCAGGACGTTGCGGCCTTTGAGCGAGTAGGGCATGGTTTGAGATCGCGCGGGCAGGGTATCAGGACAAGGATTAGGGAAGATTGGTTTTCAATCGAGAAGGTAAGCTGGCTGATTCGTAAATGTACTGCTGATGTATCTCGTGCGGCGTTGGACCCCGCAGTGCAGGTATGTAGCTAGATATGACCCGTTTGGGCCTCGGCACCACGTACAGATACTCCGAGCACATAACAACATGATCTTTACTATTGGTGGCCGTTCAAAAGGACGTGGAGAGGGTCTTCCGGCAACGCCATCGCAATGCAACATATACACAATCAACGAGACTACCAGTCGTCGCCCCAGCCCTCGATCTCGTCTTCCTTGGCCTTGGGCTCTTCCTTCTTGACCTCCTTCTTCGGTACGACGACCTTCCTCGCTGACCCCGTTGTACTCGTTCGCCCTGCAGCAGCCGGCCTCTTCGCTGTCGGTGACTTGGCCAAGCCCTTCGGCAGCGGTTTTGTCACGGCTTTCTTGGTGTTGTTCTGCGCGGCAAGCCACCCTGCGAAATCCGGCTCGCCTTTGTCGTCAAACGACGTTGTATTTGAGACTGCCGGTGTGCCCCACGGATCCTCTTCAGCTTTGTTTGTGTCGTTGCCGTCGCCGTCTGCGAAGCCGCCCCAGTCGCCGTCAAAGTCCTCTGCTTCGTCGTTGAATGCTTCCGCGGGATCCGGCGACTTGATGGTAGGCACGTTTGCGGAGCTCTTCGTAGTGTGGAGTTGCATGCCCGGCTTCGAAGCAAGTGGCACTGGGGGTTTGCTTGATGTTGTGGGAGGGACAGAGGACGATCTCTGATCAGCCGCACCATTCGTTGTTGAGCCAGACTCAATGGTGCCACTGGTGGATCCGAGCTTGTTGGTGAAGCTGGAGATGGCCCAGCCGGCCCAGCCGCCCTCGTTCGCCGGGGTGCCTATGCGTGGAGTGGCGCCGCTTCCAGCAGCAAGACCGGGTGATGGAAGGACTGTGTCGGGCATCGTGGCAGCGTGCTTCCGTATCCGAGTGATGTAGATGTCTACGCTCTTCTGCGCCTGATCGCGGATCAGCTTCTCTTTGTCGACCAGAGCCGGACACATGATCGGCAGGAGCTTGGTAGCACAGTCTTCCTCGCTGAAGAGGTCGGCTGTTGCGGCTAGTGCCAGGAGCGCAGCATTGCGGGCATGCACGAATGGATCGCGGAGTGAGCGTGCAAATGCTGCTGCCAGGACCTTTGCTCTGCTCTGGTGGTTGTTAGTAGTCCGCGTGTACGGATTCTACATGCAACTCACATTTACACCCAGATTGCGCGCAATCTTTCCCAGACAGATGGTCGTGTTGGTGCGGATACCGGGTTGCTCGTCGTTCGCTGTCTTTGCAAGGTGTCTCAGGAGCTCGCCGTTAACCACGCGATCAGAGAGCTTCGGCACTATTGTCAAAACAGCTCTCACCGTCTGTTCACGAACGACCGGTGCTATATCAGTGAAGCCAGTGACCTGTGGCGAAGTCAGCAGAGAAATACACAAGTCACTCATTCTGACCCACCATCTGAGGAAAGATCTTGTCGTTGACGAGCTTCTGCGGGAGGTGGTCGATCATCAGCGGCAGGTTGTCGAGCAAGCACACGCGAATCGCTCGGTCAGGATTCGCAAACAGGCGGACAACGACTGGGGTGATTTGCGTCTCGTACTCGTCGTCTGACAGCTTCTGCCCAATCTGCATGACGGTGCCAAAGACCTTGGCACCGCCGCCGCCAAACTCGACCGATTTGAGCAGCTCTGGCAGGACCTTCATCTTGAAGAAGTCGGCCGGGAAGTCGTCTGCCACCTGATCAAGCTTGCTGTCGACCGTCAGTGAACAGAAACACCCGCAAGCGTGTTTACGAACCCCAGCAACTCATTCCGCTCATCTTCCGCCTTTAGGCCCAGGTTATCGATATCCTCAGTGACTTGGATCAGAGGGGTCTGGAAGAAGCCTCCTATCCGCTTGCCCTGGTCCAGAAACTGGCTCACGCTCATTCGCGACTTGGGATTTGGGTTCAGCAGGCGCTTGTACGATTGGTGCATGCTCGGCGGAATGCTCTTCATCTGCGCCAGCTGGTCGCTGGTGCTGTAGCTGCCGTTGAAGCACTCGAAGATGAGAAGGCCGAAGTTGTAGGCGTCCACCGCATGGGTGGGGTTCTGCTTGATGACCTCCCACCCTGCTTTGGATATCTCCGGAGCCATGTACCGACCGGCGTCAGGAATCAGGCCGCCATATGTCGGCAAAATCGAGTCGTCCTCCTTTACAGAGCTCAGAGCGTCGAAGCCGCCCAACTTCCACTCCCCGCTCTCGCCGAAGAAGATCGAGGCGGGGCGAATGCAGCCGTGTATCGAGGAGGCGTCGGCATTGATAAACTTCAGGGTCATGGCAATGTTGTGTAGCCCCCATTTGGTGGTCTCTTCGGTGAGGCTCTTCCGCTTGACGTGCCAGCTCAGCGGTGTCAAGCGCTCGGTCGCAATGTAGATGTGGGATTCGCTCTGCGCTGGCTTAGCTGTAGATACTGCTAGGGTACTGTGCGCCCACCTCCTGTGTGTCGAGGACCTTCACCACGCCAGGATGTCGCAGGGTTCGCAGTTTCCGGAGGGCATTGCGCGCGAGGGGCAGGCGGGACTTGTTGGCGGTGATGTCAAAGGAGAAGATGCTGCACTTGGAGCCGTCGTCCTGGGAACAGTCAGCTTGGCAGTGGTGTTGCAGACATCAGGGCCATACTCGCTTTGTGCCGTTGTGCAATGTCCAGATGGAGTCGTCAACGTCTACGCGGTCGCCAAAGGTATAGCCCCAAGTCGGGTAGCCCTTTGATATCGCCGACGCGACGGCCGACTTGAGAAAGTCCATGACCACAGATACGGCACGTTGATGGTTTGTTGACCGCTCAAGTCGCAACTTCCATGTGGACAGATGCCCCACATTCGATGACGGGCAAGCGCGATGACCCCCGCGCGTCACCGAGACGCGTTTAACCACACCATGTCAGCCACAACAAGATTTTCAGCCCACAGCTCGTCGCCGCCATTCTCGGTACGTGCAGCACCCACGACCGCGCAGAGCACGAGACGAGCCATGGTAGAAAGGTTAGACGGTCAGTCAATGGTTCCCCTCCCGCAGAGGAAGCCTGGGGCGGAATGCTACCGAATGGCACGACGCACTGATGCACGCTCGAAATCACGTTTTCGGATTCAAGACGCGGAGCAGGCGCTGGCTGAGTTGTAGTTGTAGGTGTAGTTTAGATGGATCTTGTGTTGAAGACTCTTGAAGCAGGATCTGTGTTGAAGACTCTTGAAGCAGGATCTGTGTTGAAGACTCTTGAAGCAGGATCTGTGTTGAAGACTCTTGAAGCAGGATCTGTATAAAGACAGGTTGGTAAAATGTACACGGCTCATCGCCCTCGTGCAATCGCGGCGTCCCTCAGAATCTTGGCCACCTTGCTGTTCCCCTTCCCCCTCGCGCCGCCAGGATACGTGCTGGACTTGACGATGCCCACGCTTCCACAGGCGGCGCGGAACATCAGCTTCCCACCCACCGTGTCGTCGAGCGCAAGGCCAGGCGGCAGATGCTTACACACGACCCCCGTGTCGACGACGTCGTGCACGAGCAGCCGCTCCCCGTTCGGCAGGAGACACGACTTGTCGCCCAGGGCGCGCTGGACAGCGAGGATGTGCTGCATGTCCATGGTGGCGAAGTCGATGCAGCGGTCCTGCTTTGTGATCTTCGGGGCGTAGTCACGGGGTCCGTGGGATGAAGTGTACCACGCGGTAGGTTCGTTGTACTTGGCGGCAAGGCTAGATGGTTGTTCGTGCATGTCTCGGCCTTGCGTAGCAGGAGCCTGGCACGTCTCAAACCGCCTCTCTCTCAACACACGGACCAGCATAGCAGCGCCGGCATCGGCCAGTCTCTCAGTCAGCTCGGCCGTCGTCTCACGGGGCCCAATCTCTATCCCAGGAGCAGCCGTCTGCGCGAGCACGACGCCCTCGTCGAAGCGGGCCGGGTGCAGGGTCTGTACAGAGACGCCCGTGTAGGGTCTCCGCTTCAGGAGGGCGTGCTGGATGGGCGCGGAGCCGCGCAGGTCGGGCAGCAGAGAGGGGTGGACGTTCAGGCCGCCGTAGTGTGCTAGGTTCAGGATTCGCGGGGGCACGAGCAGGCCAAAGGACACGGCGATGACGAGGTTGTAGGAGAAGGGGGGCGTGAAGCCGGTGAAGGTGTCGAAGACGTGGGTGGGCAGGGACAGGGCGGCTGCAGTTTTGCTGAGGGGGACTGGGGTATGTCAGCGGATTGGGATGTGTCAGCGGATTGGGGTATGTGTTGTTTCCGTGTCAGTATAAGACTGTGTTGTTTCCGTGTCAGTGTAAGATGGAGTTGTTTCCATGTCAATACAAGACTGTGTTGTTTCCGTGTCAGTGTAAGATGGAGTTATTTCCATGTCAATACAAGACTGTGTTGTTTCCATGTCAATACAAGACTGTTGTTTCCGTGTCAAGGTAAGATGGAGTTGTTTACAAACACGGTCCCAGCATCACGCATGGAGAGAATTACCTTCGCGTAGAACCTTCAGTCCCCTGCCCGTCGCCTTGGCTGGGCGGTGAGCTACATGGATCTCGTCGATGAGGCCGGGCGTGTCCTGCCTCGCCTTGTCAAGGGCCAGCAAGCTCTTTACGCTGAACTCGTCGGAGCCGCAGAACAGGATGCGCAGGGGTGCATGCGTGACGGCGGCGGCAGAGCTGCAGCGGGCGTGGACGCGAGCACTGGAGACGAGCAACGAGCGCACAGCGGCCGGCAGCGTCCACAGCATGTCGAGGGAAAACACGTGTTCAGGGTGCCAGATGACGAGGCATCGACATACCTAGGGCACGGTGCTTGGCGGCGATGGGGTGGACCGACACCCCCGCGGAGTGGCACGTGACGTGCGGCGATCCATGGACGGCCGCTCAGACCCACCAACATCGGATCAAAGGCTGCAGACACCTGACAACATGAGCTCCGCGAACGAGCCGCGCGTGGTGCCGGCGCAGCTCAGCTTCCTCGCCATCTACAATCCGGCGCTGGGCGACTCGGACGAGACGTTCCACCGGCAGATTGTCTTCTACTACGCCAAAGCCGCGCGGGCGCGCGCACAGCAGGACGCCGCCGAGGAGAGCGAGGAGGATGGCGAGAAGCTGCGGCAGACGGAGAACGAGAAGCTGCGGCGGACGGAGAACGAAGAGCTGCGGCAGGCGGAGAACGAGAAGCTGCGGCAGGCGGAGAACGAGAAGCTGCGGCAGGTCGGGCTGGCGCAGGGCATGGTGGGCTTTGCGCGGTCGTTTGCCAGCGGCGAGAGCGTCGACTCGATCGAGACGGAGAAGTCGCGGATTGTGCTGCACGAGCTGGAGCGCGGGTGGTGGATTCTCGCCGTATGCACCAATATGCGCTCGCACATGCGCTGCTGGCCCAGCTGACACGCGCGCAGTCGGTCGACCTCACGCAGCTGCCCGCCGCGAGCACGTCCAAGCAGTCTGAGCAGTCCGAGCAGCCGCCCGCCGTCGAGTACTCGAGCCGCGAAGTCAGCCCGCCCGCGCTGCTCGTCCAGCAGCTCGTCCGCGCGCACGGCGTCTTCACGCTGCACCACGGCGCCCCGCTCGCCCAGCTGCTCTCCCGCTACGGTCGCGCCAAGTTCTGCAGCATCCTCGACACGTACTGGGCCCGCTTCTGCGCCGGCTGGGACGTCCTGCTGCACGCCAGCCCCGCTGTCGATGTCTTCAACGGCCTCAAGCTGGCCGCCGGCGGCGAGCTGGGCGTCGGCGTCGGCGAGGAGGACTGGGGCAGCAGCGAGCGCGACGTGTTGGAGCACTTTGCCCGCCGCACCGAGGGGCTCGTCGACGTGCTTGTGTCGCGCTTCGGCGAGGCGTCGCCGGCCCAGCACGGGAACGGCGAGGTGGACGCGCGGCCGCGACACGCCGCGGCCGCCGAGCCGTGGCTTGGGGCCGGTGTGGACGCGGCCGCGACCGACGGCGTCGTCTTCTCGGGCGTGGGCGGGCTCAGTCGCGCGAGTCTGCGCGACGTGGCGCACTGGACCGAGTCCATCTACCACTGCGGCGACCGCGCGTACGGCATCCGCGACAATCCCACGGCTGACCGCCGCCGCCGCCGCAGGAGAGGCCCCCTTGCGGTCGGGAGGAAGCCAGACCCGCCTGCAGAAGAAGCCGACCCGGCGACGGGCGACGCCCCACGCATCCCCGCTCCCATTGTCAGAGCCGTCGAGAGCTCGCTGGACAGGGCCTCGGAGGCCGTCGACCAGAGCGAGGGCGGCCGCGAGCCCGCCGCGAAGCAAGAGACAGGCGCCATGCTCGCCTCACTCGGCGACACCGAGACGTGGATGAAATACATGACGCTTGGCTACGGGACCGCGTGGGGCAACAAGAAGCAGACCGGACCTGCAAAGACTCCAGCCACAGAAGCACAGACACCAGCCACAAAAGCAAAGACTCCAGCCACAGAAGCAAAGACTCCAGCCACAAAAGCAAAGACTCCAGCCACAAAAGCAAAGACTCCAGCCACAGAAGCACAGGCAGAGCAGTCGCCCAACGCGATGCGCTACATCGAGCCCGCGCCGGACGTCGACCTGGCCGAGGAGAAGCGCAAAGCGCAGGTCCGCGCCGAGAACGACGGCTACTTCCTCGTCGGGCTAAAGGGCGACATGGTCGAGGCGGACATGGACGACGACAACGACGAGGGGAACTGGAATGCCAGGATCCAGCTGCGGACCGTCTACGTCCAGGCCATCAACAAGCCGAGCAGCACCAGCGCCAGCGAGAGCGGCGAGACGCCCGCTGCCGAGGGCAACGTGACGAGCTGGACCGCGAGCCTGACACGCGAGACGAGCAGACTGCAGCCCGTGGTGTACATTGTGCGTCGGCGACATCAGCCCCCAGTGCATCCATCTCCAACCGCTAACTCGGACGCAGCACCGCCCCTTCATATACACCTTCCTGTTCGCGCACCACACGCCCTCGCTCACGCTGGCCAGCTTCTACCGCTCTCTGCACGCCTTCTTTGCCCCGCTGCACCGCTCCCTCGACCGCAACACAGCTCCGTCCCGCGTCGCGCAGCGCCTCCTCGCCGCCCGCGCCGCGCAGACGACAACCGCGACCACCGCTACCGCCGCCGCCACCCACGGCCCAAACACATGGCCCATCTACGACCTGGTCTGGGACCCGCGCACGCTGACGCTGCACAGCAGTCTGCCCAACATCCCGGCCCCGGGGGCACTGATGGCCGACGAGGGCTGGAGCAGACTCGATGCGCTGAACGTGCACGCCCACATCCTGAGCACCGTCGCCACCTCGCGCCGCAGCCGGAGCGAGATCGAGCGCACCTGCAAGACCAGCCGCGGGTGGTGGGTCGTGTGGATGCGGCTGCCGCCCTCGCAGCCCTCGGAGACTCGAGATTTCGATTCTGATTCCGATCCCGAGCATGCTGGGACCCGCAGCGTGGCCTTTAACACGGACGAGCTGCGGGAAGCCTTCTTGATTCGCAGAGCGAGGGACGGCGGCGAGTCGACGCAGCACAAGAGCGGCAGGAGTATTGCGAGCGGCATGTGGAGCGGCATGGCCATGGGCATGGGCGCGAGCACACACCAGACCATGGGCGGCAAGGCCGCCGGCTGGGGGCCCAAGGGCTTGGCCGAGGGGATTGGCATCGATGCCAGGCGCTACGTGGACGAGTTGTTGAGTCTGAACCGGTAGCAGGCTGTTGGGTCTGAACCGGTAGGCAGCCATGTTAGATGGACGCATTCTGGCACTGTTGACCCCAGCGACTGACGACATGAGATAGCTGTCAAAATAAGGTCATCATCACGCCGCCCAATGCTAATGGTATCAAGTAGTCTATGCAAGCACCCAAATCCACTACCTCCGCGTGCGCGCCACCTGCAGCTTCACCAGCTTGTCCATGTTCTTCAGCCACCGCTCTGCGAACCCCCGATCGGTAAACCGCTCTGCAGACTTCCTCGCCCGCAGCCTCATGGCCAGTCTCTCCTCGGGCGACAGCGTCAGCGCTTTGCGGAACCCCTCTGCGTACTCGTCTGCAGTCGTGGCGTGGAATCCTGTGCATGTGTCAGCATACTGAGCTTGAAAAAACGTGTGAGAACATGTCAGCACTGAGCTTGCGAAAACATGTCAGCACTGACCTGTCGGCTTCCCATCGACATCAACAACAATGTCAATCTTCGGGCCGCCAGAGTCGTTCACAACCGAAAGCAAACCCGCCGCCTGGTACTCGACCACGCCGATGCCAAAGTGCTCGTTCCACATGCCGTTCACCCCCACGCTCGCCCTGCCCATCCACTCCACCATCTGCGGCCACGGCGCTTCGCAGAGAAACTCGACGTTCTCCTTCATGTGGAGCTCGTGAGCGAGCAGTCGCAGCTTGTACACGCTCTTCTCGTCAATCGAGTCGCGCACTGAGCCTATCAGGATGAGCCGCGGCTTTTCGTCGGGATATGCTGCAAGCTTTGGATTCGAGTGCACGAACTTTGCGAAGGCTTCCAGGATGAGTTCGTGGTTCTTCTCCGGACGAAACTGTGCAATGTAGAGAAGGTACGGTCCGCGCTTCTTTTCGCTGGCCTGCGAGACCTCGACAGCCTCTGTGACCTCCTCGACTGCGACAGGTGGAAACACCACGTCAATATCGTTCTCCGTCGTCTTGTTGCGCTTGTTGCGCGCTGGGCCCCAGAGCGAGCTGACATGTCCTTGGGTCCAGGTCGAGTTGGTCATTACAACATCGATGGTGCTGCCCACTTTGCTGTAGAGACGTGCAAACAGCTGCCAGTACTTCTGCTTAGCAGCGCCCCGGTAGCCCTTGCCAGCACCAGCGTTGATGCCCTGACCTCCGACCTGTAGCGAGTCCAGCATGTCCGTCGAGATGGTTGGGTAGTGCACGTACGCGCCGGTCGGCACATCCGGGAAGAACAGCGACGAGAGGGCCAGGGCGAATGCGTAGCCCATAGTGTCGACGAAGATGTCCGGCACAAGCAGGGCGAAGGCATCGTAGGCCAGAACAATCGAGCCCAACGACTGACCCAGCAGTGTGAAGCGCGGCCATGTGCTGGCGAGGACCCAGTGACGCGTCGTGAGGTAGAGAAAGTGCACTGTCGGTGGGTGGAGCTGCATGTTGAAACGAGTCTTGACACGCTTCAGAATGGCAGCCTTGTCGACATCGTGGTCACCGGTGTAGACGACGCAGACAGCTCTCGGCCAGCGCTTCTGGGTGGCTCGAATGGCCGCCCAGAGGACTCGCTCGCCGCCGCCACCAGCGTTGCTGCGTACGCCGTTAGTGTAGTCAAATGTATTCATCAAGTCGTCTCTCACCAGAACGGGTGGAAGAAGCCAACAATGCCCTCCCACTGCTTGTCTTGCTTGGTGCCTACTCGACCATCCGTGGCTACAGACGCAACTTCCTCCCAATCACAGTCCTCAGCCTCGGCATGCTCGGCTTTGTAGTTCTTGGACTCGGTGGCTACTCGTGTCAGCAGCAGCTCTCGTCTTGTGCGGCACGCCCGGCGCAAGTAATGTCCCACCTGCGCACCAAGGAAGCGCACGATTGTAGGGGAGAAGATGACGGAAACAGCGACAGAAACTAGCAGCGAGAGAAACACAAGCAGAGCTGCCATCATGAGCACCTCAGTGCAGAAAGGAAGCAGGGCGCGGCATGCAGGAAGATGGACACATACGACGGGTGGGGTGACGTGTGAAGCTCGTGCGCTTTCCCGCGGCCAAACTCCAAACTCCAAACTTCGAGAGCGCGACACGCCCAGGAAAGGAAAGCACCACCACCATGGCTTCGAAGCTGCTGCAGCGGCCAGCACGCCAATTGCTCGCTCGAGCCAACACCACATCCAATGCATCCTGTGTATGCCCGGCACGAGCCTTCCATGCGTCTGCACCTCGACAAGACCCCGTCCTCGATGCCATCCTCTACCTGCCACACGAGATGATGGGCCTGATCCACACCCAGGTCCCGTGGTACGCCGCCATTCCACTCTCGGCCTTCCTCCTTCGAGGCGCACTCGTCACGAGTGTTGGAACGTGGGCACGCTCGCTCATGGCACGCTACATCGGTCTGCAACCACTCCGCCAGGCCCTTGCACGCGCAAAGCGTGATGAAGTGCTCAGGGAGATGCACAAGCAGGGTGGAGCTCGGTCGCCGAAAGAGGCCAAGACTAGGACTATGGCCGAAGTCAACAAGGCCGTCACACAGCTGGACGCCCGGTGGAAGGTATCGCTCAAGGGCCAGATTGGGTGGACCTTGATCCAGATACCCATCTTCTTCACCATGGCCGAGGTCATCAGGAAGATGTGCGGTGCGAGAGACGGACTTTTGGCTCTGACTGCTTCTTCGGTGGAAGGGATCAAGGGGTGGTTTGGAAGGACTGAGGTCGTGGCCGATGCAAGTGCGCCAACCGGTGCTGTGGACGCGTCTGACTCGCTCTCAATTGCCAGTGCCCTCAACGACACGACCAACGTGGAGGGAGTAGCTGCATTGTCTACGAGCCCCTTCTTCGAGCCGTCACTCGCAATCGAAGGCATGCTATGGTTTCCAAACCTGATTACGCCGGATCCCTTCCTACCCTTCATCGTCTCAGGCCTCATGTTCTCGAACATCTACTTCACCAAGAACGCGCCCACGAGCGACAAGAACTGGCCCAACGCTATTCGACGATTACTTCTTGGTGTTTCGTTACTCATTGGCCCGCTGTGCCAGAATTTGCCTGCCGGCTTGATGCTCTACTGGGCTGGGAGTACGACATCAGTCATGGTCTGGAACAAGTGGCTCGACTGGAAGTACCCAGCGCCTACGGACTTCACGGCCTGCAGGAGACCGCTGCAGATGCCGCCGGTCATGAAATCGAAAGCCCCAGTCAGGAGAATATGATAGTCTCTGGCATCGGCACCGTCGAAATTTCCAGCAGCAGCACCAGAACAGGTTTGTAAAGATAGTCGTTGAACGTTCGGCTTGTTTGCCGTCAATCAGTGGGAGGAGTACGTTGTACAAAATGCCGCCTGAACAACTTTGCCGAAGAGAAGACCTTTCTGACCCCAGACACACTGTCTTGATATATCCGCCCTCAACCACCGTCGTCTGACTAACTCTCGGCCATATCTCAGCAACTTATTCAAGTCAGCCGCGACGTCACAGCGAAGACGACAGCTGCATCGATTTGACCACGTTCTTGTGCGTGCCGTGGTGTTGGGCGGGCAGGATCTGGAGGGGCAGCAGGGCGGCAAATCGACCCTGGCAGTCGACGCGGATGTGGCCGGGCGTGAAGCATGGCTCCATTGGTTGGGAGGGTACTATGGCTGTGTCGTCGCGGGGGATTAGAGAGTCGGCGAAAGGTTGTCCGTGGGGTCATAGGGTCCAAAATGGAAGCTTAGAATGTTGTGAGATATTGAGAGGTCGCTTGCAGTGGAAGAGGTTGTACGAGTTGAGTGTTCAGTCGATAGTTTGTCGAGTGGAAGCAACAGAGACGAGCTCGATATTGTCTTCATGACTTTGGAATGTGACTGTTTCTGTGTGGAAGCAAGCATCGATATATTCTGCTGTCCTTTCACACATTGCCAGTCTGCTTCATTCCTCGTTTTACCAGTTCCGTCGAGCTCTCTAGCTATCTTCTGGGAACTCAATACCTGAAATCTTGTTCCACAATTACTGTGAGGAAAAGACTTCACCGCCAGTAGCTTACGCGGCAGTCTCTGTCGCTGGGTTCCGTGGTCAAGGAAGTTGAACAGACCCAAACACTGTCACATTCCTGACCAAACAAAAGGTGCTTACAAGGTTCCCATGGAATACAGGCCGCGTGTCGTTCGACGGTTCCACAAATACCATACGTGAAAACGGGGATGGACATCCGGGGTCCCTGACAGCGTTGGCGTTGTGTAAAACGTCGGGCGGGTGTCGTTGTGGGTCAGGGACGGTGTTGAACCAAATCTCCAAGGCGCCTGAGCAGACGATGACACCACCAACTGTCCGGCACAATGGTGCGATGGCTCCTTTGCCGTACGTCGGCAGAGTTGTGCGTGGAAACGTTGCAATGCTTGTGAAGCTGGTAATTCGTGAGTTTTCGATTCGCCTCGTCCACCAATGCATGTGTAAATGTAGGCACGTTGGAACTCTTACTGGGCCTCTGCAGCTCAGGGTCACTGAGAAGACTTTTCACACCCCACTATATGCGATCATGTCAGGTAGTGGGCCATCTTGGGTCTGATTGAGACGGTTCGGGACATTTGTGTGGCACCTCCGAGGAGAGCTCTTGGTTGGCGGAAGCATATGTCAAGACCCGGCTCTGGCCCACCTGGCTAGGACAACCAAAAAGGTATCAATGCTGACTTGAATAGTAAGTAGGCGGCTAGAACAGCACTTGTTGCCATACCAGGTCAGGGGTGGACGCTGCCACATGCCGGTCAGCATTGGCCTGACAGCATGTACGTATGAGTAATTTGTTCGAGAAAAGAAGAATAAGCTGCGTGAATGATCGAAATTTTCATGTCGTCTCGATCATGTTGAGGCTCATTGGAGTTTTACAGAAAGAATTCTGCAAGTACTTGAAGCATTCTTGCCCCTATTTCGCTGCTAGGTCATCTCTTGCTTGGTCCTTCGTAGCTCTTCCCACTCTGGTCCCCATCCATTAATACTGCTTCCCCAACTCTTTTCTCCAGGCTTGGTACTCAGTAAAGTCAATCGTTCCATACTACTTCCGTCTGTGATGTTCGACATCACTTTAACGATCTTCAGCGTTTCGTGGAGATGGTAGATGCCCTCACTGAGCAACTTCCATGGTACGACTGCTACAAAACGCAAGAAAACTCTTCGTATATCTTGCAAACGTCTACAAGACAACTCCGTCAACATCCCATGGTACTTTAGCCACAGCTTGAGCAACTACAGCAGATGTTGAGTCTTCCTGTTGGTATCTCAACAAGCAATCGTCCTTCAGTCCCTCGGTACAGATAAAAAGTGCTAGCTTACCAATTGAAGAGATGCTGATCCGAATTAACACCTACTCTACAAGGTGGCAGTGCCGAATTCTGAACTGTCAATACTCACTTCTATCCGAGACTAGCTTCCCATCCAGATGTCCCATGATCCTGTGAGGAGATGCTGAGATTTCAAGAAATCTTTCGCTGATGGTAGTCTGTAAAGGCATCGTACAGTGGAAGCCAATGCCTACCGTTTCTCTCAGCAGGAACATTTAAAAGGCTGGCCCCCGACCCACTCTCTCTTCTGTTCTCTCATCTCAAAACACACCAGTCTCTATCCTCATTCTTCAATATCATGCTCATCAAAGCCATCATCAATCACTATTATCAATTCCCATCATCAATTACCATCACTCAATACATGTTAGCACCACAGGCAAGATGCAGAACAACGCCTTCACCTTCTCTGTTCCCGGCACTTACTCGCCTTCTCTCCGCCCCGCAACTTCCTCTCCTTCTCTCCGCCCCGCAACTTTCTCTCCTTCTCTCCGCCCCGCAACTTCATCTCCTTCTCTCCGCCCCGCAATTTCCTCTCCTTCTTTCCGCCCCGCAACTTCCTCTCCTTCTCTCCACCCCGCAACTTCCTCCCCTTCTCTCCGCCCCGCAGCTTCCTCTCCTTCTCTCCGCCCTACCAGCTCTGGCACATCTTCGTGGGGTCGCACCTCGACCGACCCCACGCCTTGCACTACCAGCTACTCTCCTGCTGCCTCCAAGGCAGGCCAAAGCCGCAACTGGCGCGCCAACGCCGGTCCCTTGCCTCCTCCACCACCACCAAGGCCTGAGTGCATTCCCGGCCGGGTAGTCAAGCTGCCCGAGGAGCAAGAGGTCCCTGTGATCAGCCGCGTCCACAAGGACGCGGCCAGCTTCGGCCAGCCGTGGAACCACCCTTTCGTCATCACCGAGGAGTGGAGAGATGAAAACGGGGTCCGGCTCGCCAAGATCCGGTGCTGTACGAGCTGGGGGGGTCAGGGTATCGTTGCCAAGCAGTGGTACCACCGCCGCTACTTTGTGGTAGCTGACCAGACCACCCTGGCTTCGGGCAAGTTCGACAGGCCCACCTACGTCAACTGCTCGCCCGGCCAAGAACTCACCATCGAGTTCGAATACCTCCAGCTCTGGGCAGGGAAGCCCATCCAGTTCCAGCAACGGGCACTGGATTCTTTCAACAAGAACGAGCCGAGGCCGCGCCGCGACAGCGGTGTCGGTTGCTGAGTAACCATCACGACCGGCTCGTGGGCTTCCCAGGTCTCTCGACGACAGCCACCACTCCCGACAAGTTGTCCGTCACCTAAAACGGTCCGCAGGTGTTACAGCGTAATCATCCACCTAGGTCCGATGCTGGCAGAGTCGTCCTCTTCTCAAAGGTTGGCGTTCGTCCCCAAATGACTCGCTGTGAAAGCGAAAATATCCGTTCAGGTTCGGTGCTGGCAGAGCCGTTCCTTCTCACGTAGATAGATTACAGCACCCAAAGATGGTGCATGTGTAGTAGATCGATTCCATTGGCAAGATGATCGATCGATAGACGGCGTTCTTCGTGAAGCGTGTCAATAGCCACCCAGTATCGTCGCAGTCGCAGATGTTGGGGATGGGCGCGTTTAGCAAGGTGCTGCTATCTTTCTCTATACGAATCATGGTGGGATAGTGGGTCGATAGATATTATCCTTCGTAGTTGACGTCAATATCCACTCCTTAAGGTGTTGGTGATGGGCGTGTCCTGCAAGGCCCTGGCGGTGATATTGGTACTATGGGCGGCTTTCGAATGGATTCGGGTTTCATCTCGGCGCAAGCTGGGCTCACAGTGTTCTTCCCGATGACTTTGTGATGCAAACTGTGACATGCAAAGACACTATACGTCGCCCCCTAGTACCTGCTTGATACAGCACCAAAAGACGAGTCGACAGACGTGCTCAAGGGGTGACGACAACAGATCGATGGTGTGTGGACCCCGGTGTATACTCTTACACGAATACATGATACAAGGAAACGAAGCCGCCTTCAGCGCCACTTCACGATGACTATATAGTCAAGCATGTATCAAAATGTGATGATTTGCTGCTTAAGATGCCATTCGCGGTAGCGGATCGAATGAAGTGCATCAATTACGTCAGCCTCAAGCGAACTTTGACTTCACTCTCGACAATTGGCTTTGCATAGTGGAAAGCCTCATCTGACTCGGTATCGCATTGTATGTGTGTCTTGCATGTTATTATCATTACGTACATACTCAAGACCATGTCCTAGCTAGGCCTCAAGACGACTTCGCCGACCAATATTACAACATTTTTAAAGAATCTCCTCCACTCAAGAGGATCGCCACTGGCTTTGACAAACCTCACCTCACAGTACGCCATGCCATAGTATACCGCTTTCTCTATCACAATATGTCCGTTCAAGCCTTGCCGCCGTCCATCGGCCATCTTGACTCTGATGCTAGCACTCTCATCCAGCTCACACCGCGCGATCTGACTCTCGGTGAAAACTGGTGGTGGCACGCCGAGTCCATGCAAAGCCTCGAGCAGAAGCGGGATAAGGAAAGAAAGCGCGTGCGGCGAGATGAAACGTGCGAGCGAATACGACGGCATAACATCGGCAAATCTGCGTGCCATCTGCGTGAGGGTGAGCGGAACCTGCGGTGTTGAACTAAACTGTGCCATTCCAGGATCCTGAGACAGCATGTCTTGTGTGGATGGTGGGAGTTGAGACATGAAGGGAGTCGAGCTGACCGTTTGTGACTGGTAGGCTGGCCGTTGGTCGTCACCCATGGGCCGAGAAGCTGGTACGCTATCGTAGGAAGCCAGTCGAGGTGGACGCTCCCAGTCGAAGACAGACTCACCTACTGGGGTCTCCGGCTGTGTGGAGGACAGCATGTGGACTGCGTTCGCTGGATTTGCGCTCGAGCGCCTGGGAGATGCGTCGATTTCCATGGCGTCCTCGTCTTGTGAGAAGCCTCGCTGGGACTGAGTCGGCCCTCGTGCGAAGTCGATGCGTAGTTGGGACAGCATCTGCGTAGCCATACCTACAGGATTGGCATTGGTACCATTCGAAGACAAGTAGACGTTCGGCTTTCTAAACCAAGGATGCCTCCGGATGTCGTCGAGCGTGAATCTTGATGCAGAGTCGAGCTTCAACATCCCGCGAAGCAACGGGGTGACTTCAGGAGGTACCAGCTCCCAAAGTTCGTCCGTTGTCTGTCCGTTTGTCTCAACGTACTCCTTGAACTCTTCGCTGCGCATTGTAGGCTCGTCCCATGGCGTGTTACCGACGAGTAGGACGAACAGCACAACACCACAACTCCAGATATCGCATACATTTGCGTGGTAGCCAACATCCAGCATATCTGCTCTCTTGCTTCTCCTGCCGCTGACGATCTCAGGAGCAATGTACGGCGGTGAACCGCATACAGTGTTGCACAACCGCGCTTTGCCATCCTTCTTGAACAGAGCTGCAAGTCCAAAGTCACTGAGCTTAAGATCTCCCTCAGCGCTCAGCAGCACATTTTCAGGCTTGATGTCGCGGTGTGCAATCCCTTTCGAGTGCATGTACCCAACGGCGTTGATCAGCTGACAGAAATAGAAGTGTGCAATGTCTTCTCCTACGCCCTCATCGGCCTCGATCTTGTCGAACAGGTCACCGCCGTCTGCAAGCTCCATGGCTATCCATGTCCATAATGCGTCTTCTCCTGAGCCGAGGAGGTGTACAATGTTCTGGTGCTTGCCGAGGTGCTGATGCAAGACTATTTCCATCTTAATCTGCTTCGGCGAGAGGCGGCCCTGCTTGAATGCATGCTCTTTGTTGATGAACTTGATCGCGATGACGGGCTTCGGCTTGTCGTGGGGTACAGCTTTGCGTATGCTTTGAATATCTGTCAGTATGTCTTGTGAGATATGCTTAGGTCGAACCGACGAAGCATATGCGCCCTGCCCTATTGTTTTGCTGACGAGCCGGAAGGGTAGGTTCGAGGGTAGAGGAGCGACTTGGCTCTGCAATGGATGTTAGCTTTTTGCCATGACATCATCACAGTCGTCTCAATTTGCGGGGTGCTTTGACTTCGAACTTGCGGTGAACGAGTTTCGAATCGACGCGCTCGCAATGCGGGCCCAGTAAGCAAACAGAGGCTACTTACCCCAGGTGGAGGGCCCATTGTGGCTGGGTGTATACGAAGCGCAATCGACGATATACAAGACGTCGTGTAAAGCAAAAGCAAAAGGGGTATTATAGCAGGTAACGACGCCGCATTCGCGTCTGCCTGGTTGTTGAGTCCAACGCGCTGCCCCAAACAAAGGCAAAGCTCTGACTCAGGGCGCGCCTTATCGCGCTTTCTCTATCACGTAGTCACGTGGCTATCCTCACCCAAGTGATCGGTATAAACTCCGAAGCACATCATGTCAATCATTCTCGAATCTCCGAGCGGAAACCTTAACCCGATTTCCTTCGCTTCACCTTCTTACATTGCTTGTAGAATATCAAAAAAATATGTCACATCTGCTTTGAACCTTGCCGAAGATCGTACGATGTCTTGCACAAGTTCCCTTGACTCGGTCATGTAACCCTCTGTCCCCAATAATCATCTGCAGTCGCTCTGACCGTGAAACAAAGTTGATGTCGCTTACCTATTCGGCTTATTCGATGCGCCTGATGTTTTGCGCTTCCCGGAGCCCATTAGCATGCTGCAAGTTTGCGTAGTACAATGCCTGATCGGCTAGGTAGTACCGTAGCAGTACTTCCATTGCTGCGACATAACCACAAGGTGACATTCACAGACACGCCGAAAGATCCGTCGAGGCCTTCGTATGCGGAAGTTGGCTCAAGCAATATACCAGCAAGCAAGTACGGGTTTAATTCCAAATTGCAACCCCGCGTGCCGTCCTCCGCGAACTGTCGTGCATGAAATATACATCGGACCGCACATCCAGGGTAATCCGGAGACACGATTACGATCCAAACCTTCGGGACTTTCTGCCAACTGGCCCCTCCATGCTTCCCGCAAAGTCTAAGCCCACATTTAATCTTGCCAACTAGGTACAAAAAACAGCGCATGTGCATGTTTGCCACGAGTTGCGGACGGCGGCCAGCCATGCCGCATCGTCTGCAAGCTCTGTCTAAGAACCTTATCGCGTACTTGGCAGAGCCGCGGTGGGATTCGGTAAAAGATACTTGTGCACGGCGTTTTGGCAGCTCACACGTGTAGATCCTGTGACGTTTTCACATGGCTGCCTGGAAAGGGAGTCCTTGGTTATCTCCTCCGAAAAGGTCAGTTCAGCGAACGATCTTTAGCGGCGTTAACTGCTGACGGCCCACTTTGATCTCCAAGGGTACAAGGACCTCTTTACCAGGGCAGTCTAGATATGGAGTCGACGGGCGAAATGCGCCATGAACGGTGCAACAATCCAAAGCATACTGGACCCTCTGCCCAGACGTCGTGCCCTCATCATATTCAGCAGTAGCAAACTATTTGCGGACCCGAAGACACCGTTGGACGTTGGAAGGCTTGACAAACAACACCCGCCGGATTGTTTGGGCATCATGCCGCCCTACGCAACCCACCAAACAAAAAAGACTCGCTGAACGCAGGAACGGGTAGAACAACCTCAGTGTTTCCCCGCAATCTTAGAACAGTATTCTCGCGATCCTTCCGCGAACCGTAAAGTCTGTTTCGCATCGTCAAACCACCACGTTGCGCCTACCTCACGCCACCATCACGATTCTCAGCCTCACCTTCTGACCCCTGAAAACGATACCCAATCGCACACGTGTAGTCACATACTTCGACACAGAGAATTTTCTTCTCACATCGGAGCCATAATACCGACAATGTGCAATACGCGGGTCTACACTTGCCCGTTAGTCTCCGTGCCTATCTAGTGTTGCGGAGTGAACTCCTCCTGAACTACTCGCTCGCCCCGTCTCGCGAAGCGTCGGCAGGGCACTTTTGCACCAAGAAGTCTTGACAGTAGGTGCTGCTACCGGACTCAGCACCAATGACTATTCTGCCAGAGCTAGCAACGTAGCAGCGAGGACTACTCAGGTACGTGGTGTGGTCGGAGATGAGAGTCTTCCTGAGCGCAAGTGAGCACAATGCTGAGCCGGCCCGACTGGCGACTCACAGCGCGCTGCATGGCTGTTACCTGTTTTGACGCTGTCTCGAAGCTCACACGAAGGAATCAAGTCCGAGGTCCGACGTGTTCCGTGTAAGTTCGCAAGTCTGCGCGCTACGTCGGTCCTGCGACGGGCGCATCCATGGTGCACGCGTAGGTACTTCTTTTCTTGGGCACGGCACGGTGTTAATGGTGGGGGTAGTGTGAACTTTCGCATCGGGGGGATACCGTTTTGGATATAGATCGCGGAGAGACGCCGAACGACATCAGAAATTTCTGTGAGGTGCATGACTGTTGAATGAAGGAGCGGTTTTAAAAGGGCACTACAAGGTTGCCGACAATGCCGGTTTGACGCGTGGCCGCGGTCAATACGCAGTAAGGACATGGACTGCATTAAATGCAATTATATTGCGTCAGAGGTGGGTACGTCTGAGTAACGACTTGCAGATGGATGGAGGAATGTTGTCATGAATCTTTCTATTGAGCACTGAGGTACACTGACAGCTAGGTGCCGGGTGCCCTGTGATTAGGAAGTACAGCCGAGTGTACCGAATGTCATCTTTCCCTCGATTGGAAGAAAGTAGATCCTGTGCAATCGTCCTATACATCCACATGCCCTCGCGATGGGCCAAAGCCAAAGCGTAAGCGTGCTAGGTGTTTCCATTCTCGAAGTCGTAGAGTCCACCGCTGCCATCTATATGCCCCGTATGGGCCCAAAGTCATTTGACAAGACTCGAATGAGATATCCAGAAGGTGCTTTGCTTTCGCGTAGCCAACTTTAAAAATCTCCAAACTCAGAATAGCCAAAGTCCGCAAACTTGGCAGGTGTTGTTAAGAAAGGTCGTGCGAGCGTGGAAACCGGATAGTTAGGATGGCGGGTCAGAAAAACCTGCCGCAAATCCGGAGCCGAGGGAATTAGAAGAAACCAGTCGCCCGCCATATGCTGATGTTTTTGTCCGATCCGGAAACGCCAGAAGTCTATGAGAATGCACCGAGAAAGATGGGGAATAATGCATCGGTCCGAGGAACACGTCCAAGATGGTGAAGCAAATCGTCAGGTGATGAAGAAAATCGGTAGAGACGTCGCTGTCCTTCACCGAGAGCCGGCAGGGAGGGCAGCGTAGGACGAGGCAGCTGCGGCATCGAGACCGCGGAGCTGGGGAGCGTACTTGGGGTGCTTGACGAACTTGGGCACAGAGTCCTGCTCGGATGTCAGTGAAGGTCTAGAGAGCTCGTAGTGGATGGACTTACGCTAGACATGAGCTTGAAGATCGAGTTTTGCGCCTTGTCAAACAAAGTTGCAACCTCGTTGAGGCTCTGCAACATGGCAGCGTCGTCACCGACAGCACGCGTCATCCTAGTGGCAAGCTGTGTGCGCAGGCTGTGGTCGATATTGAGCTCGTTCGGTGACCCAGGTGCCAAGAAAGCGTTGTAGAGACCATAGGCAGCGGCAAGAGTCTCACGAATGGTCTCAACCTTATTGTCGCCCTTGTCGCTGATAGCAACACGGTACTGTCTGTGGAACTCCTGGACCTCAAGGTAGAAGGACAAGTTCTCCTCACACATGGTCTCCTTCAGAAACTCGCGGTAGAGAAGGCGCCATGACGGGTTGCGGATGATGACGTTAGTACGATTGCTGTTCGAGTCACGAGCCATACCATCACGGCTCTTTGCTGCAATGGCTTCTGCGCTTGAAGGGACTTCCTCGAGGCTCCATCCAGCGATGCGCTCGCCGTGTGGGGTAACGTAGTACTGAACCTGCTTCACAGGCTGGAAGGTGTGTTCAGGGATGCGAGCATCTACGGGGGCGATCAACTTGAGCTGCAAGAAGAGAGAACCTATCTCTATCGACTCGCGCGGATCAACCATTGTGGTGCAGTCCATTAGCCACTGGGCAGCGTTGCGGCCGTTGAAGGTGTACTCGTACTGACGGCTGGAGGTAGGTCGGTGCTTGACGAGCTTAACGCCAACGTCGCACTTTGAGAACTCGTGTATTGAATCAGAGTCAGACTGAATCTCATTTGCAGTAGTGCCAATGAAGCGGCGGAAGAGGATCTCGACTGTCTGTTCATCATGGTGCAGCTTGTCGTTCTCTGTGTTGCGCTCAAGGATAACTAGAAGGTGAGGGTTGCGATTGGACTCAATGACGGCCTTGACGTGGGCAGACTGGATTCCGTTGCGGGTGCAGAAGCGCTCCAGGATGTGAATGCCCTTGGGCGTCAATTGCCAGACGGAGCTCTTGTTTGTGAAGTCGGTCTTGCCTTCAACGGACTCGATGAACTTGGCTTCCAGGAACTTTTGGCAGACAGAACGGGCCATTTCTTTCGCCATGGAGAAGGTGGTGGTGGTGGTTGTGACGACACGCGATGAGTCCTTGGGGTCAGGCATGCGATTGGACTGGGAGAACTTGAGGGATCCGAGGTTGGTGATGGCCTCATCTGAGGTGAACGTGTAGTCGATCATCCGGAAGCGGACACGGTGGGGTGTGAGGGGGAGGGAGACCATGAGGGTAGCGAAGAGGTCCGTGAAGTCCTACCGTGACTGTCAGCAATAGCTCAATATAGTCAGCATGTGCAGCGAGATCAGCGTGGACGTCAGTAGCAGCGTGCTCGAGATCGTGGCTCCCACGTGGAAAGCCAAGCTAGTCAAAACGTGTTCGGCTGTGGTGGTGCAGCCAACACTCGAGTTTGTTGCCCCAACTACCAGCTCGTTTCGACATGACCAGCAGTGCGACGGGTGTAATTGCAGGCGAATGGCGTCCTGCGTACAGCTTTTGAAGACCTCGAGTGTCGCTAGACAATCCAGCCTGTTCTGCGCATTGACGTCTGTTTGGCGGCGCTGAAAGGCGTAGGAGACACTGGAGCACTCACCCTCGTATACGGCCGCTCATCGTCGGTCATACGCAGCAGTCTCGAGCTGGTCTGATGCATCTTGCCGGCGTGCGCTGCCTGCGGCAGACTTGCTGGTCCTGATGTGTTTCCTGGCTCTTCTCCACTGCCGGAGCGGACGCTGGCAGGGGCAGACGGCTCGCGTGCGCTCGAGAGATCAGAGGCGGGCGGTTCGGTGCGGCCACGCGCAAACGAGGTCCTGGAGGCCTTGGGGGCACCTGTCGAGAAGAAAGGAGAGTCGGCGCGGGAAGGCGGGGCGGCGGCCGAAATGCTACTGCCTCTGAAGTGGCCGGAGGTGGCCCTGGTGAGCTCGCGGCTGCCTTTTCGCAGAAGCGGAAAGCGGGTGAAGGTGAGTCGCCGGCTGGAGCTGCGGGCGGCAGGCGGAGCGGTCGAGGCGGGCCTGGTGGTTGCGGAGGCCTCAGATACAGCAGATAGGGCTTCAAGGTCAAATCGCAGCTGGAGCTCGTCGCTGTCACGGCCGGGGTCTAGCTGCTCGCCAGTGTGGGAGGAACTAGAGGAAGAAAGCGAGGCGGCAGAGACAGTCAGCGGCAGAAATGGAGTCGTCAAGGGCATTGCCGTTAGAGGCAGGATGGTCGCGGAGAGTCGTCGCAGTCTGACGAAGGGCGAGAGAGTGGGTACTCTAGCAAGGATTGGCCGCGCGACAGTCCTGGGGGGTCCGTGACCACAGTGTCTGCGTCTGCCACACCGCCCTCGTAAGACATCTTAGAAGGCGCCCGCCGGCCGTGGGCTAAAGCGCACGCAGTCCTGACAAAGGCACACGCCCGCTAGACCGCAGCGGCGCCCTAGTGCCAGCGCGAGACACATGGCGGCATGCACGCACACGCCCGTGGGAATAAGAACGACTTGGCTATGGCGGCGCCCACGAGGCATCCCTGGCAGCGTGCAGCGTGCACAGGGCGGAGTGCAGCCAGTCCAGCCGCCCCCTGTCTGGTCGTGAGACGTGTGGGTCGTGTGCCGAGCGTGCTAGTACCGCCGACAGCGTACACAGGGGATGCATGACTCGCGAGCTGGAGGGGCCGTGGAATGGTACGAAGTACATGGTGGCCGGTGCAGCAGCTTTCTGTGTCTACGGAGCGTGCAGGGCGAGACAGCAGAATCAGCGATGCATGTCGATATCGTGGTGATGCGGCACGTCTCACTCTGCAGCCAGCCAGAAGAATGCGTGGGCCAGAGGCATGACGCCGCCGGCAGACCCGTCCGAGACATGCCATGGTACCAAGCGCGTACGTCGCCGCCACAGCAGTAGCAGCAGCATCGTGTGCATCAGTCTGTCTCGTAACGCAGCAGGAGCCACCCCGCTGCAAAGACAAAGGTCTCAAAGAGGACCACGGTGAGGGGTTTGCACGACTTCTTTGTCACGGCCGCATTCATCTGCGTGTAATAATGGTACGGCCACTGGAATGTGTCTTTGATATTGCAAGACGTTTCCTCGCCCAACACGCAGACAGCTGTCCTTTCTGCACCCGCTGTCCAGAGCGGTCGTCTGTGCAACCGCTCATCTCAAAGCAGCCAGCGGGCTCGCACAGCAGCCTCTCCAGCCTCTCAAACACCAGCAACAACCAGGTTTCGACTGCTGCAGCGCCGTTTTCTCAACTCTGGACACGACCCGTTTTGGCGTAACGTCCTTGTGGCGACCCATTCCAGGCATGCAGTCAGCATTGTACAAGAACAGCCACCTGCCAATCGCAACGCTCCCACCCTGTGGAACGCACTCACGACTCTGAGAGGCGCGGAGGTTTGCGCTGGTGCCGCAGAAAACGTGGACGGCACGTTGCACCCTTGCATCAGACACAAGCCTGGTCGTCATCGGTCGTCAGCAAAGCTGCTCATTCCTTTTCGCAGGAGACCTGAGATCGTCGACGGGAGTGCTTGTCTACACAGTACAACGCTTGCAGCATCCATCATAACATTCCATATCGACGCTTGCACTGGCTGCACTTGGCAGGTACAGCATTTGCAAGTGGATTCCTGACTCTGCAAGACGTGGGGCCTTCTCTGTGGAGAGCAGAATGTTTATCTCTGCTAGAGCCTGAGCCCGCGCTTTCCACATGTGCAACCCCACCACAACACGAGTACAAGGGGTCGTCCTGAAAAGACTGGAATACGAGGGGTCCCACATGTTTGTTCTTACAGTACTTACAGTAAATAACGATATCTATACACAAAACGACTGGTCCCGGGGCGCGGCAGTGGCAACTCGAATTCCAATCCGTTCAGGGCAACCCCTTGTACGCTATGAGGCACTGCATGCGAGACATCTTGACCAAGCAAGTCCTTGGCTGGTGGCCCGCAACGCTAAATCCGCCCAACTGGACCCCTTGAAGGCTTCGCTTGCTCATTGTGGCTGGTTTCAGCACCCTCCGCGGAGGCCGGGTATCGCACGAATCAGCACTTTCGGAGGTGCGGTGACAGCTGCCAAGGGCGATAACAATTGTTGTAACGATCAGCGTCCAGCAATCCCATGCTTTCCAGGAGGGCAAACGTCAAAGAGCACCCTGGCCGCGGAGGTCGACAAGTCTCACTGCAGACCGGACTGGATTCCGCTGTCTGTAGACTGGCGTTTGGCGACGTGCTCAAAGTCTCCGAGCAGTTGATGACACGTGCGATGGCTTCAAGAAAGCGACATGCTTGTGTTCCAGAGCACGGCAGCATTTTCGCTATTCTCCCGGGGGGCTTTGACTTCGGCCTATTTTTACGTGGTCGATGGTGAAGAAACTTGTAAAGCCACTGTTATCGTGCCAGTTGGTATCTCGAAGCCCAACGGATTAATGTATGCCATGCCCTACCGTCCGTTCCCGTCGTCGAACGTCTTTTCAGAAGATCATCGTCGCGGAAGTTGCGGACAGCTATACCCACCAGCGGGCAGCGGGCAAAACTGCCAAATTGACGTTCGCTAAGACAGCCGGATTGGGTAGTGAAGTCTGTCAGACGCTGGTAAGAGCGCCTGATCATCGACTTGTGCCTCCCGGAATACCAGAATGTTCGAGCGACGCCAAACAGCTTCGTTGCAGCGACTCTTGTAGCCGATACCAAATGCCGCTCGGCAATTAATGAGACCACGATATGGCCGACGACCAAGTTGATTTTTTCACGCTCTGGGAGTGCGTCAATGCGAGAACATCATCAGGTCATTTCGTTGTCACAGCCCTATCAAAGACGTCGGGGCGAGGATCACCCGTCTTTGCGGCAGAAAACCCGCAGCCTGACACGTCGAGTCATGGGCAGAACCCCGAAGGCGCCAGGGGTACCAACACGTGGCAAGTGATTCCTTCTGTCTGGCGGGCCGCTTTGCCCTGGCGTGAACGATGGTGCTCCAGTTGTGCAACCTACGATGTCTCCCTGCCTGTCGTTTAGAGGAGGCTGACATGAACGATACAGTCTCGCCACGCCTACGACTGGGCACAGAAGAGCGCTACTGCAGGCCGTCGCATGGTTGACAGCGCTGCTTATGTTGACCCGAGGATGTTGGGGTTATTCATTATGACGCTCATCGACGTGGCTTCGAAACTCCTGCACGCCTCTTCATTTGCCGCTCGTTTCAACAAGGGCTGTGCGCATGGCGCCGAAATTGTGCGTGTCCCTCACAGACTCGGGAATCCTTTCGCTCCCACCAATATTGCCGCCTGTCATGATTATCTTCAGGTCGCGTGCTGGGTGGGGCAGCATTCGAGCACAGAGAGCTTTCTCGAGTCAGGAATGTCGGTGAGACTTTTCTTGCTCACGATGGTCGACCCAGAAGAGATAGGATAGCTATCATGGCCCTTGACTGGTCACGAGAGGGCGGAATCCTTCGAAGTGGAACCCATCTGCATCTGCGAGACCCTTTGTGCTGTGCAATGTCCTGACCAGGCTATTAAGGCGGGCAGCCGGAGATGCATAGTTGCGGTTAGTGGTACACGAGGCGGCTATCGTCAATCACAGCAGCCCAGGCAAACATCGGCCCTGTGTTCTCGAACCTGTTGGCTGGAAGAGGCTTAAGGATCGGGAGGTCGCACACCAGTTGTCGCAGCCACGATGTGGCCGCCAGTTGGACCTGATTCCAACGACAGGTAGCGCGGGCGTCGTTCATGCCTTGCAAGAGGCAGGAATGTTTTATCGACTGACTCAGCGCCATAGATACGAGGCTCATACGAGCCACACCTTGTTCTCGATCCATCACCGTGTCGAGCTATATGGAAACCCCTCCGCGAAAATTACGTTGAGATATTTTGTCTTGATGATATTGTGTAACAAGAGCTAGGAATCCAGAAGCAGGCATGCATGCTCTAATGCTGTGGACAGCTCTAGGCGGGGGTCGCGTAACGAGGGCGCGGAGGACGTCGGCCTGACTTGGAGGGAGATGTTGGTCACCTGCAAGACTTACATTGGGCGAGCTGCCCTGGTTTCCGCAATGTTGCAGCTTACCTGCCTGATGGAGAAGCCTGTGTGAAGGCCCTCGGATTCCCACATTTACTGTTGGTCTCGATCTGCGCTTTTGCTGGAGGCCTCCACGGCAGCTCATCGTCGGAGTGGGGTTCACAGCTGCGCCGCGGAGGCGCTCACTGAATCTTCAGGAGCTACCCGCCGTGCTCGAGATCAAGCCTGGTGCTCACAGTGTTTCTCTGTAGCACTACTCTTTTCTGGCGGCGGAGCGAGTAGCGTTTTGGTTCGGGGAGCTCTGGTACCTAAAAGCTGCTGCAGGCCGGGAAAATGAAGGTAGAAGAGGGTCAGTAAGCACTTACAGTATCTATATTGGATAATATCCAGGAAGTACGCCCTCCGCGCTTGGTCACCTCGGAGCTGCTCCAGCTCGAACGCGTCAGCGAGAAAGCGCTGCTCCTGTTGCTCGGCTACTCAGCGGCGGGCGACACCAGCATAGTGGTGGTGGGTGGCGATGATACCACCGAGCAGCAGGATTGTGGCAGAAGCACTGAAGGTCCAGAGTAGGGCGTGCATTGGCGGTTGGTGGTGGTGGTGGAGTTGACGGTGGGGTCAAGGGCGTAGTGTTGTTGTGGAGGAGAAACTTTCCCTCTGCAACTCCACCACGGAATCAACACACCCCCTTCAGGAGCACTAACACTACCTGGAGCTCAAGGTTATCGTGACAGCTACCTCTGTAAGAAATATCATGGTCTACCAGCCCTCGGCAGGTGGGTGCACTGGACTATCGTTCTGAATTCACTCGGTGCAGAATCGCTGGTCTCTCCCCGCAGATGACCTCTAGCAATGAAAGGCATTGTCTCTGGTAGGCAACAATAAGATCTGCATAGCGTGCAAATTCTTCGAACACGGTGACTTAGTCACTACCCGGAGGTCGTCAGAGCTGCAGTAATGCGTACAGTGCGGCCGCGCAGCTTCGAGATTGGCATTGTGCAGGCAGGGTATTTACACCAGGAAGAAAGTAGGCGTGAGTATCTACAGTGGGAAACATCACTTGCTAGATCGACTGCCGCAGCCTTCACGTGTTCCCTGCAGCTGCTCGCTATGCTGCCCACTCCTCTGTCCACGTGCAACAATTTCTGGACAAGAAGGCCTGCGGCTTCGAGGCAGTCGAAATACCATCGTTCAAGAAGGCGGCGCGATCGAGATGCTCCAGGCCAGAGGCCACAGACGAGACTGACGCTGAAGATGACGAAGCCAGCATTCCACGTGGCAACGAAGGCCAATGTCGAGGATTGTCCACTTGACTCCTTCGGTACGACACACCTGCTCAAAGCCATCCGCAACGCCTTCTATATTCGACGAGCTCACGGCCATCGGCCTCGCCTTCATCACCGCTACTGCAACATCACCTCGTCACCGATCGTACAAGGATTTGCACCGCTTGTTCGTCCACATACTCGTCCTCGTCCGCTTCGCCTCCGCTAAGCACCTCTGACCAACTTCCACTTGCGATCAAGCAATTCCAATCGCCGCTACCCCGGGTACGGATACAGTGTCTCCCGGAGATGCGGCGCAGTCACGGGATACGAGCCTCTTACTCAACACTAGAACAACCACGCGCGCCACCACGCGCCGCATCGCTCCGCTCGTGATCCGCAACGTGGTCCGCGGCGTGGCTCGAAAACAAGCTCGACACGGTGATATGCATCCGATCAATAGGATGCTGGGATATGGTGCTGTTCCGGGGCCGTGGTTTGTACGGGGGAGCTGAGTCATGAGGGAACGGCTGCGCGCTCGCGTAGTGTGGCACAGTGGCCATGAAGACAGAGATGTACCGCTTCGATGCTGGGGTTACATGTGTTCTGACGATTGCCACGTGCTATGTCGGGCGGCGCGGCAGCGAGCGTGGAGAGACGTGGTGGGCTGTAACATGCGCTGCATTGAGACTGGCTTCCACATAAGAAGCATCCTGCGCAAGGCTCATTGTTTTCACCGCAGCACAGAGCATGCGCAGTGCTGAGATGAACACCGAGGACACCGAAGACATCTAGGATACCGAGGACATCCGTGAGGGACAATACCATACCAGATGCTGCTCGACCACAACTGCCGAACAATCCGCTCAAAAGCTCCGCTCAAGCTTCACTTCTTTAATAGGGGAGGATGTACTGGCCCTTTGATGGCAGACATAACTGCTCACAGTTTTTGGAGTATCGAGACAATCATATGTCGTCGATATCCTCCTGGAAACCATCTGCGACTCATAAAGGGTTACGAAGACTAGCGTCATCTCTGGAGTGTTACAAGCTTTCTCTGTAACAAGAAGGACCGATGAGTCCACCCGATTTGTGATGTGTTTAGCACTGATTGGATTTCTCATCTTTGGAGCGAATCACCCCTCTACTTCAAGGCTGGGGTATCTCCATAGCATTGCGCCAAGGCCCGAGCAGAATAGCGGTCGCCGGCGACATCTGCCTCCTCACATGCCTTTCTGATCTGCTGCTCCTCCTCCTGACTCAGCTTCACGTCCAGAGAGCCTAGGTTCTCCTTGAGCCTATCCACCTTGGTGGTACCAGGGATGGGAAAGACATCTTCGCCTTGTTTCAACAGCCATGCAAGCGTCAACTGACTGGCCTCAACATTCTTCTTCTTCGCCAGGTCGATGATTTGATCGACTAGCTTGAGGTTCTTAGGGAAGTTCTCAGGGCTGAAGCGAGGTAATTGACTGCGGTAGTCTTCGCTCGCAAAGTCATCAGCAGATTTCAGAGCGCCGCCGAGGATGCCACGGCAGAGTGGTGAGTAGGCGACAACTGCAACACCAAGCTCTCGACATGTAGCAAGAAGGTCGATTTCCTTGCTCTCGATCTCGAGAGCGAAGGGCGAGTACTCCACTTGTACGGCGGTGATAGGGTGGACGGCGTGTGCGCGGCGGAGAGTGTCTGACGAAATCTCTGAAAGTCCCAAGTATCTGATCTTGCCCTCTTTCTTCAGCTCAGCCATGGCTTCGACAGTCTTCTCAATAGGGGTCCTGCCATCGACACGGTGGCAGTAGTACAGATCGATCTGTGATAAGCCGAGGCGCTCAAGACTGGCGTTGCAGGCCTTCTTAGCATACTCCGGTGAGCTATCGACCTGGAACGTCTTCGGGTCGATGGCGAACTTTGTGGCAAGGAAGATATTGTTGCGCTTGTCCTTGTTTGCAGCGAACCACTTGCCCAGAAGGACCTCGCTGTCACCGTAGCTGCACGCGATTAGCCTGGAGTAGATTTTTGGATGTCGTACTGCTGACATATCGGAAGAATCCCAGAAGCGCTCTCCTAGCTTGTGTGCTTGTGTGAGAATGTCGAGGCGCTCATCGTCGGGCCTTGGCTTGCCGTAGAACGAGGACAGTCCCATGAGGCCGAAGCCCAGACGGTTGACCTGGGGACCATCGCGGCCCAGTTGTGCTGTTGGAAGAGACATTGGATCTATTACGTGGTGTGAAAGCGGGCCGAAGTTGGGTAGATGGAATGGTAGACTGAGTTGCACCAAGTTCGAAGCAGGGTGGAGGCAATATATAGTCAATATGAAGGAGCTACAGGTTCGGACTTAGCATTATTGGAAGGAGCTTCAGTGTACCTAAGTAACTTCTTTAAGATCCAGTCGAGGCCAATCGTCCGTTTGGTCATTGCTTCCCGACACAGGCCCGCCTCCCACCCCGCCTTCATCGTGACGTCGGCCGAGCGCTAGCGGACTTAATCGTAACTCCGTCGTGTTTAGCACGACTTCACACGCTCCAGACGTGAAAGCTAATTGTTGAAGGATGATTCATCGGTGTCGCAGTATATGGGACTGTAGTGAAATTATCGGAGGAATTTGGATACGATGAATGCTTATCTCACGTGGTCTGGCGATAACCGACCTTCTCAAAGCTTACCGGTACTCTATCAACGCACTAGGAAAGCCTAATGAAGCCATCGGCATCGCTCCCGGGCCAACAACCATACCTCGACATATGCAAAGAAGCACAAGCATGTCTATAGAGATCAGCGATATAAAGCTGTCCAAGCTGAAGCCCCTCGAGCACCAACATTTTGAGCCGCCCACACAATTTCGCAGCCGCTTCGACGTTGACCACCACGATGAGAAGATACACGTTCTACTATGCGCAACGGGATCTGTTGCAACGATCAAGATACCGAATATGATCAATGCGCTCGCAAAGCACCCAAATGTCGCGATTCGACTCATCTTCACGACTTCGGCAAAGAACTTCCTGCAAGGGCAGAGCGACGAACAACCATCACTCATGTCGATAGAGGCACTTCCAAACGTTGAGGGCATTTACTTTGACGAGGACGAATGGAAGGAGCCTTGGAAGCGTGGCAACAAGATCTTGCACATAGAGCTGCGTCGATGGGCAGACATCATGGTCATTGCTCCTCTGAGCGCAAATGAGATGGCGAAGATCACACAGGGCTATTCAGACAACCTGTTGTTGTCTGTAGTGCGTGCATGGGACACTACAGGTCTGATTGACCCGCTCAGAGAGATACCGGGTGTGACGTGGCCTGCTGAAGACAGCTGGAAGGACGGGCCGAAGAAGAAGAGAATCCTCGTTGCACCGTCTATGAATACAGCTATGTGGCTGCAGCCGATCACAGGGAAGCAGATTCAGATGCTCGAAAATGAGTGGGGTGTCAAGAATGGAGGCTGGTACGAGGTTTTGCAGCCCATGATGAAAGAGCTGGCTTGTGGAGACATTGGCGGCGGCGCCATGAAAGATTGGAGGGAGATTGTAGGGATAATTGAAGCGAGACTGGGTCTGACGGCTGGTGAGCACTGAAGCATGTTTTGGTGTCCAGCCGAACATGCCCGCATGATGGCCTTCGAGGACTGTTCGACCACTGAAGCTCATCAAGCATGGGCAAGCGAGCAGTGACTTGGAGCATCTGACATCCGTGATATTGTAACAATGGTCCGAGATGAGAATTCTCGCTGTGTAACAGCACGGTGTGTGTATGAGTATGGCTTGTGCACCCAGCATTACTGCGACGTCCAAAAGCGCGAAGATCAGTGCCGACGAATCTCCGATGCATTACACAAATTTCGTCGTTATAAGAACTGCACATTCCTTGCATCCATGTTCATGTTTAACAAGACAGTCCTCTGGACTGTCCGAGACTTCGGTGACCGTCAGAATGTTTGGTACGCAACTTCCAGGCTTCCGTTCTATTAGCTGTAATTCTTGCAGAGCAAAAGTGCAGAAGTAACAACGTGCAATAGACCCTGATCGAAGGCATCATGGCTACTTATAGTGGTCGCGGAAGTATTCTGCATCGTAGACGTTACATACCTCGACCTTCAGCCAGTTATGTGGCCAATCGGATCATAGCTTTCAAGCTGTGTACCAGAGTCGCGGGATCCGTAGGTCTTGTGAGTCATTATATCTCAATTTAGTCACGACATCGTTGGGACTAGCATTAGTCGTGCGTGAGACAAGTCTATTGGTACATTACAATCTTTTATCTGTGCCGGCACGTAAACGAACCAATCTGTATTAAAGACTTAGCAACGGAGTTCTACTTAAACTGGTGACACCTACATACCTTTGTCAATGCCTAAGATATAGGAAGGCAATTTACGTTTTTATGTCGAGAAAACCGCCACTCCTCCTTGTGAGAAGTAGCGCGCTGCATGTCATTACTTGATATTGTTAGTAGCTCTCGATTACTCGCTTCTCCTCGCCGCACATAAGAAGAGGTACTGCGAGACTCACACCCGCACTCCTAGAGTCTAAACCCTGTGTTTGTTTGCTGTTTTGACCTAAAGACCCGCAAGATCATATGGATAATTTGTAGAATATTGTGCAAATATATAAACGAAAGCTAACATGATGCTGGAGATAGGAAGCGACATTGGGGCATGATCAGTCATGTTAAATGGCTGGAGTAGAAAGGGCCGGCTCGAGTAAGCTTGAGCAAACAGTTTAGGGTCTCTCAAGAACATTTTCAGGGCACATTGTACATTCGCAGATACATATACCTTTGAATGGGCTGAGACGCGGAGTTTGCGTAAGTACCCCCTTCCAAGTTGTTTAATGTTATTGCTCGACACTAAAGATATCATGGGGTCTAGTAGATTAACGCGGGCTAAGAGTTACAGTGATGAAGCAAGTACATAAATCCGAAAAACCGGGCTCCTACTCAATGCGAGAACGTTTTACATACACTAGCAAATTTTGCAACCTTGAAATAGTCACGAATAATGGAATCCGTGTGAAAACCTTGCGGTCGAATCAATGTCAAAGAGAGTGGCGTTATTTGAAGTGATCAATCTTTATTCTAGGCACTAGGTCACAGCTGGAGCAAAGATTCAGGTCGCTATCCCATACTGAGATAACATACATGCGCGGTTTTAGCATGATCGCAGGCTCGAAATGGCCTTTCTAATTCTGCGTTGTAGTGACTATGTTGAAACTATTTTGCCTCCACTGAAGATTCAGATGCGGAGCTTCTTCACAAAGAGCTTGCAACCTTAGAAGAGTAAAAGACCCTCTTGCAAATTGCCAACTCCTACGGTGAGAGAGTACTCGAACATCGCTCATCTACACTGGGCGGTTCGACATTTGTAGCTGCTATGTCTAGCATGTTCCATAGTAAAATGTCTTCCATTCGGATGGCTTGGAGTAACTAGCGACCTCGACATGAAGCGAGACGTGCTTGTGGCAGGTTGTAGTGCTACGTTTGATCGTGGAAGGCCGAACGCCACGCAGAAAAGACGTCGGCGCAGAGCCGCATTCGAGAAGGCGGGTCGCCTTATAGCAGGATGGACAATCATACTGAATGCAAATAGAGACTCCATAAGCCAGGCTGTCCGCATTGTCGAGTTTTTCACGGGCGCAAAAATGATGTTATCTCCCCCGGAAAGGCTCGAACTTTCAACCTCCTGATGTGCAATCAAGCGAGATGTGGATAACAGTCAGACGCGCTAGCCAATTGCGCCACGGAGGAAAATCAGCTTGAACAGGGCCGATGTGGGCAGTTGCGACACCGTTTGGTGGTTCGATGGCGATTCACACGGAGCATAATAATATATTGTAATTCAAAACTGCGGATCAGCAGAGTACTGGATCGCGGTGCGCCTTGCAGACCCTCTGCTGGGTTGTCCCGTTCATTGAGAGTTTGAGAGCGGGGCTGGCGAGGTTGACCGAGGTTCGAACAATACGAAGTACAGTGGGCTTTCGTGGCAGAAACGAGTCTTCACGCCGACTAGGATCACCACGGGCATCCACGCGCATACCTCCGGTGTACTTTAAGATGGTCGATGAATTGAGAGTCTCAATTTCGATACTGACTTTTCGCATGCTAATGTGGGCGCCTGAGCGCTTTTGTGGACCTATTTGGGGACGGTCGAAGTGGCGCAAAGCAGGAAATATTTGGTATATCTCGAATAACGTCACTAGGTTGAAACAATATTGATTAGTGTACGTCCTTTTTACGTACAAGTCTGCGTAGTCACTGTACCGTCGTGCCTGCAGGGAGTCGTAGCACTTCTGGCAATCGATGCTTACTGTTGCTGGTGCTGGCACTGCTCTGCCTCAACTCTCGCATCATGACTCCGTTCCTGCGCGGTAGTGACAATGCAATGGGAGCGCGTGCAATCTCACTGAATCTACCAAATTCCTTATTCGGGGCGTTGAATGGTCCGGAGGGAGTGGAAAACGATCATTGGTGCGATGGGCTCGGATAGTCTAGTCTACGTATAACTTTCAAATACAGATGTATGGTGCAGATGCGGAAAGCAGTGATCAGGATACCTTTACATGCGTGACCCACGGACAGAGATCAGTGGGATGCCTCGTCTGTCATCGTCCTGGTCTGTCTCGAGCTCCGATGCCATCAATTCTTGTCCTTCCTCCTGATCACTGCGTCCTCTGTCCGCTATAGAATTCTTGGGCGCCTTCTTGTGCATAGCAACATACATTGCTGAGCCCAGAATCAGTGATGAGCCGATAATGGATAGTGTCCCGGGAGTGGTGCCCCAGATCAGTTTGTCGAAACTCAGTGCAAAAAGCATCTGCACATACACCATGTTCGTCGCGCGTGAAGACTTTTCGTACTGTAGACCAGCAGCAAGAAGGAATTGCTGCTTCTCATCAGCAAAGGGATAGAACACCCTCAAGCGGATGCACTCACCATAACAAATCCACAGATGCCGAGGAAAGCCAAGTAGCACCAATCTTTGAGCGATCGTGGAAGCAAGAATCCAACACCAGGTAGAGCCAACATCATAAAGATGCTCACGATCGTACACCATGTCGCAAAATAATTGACAGAAATCAGCGGATGGGCGCGCTTGCCGATCCATCGAATCATAGTGTAAGCACCAGCAGCCCCCAGTACTCCCAACAAAGCCACCCCGACAGCCGACGCTCGTTGTGCAGGTGTAACCTTATCAAATTCGGCACCCAAACGATGGGCGTCAGCCGTAGCATTGGACGGAACAAGAATGTCCGAATCTCCAGTGGCAGGCGGGATAGACTCGGTGAGATGCGAGAGGAACGCAAATAGCGATACAGGCCTTGCAATGAGAATCACGCCGAATAGCGAAACGTAAGCTGCAATTTGCTCCATACGGGTAAAGGGCTCGTTGATTAGGTAGGAGCAAGCCCAGCATGCAAGGCTGGGCGCCAGGAAGGTGATGACAGTGGCATCAGCGAGTGGCAGATAAAGTAGTGAGTCTGACAAACGTCAGCGATCAGGCCTCGAGGGTGGCTCAGGTGGTAAAGTGTGGTGATGTACTGACTGCGTGACCGCAACAAATCCCGACACGTGCAAACAGAAGAACCAGTGGAGTCCCAATAACGCAAGGTTGTAACTTACAGTACATGCCAAAGACTCCAAAGAAACCGAACAATCCTCGGGCGATTAGCAAAGGCCGAACCTCTCTCATGCCAAAAGGAAAGTGTTCAGTCTTTCTATACCACATGTACACCGATGCACACAGCACTGTGATGCCCATACGAGCAAACAGGATATGGAACGGGTGATAGCCCTTGCCTGTGCAAGATGATTAGTCCATCGTCAAGACTGATTACTTCATGCTCCTACCATCATTACCCTCCATTTCAAGCAGTCTGGTCGTGATATTCATCAGTGTGCCAAAGAATTGCGACACTAGCACTAAGAACAGGCCTTTGTTATTATACCATATTGCTTGTAGCTTTCCCTTTACAGTCCGCGGGGGCGCTGGAGACCGAGAAGCATGTCTATGGCCAGTTGGATCGGGAATATAGTCAGGGTTGTGGCCATAACGTGTATTGTTGCTGCCTTCTATGGATAAAAGTGATGGATCCGGGGAAGGCGATCGGATAGACCCACGTCTAACGCTTAGAGATCCTTCCAGCTTATTACCGTTGGGTTTACCAGCAGCTTCAGCCTCATACACCGCAAACTCTTTGCTCGCAGCGTACTTGCTATCGTCTTCGAAGTCCTTTGGGTTCGGCCGCGCACTCATCGCGCTTCATTCCACGGTCCTGGAGGGGTTTATAGAGTGGTGACGACGTTGTGATGCCATAATAGAGGGCTCAGTTAGCCAAGGGCGCGTTACGGCAATGAGGAAGGTGCGACTGGCTTCAGCGAGTAACATGGCATCGGACAGCCCCCACCACCCCGCGTTCTCCTCACTCCTCACATTCCAACGACCCACCGAGGAACCGTTAGCAATAGCGAGACCATGTTACATCCAGATTTGCGAAATTGGGGTTCACTTCTAACACATGTGAGTATGGTGTTGGAGTTGAAGTGGTCGAACGTGGACGAAGACTCTTCGACGGTAACCCCGCATTCTTCACCGGAAAGGCGATTCAGATGTAGCCATATGGGAGTTCCGAGAACCAGGGTCTGCTTTACCATCTTTTCTAATGCCAGAGTCGGAATACGTCTTTCTCACGTTACCGCGTCGCTGATGATATCAGAAAGGTACGCGTAAGGACACCATAACTTTACACATACGCTACTCTCGTCTGGTAGTTGGAAGGTCCACCGGCTCTATCAACAGAGTGCAGTCAATTCTGGACACGCGGCAGGGCTCTGCACCGGCAAGAGCCATGTGGAAACAATGTTGACTATGCAAACCATCTGCATTCATCTCATAGCTACTAGCTCCATCTAGGCCGCCGCTTCCATGTCCAGGGTGTTCAGCTCACGGGATGTATGTGCTGTCGTACATAGTACTCGTGGGCCCCGCATCACTTTCGACGAGCGCTTCACTCGGCCCACCTTCTTACCCCCGACGGTCTTGGAGTCTACCTGCATGAGCTCACCGATCACGAGAGTCAGAATATGTTAAGTTTCGTAAAGACAAATTGAGGCCACAATCTTGACGGATCGGCTCCTTGCCATGCATCCGACTGTGGCTGCTTGCTATAGTTAGGGCTGCTTGCAGTAGCAGAGGATCAGAGGATCCGGTCTCGGTGATGGCGCCAGCAGCATCGCATGATGCTTGGAGTCGAGAGCCAGAACGCGCAATCTTGGCACATGTATCACGCCAATAGTATGGATAGCCACACTTCCCGTCCTAAAGGGCAGCAAATACTGGTAAGAAACCAGTCACTATCGTCCCACTAGTCGGAAAGGACTCCCATCAACAGCCTATCACAAGTCACATTCATGCCCTTGCCGCCACATCCTGCCGCGAAAAGCTCACTCATCGGAACATGACCCATGCTCAGACATGTGAGTGGAGTTTGAAACACGGCGGAGAACCTTGAGTTGTAACTCTGCAAGTGCGGCAAGCGCTGTGGACACTGATAGCGAAGGCGTGACTCGTGGGCAGGCACCGACTCTGTTGCCCTAGAACGATATTTTGTGTCCACGGTGCCCAACGTCTCAGCGGGAGCGTGGCTTGCCGTCGTCGAAAAGCTCCTCACCCAACCTGCAGGTCCGATCGGAAATTTGCAGCCGACCCGATTCGCTGGACTCTTCTTCACAAGGTTGAACTGACTCCGTGTTTTGCCTGGCGACTCAGGCTCCGCGTTCGACATATGGATACTTCTAACTCGCGACATACAAGCAATGATGCAACTCGAATGTGACAGAATATTGCACAGAAGTTCTGTTATTAAAGGTACAAAGCCAAATGGAGTTATGCGCATTGCGTGTATCAGCCTTACATCTGGTCGCTGCGAGTCATGGTCATCATTCGCCTAACTCAGCTTGCACATGCTGGTCATCGAGAGGCGGGGGAGACAAGCACAGACGGCCTGTTTAGGGCCTGTCTGCTGATGCCATGCGCGAAGAAAATGCTTGAGAATACTGACGTTGTGGCGCTTGCAAGAGCGACGTCTCTTCATTCTCTCAATACCACGGGTCCTTCCATGCAAATGCAGACTGTGACATCTGACAGCTTGGGGTTACAAGGCTTCCCTTTCCAATCAAGACGGCACGCTACATAGTCCGTACATGGCGAGTGTTGTGCGAGTGCGAGTGCGGAAAGCTGTTCGCGAAGTCACCGATTGATCAGCGAATGCCATTACCTATTGACGTTCATTGAGCAAAGGGCAGAACCTGGGCTTTTCTCCGCTCCATCTTTCCAGGGTGCAGGAAGCCGCTATTCCCTGCCCGTTGCGCTGATCTCCTGCAGCTGGCCAGCGTGAGACTCGTTACGATGCCCCCTGTCCTACACCTTGCAATCCATATGCACTGTCTAGACCACAAGCGCGCGTGATCACCTGGCTGGATGCATACTTCCTGCATCATGTATCACAACGCAGGTTGCGAAACCTTCGACATCCTTTTGTGCCCAACGACTCAGGTTCAACCGTTCGAAGATTTGGTAAAGGCGGCAGAGCGTTGATCAGACCGTCCGCACTCGTCGATCATCATGTAGTTCTCTCGGAGTGCCCGATGCCAGAATTTTAGCAGAAGCCGGAACTGTAACCTACCATGGCCAATCTAGCAGTACATGTTGTCGATCTTTGAGAAAGCGTTCGAGCCTTGTAGACGTCAAATATCAGCCTAGCACATTACATCAGCAGACCAAGCCCCGGATATAGCTTGTGGACTACACTCCAGTCGTGCTATATCATATGGTGAATCCCCGTACCCGGTCCTCCCACCACACTAGTGACGATAGCTCATGTGGGGAACACCACATCCACATTCTCAAACATGAGGCTTAAGTCGAAGCCCACCATGTGGAACATACACGCGGCGTGAAGATCCTTGAAAGAGTTCTCGCTGTAAACCCTGAAAGAGTCTACAGAAACGGACGCGGATAGACGATCCCTGAAGAAGGATGCGGACAGCGATACTTCCAAAGTAGATGTATTTGACGATAGGGGAAGCTATGCCGTAATCCACCGACACCGAGTGCTATGGCTTACTATTTGACATAGTGCTGTGTACCAAGAAGTGCAGACTGCACGGTCTAGGACACGACACGCTGCAATGCTTATGAAGAAGACATGATCCTTCATACTGGGCAGCCGAGAGAACCTGCGCAATTTCTTCGTTGAGCAGCAGGATGGTCAGTGCAGCGCCAATATGACTTTGGAAATAACAGCCCATGCGAGGAATTTTCTTACGACTGGTCTATGTAGGCCCATGTTGCGTTTTTGTCAAAGGTTTCACGGCATAGGCAAAATTCCCTTCCCTGATGCTGTGCCCACTTGCCATGGTCTCCGCGCGTGGTCAACCTCCTTGCCCGCGGCCGCCCTCTTTTAGTGCGGTCCTCTGCCTGGCAGCGCTTCTATGCCTCTGACTGCAAAGTCATGCCATCTATTGCCGTGCATCCAATCCTGTGTAACACTGAGGTCGGCTGTCCTCTCCTCTTCGCGTCCAGAGCGCTCTTCATTGACTACAATTGAGCGATTGACTGCGAGTAGATCCCGTCGATAGAGTTGTCATGCAGAACCGATGCCTCGGGACGTTGCTGAACGGCACTAAGCATGTAATGCTGCTCCGTGCTGCCTGAACCGTAGGATTGATTTTCCGCTGGGATGCTGATGTAGGAGGCCGTGCCATTCTGCGAATTCGTCACCTTGCTTCTGTAGAAGGAAGTGTCCCTTGGCGCCACTGATCTCCATTCGTTGTAGAAGGCAAGTTCACCAATCTGCTCGACAGTCTTGCCTCGCCTCGTTGTAGCGTCAATGGTCAGGCCACCACCCAGGGGCGCATCGTAGATCGAGGCAGCCCACGAGGGGTAGGCAAAACCTTTGGGGTAGGCTGAAACTGGGGAGGTGTTGAGCCCACTTATGTTCTGCTCAACGTTCTGGTCGCTGCCACTGTTCGAGAGGGTGCCGTAGTTGGAGTATGCGATGTTCCGCGTCTATGTGGTCTCTCTGGGGCCCTTCGAGGTCTGCAGCGTAGACGTTGTGTGGATCGAGCGGACGACCTGAATGTAATACTCAATAGATGCAACAGTGCCGTCAGTGTTACTGGTCTTCGAGAAGACGTTGATCGATGGTTTCGGGGTGTGAACGATAGGACGTGAGCCTGTTACGATGCTGGTATTAGTGTCAAGCCAAACGAACAATTGTCCTGCGATGACCCAATTTGATTCAATTGACTGCGTGAGTTCGCCGTGACCTTTGCCGTCATCCTCGATGACGACCAATCGAATCTCAAAAGTGTGCCCCTTGTCGTCAACGAGTATTGGTAAGAATGGTGTTATGTCGATCTCGTCGTCAACCAGGTCGAAAGCGTCAATGCCTGTAATAGGCCTCCAGAATCCAGGGACAACACCACCAGTGAACATTACAGGAAACGGCCGTGCTACGCCACCCAGTTGTCCGTCGATGAGCAATTGCAGCTCCCGGAAAGGGGAGTGGCCATAAGAGTGTATCGTCGTCACCGAACGCTTGCGTGTCCGACGAGAGGTCGTTACTCCACCAGGACCCTTCGGTGGCCTGTCCACAAGCTGAGATTGGAAATGTTGCTTTTTCTAGTATTCTGCGGGATCGTCAGAGCGTCGACAGCCTTTGACTCGGGTACGGTGAAATAGCTCGGCCGATTCGCGGGAGATCTGCGCGCAGATACCAGGAGCATAATATCCGCAGACTCCGGCTCTTTCACGGCAGTGAAATAAGCCGCTGTTAAAGTGGTGTGCCAAGCGCCTGTATACGTGTCGTCTACTAGGTTCCCAAGATCGAAGATGATCTTTCGAGGCTGTCCAAACAAGGAGATAAGGCTACATATCCTTGACATAGCGCCATACGATGCTGTCTTGTGTTGGCGCAGCCGTCCATGTACGAAAGATCCCCACATCATCGAAGAGCATCAGGGCAAGTTGATTGAATTGACGGCCCGCTAAAGTGACGGTGACATTGAAGACTACACAGTTGTATTCGCAGTCTGGTGGGTAGTGCTCCCCTGGTGTCTGTAAGCCTTCACTCACTACTTTGCACCTGCACAGTGCATGTTTCACACACTGCAACTGAGATTGCGCAGCGTGATCATGACGTACCTATGTAAGGTCGGCCATGAGAGTGGGCGAAGTTGTGTACCATTAGAGGTTGCTGACATGCTGCAGGTGGGACTGCGATGGGAGGCGCAACCTGCAGGCATTCGAGCTGCGACGACTCATTGATGGGAGTATTTGGAGCGGGACTTTGGAGGAGCAATTGCGTTGGCGTAATGAGAGCAGATGGTACACGAGGAGTCGTGACTAGCATTAGACAGAGGGGGAAAATGTAGCAATCTGCCATGGTACACCGGAAATTTGGACAACTTTTGCCTTTCCCATCTCTTGATCGACCTTTGATGCTGCTGCTGCCTAAGCGTCCGGATGCAGCTCAGCTCTGAATCGCACATGACACAGCTGTAGGACCCTAAATTTCACCTGAGTCGCAATTCGCCGCCAAGGAAAACTGGTAACGCCGTCGTTAGAGGTATCGTGCGAAAATCCCATGTTTTACAATCCGCTAAAACGCCTGTAGAAGAACTTTATATCGAGATTGTTAATCTGGAAGTTTGGGTTAGTGCCGTTGTCGACCAGTCGGAAACAATGTCTTTGGGTACCTCTCAAGGCACGGATTCAATGAACGGTGATGCACTCGGTCAAGCAGTACCTTTGTGATTGTCCCAAAACCGTTTTGTAGCGTCTTTTACTATCGAGGAATCGCCGAATCGTGGCCGATAGTAGTTTAGGAGAGCGAATTCGTCCGCTGGAAGGATGTATGAGGTAGGTTGAGTGTTGAGCTTGGCCCAGACATCTGCTAACCGCCTCTCGAGGAACTGTGCGAGACGTTGGTCGACACCACCTTCACTGTTTTGTGCGATGTTGACAGCTTGTCCAAGGGAGAGTTGACCGTAGCCGGCTACATTTTCAAGGTTGCCACCCATGCTGAAGAAGAGGAAGTAGTGGATAAGGATAGGATAGACGGAGACGCTCGACAAATAGATCAATGAAGGAAAGTGGTATGTTCGGTTGACAACAAGAGTACAATGAACGATAGTTGATGGAGCAGTGAGATCGGGAGAGGTGAGGGGACGGTACGGGAGGCGAGTATATATAACACAGCATATTAATAGTAATTTCAAGAAGGAGAGTAAACCCACGTGGAGCAGGCAGACCCCGAACACGAGCTCATGCAGCTTGGTCGAGGCCTCAGACAGTTGGTTCCGGGAGTGTGCCGTATTGGGCGCTGTCAAGATGTGAAGCGAAGGAGTGGGTGCGACACCAAGCTGCAGACTATCTGTCCGACGAGTGCGCCAGGCAAGGACCCTGGCTCGCCAGGAAGCAGGTGACGGCCGAGCTTCACAAAGAAGAATCGAAGGAACACTCCAAAGTTCAGCCGAGCTACTAGGTGATATGCAAGGCGACGTTCCCGGACCAAGAACAGCCCTGCCCACTACTCTGGAACGTTTGAGCTCTGACGAACCACGACCGAGTGGGTCCCATCACCAATCAGGGATTTGACGCTGCCTGAAGGAGCTTTGATGAGCCTGAAAGATGAATAAGGTCCTGGTCCTCATCAGGTCGATACGCGGAAGGTCTAAGTTTGAGACTGGTACCGTAGCAGGGTTGTTGGTGCGCCAAAAACTTTGTTTCCAGCCCGTAAACCTTCGCAGGCCCCGCAGTCAGACTCCGTGCCGCTTTAGAGCGAGGCCTTGATGCAGTTAGCTAATGAGAGATGGTAAGAGCGCTCGATGACGGCGGGGGCCGAGGCAAACAATGAGCCGAGATGTTGTGGCTTGTCATAATTGTAGATGGCTGACGACCCGACATGTTGTGGGGTTATCGGCAGTGCCGCACGTTGTTGCAGGGAGGCACACAATTCCGCATGGCGTGAGCCAATTAGCGAGGGTTTCTCCATACAGCATAGGCTGCATAAGCATGTATGGATGATGGATCCATGTCAGTTCGAAAGAGGCTAACGTCAGACGTTGAGATTTGCTAGCAGCCGGCTGCGTCCGCGAGCAGTACAACGCCATCATCCAGAATAAGCCCACACGGAAACGCCGAATATTTCGGTGCGCTGTTACTCAACAGGCGCCTGCTTCCAACGTGCCTCCGTTGACTGACATGTGGCATTGTAGCCACGAATCTGCAACACGACAGCGTTCACTCGAGCGCTACAAGTGATACCGTGTAACGGAGTTTACTCCTTGTTCCATAGATGCGCTACTGTACCAGCGAACAGGTTCGCGTAGAGTTGGACCCGCACAGCCGATGATAAAGCTACGCGTCTGCCCCGCAGTATAGGATTCGCGAGTACGAAGGGGTATAATCGTGAGAGCGTCGGTGTGAGAATGCTTAATAACCGACTGTCAATGCAGAACCCAATGCTGGAATCTGAAGCAGCATTAGGCAACAATGGATAGCGCTGGTACGTTGCAGTGGTTCCCAATGCACGTCTATTCGATGTCACCATGCTCACTCGGCATCTTGTAGCAATTGGCTGAAGCCGTGTGCCACAGCAGTAAGAAGCAGGACCGCATGCAGTCACGACTCCGCCGCGCCGCCACAAACTGACAGCTAGAGGCATTCCATGGCCAGGCAGCTCTTTTGTGAAGGACACCTATATATGGCATACTCCGAGTCCCTTCTGGTAAACTCTATCCGCTGACCAATCGAAGCAAATGCTTGATTGGGATCTTGCAATTTCTTTGCAGGCCATGGTGTTGCGATCGAGATGATGACACAGAGGCTCGCAAGAACAGCAACAACGGTGCCCGGGCAAAAGCCGGGGGTTCTCCAGAGTTTGTTTCGACTCGAAAACTTTGAAGCCTGGTTTCTGGATTTCACAGCCGCTGCTGCCCGGCACGGGGGCTTCTGCGACTGGGGAACCTCGACTTGCTCAACGTCGTTGACCTCATGTGGTCTGACTTCGGGCCGTATTACAGCCATCTGCAACTACTGAAATGGTCGATGCTTAATTAATGAAGAATGCCAAAAGGACTGGCTGGTGCTGGCGTCAAAAGCTGCGATTCATGTGGACCTGACGTTGCGGCCATTTGACTCGTCGAACCCACATTTCAACATCGAGGGCGAAAAATGAGGCGGTAAGAAATATCCAGGAGAAGCCTTGTCTCCTGCCTTGTCTCCTACCTATGCCGCAAGTGCTCTTTCCTGTTCCTGAACAAAGTGCTCAAAACGGCAGGCGGTGAGTTAGAGGCAGGCGCACGTCGGAGCATTTTCGCCGGCAGGCGCGATGAACCCTGTCCGTTTTATCGTCACTGCGACGAAACATCCAGTCTGCGGACACACCGCGACAACAATCTGACACAGATCTCACCACGTGAGCACCGATCCACTCCACTTTCATCTGGGCTATCGCTTTCAATGAAGCCGCGAGTCGCACGCTTCTGGACAGAGCAGTTTCTGTTTGGGAGCTCCCAGGCAACAAGGAGCTTTGCGCCGCGCCCAACAGCGCCATTCCTCAGGACCTTCTTCACATCAACACAGCATTCGGCCAGGACTCGGTTACCACCCAGAACATTCCAACATAGTGCGCTGCTATACCTTCGATTCCAACGATCCGTCCTCGCACGCCGCTTCCGCTCCATCCGTTTCAACAGCAACAAGTCGAATGGGTCACATCACGACCCAACGCCACACCTAGGCAGTCCTGAACCTGCGCAATCGCTATCGCAGAAGCTCAAAGCTCTCTCAAAAGAGTATGGGTGGGCAGCTTTAGGTGTATATCTGGGCTTGTCTGCCTTGGACTTCCCGTTCTGTTTTCTTGCTGTACGGCTCCTCGGCACGGATAGGATAGGACACTACGAAGCAGTCGTCAAGGACGCCTTCTGGAACCTCGTCAGGCTAGTCGTTCCAGACGCAGGCATTACATCAGCCGAAAAGCATGCCCAAGAGAAGACCGCTGAGGCTACGCTGAGGCAAGGCAGTCTAGATCCTAGCCTGGATGCCGGCGAAGTAGCAGCTGTCAAGGTGCAAAACGGTGGTGATGCATGTAAGTATATGCTTGAACATACATATTTCGCAAGTGGCTGATGGATTAAAGCAATTTGGACACAACTAGGGCTCGCCTATTTGGTGCACAAGTCCCTGATCTTCTTCAGAGTCCCACTCACTGCTGCTGTCTTGCCGAAGGTGGTCAAGACACTCAGGAAATGGGGCTACAACATTGGCAAGAAGAAGCCAAAGACAAATTGAGGTTTGCCTTCATTACTTGGTTGGTGGATCATTCTCCCGAACCATTTCACACATTCATCGCCGAGTCGAGGTCGACCAGCTCTCGATTTTTCATGCATTATGATGCTGTAATTCTCACCACATGTAAGATAAGCCTGTAAGAAACCCATCTTTGCCGGCAACACATCACTGCAAATCCGTACACAAATCGTTGCGTAAACTTTTGCGTTCAGCATGGCCATGCTCACTCTAGAGAGCTTTACACATAGACTTTTGGCAGCTCTACATACAAAGCAGTGCACTAGACAGTTTATGCACTCCGAATACTTCGCCTAGAAGCCAAGCCTCCCGCAACACATAAGCTGAACCTTCTTCGAAAGTGACATCTCGAGTTACTTTGGCATATCATGTTTTACACGAGCAGGAACCACCTCCGCGCCACTCGCCATCGTCAACTTTCCTCGCGGATTTCAACGTCAGACCACTCTTGCAGCACGCCCAATCACCAACAGACACTCGCTCGCTCGCTCGCACTGGTCACCACGCGGCGCGAACCTATTACCCTAGCCCCATCTAACCTCCCTTCCCAAGGCAGCGGCGCAATACCTGCTGCACATCATCCGCTCCGGCAAACCTAATCTTTAACTCAATCGAGGCCTGCGAGCTTTGGGATCCACTGACTCTCACGCCTGCTGTGCGGCGGCGTGCGAATTCAGATATGAAGCCACTACCCACACGAGTCCCAGCCGTGGACCCGTACTTCTCCCTGCTTCTTGACAGATGCGTATACGCAGGTACTTTGTTGCCGCGGATGACGCGCGTCCGCACAAGCGTCTCGGAGTTCAGATGGGGCAGCGTGAAGGCTGCGTGGTGATGTGCACCATGTGGGTCCACACTCGGGGACGTCACTGCTTGAAAGAGGCAAATGAGCCTTCCTATCTGGGCGCGCGTGGATGCATGAAGGGACACCTTGCATGCAGGATGCAGAGGGCTCCTGCGACCCGTCGTCGCGGACCTGACTCCGAGAGCTAAGCGCGGCCGGGAACTAACGTCCCGGGTGTGTGGGAGCGATGAGGTTTACAGCCAGGCTTTGTCCTGTATGCATCTACGATGTCACATGCCTTGCCGAACCGTTTCTTTTGCGGGTGCGTATGGATATGGGAATCTCCAAAGACTGCAGCCTCGTCCCGTGATAACTTATCGCCACCTTAAGACATGTCCCTGAATGCTCAGGAGTATCAAGTGTGTACAGGTCGGAGTGTCGACGTAAGTCAAAGGCTTCATACTGCTGTCCTTAGGCCGAAAGCATCTATGAATACCATGCTGGATTGATCACGTCGTTCGTATTCAAAAATCTTACACGACCATTCCAAAGGACGACGTTGGCTTCTTCGCGACAAGTTCATGGGCGGACTTGATCCTGTCGCACGTATACCAATCAGATCTAAGCGGACCGCTGAGCCTTTCTGCAGTGCATAGGAGGCGGCTCGGAGGTTGCCAGCATAACACGGTCCGCGGCGGGATGATGATCGTTGAAGTCGACTTTTTGTTAGACAAGTGCCAGGGGTCTCGACCCAGAGATCGTATGAGGAAGCTTGGAGGCTCCTACCTACTTGAGTTCTGAGATCTGCGAGGCCGCAGAGACCTCCTGCACTTCGTCACGTCGACAAGGCCGGGAAGAGAGCTTCAACCGCATAACACCTACATTAAGTTCAGTTCTTGACGGGCGTGTTTGGGTTTGCGTTAGGAACCCAACATCACACCTTACGAGCCTGACCTGATGAAGACTGAACTTTGCATTTTTAACGGGAAAAGGTCTTTGGTTTGGAACATTGGAAAGAGTAGTAAAGTCGGTTTTATTATACCGACGTAAATGACGAAGACGAAGTGTCAACAACTAGTCAGATTTGCCACCTTTGTGCCAGGCGCGGACTTTCAACTATATCTAACTATCCATGTAGACAACCATGAGAGCCACACAAACCGTGCATCGGAACAATATAGAGCACTGAAGGGAAGCGCAGATCATATATAGCACCGAACAGTGCCATGCTTCAAGTGGCATTAATTTCGGGGCCGGCTCGCTAATGGCGCGGCTCCCTCATTAACCATACCTGGCCAACCTTCATCTTCCTAGTTTTATGCGGGCACTGTATCTTGTCTGCTTCCTTCTCGTGCTCGTGGTAGCTACAGAAGTCCATGTTGAAGAGCTGGTGACGGTTGTTGAGGTCCTCCTTCCGCCACTTGCCAACCCGCTTGTAGAATCGCAGTAAGAACTCGTGTGGGAGGTTGTTGTAAGCATCTTCTTCCTCGCCTTCGTCGAGATCCAACCTCCAGACCATGAAGTAGCGGTCGACGATCAAATCCAGTAACGGATCGGTCGGCGGTAGGTTGTTGAAAGCATATGTTACGGTCTCGTATTCTTCGAGTGCCGGGCAGTCAGAGTCGTAGTCGTTGACAATGGCGCGGTTGAGCTGCTCCCGAAGTTTGGGTACAATAAAACGGTCAGCGAACACGTAGAGCTTGATGCGAAGCATCTTCGCCGAAATGCTGTAAGGATGCAATGGATCGGCGATGCGGCGCCAGTCTGGAGAGAGAGTCGGCAGTTGTTGAGTGTACAGCCACTCCACGAACAGGTTGAAGATGCAGGGTTCGATATCGCTGCCAAGCACGACGACGTGTTCAGAGGCTTCTCTCCAGGTACCGGCAAGAGCACGCTGGAAGTACTCGGCATAGTGATTGAGGAAGGCTTCTGAGACTCGATACTTCACCCGCTCAGCTCCAACCTCGACAATGACTTTGTCTGATAAGGCATCACGGGAGAGTGCACTGCGAGTATCATCAGTTTTGAGATATTGAAATACTTGCTGACTTGCAGACCTGTGGAGCGGTGGCTCATCCTCGTCGTTTGCCGACTGTGCCCTAATTGCTTGAGCGGTGGCTGGCCGACTGAAGGGGTGACTCCTCAACAGCTGGGCACGAGTTGCCTTGCGAGTTCTGTCAACTTCGTCGCCCATGGTGCAGGCTAGAGATTGTTGCAAGGTGGCGGTGAGGCAGAAGTTAGAGGTGAGTAGGTGAAGCCCAGCGTACCTGCCGCAAATTCGAACGCACTGGCGGCAAGAAATGAGGTAGGGGCGACATCGGCGGCTGCAACATCGCAGTGTAACATCGAAAAGAGACGGTAAATATCGTGAAGTCGAACAGACAGATTCATAGTAAACGAAGGAGCGCAGCAGCGTTTGCATTGATTATGGACTACCACAACGCTGGGCAGTATAAAGAACGACGACAAGATGACCCAAACGATGCGCCCCACGCCATGGTATAAGAGCTCTCAGTGTGATCAAAAACGCTAGCAGAAATGAGATTGTAGCAAGATGGGTGGGACTTAGTCCAATACCACAGCGAGGATGATGATGACCAGAACGATCGCCAGAATGAGTAGGAGGATGCAGGCCTTACTCCTCGCACTCTTTTGATAGTTGCTCGCCTGCTTCAGGTTTACATGGGCGCCTCTCGATGCATCGTGCGTGACCTCAACGTTCTCCTCAATAATGTCGAGCTGAGCACCCTGCTCGTGCACCATGTGGGCGACGTCACGGAAGAGCTCGTTCAGCTCGCCGACAGACTGCTCGATGTTGCGAATCTCAGACTCGCGCTCAATGATGAGCGATTCTTGGAAGTCGACCTCGTCTTGATTCGCCAATCGTAGCTGCTCCTGCTCTTGCTGCTGGCCAAAGTCGGTGCGCTCCGCGCTTGGTGATGCCTGGTCGTCAAGAGCTGCACGTGCAGCAGATGCTGACGCTCGCTCTTTCTCGAGAGCCTGCTTCTGAAGCTGCTGGAACTCCGTGAGGGATGCCTTGAACTCGCGGCTAAGCTTCGACTGTGTGAATCTCTGCGACGGCTGCCTGCAATTAGCCTTTGGTATTAAGGTTCCAGATGCACTTTCGACATACCCCGACATCGTGCCACTGGCTAATCTTCTTGATGCCCTCGCCAATCTCCTTGAACTTGTCTGCCGTCTCCTCGGTCGTGCTCTTAACTCTTTCCCGTACCCGTTCTGTTTCATGCTTCGTCCCCAGCTTCGAGAGCTCGGTCGAGAGGCGCGCAACATTCCGAGTCAAAGCGAACAGGTCATCAGAGATCTTGCTGGCAAAGTCGCGGAACTCTGGGTCGTCGGCGTATTCGGGGTCGTCCTCACGCCTCCAGTTGGTCGGTTGGCTCTCGAGAGCGGAACTGCGCTGGAATGACATGCTGCCGAATGATCGCGATAAGGGCAGGAACCGATTTCTGGGGTTGATGGGGATAGTATCTTGGGTTATGCAACCACTGTGAGACGAACGCTGAAGCCTGGAGAGGGGTGCGAGTGTTGATGTCGCTATCTGGAGGTTGGTTCCTCGGCGGTACCCTGCCCGCGTCATGCGCCAAGCTGCGGCAAGCCACAGTGGATCTCAGACGCCGCCGATTGTTTGTTTGAGAAAGTCGGACTGCTTTCACTGCTGCATCAGACCCACTTCCAGTCTTTCCTTTGTGTTGGCGGCGCGACGCCCCTTTCCCTGTCCAGTCCTGCGATGATATGAGCTTGAACTAGCTTCGACGAAACGAACATTCGCGCGAACCCGCACACACGCAAACATGGCAACACTCGCACCTTTGGGCACCGGAACGCGTCCATACCGGGATTACCTGACACCCGCACTTCATTCGAGGTTTATCAGAGCTAGCAGATACACAATTCTGCTCTGTTACGCCATTGCATGCTGGCAAAGCAAGTGGGACAACTGTAAACCAACCAGGTCCAAGCCAGAGAGCCCTGCTAACTGAAGATGCAGTCCTATGGCTTTGGCTTCCTTTTGGCCCTACTGGCATTCGGACCCTTCTTCTGTTCATCCCCGCCCTTACCATCTACCTGCTTCGAATCGCACAATGGCACGTGGGCCAGCGACAAACTTTGACACGCGCCGAAACGTTCCAGAAGTACTTCCTGAGGAAGAACACGATACTCACGCTCGTCTTCTACGCATTTTCTGCTTGGTTGTTCAATGAAGTGTACGTATGGTCACGCACGATCGAGGAAAAGCTCAACTTCACCGAGCTCGGCCGCGCTCACGAGAGGCTGAAGTTGAATGAGCGACCGCTATACCTGCGCTTCTTATTCAACACGCTGGCGGTCGCCCAGACTGGTGTGCATCTGTGGAGGGACTACGACCACATCGATATACCGGCCATGCAGCCAAGGAAGTTTGATGAAGCTATTGCCGCGGACGCTCCGGTGAAGAGAGGACCCAGACCAATCAAGGTGCTCGTGAAGCAACTGCGACCCATGTCTCTCAACTCCGCGAGCCTGGCGTTGCTTGTCACCGTTGCTGGATCGCTCGTCTACTTTATTGGACCCCGCCATCTGATCTGGGAGTACTACTACAACTTCAGCCGCAACTTGATCAGTCTGTCGAAAACCTCAAAGCCGACCGGGTTGGCTCCCTTTGCTCCGCTAGTCTCCAAGTTCGTCGTGGAGGGAACGCTTCTCGTGCTCTTGTGGGAGTTTGTCAACAAGGCTTTCGATTCGTACATTGCCCTGGAGCCATTGAAGAATAGCAAGCCCATCACAAGCGACTCGAAGGACCCTAATGGAACACTGATAAACGGCTTGAAGGCAAAGAAGGACGCGCCCAAGGTATGTGGCTTTGTGCCAGAGAGATGTCAATCTGCTGACAACAATAGTCTATGGCATTTTGGGAGCTTGCCCTGATCACAGAAGCATTCCCTGACCGTCGTAAGACTATCTACGCCGAGATGAGCCGCAAAAAAGCTCCAACTTTCCAGCAGATTACCGACTTCTGTCTGGCGGAGGTCAAGCTGCTCATTGAACGCCTGAATGTTGGCCTTGACCCTACGTATCAGCCAGCAGCGGCCTCTGCTGTACTGCAGCCCGCACCTTCCGTCAACCTCGCTCCCCAGATCTCTCGACCCCTCAAGGACGACAAGCAGGTTGTGGCACTACCACCAAAGCCTAGTACAAAGTGGGAGCATTTTGAAGCTGCCACGTCCGGTATTGCCAGGTCGCACAGCTCCCCGGGCAACTCACAGCAGGCATGGGGTCGTGAGGGAATCAACAGAGGCCTACATAGAGCCCAAGAAGGCGTCCAGCAAGCCGAATCTGTTGCATCAACCGCATTCACGAAGATCCTTGAATCACCGTTCGGCTACGTTTTCAGCCACTCTCTGCCTCGCAGGGCGAAGCTCGTAGTTCTTGGTGCACCGTACTCGCGCATCTCACTGATCTGCAACGCCATCACTGCACTCACAAACCTCGCTGTATTTTCTATCTCCGAGGACGCTATCGGACGTTTCCACGAGAGTGTGCCAGCTATTATTCGCACTTTCACTCTTGCTATAACTAAGATCGACGCTTACATGTCGAGCCTTCAGGTCCACTGGAGCGACAAAGATACTTTGGGTAAGCCTGAGGCTGAGCGCAAGAATGTTTCCGAAGTCGATCAGGTCAGAGACTGTCTGCAGAAGGGATTGCAGAACGTGCTCAACAGTTTCGACAAGTATTTGGGTGGCATGGGCATGAGCATGTTGGAGATTTCGGATGCCAACAAGGCGGCTGCTATCACCAAGATACCAGGGATGATACAGGCTGGATGACGAGATGCGGGTGCGGCACTGTGCATGGTGTTATACGTATATGAGCATATTGTGTCAAGAACGCAAAATCGCAAGATACCTGTTCAAAGATTCTGTCAAACAAATGTATCCATGAAGAGGCTCATCATCGAAGAAGAGTTGAGCGAGACAAGCCTCTAACTTTGAAGCGTGACTGCTGCAGGCGAAGTTGCCGCAGCTCTGTGGCAGTCACTCAGCAGGTCCTTCCCAACCACTCTGGTCAGATCCCAGTGCTTCACAGCTCCTACCACAACGCTATCAGCGGCAACTGTTTTATCGCTCTATATATATTCCGTCACCTGTCCTTTCTTCCAAGAAAGTAGCTACATCCAAATATTACCGTCGCACTTGGTCCGCCCCCCTCACTAGGGCCAGGTGCCTTTCCTTTCCATTGCTTTTTGCCGGAAATTTTGATACTGATCCTGGTAGTGGTGCATGCAAGGTCGGAGGTTCGAGACTGTGCTGCGGGTGGCAAATCGATACCGAATACTTCTATGGTAAGTGCCAAATGACGAGCGAATTCGTCAGGAACTTGACTGCTATACTGTCGTAGGGCGCTGCACCGTACTCCGGTTGTATGCAGTACGGGCGAGTCTTTGAAAACGTGTTCTTGTAGGGTGTACGAGACGAGCGTGGTATTCACATTCGCATCAGCATGCTGCCATACAATCTACTGAACCCAGAAAACGCCATGTCATGATGTACTAAAGCTGGTTAATGCATTCCACCACATTGATCGTACATATCATACACCCACTTCATCCCCACCTAGAATCCCCAGAACCGACTGACTCTTGTCTTGACACCCTCCCAGCTGTTCAACTTCGGCCTAACATCCAAATAGAAATTCAGCCCCTGCCCGGGCGCCTGCCCGGTCTGCTGTTTCCCTGCATAGAAATCAATCACATACTCGACCTTGGTGCCGCAGCGGTCGACAACCCAATCGTGGCGATCAAACGGCGCCTGGTACCCTAGCAGCGCATTCCACCTCGCCCTGGGCGTGAGACTCGTACTCAACCCAGAAAACGACTCGAGCTTGGGGCCTCCGCAGGCTTCACTCCCCCGCCCTGTTTCCCACGCTTTGATCTCGTGCCACGCCCGCTCATTCACCGCGTTGTGGATCGGCACGATGGCTTTCATGTCGCGCTCCTCGGGGGAGAACTGTTTCCGGCGCATCGCGTCGAAGAACATGCGCTCGCTGGGGTAGATCCAGTTCCCTGTGGTTTTATCCGCGCCTGTGTCTTTTTCGTTGTTTGCCGGTCGGTCGGTCGGTGCGCTAGGCGTGGACCGTGGGATGGTGCTGATTTCGCGGTCGGTGGCCAGGCGCATGTCGGATAAGAGTCCTGTTGTTGTCGGCGCGGGTGAGGTGGTGGACTGGTCGAGGGATGAGGAATCGCATGATTGCTGGACTGGGGAGGATTTTGCTGCTGCAGCAGCTTTCGATTGTGTGGGTGCTGCGGAGGCAGGCGATTGTGTGGGTGCTGGCGGCGAAGCGGAGATATGAGGGTTGGGTGCTGAGTTGCCGGCTGCGCGGGCTTGTTCGAGCCAGGCTTCACGCGCTCTATGATCTACGGGACATCCGGCCGCGGCAGCTTCGTCGTGCTGTGAGGACATTGTGTCAGTCCGAGGTTGCGTTTGTTGCAAGACAGGTGAATGACGAGATGGCATAAAAGTTGAGCTTGGACTTAATTCGGCACGCACCGCAATGCCACCCGCTCTGATTGTCGGACCTGGCTTACAATGCTTTTGGCTAGCTCATCGCTTTGAAGGAGTCTAGCCTTACAGTCGAGGGCTGGTAGATTAATCGACAGCAGAAAAAGGAGTACCGCACATCTCCTTACGTTATACTGTGTCAGTTGCAGTCGTCTGTGGTTGACTTGTCTGCTGCATTGTTAAGCCTTTTGGGACCCTGCATAGATAAACAACCCCCACCAACTCCCTCCTCTCCACCCCTCCTCCGCACTCGCCAGTCAGACCCTACCAAACGTCGACATGTCAGAAATCTACCGTGCCAGCACCACCGCACCCGTGAATATCGCCGTCATCAAGTACTGGGGCAAGCGCGACCCAAAGCTCAACCTCCCCACCAACTCGTCCCTCAGCGTCACCCTCTCGCAGAACGACCTGCGCACCCACACGACCGCCTCGTGCTCCGCCTCGTACCCCGCTGAGGACTCGCTGCTCCTCAATGGCAAGCTCCAGGACGTGTCTGGCGCCCGCACACAAGCCTGTTTTCGCGAGCTGAGAGCTCTGAGAAAGGAGGTCGAAGCCAAGGACTCGAGCGCACCCAAGCTCTCAGTGCTACCGCTGAAGATCGTGTCCGAGAACAACTTCCCCACTGCTGCTGGCCTGGCTAGCAGTGCTGCCGGTTTCGCTGCCCTTGTGCGCGCAATTGCGAATCTCTACGAACTGCCCGCCGACCCCACAGAGCTCTCGCGCATCGCCCGTCAGGGTTCTGGATCGGCATGCAGGAGTCTGTTCGGTGGATACGTCGGCTGGGAGCAGGGCTCTGAGGCTGATGGCTCGGATAGCAAGGCATTCGAGGTCGCTCCCGCCAGCCACTGGCCGAACATGCGTGCCGTTATCCTGGTCGTGAGTGCGGCGAAGAAGGACGTCTCGAGTACGTCCGGCATGCAGACCACTGTTGCCACATCTTCACTGTTTGCCTCAAGAGCGAGCGAGACTGTGCCCAGGCGCATGAAGGAGATGCAGGACGCCATCAAGAACAAGGACTTCGAGACTTTCGCCAAGGTCACTATGATGGACAGCAACTCGTTCCACGCGACCTGCCTGGACACATACCCGCCCATCTTCTATCTTAACGATGTCTCTAGAGCGGCGATTAAGATGGTCGAGCAGATTAACAACACTGCTGGCAAGATCATTGCTGCGTACACTTTCGACGCGGGGCCAAACGCTGTCATCTACTACCTGGAGGAGAATGAGAAGGCTGTTGCAGGTGTCTTCAAGACCCTTTTGGCCAACAAGGACGGCTGGAGCGGCGAGCGCGGTGCTGCTGTCGAGGGCAACTACGAAGCCGCTGAGAAGGCCAGCACTGATGCCGAGGTCGCGGTCGGTCTGCTCAAGGAAGGCGTCAGCAGGGTCATCCTGACAGGTGTTGGCGAAGGCCCAGTAAAGACCGAAGAAGCCCTGATCAACGAAAAGGGCGAACCGATCTCTGTGTTGTACTAAGCGTTGCACAAAGTAGGCATATATACCCTGGTAATCGTACATCTGAAGAACGGAAGGTTGAGAACGTAATGCGCTGCTTACGTGCAGCCCACCATAGGCCAATCGTCCTTGGTGTGATATTAGACTCGTCGTACAGTATGATACAGCGTGATGTGTCGAGATCGGTACATCGTTTACGACTTCTCCTCCTTCTCACGCTTGCCAAAAGTATACGCCAACCCGCAGCCGGCTACGTTGACAGCACAAAGCGCCAGCGAGGCTCCTCTGACAGCGCCTCTGACTGTGAACTTGTTCCTCAGTCTCTGCAAAACATTAGTACAACTCATGCATCAAGAGGCCTCGTCTTACCTGACTTCTCCTCAGAGCCAGCAGCCCGTACAGACCGCTCCACGCCGCGGTGATACCAGCAGCATCGGTCTTGTAGTCGCTCAAGTTCAAGTAGGACGAGAAGAGGAGCATAGGCGCAAACATCATGGGCAGTGGCTGGAAGGGACGTGCATGTTGGGCAGTAATGAGTGTTGCAAGGAGAGTTGGCGGTACGGAGTTTTCTAGTCGCTATCAGCAATTGTACATGCTGAGACATGACATTGATAGTGATGAAAGCACGTGAGAGACGGAGCTCTCATCGGAAAGAGTGGGACTCACCACCCCAGTTGCGCAGCGATTGGAGGGTCGACTTCTTGGCTCTCTCGGACATTGTGAGTGTTTCTTCAAACGAGTAACGGAGAGAGAGGAGGGTTCGGTGCTTTGGCAATGTAGTCCAGGCGCAGATCAGATGGGAAAGTCGTCAATGACGTGAAGTCCGTGCTGCCGCGACTAGCGGTACCCTGGTCTTTGACCAGTGTGGCCTCGACCAACATCAACGCTGCCGAGCCGCATCTGGCATCTCACAACAACAGATCGCCCTCCACGCACGACTGTCCATTTCCCGCGCCCCCTTTCCACCGCCATTGCAAACTGCCGCATCTTGAGCGCCTGGTGCACGCATCCTCTCTTCGCGGCCACCTCCGGCCACCTCCGCGGCCACTTATCACAAACCCCTCCACGATACAACACCACAGCCATGTCCGAGCGCGCACACCACGATGGCTCTGCCGGCCGCGCCTACACCGTCGAGCAGAAAGCCGCCGTCCTGCGCATTAAGAGGTGCGCGCCAACCGCCTACTATGAGATTCTGGGCCTCGAAGATGTAAAAAAGACGTGCACCGATGGCGAAATCAAAAAGGCATACCGAAAGCTCTCGCTGCTCACACATCCGGATAAAAATGGCTACGCAGGTGCAGACGAAGCCTTCAAGCTTGTCAGCAAAGCCTTCCAGGTTCTCAGCGACCCGGACAAGAAAAGCAAATTCGACCAGTTTGGAGGCGATCCGGATGCGCGCTTCAACCCTGCAGCCGCGGGCGCAGGAGGGTCCCCGTTCAGTGGCTTCGCAGGGCAGAGGGGTGGCGGTTTCCAGGAAGAGATGACGCCGGAAGAGCTGTTCAGGCAGTTCTTTGGCGGAGGCTTTGGTGCGCCGTTCGGTAGGTCGAAGTGCCATACCCACATTGGACGTGGACGCGGAAGATCTGGGCTAATGTAGATAGGCGGCTTCGACACAGGGCCAGGCTTCGTGTTCAACCTCGGCGGCGGGCCAGGCGTACGGGTACATCAGTTTGGCGGCGGGCGACCGAGGAGAAGACCGGGGACTGCCCAGCCGCCGGGGCGCGAAGAGGCGCCGGGGCTGGGGAATGCGTTGGGGAATCTGCTGCCGCTGCTGTTCCTCTTCGTCCTACCACTGCTGTCGTCACTCTTCTCGGGCGGATCATCGAGTTCAGGGCCGTCGTTTGCCTTCACACCACAGCGCGAGTTCACATGCATGCACAAGTCGCAAGGCACATTCGGCGTCAACTACTACGTCGCCAACTCCGTCTGCCAGGAATACGGCAGCAACTCGCGAGACAAGAGGTGGAAGGCGCTGGACAAGCAGGTTGAGAACTCGTATGTACACACGCTGGACGTACGGTGCAATAACGAGCAATACGCGCAGAGCAAAAAGATGCAGGATGCACAGGGGTGGTTCTTCGTCGACGAGGAGGCCATGGCGCAGGCGAGGAACATGCCCATGCCCAATTGTGATACCTTGGCTGCACATGGCCTGCGCCGGAGATACTAGACCGCATTTGTTGTCGTTGGGGTTTCGATTCTGTAGTAATTATTGGCCTGGGAGGTTGGATAGAGATGTCATACAACACTCAGGGAGTAGATTTGGACATGTCTAGGAACGAAAACATGAGCGCATCACTCTCTTCACGCAGCGGGCTTTTTATGGGATACCCGATCATGAATAACTGTAAAGTACAGAGTTCGTCGTGTTTGCCATGTTCCTCTGCTTGAAGTCCTCTAAATTGGCCATCGAAGTGGACATCCTTGTAAGCTGAGCTCTTGCTCCACCAAACCGCATCGCCAATCCAGCAAATCAAAGTCCCTCTCTCCCATCCAAACGCAGGTCTGGGAACCCTCAATGTCCCAAGTTCACGCATGACAGCCGTTCCACATACCGTTATTGGTGTGCCTGGCATCGAATGGCGGTTTCAAGATCCTCGGTCCGACACTCTGGTAGCTGCGAGATCAGGGGTAGCGCCACTTTTACTCCAAACATCGACATCCTAACCCTGCCGTTCGTCTCAACACGGACTTCCAGACGTCACCGAGGTTGCGGCGCGCTTGAAACAGCTGAGAGCTAAGATGGCTTTCACTTCGTTGTCTGCTTCCATGCTCATCCCTTCTCCAGGCCGTCTTTGGATTTGAACAGTGTTTGTCTCATTTGAACAGGCGACGCTCTCGGACTCCCGCCCTGGCCTGCCTTGACAGCGGCGATCACTGGAATTTGAACGCCTGGCTGCACTGTGTTCTCGACTTCTTAGCTGAAGTTCGGCCTCTAATCTTCCATTGCAAATACTCCGATAATGCACACCCAACTGTCGACATGGCTGGCCGTATCAGCCGTACTGTGGCCAGCAGTCACAGCCTTCTATCCCTACCAATACAACGACGGTAGCACAACGACAGAGTCGAGTCGACGGAGCGCGAAGCTTTCGAGAGCGAGCTCGGGATCGATAACGGTCTCGCTACGACGTGTTCCCGTCCCCCTTCGCTCGAGGCAGCAGAACACATACAACATTGTCAACTCGAAAGATCCAAGCCAGCTGAACAGCGTGGCGATCGATCAAGATGGAAGCGACCTGAGCTACATGGTTGCCGTAACCATTGGCGACAGCAAAGAGGAGTACCACCTGCTACTCGACTCGGCAGCGAGCAACACGTGGGTGATGGGGCAGGACTGCAAAAGCGATGCCTGCGCAACGCACACCACGTTTGGCAAAGGGGACTCAAGCTCTCTGAAGGTATGAGACTTTGCATACCAGCACGCCATATTGATCTGACTCTTGCAGACGCAAACCTCCCCCTTCAGCGTCACGTACGGCACCGGCTCCGTCAGCGGCACCCTCGCAACAGACACGCTGCACATCGGCGCCCTCTCGCCCTCCGTCTCCTTCGGTCTCGCAACCAACGTCTCCAACGAATTCAAATCGTACCCCATGGACGGCATCCTGGGCATCGGGCGGGGCGACGTGGTCCAAGGCAGCGCGCAGATCATGGACGTTCTCAAAGACGACAAGTTGATCGGCGCGAAGCTGTACGGGATCCACTTGAGCAGGACCAAAGACGGCCTGAACGACGGCGAGCTCAATCTCGGCGAAGTCAACAAAAACAGATATTCAGGCGACCTGAACTGGCTCGACTGCATCCCCAACGACACGGGGTTCTGGGAGATCGCGCTCTCGGACGCGAGTGTGGATGACAAGTCCCTCGGTCTCACTGGCAAACAAGGCATCGTGGATACAGGCACATCGTACATCCTGATGCCGCCCTCGGACGCGTTGGCACTCCACTCCCTCGTCCCGGGCTACTCGCAATCGGGCGAGACGTTCAGCGCGCCGTGCGACACCACCACGAAGCTGGCTTTCGTCTTCGGCAAACAGAGTTACGAGATTGCTACTGCTGATTGGCTGGGCGGGAAACTCGACTCCGGGCTGTGTCGCAGCAACATCGTGGGGCGCCAGACATTCAACGAGAGCCAGTGGCTGATTGGCGATGTGTTTCTCAAGAACGTGTACAGCGTGTTTGATTTCGAGGGGAGCCGCGTGGGATTGGGGATGCCGCCGAAGGAGGGCGAGCAGAGCAGCTCGAGCTCCTCAAGCTCCTCAAGCGGAACTTCATCTGCCACTTCGACGGCTGCGAAGACGAGCGGAGCGGCGGGTGCGTCGCAAACCGCAACGGTAGAGGGCAGCGCGGATCCGTCCCCGAGCGCTGTCGCGGAGAGCCAGGGCCAGAGCAACCAGCAAGGAGGCGCTGGACTGGTGAAAGCTCCTTTCGTACTGACGATGGTCGGTGTTGCATGTTCTCTGTTGATGTAGAGTGGGACGCTCACAGCTTTTTGCATTTGCATTCTGGAGTCTACACGCATGCATCATATGCGGTTGCGGCATGGCGTGGCGTGGTATGCGAGCATTGGGTACAGGGCATGGGTCTGGCAACAGGGCATAACAATGTGTGACGATCTATGATGATCATCGACACGAGGGGCTGAAAAGGGTACAAACATAATGAAACCCGGAGAGCATCGAATACTTGCTTGCTATCCCACGCCGACGATCTATTTGACTCTTTGGAGATGTCCTGACCGTGTCTACTTCCACGGTTGCATGTACCAAGCTCACCGAGCCGCTGGAACTCCCAAAGTGGCCTGAAGATGTGCGGGGCGGAGCATCGGGCGAGCTTATCCGGGCGACTGAACGATGCAGGTGGCATGCCAATAATCGGGTGTGGATAACAGATGTGGGTACGCTGCACGTGCAGGCTGTTGACTGCCGTGCAGCACGCGGACGGCGTGGGGCTGGGATAGCGTGGTAAAGAGCATGAAATGAACGTCTATTCTTGCTAGTAGAGATTAGGACATCTAATTTCAGATTACTCCGGTTAAAATTCAACTGGAAACAGCAGGCAAGAGGACTCGGGCAGTCACGTCAGGGCAGCAATGGCGTGCGATGGCAAAGACACAACGAGGCTACAAGCAAATACTCCAATTGACCGACGACCGAACGCATGCAGAGCAACGAGTGGTATGCAGATGCGACGACCAGCGGTGGAAACAAGCACATATTAGAAAGATCCTACCATTGCTGGAACCCGATAGCTGCTCAATCTCGACCCACACGCTCTGAGAAAATAACCCCATCATACTGCCCCAAGATGATGTACTACTTCCAAACAAGAAAGATCCAGCGCAGTAACGCCTCGAACAGGTGCCGTGGAAGAAATGGCTCTAACTAGCCAGGACAGGCGGTTGATTCGTCTTCCATCGCACCCATGATTCACATGCGGTTCGCCTCGATCAACGCATGAAGGCCGCCACAGTGTTGTCGTGTCTAAGGGTCGACATGGCGCGGCTGTGGCGGCGCTGCTGTTTACACATCTGACTCCATCTACAAGACTGTGCACTTGGACTTCTTCTTCTCTTTCCGGGTGAGCAGGGCAGCTCGTGTGGCGTGCTCAAATACCTCCCGGACGCCCTCGTTGGTCTTCGCCGAGCATTCGAGATACTTCTGGGCACCAATCTTCTTGCGGACATCCTCGGCCTGTACGATTTAGCTAGTGAAGTAACGTTGCGTGGTGTTATGACTGACCTGCTCGGGGGTGACAGGCTTCTGGGAAGTCTTGTGCAGCTCCTCAATGGTCTTCTGGTCGAAGCGCAGATCCTTCTTGCAACCGACGAGGATGATGGGCAGGCCCTGGCAGAAGTGCAGAACCTCGGAGATCCACTGCAGCGTTGTTAGCAGCTGCTGGGGCAGGCATGACCAGGTGAGCGTACCTTCTCCTGGACGTTGTCGAGCGAGTCGGGCGAGTCGACTGCAAAGCAGATCAGGATGACGTGGGAGTCGGGGTAGGAGAGCGGGCGGAGGCGGTCGTAATCCTCCTGGCCAGCGGTATCCCAGAGGGCGAGCTCGACGTGCTTGCCATCGACCTCGACGTCGGCGACGTAGTTCTCGAAGACGGTGGGGACATAGACCTGGACAACGTTAGTGGGTGTGCTTGGGTGCGGCCGGTGGCTAGCAGATGTTTGCTGCGACGGGGCTGCCGGTCGCTAGGCTGACGCAGCTCAGGGACGGGGCCGAGGGGCGCACAGGAGACTGACCTCGGGGAAGGTGCCCTTGGAGAAGACGCTACACGCACGCTGTCAGTACTTGCGAGGGCAGACAAAGGGGGGGACGTTGGCGATAGGCATCTGGGCGAGCACTTACATGAGCAGACAGGTCTTTCCGCAGGCGCCGTCACCGACAATTACGAGCTTGCGACGGATCTCGGCCATTTTGCAGTGTGTTGGAGCGAGTGGGTGGGCAGCGGGAGGTGGTTGCGGAGTGCTGGGCGGGAAGAGCGTTAGCAGGTGAGATGGAGAAAGGGTGGTTGATGTAGAGATGTGAGGATGAAGGGCACGCTCCACTCTGCTAGGCTGGGCGCGGACCGTGCTGCGGCGGCTGAGCACCAAACGTCGCTCGGGGAGGCTGTGGCTGAAGCGTGCGTACCGTGCAATCAGGACTCAGCGTGGGACACGCTGGATAGGGGGGAATATGGGCGGTGCGGGCGTGCAGTGCGAACTCCAGTCTCGTGGGAAGCTGGTGTTGATATGAGGAGGCGAGCGTTCCACGGCAACGAGTCGGCTAGCGCTTGAGCAGAGGACGACGACAAGGTGGACACTGGATACTGATAGACGGGCTGCTCCATGCACCATGATAAAGCCACGCGCCCCGAGCCCCGAGACCGACCACGACGTTTCAGACCCGGTTTGATATGGTGACCGCTCGCCTGTCATTTCCCCACGCTCGTCCCGCAGGACGCAGGACGCAGGACACAGTCTACGACTCTGCGAGTTCACGCTCTGGCTCTCGCCGTGTTCCCTTGTCACCGCTTGTCGAGCCAGAAGCGTCTCCGCTCGCTGTCGCTGTCGTGCATGCCTGTCCTTTTGTCCTGACGGCAGCACTGCGGGGCCGCCGGTGAAATGCGTCACAAACGGCAGTCGATTCGCTCGACCACGCTTGTTGTGTTTGGCGTTCGTCTTTGTTCTAACTTCTCCGCGACTCTGCCTCCCCTCAGGGTCTCCATCTGCGGCCTGCAGCTGTGCAGCTCTGCACCCTCTTGGCATGTGATTCTTGACTTTGCTTTTGTGTTTCACAAGTCCACGGTCATCTGTTGCCGTACATTGACGCTCGTGCTTACACATCACACGTGACAGTCCCAGGCATAACTACTTACACATTACACGGATAGGCCATGGAGAGTGAGAGTGCAGACGTGCTGCAACAGTGCATCTCAATCATCTGGGTGGGCACCACCTGCACAGAACAATTCCTCCAACTCGGCCGGGTGTCAATGTCTTTGACGCCTCTCTCACCAGTGGTGACCAAGTCCCAGAGCCGTAGAGTGCGCTCTGAGTGCGTGCATCTGCTTATGGTTGTCGCGGTGATTCTACACGCTTCTATCTCGACGCGTGAAAGGGTGGAGGCGCGCCGCGGTTGGAGTGGGGCCTAGGTATCCGCCCGCTACGTCCATGACTATGGTTCACCCAGCATCACCCCGAGGTTGACCACTTTCGCTGTGCGGCGCGCCTTCCTTGCTACTTTGTCCTTATTCGAGCGCCACTCTCTTTCCCCCACCGCCCACGACCATGGCCGACCGAGAGATGACCGAGCCACCACCGCCGCAGCAAGAGCAGGACAGCGCCATGTCCGACGCCGACAAGGTACAGCTCCCAGACAGCTCTCGCCCGAAGAGACCTGCTGACGACAACCTTGCCCAGATCCGTGCAAAGCGCCTCGCGAAGCTTGGAGGTAGCTCGACGCCGCGACCGTCGTCCACTGGGCCTGCAGCTTCCACCTCAACTCCAGCGTCTGGTGCCTCGTCGCCGAAGACCGCAGCCGCACCGTCGCCGCAACCACGAACGCAATCCCCACAGACAGCCCACCTCAGCTCGCATGCGGACGTCAAGACGGAGACAAAGCCGGCCACTCGCATCAACATCAAGCCTGCTGCTACAGCGACCACCGCTGCAGCCCCGCCACCTGCGCCGCGGCCGCAAGACGACAGCATCGAGGGTTGGGAGGACCGTACCATCAGCGGCATTTTCAGGATAACACTTGAAGAGGCGCGTTCGCAAGATGCACACGGTCACAGGGTCTACTTTGCTTCAGGCTTGAAGCAGGACCTGCAAGATGAGGGTCGGCCACTGCGGTTCAGTACTGACGTGCTAGACTCGGTCGTCATGGAAGCTGCGTCAAGCCACACGCACAGAAATGCTCTGGAATACTTGCTCGGGTGCTGGAAGCGAGTTGCTAGGCAATCAAAGGCCATCACCAACAAGAGCGATCCAAAGTACGACATCGTGCGGGAGCTTCGACGGATATGCTTCAACTACGCCATCTTCGCCGCCACCATGCCTGACATGTTCGGTGAGGAGGCGCCTTTAGAGAATGCACTGGCGGACCGCTTGTTGCTTGGGCCTGACGACGACCGGGGCATCTGCTTCGACTTCCTCCAGGAAGCCTGCAACCGCGCTGAGGATGACGAGACTGCGAAAGAGGCGTTAGTTGGTGCTATGGAAGATCTGAGCCGGCGATTGTCGAGGGCATCCATGAACAGCGACTACAAGGCCTACATGTTGGCGCTTCGTAGCCTGATACGCTTCCCTCCGCTCGTCGCTGCCATGGTGCAGTCAGAGACCTTCTTGCCTATCGATATCGAGGCCCAAAACATCGAGACGCAGACCTTTCTTGGACCGTTCTTCCGGCTATCGCCTATGCAGGGCGATGTTGCGGTCAACTACTTCAATGGAGCATCAGGTGGAGATAAGGCCTTAATCGCTAACGCGCAGCGGGCTCTCCGTATGACCCTCCAATCTCACCAGGACGAGCTCTTTGACGTTGCGAACGCCTTCATCAAGAACAAGGATTCGCGAGACAAGATGCTCAACTGGTTCGCCCTGACAGTGAACAAGAACCACAAGCGACGAGCCCTTCAAGTCGATGCCAAGACCGTGTCCACTGATGGGTTCATGGTCAATGTCACCGTTATCCTGGATCGATTGTGCGAGCCCTTCATGGATGCCTCTTTCTCCAAGATCGACCGGATCGACATTGACTATCTTCGACGAGCGCCGCGCGTTGACATCGAGGATGAAACCAAGATCAACGCTGATGAGAAGATGTCGGAGGAGTTCTACAGCACCAAGGCTGATGGAGTCAGCAATTTCATATCGGAGGTGTTCTTCCTGACCGTGGCCGCCCACCACTATGGTACTGAAGCTGCCAATTCTAAGCTCTCATCCTTGCAGAAAGATGTAAAGTGGCTGAAGAAGGAGCTCGAGAAGTTCGAGACCGAACGCCACAAGTACATTGCGAATCCTGTGCAGTTGCGAGTCTTCGATGCCCATGTCAAGAAGATCAAAGATCAAATCGAACGCGGTACCTGCACCAGCCACGCCATCATGGGCATACTCAGCGACGAGACTATGCAGGCCCGGTCTATGCAGCTCATGCGCTATGTCATCGTATGGCTGTTACGTCTTGTCTCGGGAACCGATTTTCCCACGCAAGACTTGCAACTGCCCCTGCCTAGCGAGCAGACCATGGCTTTCAGGTGTCTTCCCGAGTACTTTGTGGAAGACATTGTTGGCAACTTCAAGTTCATTACACGCATGATGCCGCATATTATCACGAACACCCAATGCGAGGAGCTCGTGAAGATTTGCATTGTTTTCCTCCGCGACTCCGAGTACATCAAGAATCCATACTTGAAGTCTGGTCTGGTGACCATCCTGTTCCACGGAGTCTGGGAGATCCCACACCATCCGAAGGGTGTCCTTGGCAATACACTGTTTGCCAACAAGTTCGCCACAAAGCATCTGCTGCACGCTTTGATGCAGTTCTACAACGAGTGCGAGAGCACCGGCGTGCACACCCAGTTCTATGACAAGTTTAACATTCGCTACGAGATCTTCCAGGTAATCAAGTGCATCTGGCCAAACCAGGTGTACCGTGACAACCTCGCTACAGAAGCACGGTACTTGTTCTCTCCCTTTCCCAGCCACATTTCATACTAACATAGAAACAGCGTGAACCTGGAGTTCTTCGTACGGTTCGTCAACCTGCTGCTCAACGACGTCACCTTCGTTCTCGATGAGTCGTTTACCGCGTTCACACAGATGCATGAGATCTCAAAAGAGCTGAAGGCCGATCCTAACATGGAGCAAGCCGCACGCCAGGAGAAAGAAGAAAAGCTCTCAGCCGCCCAGGGAAAGGCTAAGAGCTACATGCAGCTGACCAACGAGACCGTGGCTATGCTGAAGCTCTTCACGGAAGCACTCGCTGACTCTTTTACAAAGAAGGAGGTCGTTGTTCGTCTCGCACACATGCTTGACTACAACCTCGAGGCACTGGTTGGCCCGAAGAAGTCAAGCTTGAAGGTCGACAACCCTGAGGAGTACGGTTGGAATCCGCGCCAGATGCTGGCTGAACTCACAGATGTATACCTCAATCTGCAGGACAAGCAGTCCTTCATTGATGCCGTCGCAACCGATGGACGTTCTTACCGTTCAGAGTACTGGATCGAGGCCCATAAGATCATGGCCAAGTTCCACCTCAAGAACGATCAGCAGCTCCAGCAATGGGAAGCCATGGCTCGCAACATCAGTGCCACCAAGGAGGCTGCTGATGTGGAGGAGGCTGACTTGGGAGAGTACCCTGACGAGTACACTGACCCTCTCATGGCTACATTGATGGAAGACCCGGTCACCCTGCCGATCAGCAAGCAGATCGTGGATCGAAGCACAATCAAGAGCCATCTGCTCAGCGACCCCCACGACCCCTTCAACCGTTCGCCACTCAAGATCGAGGATGTCATTCCCAATGATCTGCTGCGGGACGAGATCCTGGCCTGGAAGGCGGACGTGCTGGCGAAGAAACGAGCCGAGCGTAGCGTAGCGGCTGAAGGTGAAACCATGGACACCTCGTAGACAGCTGAGCATCAGTGATACTTGTGAGCATGCATTGAGGGTGTTTTGGCGTTTGTATCCGTCGCTGCGGTTCGTGCTACGATCCCACCGTCATGACACAGTGAGATTGGCTTACGGCTCTTGGGATGATCTTGTCGTAATATGCATCTGCATCACGGCATCCTGCATTTGGACAGGTATGGCAAGGTAGATACTGAATAACGAGATTTTTACATAACCCAAATGTGCTAAGGTTTGCGTGTAGTGAATCTTTTCTCTAAAGTAGTTGTGCAATGTCCACTTTCTCCAAGACTGATATGGCTTGTGTCACGCGCGAGTGCACCTCCTCCACTGTTGGCCGCATCTGGTCAAGCTAGCGAGAGTGTCCAACACTTGTTCAGGCTAATGGATCTTTTTGTTTCGAAATAGTGGTGAAGTACATCTCAGCTAACAAATCGCTGGGAGACGTGCTTAATTGAAGTGAACGTTACTACGTCGCTAAGACTAAGCTGCCCAGCAATTTATTCCTCAACTCTCACCCCATTCTACTACTTATCGCGTAACCGAGTGACATAGTGACTAAGCCAACCTGCTCTCCATCTATTCACCATTGGGCTTAGTTTTTTTGCTGATGTTGTGCATAGGTATACGGCGGGTCGTGGCTTCCTTACGATCTTGGGTGACAAGTACGATAATACATCGTCTCAAGGAGCCCTCTCAGCATTTGACAGTCTAGGTAGGAATTCGATTTTGGCGAGAAAGCCAACCCTCGTTGAAAAGTCGCAGTAGTAAGTAGTTCAGAACAATGGCTGTGGGCTGGTACCCTAATTGAGAGAGTTCGCAGGCAACTCTACTTAGAATCTGTTTTTCTTGATCAGGCGACTCCAACGTGTGCTGATTTAAGAATCCCCTCGTTTCTTCGATACAAGGAATCAAAATATCCTGAACGATTTGGCTCGCAGGAGCTGCATTCCACTGAATCTCAGAAAAAGAGTGCTTTTTTCCCTTACTGTCACAGTCATAAAAGTGGCAAAGTATAGACTATATTTGTACCGCTGATTAGGCTGCTTATACAAGGCTGTTTCTCTGCAACACTAACGCGTATGCTCCTTGTGTCTACTCAGCGTCATTCCGAAAGCCTCCTCGTCAGCTCGCGCATTCTCCACGCACTTGAGCTTTTCGCTAGTCGTTTGTGTATACGCTCTACTAAGCGGTTTCGCGGTATGCAACATGACACTGATCTTCAGAAGACATATTCTGACATTCCAGTCTCCAGTCCATTCCCTGTCCATTTCGACGCCTCACGAAGATGGTCACTTGACACACGTAACCTCGAGCTCTCGGCTGAGCAAGCACGGTCACACCGCACGAACCTCGTCATCTTCCACCTTCTTAGCAATTGTACGCCTGAGATTAGGGATTGCGCGTGGAAAGTCGATCGATTATCTAAGATGTTGAGTGAAAAGGAATCCCGAACGTCGTCGGTGTTGTCTGGTTTCGAGTTGAGTCTCTGCGTTGCCAAAAGAATGTCCTGGGCCTTCAGGGCATTATTGTAGTCACGGCAACACCAGTTTGAGGAGTAATTAAGGCGGAGTGCAGAATAGCTCTGAACTGGAGGGAGAGATTGGATGTTCATAACGTCGTGGTTCATTTTATAAGTTGTACGTTGAACTGGGCAGGACGGCATGAAGCCACACGCCTCTGCAAAGACTGCCACATAACATTGTAAGATAAATCGATGTCTTGCACGACTACAACCTGGTCTTTTTTCCTGTCCAATGGAGATCTGGGGCTCAGAGTGAGCCACTCTCGTGACGCATGAATACCTCTTTCACCCGGTGCCAAACGACCACATAGCTACCGAGAGCCGCTCCTTTAGTTTCACTCGCCTCTTCTACAAATCCCCAGTCCATTTATTTTGTCTTCCTAATTCCCTTCTTCTTCCTCAAATTGCACATATCAATCCACAGCAGGACTTAACAATGTCACACGGACTCACGAGGTGGGACCGCGACCACATATAATTATCCTTAGCAAGACACCATCCTGTACCTTGGGGGAGCGAACGTTATACTCCTATGCTTTCTCTGGCGCATACTGGACAAGCGGAGACATCGTTTTGGCATAGTGCGTGAGCTTCAGCTCAGTTCCCGGGCTTTCGAAATCTGTTTCTGTTCTCTTGATCATTGTGTTCTTGGGTCATTCACTTTAGAACCACCATGTTCACACGTTCGCAATATCCAAAAGCTGTTTCCGTCCCTCGAGCGCCTTGTTCTGAACACAGGTATTTCTGGGGACGACAAGATTCAGGCCGGGTCTCGAAATCGTTCACGCTTGATGACACGCTTCGATTGGCATGGACAAGAATGGAGGGGGGGAGAGTCTTTCATTGAGACACTCTATCAAGGCTGTTGGGACTCATGATTCTATCAGCACTGAACGCGAGCAGCTCTGATGAGGATTATCGAGCAGTGATAGGGCACGAGGGCAGAAGGTATGGCCTTTCCAGACAGACTACTGAAGGGACAAGAGCTTGAAAGAGACGCAAGAGGAGTGGTGAACAAGATGGAGCTTAGATTGGTGAGGCGATACTGATGTATTGAGCATGGACGTTGACGCACGATGGGAAATGGCTGTTAGCTGAGTTCTGGGACGGAAACTTAGCTATTAGCGGCAACACAACGCCGAGCGATGATAAAGACGTAGTTGAGCAAAGGTCTTTACATTGTTCTAGCGCGGGCGGGAAGCATGACTGGAACGTGTGGGAAACTAACGGACGAAGTGAGGTATGCGGAAGCATTAAATAGTCACGGGCATGAAGTGGGACGAGCAATTGTGTAGTCGATCACATTGGGCGGACATCGCGGAGGAGACCCAGCTACGTCGTAATCTTTTCGGTTGTAGCCATGCCGCACAAAGCCAGATCGTCTGGAGGAACCCAACACATCACGTAGGTGGCTCCAACTTTTGCACTTTTTGGATTTGTTCCATTGACCTGCCGACCTATACGTATCTCATGACGCCGTCATCGTGTTCCGGTTCGGCCGGTATGCAAGCCGTGTCACTGAAAGGTCGTGACTATTTCCACCCCAGCAATGGGAATGTGCACCGTTGATCCGTGTTGAGCAACCCCTAGAAAGGCAAATGGCGAAAGAAAGGACGAGAGAAGACGCTTAGTCGAAGAGACCGAAGCCCATGTCGTCGTCGGACTCCTCCTTCTCTGTAGCAATGCGTTAGTGCGTGATCTCCTAATATCGAATTGGCGCAGCGTGTCATACCCTCAGCCTTCTCCTCCTCAGCGGGAGCAGCGGCGCCAGCGGCATCACCGCCAGCAGCGGCAGCACCACCGGCAGCGGGGGCAGCACCGCCGCCGGAGCCGACGTTCAGGAGCAGGTCTTTGACATCCTTGCCCTCAAGAGCCTGGAAGTTGTATCAGAAACCAAGTCCCACATCTTCTCTCAATCGCGAATGCGCACCTTGGCGAAAAGAGTTGTCCAGATGGGCTCAACCTCCTCAATCTTTGCGGCCTTGATCAGGGACTGGAGCTTGTCGGCCTGCGAGAATTAGTACCTGCGCACACGCGGACGTCTTCAAATCCAATGCGAAAATCGTACAGTGATGTCGACACCGTCATCGGCGAGGATGAGGGCTGCGTAGGAGGTGGCGAGCTCGGAGGTAGACATTGCGACGGTTGAGTATCGTTGAAGGATGTGAACGGTCGAAGTGTTGCAGTTCGCAGAGTGGTCGATTTGGAAAGTGCGACTAGCGGGCCCTTCGTCTCGCTAAAGCGCGCTTGCCGGCTACGTGCTAGTGTTGAACTGAGGGCCGGTTTGTGCACGTGATTTAGTGACGTCTGCAGCTTCCCCACCACCAAGTGCACTTGGCTGCCGAATCGGTCCACTGGCCCGTCGCAATCTGAAAGCATCAGACCGCTCTGCCCTTGCTCCTTCCTGTGTCTTTACCATAGGAACTGCTAAACTTTCTGCCAATTGACGCTTGTCTCGCACGATGACAGACTCGCCGTTACCGAGGATCCCGCTGGACCCGAAGGAGCAGCCCATCCTCGACAAGCTGCAATCGATACGGACCCAGCTCGAGTTACTGAAGCGCGACCGATCGACATATGTCAGGAGCCAGGATGTTCTTCAATTGTACGACCAAGTCATTGAACAGGTGATGATTCTGAATGAAATCCGAGTAACAAAGCGCCTCGAGCAGAACAAGGGTATGTCCGTTTGTTGAGGCTCTTGTCAACTTTGTCGCTCACATCACATCATAGTCGACTACATGCTAGACGACTGCTTCCAACTCATCTCGCTTGCATACATGACAGTAGGCAAGAACCACGAACCTCCGGCTGTGTATGTTGGCCCCATGATTGTCATAAATTTGACACTTGCTGACTGCATACCACAGCTACTCATACATCTCCACCGCGAAGGTAAACTTCATCCGAAAAAAAATCCTCATTCCCTGATTTGCTTACTAAACGATAAAGCGACTCTTAGACCACCTCAAAGAAGCGATGTTCTACTCACCCAAAGATCTGGATGGTCTCGGCGGGCAGCTGAAAGAGTGCCGACATTATGTTGAAAGGGGTCAGGAGGAGTACAGCCCACATCTTCTTACTCTGCTGGATGCCCGCATCAAGGTCTGCGAAGAGATACTGGCGACACTGCGATTGAACCTTTCACACCTCACACCAGAGCTGACACCAAAATGGGACAAGCTTGTCTCGCTACTTCGATCACTGGCTGGCTGCAACGCGCGATCAAAGTTTCCCAACGAAGAGGTCGATGCCTACGCTAAGGAACTCTACGAGCTTGAGGAAGAGCTTAAGAAGGATGGCATCACTGCGTACGAGACTACTGGCTCAACAGAGGACAAGCTTGTCGAGATGACCGAGAAGATGAAGTTGACTGCAGCGGATGAAAACCCAGCACCCCAAGCCGAAACTTTAATCTCGCAACTGCTTCGGCGCAATCTCTTGTGGGTGACTTTGATAAAGGAGAAGTCAGTACACTCAATCCTTGGGAAGAGAGAAAGGCTGACAGCTCAACAGGCAAGGTCGCATCAACCCGGCGTTCCAGGACGTGTACGACAAGCTTTTGTCGATTCGTAACAATCTCGACAAGCTTTCACTCACACAGGCATGGTCTCTGCGCGAGACAGATCTGTGGGACTTCCAGCGCCAGTTGGACCGTATCGATGAATCGCGAGCTGAAGATGGCAACTTTTATGATGCGCTTGGCCGACCTGCCGAGATCTATGAGCAGAGGGTAGGTTCTTCATCATGCGCATTGGTGCATTACAGCTAATTGTCGACCAGACTTTGCTCTACCTCCTACGCAAGAGCTATGCCATCATATACCAACTTCTACTGACCTCTGAGCCCGTCTCTGAGGCTCTTTTGCCCATTTACAACCAGCTTACAACGCTGAGAAAATGCTTGCTCGAGGTGAAGAAGCTTGGTGGCGTCTCATCTCCGCGCGAGCTGTACCCCTACAGCATGAAAGTAAGTGAAGTCGGCACTCTATTCCTGAAGTAGGAGCTAATCAGTGGCAGCTCAACTCGATCGACAATATGCGCGTAGATGGGAAGTTCATGGTCGGCGATGAGATCCCAGACGGACAAGGAATCGTAACCCAGCTCCTCGAGGAATGTTTCGACCTCGCGTACGAACTCAGAAACGACGCAGAGGACAGCAGTTCGGCAGAAGCGACACCAGCGGAAGGAACACCGCAAAGCGAGACGCCCGGCGAACCTGTGATCGCACAGTCATGAATGGCGATCGACCTCGGTATTGGTGGCGTTTTATCGGATTCAAATCACTGGCAGCCAGGCGTCCTCGAGTCGGGCTTATGGAGGCATTGGTTGGGTTTGCGCGCACTGTTTCAACGTCATGTACCCGTAATCGCGCTTTTCATGCTCAATCGATATGAATCGAGTTGAACAGTTTGAGTTCCTCTTCAGGTGATGGTGCGACTGGTGCATCGGCGTCCTTGAAAGTGAGATGACTCCCGTACGAGATGCCTTTGTCGATCAGAGACTGTATAACTGAGAATGCATGTTGGCTTACAGAGTTCTTCGCCAACTGGAATATCGCGCAGTGCTTTGTATGTGATGATGAGGCGTTCTGTGTCTCGCTCCCACACAACGTTCTGATGCTGAGTCGAGTGATTGAACATGGAACCCAAGCCCAGGATTACGGCTTGCGCTTTGTGCTTGTTGCCATGTCGATCTACAATTGGCCAATTACTAGGATGGAGTCAATGTCATGAAACTCCATGGGTTGGGTGGATACTTACTATGTGTAATGATATAAGGATGTGTGTTCAATGTGCGTCTCATTCTCTTCCAGGCCCAGAACCAAGACCGGACAGACTTCGATCACAGTCTTTGCAGGAATGACTTCTGTAGAGAAAACACCTCGGCCTGCGCCTAGATCAGCCCCTCGATGCCATGTTGAGCCAGTGGGAAGTGCGATGGACCTTTTGGCGTATCAACTTTGATGTACAAATTTGGAAATCGCTGCAGAGGAACGTCCGACTTGTTTGTTGGGGTTGCCATATTGTCTGTCCCCAAAGAAGATGCGCGAGCAAGGGAAGCCGAAAGGTTGTCGAATGCTGGGGCCAAAAATTCGCGACTGCACACCTGGACTGAGCCGGCAGCCGGAGCAGCTCGGGGATGCCCCACATGTCCGTCATGGACCGAGACGGAGCTGCTCGACTTACGACATGGCGGCTCCCCAGCGCAACCAGCCCTCGATGGGCGACTCACTCAAGTTGCCGCACTCGGTGAGCCTGAAGGTGCTGAGGTAGGCAGAACGGTCAAGGCACCAGTGGCGATGACGACGAAGATAACCATGGAGACAGGCTCTCGCGGCCATCGCTGGCAACGCAGTACCCGCTGCCCAACTCGCAGGAGCTTGGGATCTCGCCCAAAGCCTCGCTCGCATACCCGTCCGATGCTAACAGGAACGACACGTTTATCCTCAGCCCCGCCCTCAACCTCCCCGAAGCCTTCGGCAGCGCCTACGTCGGCGAGACGTTCTCGTGCACCCTGTGCGCCAACAATGAGCTGCGCCCCTCGGATAGCACAAAGTCGGTCAGTGGCGTGAGGATACAGGGCGATATGCAGACGCCGTCAAATCCCACAGGGGCGCCTCTAGACCTCGCATGGGCAGACGGCGAGCTCGACGGCGCCGCGTCCCCCGCACCGGGCGAGTCACTGCAGCGGATATTGCGGTTCGAGCTCAAAGAGGAGGGCAACCACGTCCTGGCAGTTACCGTCGCATACACCGAGACAGCGCTGGGAGAAGGCAAGGCCTCGGGTGGCCGGGTGCGCACGTTCCGCAAGCTGTACCAGTTCGTTGCGCAGCAGCTGCTGAGCGTGCGGACCAAGGCCGGAGAGCTGAGCAAGACAGACGGCATGTCGAGATACCTTCTAGAGGCCCAGCTGGAGAACATGGGCGAGGCTGCTGTCTGCTTGGAGGTACGTCGCTCCGCTCTCATCCTGGTTTACAAATTTCCGACTACACGCATTTTGATGGCCTTCATCAACCTCAGACACGTTCCATGCAATTACATGCTGGCTGCTGCAAATGGCACCAGCCCCTCGATCCTGCATGCACTTCCTCGTGCATTGCGGACGCGACTCCAACCTTCCAGAAGGAAGATCCCTTCCGTCATCGCTCCCTTCCCTTGAATCCCTTCGACCAAACGCCCAGCCATGCTACATGGTAGCTGATATCGAACAGGCCGTCACAGTCAATCCGAAACCGCCCCTGAAATCAACATCTCTAAATTGGGACATGCCTTCCCCAGGATCCACGCAGGCTAAAGCCCCTATACTCACACCCCGCGACGTGATTCAAGTAGCGTTTCTGCTGGACGAGCAACCCGACGCTTCAGAGTCGCATGACGAGGCCTCAACGGCAGGTGATGACTCCAGGAAGGTTCTCGGACAATTAGCTATTCAATGGCGGAGCGCACTGGGCGACCGCGGGTCCCTGAGCACCGGTTGGCTGACCAGCCGACGATGAGGCTCCGATAGAGTTCGGCTACAAAAGCCCACGAAACTTACGACCACCACCTATTCTCCGACGCGCTGTAAACTCTAGTACCTGCAGGCACCCAAGACAGGAGCCCAGAGCGTCGGTGCTACGTGCCGCGTTGTCGGAGCCCGTCCGATGGGCGCTCCATGGAGTCTGATTGGGCAGTAAGTGGGAGGTTCTCGGTAACGGCCCGAGAAGTGCTGAGGATGCGAGAGGGATGATGTTGGCGCGTGGCTGGACACATCTGCCAAGCAGCTCGACTCGTACCTGCGTATACGAAGTAGAGCGCCTCTGTCGGAATCCCAAAATACCTATCAAAGCCGTCCAAGTAAGGTTGGACGGCGACGTGGTTTCTATTTTTGACACGAGCATCAGATATTGCGAACATTCGCTTGAGAATTACTGTCAGATGGGGCTCTGCTGATCTCGATACGCACGATTTGGATAGATTGTAGTTTCCAGGGTTCTGCCATGCGAATCGAGCGGATAAAGGCCCTCGCTGCCGTTCCCACCTCGAAATCACCATTTTCCGGGGATCACCCCTTACATTCTACATAATCGACCAGGTCAAGCGAATGCACGTCACAATGCCTCGATCTAGATTCTATGCTTTTGCGGGCCGCCTGTGCTGTGCAATTAACACCTGCACGTTGAGAACTCCCCGTACCCGAAGCTCGCTGCTGAACGGAACGGATGGCCCATCCGTTCAAGGCTGGTCGACTCGTCAGCCGCCCGCAGGCGCATTTCCAAATCCCAAGCCATCGAATCGGCGACACCTTGCTCCTCAGAACTCACTTTGCCAAATCGATCCTAACACCTCTGAGATTGCGTCGTGCAACAAGGCACCCCAGGATTGGCGCCGCGGTAGCAAGCTGGAGCGCGGTAGCAAGCTGGAGCGCGGTAGCAAGCTTGAACAGTGTGGGGCTGCTCGGTGCGACGGTAACAAATGGCAACCTCTGTAAGATTGCGACGTGCAAACCGTTGAAGGGTCTTCAGGCCCTCACGACTCGCCGCCGCAGGCTCGCAATAATGATCAGCGCGGGATGTAATGAATTGTGGAATCATGCCATACGTGGCGATTCCCGGTGGTGCAGGGCAGCTGATAATGCACGAGTTGTGGGTGAGGCGGTTTGACTCTGCAGTACGAAATCGCGGTGATAAATTGTTCAAGTGTGCGTTGGTGGCCGGTGCAGCTGACTCTACAGTATTGTTTCGTCTTGTTTCGACGTGAGGGTGTATTGGCCGCAAAACGAAATTCCTGATGAACGGGTTAGGAGAGCGCATCGCATCCTGCGCAAATTTGTTGTGACCTTCCCAAGAGAGTGCAGTGTTATGGCGGCGGCGTGTCTGTATGTGTAATGAGTTGGTTCCTGAACGAGACGTTCGGACTACTGTACGCAGGGGAAAGTGTTCATAGGCCCACATCTGTACACGCATGCTGGCACGATGATCCTTCTGCCATTACGAGGCACTTGTCCACAGTCAAGTTGACAAGTGACTAGCACGACCACTGTCTGGAGGCTACGGTACCGTGATGCGTGTGCGCCGTTGTCTGGCAGAGGCGACCTGCATTATGTCGGCGGCAAGTTGCAGTTGACATTTGGCAGGCAGATGGCAGATGCTTTGTGCACCGTTGCTGTTGCACGAGGATGATCAGACACGGTAGCAGGTGCTCTACACCTGAAACAAGAGGCGCTGATGCTTGCTGATGCATATTGCATGCACATCCTTCTTTTGGATGGATAATGGCGATGATATGCAGTTGGCGAGCAGTCTAGGGCATCCTTGCCCGCCCTCGCCTCCATCGCAATATCGTGTGGGGGATCGTCAAAAGAAAAGGGAGCTGGTGGTCAGTGGCTGCACAAGACATCTGCGGTGTATTTGGCACTGCATGCACGCATGTTGGTGGCTTTGCGGCTATCGCAGCGCACGCAAGAAGCCGCGGTGAGCATCCCAACCCCCTGGATGTTCCTTCTAGACACGCATCCTAGATAGGCAAGGGCCCAGCCGCAACTTCCAAATTCGTGCCGCTCTTTCCCTGCGTGACAGGGATCTGGCAGAGAGTTGCTTGCGGCAACTGTCACGCCAAGCCACAGATGTGCAAGACGACCGCTTTGTTCGTAGAGATTCAAGGACGTCAAGCGGCCCACGACTCGCGTCCTGTGTCCACGTCTAGCGGCCCAGCAGTGCCTTGTAGCTTGCAGACTGATCGCACTGGCGCTGGCGTACCTGGGGCGCTGTTCGCGTTCGTGCGGTGGGCGGACTCGCGGCCCATAGGCGCTCTTCTGACAGGCCACTGAGCGTGAGAGCAGCGGGAGGTGTCGTGCGCTAGGCACAATGCCCGTAGGGCATCTGCACGATAAGGTCATGGACAGGTGTGGGCCTCAGAGCGCATTGCTGTGAATTTGGACTAGCACCCTGAAGGCGCTCACTTGTATGGCCTGTGACCGGCCGAAAAGCCCACAAGGACCCTCGTGCTGCTGCGCATCCGTCTGCTTTGTTCACTCCTTTGCTGCTGCAAACAAACGCTTCCACACAAACTGCACTCGCTGACATAGCCACGCACACTCGCCCCCGCGTACACCTGCCCTCAACGTCCTCGCTTCTGGCTGAGCTCCCCATCCGCGCTGCACGCTGCCGACACCCGTGCTACGCATTCTCGCCCCGTCACGGTCGCACAGTCGCAAGCCTTCCCGTCCACATTGCCCGCGCCCTATTACACAAACAACCGTTGGAGCTGGCGGCCAATCCCCAATGACCTGAGGCAGCGGCCGACTCGACGCCCTACAGCCTGCGACCGCGCACTCGACGCTCCTTTAGCAGTCTGCTTTTTGGATATCACAGGCCCCTTCAGCAGCCCGGCATGGCTCCTGTCTTCTCCACCGAGGGCTCCAATGCGCCGCTCGCCGACTATTTCTTCATCTCTGGTATCGAGAGCTCGCAGGTCTACGACGAGCGCCTGCAGCCCAACGGCATCGTTTCCCCACTTGCGTCCCCGCCAGTTGACGAGACGATTGAGGAGGATCGTGCCCTCGAGACCGATTCAATTCGCCCGACCTCGCAGGACGGCCTGCCCAATGGCGGCAGCACACGGCGGCGCTCCGGGCAGCGCCTGAGCGAGAACCGCCAATCTGTTGGCACCATCACAGGGCTCGACAGCAAGCCAACAGTCACGGCCAGCAACCGCAGCAGTGCCACCATCAAAGGCCTGAACATCGGAGGTGGCCTCAGTGATGTCGACTTTGAGAATGCGCTTCGCAAGTTTGCCTCGGAAAGAGATACGTTCCTCGAGGAGATTCAGTTCACCGCAGGTGTCGCTCAACAGAGTCGCCAGACGCCCGCAAGGCCGCGCCCAAGGCCCCCACGAGCATCGCAGACACCGAGTGCAAGCGGCGAGGATGGTATTGCAAACCTGAGATCAGGTGTAGGCAGCATTCGAAGGCGCCTGTCGACAATGCAGAGCAGCTTGAAGAGGCAGCCTTCGACACGTCAGTGTAAGTGTAGTCCCAAAAACTCATGTGACACAAAGCATGTGCAGACATGGGTTTTTTGCTTTTTTGGTCGCCCGTTGCTGACATCCTTGCAGCCTCAATACGGACGTCCAAACGCATGTCAGGCTACAATTCGGTTATCCCAACGCCACAACCGTTCAATCCAGATCCCAACATGCATCCTCTGCTGCGGCGCTACGAGCCTGTGCTTCTCGACCGATACCCACCCAGGAACATGGTCGAGGAACTCAAGCGACGCAACCCTTTCCCAGACTACGTCCCCATGTTTGCTTTCCCCAACGACGTCAGTGTAGTATCGTCAGACGAGCGACCGAAAACCCAGTGGCACGGGTTTGCCATGACCAATGGCGACAGCTCCAAGCTTTACGGTATCACTATGGTTGTTTGGTTGCCATTGAATGCCACTGCTGCAGAGGGACTCGAGCGCCAATGTGAAGAATGGAGAAGAAATCACATGAACCCAGAAGAGAGGGAACTGGCGAGCAGCTTGGGCGAGCGTCTGGCTCTGGAGCGTGCGAAGTTATCGCAGCTGTTGGCTAAACTACCTACCGTCCAGCCTGAGTCTGACGCGCGCGAGATCCTGGATGAAGAGATTGGCGCGGTCGAAGAGAAGATACAGCTCATGACGGACCTCCTTCGACCCGTCAGGCACGGAGCAGCATCGAAGATCGAGGGGCTGACTGATGGAGAGACTGGCCTCTGGATCCCACGTGCTTACGGTGTCATGGGAAGAGATGCCAGTCTGACGCCTCTCTGGAAGGAATGGCTAAAAGCCATCGTCGTCCCCATGACGAGTGGTGCTATTCTGCGTGTGCCTCCAAGCTCGCCGCGAGTGGGCATGTGGCAGCCACTCGAACGATACGTCGTCAACCTTTGCGCTGAGGCTCTTAGTCCGATCACCTCCGTCACACAGGTCGAGTTGGCCGTGCGCGAACTCCGAATGTATGCACGCAAGGAGGCCTTGAACGAAATTCCCGGCTCCCGCAATATCGACATCTATGCCCTCTTCCGCTGCCTCTCGATACCAAACATTGTTACGCTCTTCGAATACGTACTATCTGAGGCCAGAATCATCCTTTTGTCGTCTCACACAGCTATGCTCCACCTAGCAAGTATGGCCATCACCAACCTCGTCTACCCATTCCAGTGGTGTGGTGTCTTCATCCCTGTCCTGCCAGCACGTCTCGTGCAGACCATCGAAGCACCATGCCCTTACATTGTGGGTATTGAACGAAGATACGAACCTACCGATTACCCGGATGACGATTTCGTACTTGTCGATCTCGACCAGAACTCGATCGTTTCCAACGGACCTCCGCCTCCACCCCTACCTCGCCAGCAGCGCCGTAAGCTCACATCACTCCTCCAGCATTCGGCACCGCACCACCAGCGCTATGGCGTCCCTACTGGACCTCCAGCCTACGCCGTAGAAGCTTTTCCTTACGACACGTTCTGCTCCGAGAATCCGAGTGTTTTCACACCAAGGGCATACCCCTCGACTGTACAAACCTACGTGGGTCTGAACTCCACATCTTTTGGCACTGTTACCGGACCAGCCAGTGGAAGGCCACTGATCTACAATGCATTCTTGCAGTCGAGTGCACACAGCCGCGGAAACGACAGACCATCCACATCTTCCACGGTTAGGACTTTCTCAAATTCCCCACCTTCGCCGAAGGTCTCTCCCGTGTCGACCGTCTTCCCGCCTCTGCCAAGCACTCCGATCTCTCGCAGCGATTCGGGTTACGCGCTACAAGCCGGCTTGCGCGAAAAGCGCTCAGCCCACTTTGACGCCCAGTCGCGGCGCAGCTCTTCGGTAAGTCCACCACTCAGCTTTCTGCTGCATTAGTAGTGTATTAACGTTTCTTGTTAGTTTGGTTTCGAAAAGGTGCCGCAGATGAGGAGACCCAGCCAGCCGATGCTAGGTCATGCGCCGAGCGCCTCAACATCGTCATTAAGTCAGGAGCTGCGCGCAGGCTCTTCTTACGCGCCGTCCGTTTACGCTCAATCCACTTTGGCGGCGTCGACGATCATGCCTGGCATGGCTATGCAACCCGTGCGGAACACCGCAACCGTGCAATGGCAAGAAGGCCATTGCCTGCAATGGAGGCCTCATGAAGACAAGGCAGCATGTTCGATCTGTGAAGAAAAGTCGGATGAGGGGCTTTATCGATGCTCTGGTAAGTCTCGGATCACCCCCTGATATAGCCCCCGCTGACATCCACACAGGCTGCACTACACACGCCCATGCTAGATGCGCTCCTTCGATTTGCATTGTCTGCCCTACGGCTTTCCGACCCGACCAGGTGCGCGCATCATTTGTGCGATGCTTCGCCAGTCTTCTATACACGTATCGCCGCTATCTTGTGCCAGCCTCCGGCGATCGCAAGAAGTCCGGCATGCACTACCAGTTCAAGATGGAAGAATTCATGAAGAATCAGCCTGCCGAAAACATGGGATACTTGACTACATTGCAGCAAACTCAAGCCTTTAATGAGTTCATCCACGAACGCGAGAGCATCTCCGGCGATGATCCTAAGATCAAGCTATTTGACGAGGTCATTCTTGCAAAGAAAAACCGCGGCGCATCCTCATACTTTTACAAGACCAAGGCCGACTTCCTATCGGACACGAGTGATCATCTTTGGCGCACTGCACACGCCAGCCCACCGACGTCTCGTTTCCCTGGCGATTATCGCTCTGTTGTCAGCCGTATTCCCGCGAAGCTAGACATCACACTTATGAAGGAGCCACGCGTCATTCAAGGCGTCCCCCGGCCTCAAAACGCCAAAGCGCGAAGGAAGCCGATCCCCTCAATGCTCTCAAATGGCGTCCCAGCATCGTGATTACCACTCGAATCCACGCCTCTTTGACGATGAATTGACTGACCATTGGCGCTTGTGTCGCCTCTTACCTCCCTACCGTCACTTTGTTTTCTTCTGCTTGTGTTTGTACAAAATCAGCGCTGGAGTTTTGGGCGCATCGACCAACCATTGTGGTAGCCTGCATTGGCTGGGTTGATTTCTGGACAAATCAATCTGTGAATCATTTGCATCTACGGTGGTTGGATGGGACCTTTAAGTCTTTTGGATATCCCGTCACGTACTAGAGAGCAGAAAAACGAGGCTTGCTCGAACTGCACGATATTACTTGTAATGTATCTCTTCGCACCCGCTCGTGGCATCCGCTTGCAAACTGCGGAATTGCCTTTCCTGTAGAGGCAGCTCGGCAGGAGATAGACAGCCAGTCGCCTCTGGATACCACAATGCAACATTTACTATCACCGTCCATTATTTCTGTTCTTTAATCGTACTCTCGAACATAATCTGTGCTCTGCAAATCTCACGTAGGAACACGCCAATCAAATCCGTGTTTGGCTGCTGTTCCTGACTAACGGACTAAGTGCCGAACGCGGTCGCGGCTGCCTCCTTGGCATGGGGATGACGGCTGGGCCCCTATCAAGCCTCATTGCTTCCTCGAACTCAATCGCCAAACCCCAGACTTCTACAGTCGTCGTTCTTTACGTTTCGCTCTCTATTGTCGTTTTTTAGACTAATACTTTTACACGCTCACTACGCTACCACCATCTTTACGTCCCGACTTCGCAGACGATCGAACCGCCGCTTCCAAAACCTCAAAGTAATCACAAGCACCGCCAACATGCTTGCCAAGACCGTTTTCGCCGCTGCCTTCTTCGCCCTCGCACGGTTCGTTATCGCTACACCCCCCGGGTGTCTCCTCGGTGCCGTAAACGAGTACTCTGACCCTTCCGACCTGAAGACCGTCTGCAAGGCCAAGGACCTTACCACACAGATCGCCAAGTTCTGCGGTGATGACACGAAGGCGGCCCTGAGCGCTGTCGCAGACATCTGCAATGATCAGGGCGTCAAAGTCTGTACGTATAGCCAGGTCACAAGTAACGAAGGGTTGTTGAGTGGAAGGGAAGAAAAATCTAACGCGACCGCAGCAACTGACGTCCCCACCTCGACCGGCAGCGTCCAGTCTAGCGGCACTGGCGCTTCTGCATCTGCCACTGGCACTGGCTCCATCAGCGTCTCTGGCTCCAACAATGGCACTCTGGCTACTGCGACCGGATCAACACCTAAGCCTTCCGGCACCGCTGCCTCTGGCACATCTACTGGTGGTCTTGCTCAGTCTACCGGTGCTGCTGGCAAGCTTGAGATTGGTCTTGCTGCTGCCGTTGCCGGTGTCATGGCTTTCGCTTTGTAGAGGAAGAGTTTGTGAAGAGCATCGTGGGGGATGTGAAGAGACGGCTCGACATGTCTTAAGAAGATATGCTTGCATATACCGGTACGAAGTTGAACTATCTGAATCGAATTGTTTGACTTATTATGTTTGCTACGCACCCGAGATGTGCATAGCCGAGAATTGTTCTCCTTCGAGCTCCTGTGACTTGGGAGTTCCAATCGAGTGTCGAGTCTGAGTTGTCTCGAAATTCGATTGCCTCAGAGATCGCCCTATTTGGAAATACCATGGAGTCCTTCGCTAAACTGTTCAACTATTTAGCCCGTTGTTCCACAACACTGAGAGTTTCTCAGTGACAGGCTGTGAGCTGTCTGCCACACGTCAAAGCTTCCGAAGTCTACAAAGACGAGGAGTAGCACAACCGCTAACATAACCGTAGCCTATAGGCACCCCACACCATGCCACATCTTTACTGTATCAATGCGCCTTGGACTCACCCTTCTGCTGCATGTACACTATTATCTGGGTCTTCGTCAGGACGTGGATGCCACCCAGTCCTTTGAAGCCCTGGAGATATATTGGGGCGGATCTTGTTGAAGATCTAAGTAGTTTAGCAAGCAACGCAGAATGACTTCCATCAGAGGTAAGGCTGTTCTGCTCCACGCAGCAAATGATTTCCTGACTATCGGCCACCAGCTCTCGAACAACGCGCTCCCTTGCTGCTTTTCGGACGGCAGCATCCGGGTCGTTGCCAGCGTGCTTCCGGGCTGAGCCCCACGCCGAAAGGCGACAGACACAGAAGTTGCCCCATGGCTGAAATGGGCCGCTCCATGTCGAGCTGCGGTAAGGCGTCGAGTTGAAGTTTGTCGGGGCTTTTGGCAGCTACAGGGCGTCTCGCAAGATATTTTGGTAGGGGCCGAACTGCCCTGGTGGCTTCGCTGAGTCGCGACTGTGTTTGGTGAAAGCCTAAGGCGGGTGCATATAGTTGTTCGTGGCGTTCAGGAAGCGTCAAGATGATCTCGCTGGGAAAGGATGCCCTGCGGTGCTCTGCGCCGTCTGGCCTCGGATTCGGACTCTGGTTCGACCTCTTTCTCGTCTTCATCTTCGCTAGCTAGCTGCGCCAGAAGAGTACCCGCAGCTTTCATCCTGCTGACGGTGCGGTCACAGGGCTCGGAAGCTGACTTGGCCGGGTTGCCTCACGTTGCTCCCTGTGCTTTGTCGTAGCTCTCTAACACTCGCTCGAGATTCTCAGGATGATGGTAGAAGTCAGTACGATTGGAACACTGATAGCTACAGCGAGAATTGGGTACAGGCACGCTCTGCAGCGGGCAATGAACCAAGTGGGTAAGCCGTGTGGTGGGGTTATGTGGGGTCCTTGCCGCGAAATGAAAAAGGGTTGCATATTGAGGAATAAGAATGCTGGGCAATTTGTTTTATGTATATATTTATTAAATGCACCACAATTTTCATCAAATCGGACAGATGGCCGAGCGGTCTAAGGCGCTAGCTTCAGGTGCTAGTAGAGAAATCTGCGTGGGTTCGAATCCCACTCTGTTCACTATTCTTTTTGCGTTCGATCCAGATCATTTTTTGATCTGGTGGTTGCGGTGTGACGTTAAGGATCGAGATGAGCATGTGCGGCTTCTCTTTTGGCAATGGCGAGTGGCAGGCGCATTCAGGCGGCTTCTCAGCTGTGCTGTCAACCCAAGACGCCTAAATCTTCTTTTATCCATCCTGTAGCAAAGGTGTAGCTCGAGACCGATGTATACTGGGACCCTTGCTCAGCCATAGGCCCGGCACTCGATGCAACCATCAAATTGAACCGTTCACTCTAAAAATATTCAAAGATCAGATAGCAGCTTCTTTCACGTTGTCCTTGTGCTCGAGGATGGGTCTTAATTTAGGCCTGAAGAGTACAAAGCCCTGCTTGCACAGTCATTTGAACAGTATGCAGTCGTGAAACCCGCTTGAGAATAGCGACTGAACAAGGACATCTCTCCCTTTCACCCGTTTGCACGTTGCTGCCTCACATAGAATGTAGTACCTGTTCTGTCCATCGCACTTGCACCACACACGTCCATACCGCCATTCAACCGTGACGACGCAACACTCTCTATCACATTCGCACAGTATACGTTTAGCATACACTCAGAGTTACAAAAGTCGTCGTGAACAGCTCTGGCAACAATATCGTACCCGACTCTTACGTCCTCTTCAAGGATGAGGAGCCAGCCATTCATTTGCCTGCAGCGGGTCCCTACATCTTCTCAGCTGAGGAGCTGCCCAATGACACCATCTCTCCTCTAGCACACTGCCTGTACAGTGACGTTACCGCTCGCTTATGATGTCCACTCTGAAATTGACTGCGTCCAGGTTGCTTCTTGAGTTCCTCCGCCAATGACATCGCTTGGCCACTATGGCAATCTATAGCAATAAGTGGCATGGATTATATAGCACGGTGCTCGGAGAACCAGCCAAGTCTGGGGTCTGCCGCTGGAAATGTATATCTCATGCAAAATATCGAGGCTTATAAAGTCTTGGATGAGCTTGTGCTGATCTATGACTCGCCCACGTCTCCGTGAATCGAATACAGAAATAATGCGCAGTCTAAATTCACTCTTCGCGTGTCTAGCTAGCCAGCTTGGTGCTGTTACTACGGTGTCTTTGGGTGATGTAGCTACGGTTGGCTACGCAACCTTGGATGGCGGACAAATGCGCAGGACGTACACCAGTATGTGCAGGCCACATACCAGAGCGCAATCACGACCAAGTACTCGACAAACGTCTGGATTGATCACGTAAATCTGAGCAATGACAGGACCCACGATAAGGACTACTACGACCGCCTCCTTGATGTGACCCGAGCTTCGGTGAGCAGCCTCTGACCTATGCATATAAGCAACAACTCACAGAAACACGGGACTTCATAACAATCTCCAGTAGCTACCTACACGACCACTGGAAAGCCGAAGACTCCACGTGACCTACACAAACAACCACTTCTTCAACCTCTACAGCCACGGCCCCATGTTCCGAATAGGTACCGGCCATCTCTTCCACAATTACTGGAACCAGATGGATGACGGCGTTCGCACGTGGGCGGGTGCGCAGCTGCTCACCGAGTCGTGCGCGTTTGAGAACACCAATGATGATATCATCGCGAAGAACGGATATGCTGTGGTGAGAGATGTCGATTTGGGGGCTGGTACGAATGAAGCGCCTGCTGGGACGCTGACGAGTGTGCCGTATTACTACACGCTGCTGGACTGCGAAGGTCAAGGCGGCGGTCGTGGATATCGCTGGTGCAACCTTGAAATTGTGATGGGATTCTAGAGGTCTTAGATAAAAACAAAGACAGATGTCGTGCTATTTTGTATGAGCGCAAAGGAAGAGAGTGAACGTGGTGGACAGGTGGGATTTGCGTCCAAGCGTCGATGACGAGCCCTAGGTAAACTAGATCCTCCTTTCTTTCCATCTTCTCACGACGACAGGATCATTTGAGGTTCATGCGGTAGCTCACAAAGTCGCATGAGGCAAGCTCATCATACAACTTCCTCGCCGGGTTCCCGTGCTGCGTCGTCCATTGCAGACGTGTGCATCCTTGCTTCCTGGCTTCTTCCGCGACAGCCTGAATGATCTTGCGTCCGTAGCCCTTGCCTCGGAGTTCGTGGTCAATGTAAAGATCTGCAATATGTTAATTATTCTCCTTCTACAGTCTCAAGCTCGAAAGAGGAAGCTCTTGCAACGCATGTCTCTTACCATTGAAGTGCATGAGCATCTCCTCAGCCCAAGGTGTCTGCATGGGAAAGTAATGTGCAAGCCCGTACAACTTCCTGTGATCATTCGCATCGCGTAGAACCAAGCCGAATAGATCTTTGTGAGGATCTAGGATGCGGGCGAAAGTTTTGGGATATTGAGCGTCCGGGAGCGAGGACTTGTAGAACTCGATATACAGCCTGAACAACCGCTCCCACTCGTCGTAGTCTTCCTTCTCGATGGGGGTGATGCGGAGCTCGCCAGGAGCTGATTGGTCTGCCATGTTCCGAGAGTGTGAAACAGTTACGAGTCTTGGATTGAGTGGAAGATGATTGCGAATTGGTACCCCACACGAGATATGAGCAGCACGGATTGGAAGTCGCAACATGAACATGGTAATGACGCTGCGCGTACTGTGCTCTGCTCATATACATAATCATTGAGATGTCATCCTATGGATGGACCACTACTCACACGCGATACACGCTCTTCTGGGGTCGCTCGATGATTGGTGTTGTGGGCTTCGCAAACTACTGCCTCTCGAAATCAGGGTCCCTAGAGTATCCGCTTCTGAGCGCCGAATCACTAAACGATAGTAAGATCCAGAACATCGTTTGAATCATTTACGTAAATCTAATCGGTGTTGATGCCTCGCTGCTCCCTATCTATTGCGAAACAACTGGCTGAGATATATCCAGCCGCCTGGTGCGAAGCCAAGAACGCTGCTGCTCTTGCAATATCAGTTGGTTGTGCAATCTCCCTAAGCGGTACACTGTTTCTAGTCTCAAGTCTCGTTGAATTTGAGGCACATTCGAGAGTAACGTACATAGCCTGTGCCTCCCTCCACATCTCTTCGGAATCATCGATTCGCCCCTCAATGAGCTCGGTATCCACCCAGCCCGGAGCTACTGCATTGACTCTTGCATTACCGTTCAACTTGACTATTTCGTTCTTCACAGTTCTGACAAGACCGTACCGCAAGCCAGCTTTCCCAGATGCGTACTCGACGTGCCCTGCTTGACGAAATACTCCGCATTCCGACCCGGTGACGATGATGCTGATGTTGTCCAGCTCTTTCCCGATGCGTGCCTGACTAGACTCGACGTTTTTCAGAAAGTGCTTAATTGTCAAGTAGGTACCTCGCACGTCGACAGCATATGTTCAGTCCCATAGCTCTGTTGGCATGTCCCAGATGGGATAGTTGTTCGACTCGTCTGTAATTCCTGCATTTGCGCAGAGGATGCGGATGGACCCAAAGCTTCGAACGGCTTGTGAAATGGACGCAGATATGATATCTTCATCGCTGATGTCGCCCTGCAAGAACTGTAGACTTGGGTTCGCGCTCGAGGCAAAGGGGTTGATCGTAGATCGTGCGCCGATACTTACCCAGGAACTCTTGTACGATCGCGCTGCCAATGCCTCCTGCAGCGCCGGTTACAAGGACGTGCAACCCTTCAAGCTGGAGGAAAGATGCCATGATGACTTCGCGGTCTGAAGTGCAGACGTCCAAGTGCTTGAGAGCATGCTGTGCTAAGTGCTTCACACACTAGGAGCGCGGAGGCTACCTGAGCCTGCCCGTATGTTACGATAGGCGAATGTCTGTCTAGGAGATAAGGCCGCATCTTGGCTCCAGTCGAGTTCTGAACGCATGATGGTGAGCAGATACTGCACATGCAATTTCGTGTTGACAAGAGTCCAGAAACCTCCTTAATGGCAGGTCTTATACCCTTGGTGAGCTCTGAAGGAGCGGTATCAACCTTGCCTTTTATCGCAGGCTTCTGGAAGAGATCCGAGAACATGGCGCCGTCCCGCACAGAACAGCGCGTCGGCCATACCCCGCACGCGGGTAGTCTTGCATGTTCATCGGCGCGCTGAAGACGCAACTTTGAGGCACAGAAACGCCATTGACGCCCATCCAACCTTCCTCTAATGGCAGGCGCGCTCACTCAGTTCTCAAAAGTCATTGAATGCTGCGGCCTTTGTTAGGGAATAACATGACAAGAGCGAAGCCTGCAATGCCACGTGCACCGGCATGGGACGAATGATGGTTGCTGCTCCTGAGCCGGAGGCTGAGGTATGGCCAATCACCAAAAGTGATGTGTAGGACTGATTAGTTGTGCAGGGCGCAGGCGTGGAGGTTATAGAAGGCACCTCTCAGAACGCGATGCTGATCTGCAGATTGTGCATTGCACTGCAACTCCAGCTGCGATACTTCGCGAAACCAAAGTTCTGCGAGCTCAGAGCTATGGGCGCTTTCGCAGTCTCGAGTGGCCCCTCGACGAAAGTGTCGGTGGTATGTCGGCCCGTGCGAGAAGCCGAGTTATATTTTCTTCGAGCACGGTTTTCCGCTCCTCACAAACACCAGCGAAACATCTCGCAACCACAACGCAATGCGCAGCTTTATGTCAGCTGTGCAATTGCTATTGTCATGTAGATTGGCTCTTTCGAAGACTCGGTGATTCGACACTCTCCACGATCACGAGTTCAATTTGTAGCCTAGAACGAGCCCAACGACCTGCCAAGGTCATCCCACTCGTGTTGCAGTGTCTGAGCGATAAAAAGCCAGGACGACTTTGCGTCTAAAGCATTGGGAGACATACTTGTGATATTAAATGTTTTGTATCTTTGCTGTGCTGTGATGATCGCGCCGTGGCGTGGTGCTGTCTGCCTGCTAGCTAGAGCTCCTTCTCACCAGTGGCTGACACGGGCTTCTGATCTGTCCGGAAGGCCATAGGCTCCCTGTCTTGCTTTGCTGTTGGTGTAGGCTTCCTAGTCACGAGCACCCACATGGCCGCGACTGCCTCAGATGCCAACGCAATGGCGGCTGCGCAGGCGGCAGTCCACACCTGGATGCTGATGCTACCTAGAGGTGCGCGAGGAAAGCTCAAAATCCATTCCACATAGTGTGGCACCCATCCTGTTGGCAACCAGAACATGGGTGACTTGGCAAACCAAAATTGCAGAACGAAACGAAGGCCTTGCGTACCGAGCCAGCGCAGGGTCTTGACGGCGGAGTTAAAGGTCGCTTGGTGGGTGCGGAGAGAGCCGTCTACACACATGTTATTAGCCTCTCCAAGTGACCAGGTTCCTGATTTTCGTACCCAGCTTCTGGAACTCGGCCATGGCCTTGTTGTGCTGGCGGTCAAGCTTTGCCCATTTACCGAAGTTGTCTTGGGCCGATGTGTTTCCAAGCTCACGCTTCAGCCGTACAACCTCCTCCTTAAGGGCTTGACATCGTCGCGCGTTGCTGGATGTTGGTGTGGGTAATTTGTTGTAAACCAACCATAGCTGGGTGGAAATTAGCATAATGCAGTGTTATTTGGAATTACAGAGTGTGCATACGAGCTCATCGATGGTGCTGGCGCCAACAGTGTTGATCAGATGCAGAGCGAACTGGAGAATGAAGACCACCAGAAGAAGGGACGGCATAATGGCGAGAGTTGAGGCGATCGTGACGTGGGGTAGTCTCAGCGCATGCCCTGGTGTTTGGCGTTGATGGTGGAGGGGCCACGTTATGTCATGCAGCGTAAGTGAAATTGGCAGCGGTCCGGGCGGGCCCGTCGCGGCTAGCTCCTCCCCTCAGCCCTCAGAGGGCTAGACAGTCAACATTCCTGCAATGATATATTTAAAACAATCTCGCGCGCCTCGCCATCGGTGGATTGACTGCGCCCAGAGTCTTTGCGATGGCTCACAGTGAACTCCCGGCGGTTGAGCAGCAACAGCATATGTACGAGTCGTTGTGCCGCTACTTTGACGAGCATGAGAACGAAGTAATCGAAATCGAGGTTCTTCCTTCAGCAATCGAGCCTACAGATGGAGCCCTGATGCAGGATGGCTTAAGCTTGGGCATACCAAAGAAGACCCTTACTCTGGCGTTTCTGGCAGCACGGCAGGCATTCTTCGACAACAAAGACAACAGTCCAATTGATCCAAAGGTACAAAAAGATACATTCACTATGTATTTCTGACAGCCCGGTCTTCGAAATTCTTCATCGGCCTTACTGACCCACTTGTCAGGCCCTCCAAGCCACCAAAGTCATGCTACTGTTTGACCCAGAGCTTATTACGGCTGCAAACTTCCGCAAGCGCAGACTGCTAGCAATGAGGGACGTAGAAGATGTGCTCACATGCCAGAGAGCACTCATGTCAGAGCTTTGCTTCCTCGACAGCATCCTCACTTCCCCCTTGCATCGACAGACCAAATCGCCAACTCTTTGGTGGCATCGCTCATGGTTGCTGCAACTCGTTGTCCGTGTGGAATTGAAAAGTGCTTCGGGCAAGCGCATCGCAACCATCATTTCTGCTGGGCTCGAATCCGTATGCAAATCTGGAGAGCGACACCCCAAGAACTACTTCGCCTGGCAATACGCTCGCTGGATGATAGTGGCAGTAAGCCGTGTGCTCGCGGCCTTGGATGCACATATCGCTTTTGACTGTGTAGTGTCTGCGTTCTCCGACCGAGTGTGTAATTGGTGTTTGAAGCACCCCAGCGATATCTCAGGCTGGTTGTTCCTCCTCTTTCTTCTCGCGCGACTTGATCCGGTCGACGAACGAGACGAAATAGTGGAGAAGGTCTTGCAGTACGCCGCGAAAGTGAGATCCGAGAATGAATCGCTCTGGGTCTTCATTCGCAATGCGCTTGCGAATCCCACGCTGTTGGAGGACCGTGACGCTCGCATCGAGACACTCGAAGAATGTCTCGAAGATGCGAAGACAACACAACAAGACTCGGCATACCTAGAGTATGTCGAGCAAAGTCTGCGCTGGATTCGCACCTCTGGCAAGTCGAAATCTCGTCCCTGAATGGTCTATTTATCGCCCTTATGTCGATCAATTTTCAGCCCCTTTGCCGACGTTGCAGTATCAAGGACTTGCGCTAAAACAGAGCGCTTCGATCTGGGATTTCGAGGTTCCCCTAGTGACGACACTGAACTCCGGTTCGCATTGGCACTGTCTCTTCGAGGTCCAAGATTGAAAGCAGTTGGTGTTCGGTTTGACATGGACGACGAGAGTACTCCTTCGCCTACAGCGACCCGGAGTCCCCACTTCGCCTGAGTCCGGCGAGCTCAGCCCAAATGCGCCCCGTTCAATATTAGAGGCTGGGTCGGTTGAGGTCGAGAGATGGTGAGGTGCCGTCCTCCTCGCGTGTAACTCTGGCGTAGGCATTTGCTCGCTAGGCTCATACAGGGTGAGGAGTCTCCCCTTGGTCATCATGCGCACTGCCGACTCACGCTCAAGTCGAAAGGTCGTAAACCCGGGAGTGTTGAGGTTCGAGTAGGGGTTGAGAAGAGTCCAATCAATCTTGTAGACATGCCGAATGCTGGCATATGAATTCCATCGCAGGGATCCGCCTTCCGCCAATACAGGGGGGGGGGGGGGGGGGGAAGCGCTTCTTCGCTTTCTTCGAGTTCGCGTTGGGGTGTTCAGGGGAGGGTAAAATTGGCAGATACCATGAGCGCCGGCTGGTATGGAATTCGTCGGATTTAGGATAGAGCTGGTCAAGCTTCTTTCCCTGCAGAGAGGTGATCTGGATCATTCAGTGGAAGCCCTTTTAACAACGCCCAACTTACAAGATGGAAATGTACGGTCTGCTCATCATCTGCTGGTCTCGACACAATCACCACTGGGTGGTTGTAGATCCCATTCTCGACACGCCCCTTTCCATATGCTCTCCTGACTGCACGCTCAGGCAGATCTTCTACTGCTGGAAGCCAGATAATTCGCCCTTGCACAATACCGTGATCGGTTTTTCTCCTCCTAGTCTACTCTATCTGCGCTCGCTGCAATGGTTGCGGGGCGAGTAAGTGTTTTGGCACGCACTCCGTGCACGCGCCTGAGTAATACTCTGCGGCTGCCATGGTTATCCGTGGTGCATACCAAACTACCCACTAGTGCTGCTCGACACCTTATACCTGGCGTGAGATTATGCCATAACGGACCCCAATTGGGCCGAGGCATCGACAACCCACGCAACCAGGCGCTTTCAGTCATTTCAAGCCTCCTGGTTCGGAAGCCTAATGCAAGTCGTCGTTGCAGCCTGAGCCACGATTTTCCGGCTGCCTTGATCCCGTCAGAGTCCATAGGCTACGTCGGGAGCCGCCATCCCAAGGCTCAGCGAGGCCCGGCATACACCAAACAGCTGTGCTTAGCCAGTGTATGATCTGGAACCAATTTGAAGAAGATTCAGAGCATATGATTAGTGGTTGTATGTTATGGTTCGGCGTAGCCGATATAATGATGGGTCTGAACCAGTTGGAATGTCCTGCCATCTGTGGCGGTGTCCATGTGGCTGTGTATGAGAAGACTCGGGGCTATGGAATGCAATCTCTGCGGGGTGAAGTGCGGTCATCAAGCTTTTTGATGGACGCCAGGTGCAGGCTTTGTTTGTTACGGGATACCGATCAGATGCTGGAAGATGAGATTTGGCAGGTTGTGGGCCCGGTTATCGCATAGTCCTGACTGGTCTTGTGGTCGACGAATCGGCGATTTGACGAACACTCTTTGACGGACTCATCTCCGTTATCAGGTCTGCATCAACCAACACAAGAGGTTTTCGGCGGTGCAGACAGGTTGATGTATCATTGATCCGTGTGGTGGCGATCATTTCGCGATCCCCGAACACGCATCGACTTGAAGGTGTATCGGCGACTCCATCTCAGCCAGGCGCTATTCTGACCAACTGAAGGACGGCCCGAACGTGTACCTAAAAAAATTACTCCTTCTTCGAGTGCGAAAAGCTGGTACTACTCAAGCTTTATGACAAAGCTCCTCCCTTATACTGCAAATGTCGCAGTCTTACAAGTGCTCTAGACCCGCAGCTCAGCCCGAAACCGAGCTCACCCCTGGCCAAAAGGATGTATACGACCGACGAGCCTCACAAGACTCTGCATGAGATGACGGAACCTCTGAAACTTCCTCGTCATCTCCAGATTCCACAGACTTTCTCTCACAGCCTCAAGGCCATCAAACTGAGGCGTTTACTTCCACTTCTCTCTCCACCAGCCATTTTCGAGCCTGACCGCATCCTCGTCTGCAGTCTAGGCTCCACACCTCTCAGCTCAAGCTTATATATCTCCAGCTTTGCGCCGTGGCTTCGAAAGTGCCGCACCGGACGTGCGACATGCTCACCCCACATATCATCCCTGACAGGTTCCCCGTTGGGACCGTAGCTTTTCTGAAGAGGGTGTTTGAACCGATCTGCAGCCACATGGTCGTGCCACTGGAAGATCATAATCAACGCCTCTTCGTCTGCCTCGTCAAATTCCTCATCCTAGTCTTCCTCATAACAGAGCGACATATTCTTCTCATCCGAATTGGTGCTCAACAATGGTGCATGCAGGTGCGTACTCCTTGATCCGAGCGCGCTGGGTCGCGATATCCGGCCACAGTGTGGCAGCTCGGCCCAAGCCCATAAATCCCTGATCAGATCGCTCGGTCGACTAAAAGCAGCTCCCAACCAAAGTGCTTGCCAATCGCTGCAGCGATGCCGGAAGTCGGTGCTCTCAGGGTCATAAGATCGCACAGTATCCTCTGCTCTAGCGATGACGAAGCAAGAGATAGAATGGAGTAATCGAGATACACATGTTGTATGCTTGGAGGGCGTGTAAGGAACCCAAAGATGTCGTTGTAGATCAAGTTGGCGGAGTTCGAACACGTCTCGCTCGCGGTCGTTACTACAACAGCAGTCCTTGGGTCTGACAAACACGGTGACCATGACGTAAATGCTGACAGATGTGAGGAGGAGTCGGCTCCATCGATAAAGTCGTTCAGTAGGGTGTTCAACGCCTTGTAGGAATTCGTGTGAGGGGACACGTCCTCTTTGAACGCAAGTGCAATGAGGCAAACATCGACAGGCGAGGGGTTTGATGGGGATGTGTGAATGGCATGATTACGATTGTCGCACGTTCGACAACATGAGATGGACATATCCATGATTGTCCTTGAAAGTGTGCTCGAACGCTGCAAGAGAAGTAAGGAAGTTGCCTATGACGGAGAGCGAAAGAGCCCTCTCGCTCTGAACTTTTGGAGCGTCTCGAATAACGATTCGTCAACCGACCTACGGAAGGCTCCAGTGTTACTTTCTGTCCGGCAATTCGAGATCGTATCGGTGATGGTTGGCCTGAGCGAGTTGGCTGTGTCAGGCGGAAATTAGCGAGCGACTGGTGCAACGAGAGTAGGCTCTGGATGGGATCAAAGAGTCAGACGTCGAATGTTGAAATGGGATGAAGCATTGTTCTGTAGCACTGACTTCTCACGGATGCGTAAGGTATATTTAGCAACCTCCAACGATGGCAATTTGCTGAAGGTGAGCATTCGATTTGCGCCTGTACTGTAGGACGAGTTTGTGCGGGCTTCATCACCAAGATGTCAGATTTGACATGTAATGTGTTTACATAAGCTGTTTAGGTGGCGGCGACGCAACAGCGGGAAACCTCGTAATCGCAATTCGGAATCGACTGCGAATCTCTAAGACAGTCTTGAAGATAGCTGGCGGACAGGAAGCCTTAAAGGCAAGCATGTCGAGATGAAGCTTGCGGGCCGGCTAGTCCCCACGCTAGGTTGCGAGCGGCCAGGCGTCACGACACCGAATCACTTTCTCTTTCACTGCCATCTCGATCATCCTCCCACTTCACATGTTTCGTCAACACGTTCGTCAACATCAGAGCCTGGAGGCCTTTGGATTACTTTTCCAGGCTCTTTTTCGATCGCGAACACTCGAGGAAAGGCTGTAACCAGTACTGGACACTCTCTGACAGTAAATTGCCGTCAGTAGAAAGCCTGCACATGAGGTATGACTTACACAATAAATATGGGTACTTTGAGTAGCTCAACAAGGAACGAACAGATTAACCTACGGGGTTGTTGTAGGTCAAGGGTATGCGATAGCTTTACCGTGATGAACAGCATTTACCGATTCGTGACTTAAATTACCACGCCTCGCTCCTCTACGCATTTCAAGGAGTGCGAGAAGTACAGGCAGAGACTGAAGGATGTGAAACGAGCATGAAGGGTGTGACGTGGGAGGGCGTGATCACGTTGGGCGGCGCAATTATCATAGGAAGAAAATGTGAAGGATTCTGGGCTATGGATCTGAGAGAAGTATTAAAATGATATTGTTCATGTCTCATGAGCTTGAGCACTTCAAGCTGTCCCGGACCTAATTGTCCAACCGTTAAGCTAAAGAAAACACCATGTGTGCACCACATGCTCAGCCAGCGTAAGCGTACACTACCTCACTTGCCCCGTTTCATCGACCACAACAGCTGCCTAAGCCTTTGAGGCACTACCACGCTTGGAGTCGCCGAAGATATCCTCAATGAACCCCTTCCAGATCTGCTTTGCCATACCCTCGACCTCCTCGACAGGCTTCTGCAGATTATCCACAACCTTCGCAGCAATACCCTGAAAGTCAATGTGATTGCCCTCTGTCATGTCCGACATCGCCGAGGGGGCGTGGATGTGCGTACTATTGGCGGCCGCAGTGTAGATGGTCGGTTGCATGACCTACTTGATCAGTCCAAAGCTCTCATTTTAAGCAGTGGGCAGAAGTACCGGCTGTTCAGCCTCAGCAGCGGCAGCCTGGGTAGCTGAAGATGTAGCAGTCGACAGGATGATGGGTACATTGATCTTGGTGGGTACGGTCTGCGTGTCCGGATCAAATTCTGGCACAAACATGAAGTCGATGGTGGAGGAGTCGTTGACAGCCTTCAAGCTTCGACTTGTGTTGAAGTGACGCATGGCATTGCCGGTCTCGTGCTTCCATGCTGCGGCCTCGGACGAGGGTAGCTTGGGGCTTAACGAGCCGAAGGTAGGCTTGTCTGATGTGAGGAGCGACGAGGAGCTGGTAGCTCCGGTCACGTGCAGGCTGCGGGTCTGGGTCTTAAGCAGACGAGATCCTTGTGTCCTGAGGAGACGGGGACCCTCGGTCTTGAGAAGGCGTGGTCCTTGAGTACGGAGAAGGCGGGGACCCTCAGTATGGACACTGCGATACTGGGTCTTGAGCAAGCGAGGACCCTCAGCGGTGCGGAGGAGACGGGGGCCTTCGGTCTTGAGAAGGCGAGGGCCCGCGTTGCCGAGAAGGCGAGGGCCTTGTGTGTTGAGAAGACGTGGGCCAGACATGATGTGATGTGTAGAGGTGGTGTGTTGACGAGGTGTAATAAGGAGTCGAGGTAGGAGCGGATAAGCTCAGCAAATAACTAGCAATTACGAGTTGTATGTGGTACCGGACGGCTGGAATGTCGCGCAAGTCAGACAAGTGCGTTCGGCACGACTCGGAAGCTTGTTATCAAGAGAGTGAGGAGGTGAGGGGGAATGACTGATCGAGCAGTGACGAGGGGACCTCGCGGTTTTGAATTCACCTCGGAACCCTAGCCATTCTGGGTTCCGTCCCTTACACAGGCGGTCAATACGCTGGCATAAGATGGCAACTGGCGTTGCGGACTATGCATTCATAAAACGCGCAGTCGCAATTGGTGTGATCAGCTATTCTGGACACAGCATGCAAGTTGATCGTCTCAACATGGATGCGCATGGAGCTCGGGCCGCCTGTCTACGCTGAAATGGGCTTACTACTACACCCGGGCCAATGGTAGATGATCCACTGTCCACCTAAAGATGGCACCCCGCACTTTTCAACGACTGTTGAAGCACGAGTGATGCATTTAGAACACCTAATCTCACGCTCGCGATTGCTGCTCTGGTCGGTTTGATCTCTGCTTGCACACGCTCTTGCAGGGTCGCTGCCGACCCAGGAACAAAGTCGGTGTGCGTGGCGATCAGATCTGTTGACTCTGCGCACGTACAATGCCACAAGGGGTGCTCGCGCGTCGCATCATCTGGCCACGCTGAAGTGAGATGTCGGGAATGCTTGTGCACTCCCGCGGGCGCGGTGCCTGTAGATCGGCTCTCCGCCCGAGCAGCGTATGCCTCACTCAAATATGACGGATGCGGTTGCGATAAGGAATGCCAGGGATGGACCTGATAAAGCTGAGAGCAATGGGATGTAATTGGTGAATACTGTCGTCATGAAGCTCGTTGGGTGATAGCAGGCAACTCAACGTCAGTACCTGAGACTAATCAGGTCGATATCTTGCGCGTTGCCGCGGGAAAAAGTAAGGCTGCTCCCGCGGGAGTGCCACGGCAGCTTTCGCAAAGTCTTCTCAAAAAGGTCTGGCAGCTGGGCAGTCTCAGGAACGAGGCTCGGCGGTGAGGGCGTAGCTTGCACAGAGGCATCCGGAGCCGCACAGATTCGAACAACGAGACGACACCGGGGCAGAAATTACTGTAGAACAAAAACTAACACTAGATTTAGGAGGTGATCCGAGTCGAGTTCCGCGGGTTTTGGTGTTGGTGGTCTTCGGAGGCGCGTGTGATTGTTGTCAGGTTTGTCTTCATCAAAACCCCTCAAAACTGACAAGGGTTTTCTACTATACTTCTGCTGCTACTATTGCTGCTCAATACTTAGCCTAGCTATGTGGCAGTTGTTGATAAGTGACGATCTAGCGCTATCCCTAGGTTGTTACTGAGCTAAATACGCCTACAAAGTCTTACGATAGGATGTCGCTCAGTCAATCTCTCCTTGCCTATGTCAAGGACCTGGGCATTAAGTAGCGCAGTGCTGCAGAGCAAAATCTAGGCGCGGTGGCCGTGAAGCATTAAGCATAGTGAAGAGCAGAGCAAAACGATGATTGTGTATGATGAGAGGAGAAGCAAAAAGAGGGCCTGGCCGGGATTCGAACCCGGGGCCTGTCACAATCCACGATACCGAAGATATCTGGGCGAAGAACCCGAAGCGACAATCATACCACCTAATAGCTGTTAGAAGGGATCTGAAGAACACGATTGGCTGGAACGTACTAGACCACCAGGCCGGCTTCTCATCCACCTTGAGAATGCTTGATGGCGGGACTTGAAATAAAGTAAAATATATATTAAAGAAAATTGCTTGGACACTTTGCATGCCGTGCGTGGATTCTGCGAGACCATAAGTGGCATTCTGCTCCACAATTTCGTTTGCATGATCCCCAGATTTGCCTCCGGCTCAACAACTCCCGTCGAGTACCTACGAGTTTCGTCACCCTCCAGGGCCTTTAGGACCACTTTCTCCAGGCTTTCGTCGAAAGCCTCGATGACAGAGTCGGTCAGCAATCTTCTCAAGCCCCGGAAATCGACGCTGTCTTGGGGGGCCTTCGAAGGCATCTCAATATCTAGTGTATGCTCTGTCAGGGCAGCCTGCCAACTCCTAAGAAAAGACAACATGGTTTGTTCCCCTTCTGGTCTTGCAACGCGACTCGTCAGCTCTAATGTGTTTAGACTCTTTGCAAGGCGAACATCAAAGTTGTCAATCAAAGTTAGACGGGGTCCAGCAGACCACAGTAGCCTTCATGCGATGCCCTCAACATCCATTATTTTGCATCGTCACGAATATGTATCAACACGGACTCGATTCAATCTATTATCTCAAAGCCTCACCGTTTTTATTCAAAGAAGTCACGAAGCCGGTGCAAGCGCTCAAGTCGCATATCATCCGAATGTAATTTAACAACCATATGATTCAACAAACAGAACTGAACCGCTTCCTAAGCAGCTTGGATAGAAACTGATTCGATAATGAGTTTCATTGTCCTTCACACCATTCGCCCACGATCAGATCTTAGATGCATAGGTCATATTAGGATGTTGCCTGTAGAACAATGGAGTTCCATATGCATTGGCGAGGTAACTTGAGCTCTGGTATTGACCGAAATATTATCACACATTATCATTACCCCGAAATGCTCCTTCCTGGGCAGATCAGTCGTTACTCTTAATTCTACGCAGCTCCAGCAGTTATAGCCACAGCTGTAGCGCCCGTAGTCTCGCTTCGCCTAAACATCCTTCTGAAAATACTTTTCCTCTTTTCATTCTTCGGCGTAACCTCAGTCTGCTCTCCCTCCATTTCTCGCTCAACCGGCGCCGCGACCTCCACAGCCATACCCATAGCCTTCTTCACCAACCTCTCCCTCACAACTCTCTCCTGCGCATTCTCCCAAAACCCATGCTCCTTTTTCCGCGCCAGAATGGCATTCCGATACCACCCATCCCATTCCTCGCCATCCCATCCACACCGACTACTCCACTTTTCCATCAGCTTCGCCCCGAAACCCTCAGCCTCCGCTTTTGAGCAGCTTGGGCACAGAGTTGTGAGAGGAAGGAGCTGCGTCGAGGAGTTGGGTGTATTATAGAATCCGAAATATTGTATGGACAACGGTGAGTACGGTGCGGAAGTGCACCCGCGCTTCGTGCAGTTGCGGAGCGTGTACCGCCAATCGAAGGCATAATTGGGCGTTGCTTTGCCCTTCGGCGTCGGTGTATGACTCGAGCCGAGAACTCTCAGGTTCTGAGCTTTCTGCAGCCGCGCATCCTCGACTTGCCGCGCCTCGCGGTACAGTTGCAAGAAGATCTCGAAGTCCTGGGCTACGACGCCGAGGGTCTTACGTCCAGCGTTTTGGCGCATGGTCTCGTACTCTTTTTTGCAGAGTGCGTTAGCTTCTTGCATTTCTTTGCTCGCGTGGCGCGGGCAGTAGCCGTGGTACTTTGAGAGGTGGTAGGGCTCTTGCGCGGTGTAGTATGTGGGACCGGAGTGTGCGGGTGTGTAATGTGCTGAGCACATGGCTGCCATGCAGGGTATGTAGTTTTGCAGCGGGTCGTATTTGTCTGAAGGAGTGACAGTTACAGATGGGGGTGGTGATGAAGACAGGTTGGAGACAACGGAGTGGTATGATGTGGTCCTCTGTGTTGGTATTGATGTCCGACTTGGTGGCACGAAGCCCGCAGGAAGAGGGATCCCAGACCATCGTGGATCGAGACGAGGGTCAAAATGTGAAGGTACTGCAGGTGCAGAGAACCTCTTGTCAACACGTCGCCGGAGTTGAACTACCGGTCCTGATGGGCGGCCCTGTGTAGGCTGTGTGAATGACAAGGTACGTGGCGAGCCCGCTTGGTCTCCGGGAGAGGCGGCAGTGCTTGCTCGTTTCGAGGCTGATGACAGCAAAGGGGGTCGCGTCAAAGTTGCAATCATTATCTTCTTCTGTCGGTACTGGTGTGGCCCGAGGTCCGGTGTGGATTCTCCCCTTGAGTATCCTGGCCGGTCTGGGTACGACTCCGTTGAGGGTGACTTCAAACTCACCGTCTTTCCAGGCCCTGTAAGTCTCCTCGGCATTGGCTCTGGGTCCAGGAATCGAACAGTCGGTGGTGCTGACCTGCGATCGAGGTTTGCGCCAACAGATCTCGAAGGCTTCAGGGTCGTTTTCATAGACGAACGCTTAGACGCACCTGCCGATACATCACTGCTGGCAGATGATACATTAGAATGACTAAGTGAAGATAGACTAGAGCGGCGAGTAGACGTAGGCGTAGTGTTGCTGCTCGAGAGTGGAGGCCGTGAACCGGTGGTGGCAGTACTGCGGTGCATTATGGAGTCGTTGAGAAGTCGGTCTGAGAATGTGCTGGGCTGAGTAGCATTTCCAGCGAGGGCGACGCGGCTCTTTTGTGAAGGTTGTAAATGAGGAGTGGTCTGCATAATGGTTAGTCTTTTAACGTGAGACATAGCGCACCATATGTACAGGGGTGTTGCTGGTGATCTGCCTTGTCACGTCAGCTGTGACAGGTGGATCGATGAACACTGGAACAGATATAAACAGATGCTTAGAGAATTGGAGATCTCGGTTCGTGCGTCGAAGCAGATTCCAATAGAAAGGGATGAGAATGACGAAGCTTAGAGACATGCGAGGAAAGGTACTGTGGTTCACAAGGCAGACATGGCTGCCTTCGGCCTGCTTTAACACTTAAGACATTCTGTATTCGAGAGTCAGAAACAGCAACAGCAGATAGAGACACGACATGTGGGGGCTGGGTTATCCACCACAGCCTTAGTAAGATCCATCAGCTATGCTCGTAAGGGTGCGCCAAACAGGCGCCTCGCTGAAAAGTACACCGTATGCCGGGACAAGCGAATTTCATTAGACAGACAAACTAGCTGTGTGGAAACACAGCAGCACGTTCGTCCGGTTGCGCCCGGAGATTGGTGACAATGTGTCTCAAGGTCATCGGCGACAGACGGTAGCATTGTAGATGGGGCTGTACGAGTCAGAAGCGAGGCGCCAAGTTGAGCCCTGAAGAGTTGCGCGATCCGCTCAGTCGATGGCGAGCGTGCAAGGGTGTAAGCCTCGGGAGACGGGTGTGAGAAAAGCGGGGTTGTTGTTGCTGATTCATCCCATTCGTGCGACCACAGTATCTACATCTACTCGAAAGAATGCCGGGGTTGCCTGGAAGATTGTACAGGGACGGTATCTGCAAGCGCGGCGCAATGTTCAGATCTTGGCCTTGGGCTGCTTGAGCATGGCTTCTGCAACAAGGCGTCGCTGGATCTTGCCAGTAGCCGTCTTAGGCATGATATCGGTGAAGAAAATCTGTTGATCGTCAGACATGTTACACGACGCTGAGGGGTTGGAGAAGGGCGTACCTGTTTTGGCAGCTTGAACTTGGCGATGCGATCGGTCAACCATGTCTTCAGTTCGCCCGCAGACAAGTTCTGGCCTTCCTTGACGACAACCGCAAGACCGACGTCTTGGCCATACATCTCATCCTCCAGAGCGAAGCTGACAGCCTCAGAAACGACAGGGTGCTGCGCAATCACATTGTCAAGCTCGATTGGGCTGATCTTCTCTCCACCCTTGTTGATCAGCTCCTTGATGCGACCTGTGATGATTACGTAGCCATCCTCATCCTGCTTGCCCTGGTCGCCAGTGCGGAAGAAGCCCCCCTTGGTGAATGACGAGGCGTTTGCGGTTGGGTTGTTCAAGTAGCCCTTGGTAACATTCTCACCACGGATGCAGATCTCAGCCTCCTTGCCCCGGAGAACCTCGTCACCCGCATCGTCAAGGATCTTGACCTCAACACCTTGACCAAGCCCCACACTGCCTGGCTTGCGCTGACCAGGTGGCAGAGGGTTACTCGTCATCTGGTGTGCCGCCTCGGTCATCGCGTAAGCCTCCAACACAGGAGCTTTGAAGTTCTGCTCAATATCGTGGAAGGTCTTCGGCGAGAGGGGAGACGAGCATGATCGAATGAAGCGAATGGCAGGTAGTGGGCTCGGGATTGGGCTCTTCAGCAAGATCTGATGGATGGTGGGCACAGCTGTATACCAGTTGGCCTTGTGCGTCTGGAAGTCTCTCCAGAACTCGGATGCGGAGAACTTCGGTGGCACAACAACCGAACCACCGGACGCCAATGGCGCAAGGAAGCCAGCAAGCAAGCCATGCACGTGGAAGAGAGGCATAACGAGCATGGTGCGATCCTCATGTGTCAGATCATACGTTCCTTGGATGTTCTGCATGGTGCGGAGAAGGTTGCGGTGCGTAAGTGGCACTGCCTTGGGACGTCCAGTGGTGCCGCTGGTGTGTAGCACAAGGGCCACATCGTCAGGCTGCGCAGACAGCACAGGCGAGGTCTTTCCAGCAAGCTTGCCAGTCTCCTTGACGTCCAAGACGACCTCCTTTCCGTTGTAGTAGCACTCAGCGATCGCCGCCTGGTACTTCCTCGCCGCCCTTACAGCAGCCGCATCCTGCGCGAATGCACCCTTCGGAACCAGAGCAATCGCAGAGCTGAGGTCGTCGATATAGAACTCGAACTCTGACTGCTTGTATGCCGGGTTCAGGGGAGCTGCAATTGCGCGTTGCCACGATGCAGCAATGAAGGAGACGATGAACTCGTATGTGTTGGGCAGCGCAATGGAGACGGCTGCTTGCGCAGACACGCCAACCTTGGCCAATTGCGCCTGGAAGGCCTTCACATCCTCGGTGAGCTTCGCGTAAGAGACCTCAAGTGCAGGCGACCCGGGCACGATGAGGGCGGTCGCGGAGGAGATGGGGGAGAAGGCGTCTGCGAGGGTTGTCGGAGCCATCTTGTCTGGTCTGGGATTAGATAAGGAGATATCTGGACCAGGGTCAGCATCTTCATCTGCAATGGCGGCGCATTGAATGGTGCATTACCTTGAGGCTTCTACACGAGTGACAATGAAATCTATTCGTCTACAGTGCACACTTGAGCCAGCTGAAGTGTCCAAGAAAAAGTTGGCTGTTCAGTTTCCTCCGGCCCGGCCTTTAAACTCTCTACGATAGCAGCCAAATGACGCGATCTGGTCCAGTTCCCGTCAAGCGTCAAACGGGACCCGAGTGGGCTTGGCGTGGGGCAAGCGTGGATCGTGCTTTCCTTTCGCGAACTCGCGCTTGCAGCATCTATCACTCCCGCGGGCCTCTGCACCAACGTTACCGCGGCGCGCAGTCAGCAGCGTTGTGTGACTAATTTATTTGTCATATCCATCTTACACTCACATCATACTCGACGATCCTAGACAGCCACAGCGAGCATAGTGCGGCAGTCGCCTTCAGCGCAACATCCCTAGCTAAGATGGGCTCGCAGCAACCGCAGAAGGCGCAGGCCTTGCCCAACCCATATGGCCTTCCAAATCCATACGTCCAGACGAGCCTGCCGAATCCGTATGTCGCAGCTACTGTTGCCTCGTCTGCGCCTGTCAAGTTCACAGAAGAGCAGGCAAAAGCCGAGCAGCAGAAGAAAGCACCTGGTATCTACTTGACGAGCTCCATACCATGTCTTTGAACCACGACTCATAAGCATTTACAGCTTTTCACAACCCACACCAAATCAAGCGCCCGCAGGCCAAGAAAGCCGGCACTGTCAAAAAGCCCCTCATGCCCGTGGTTTCCTCTTCAGCTTCCACGACGAGCTCCTCGGACCCAGCACCAGCTCCAGGTTCGAAAGCGGAACAACATGGCATAGATTGGTATCGAAGCACAGCGGATGACGATGCAGCTATCTTGGAGGAGAGGCGGCAGCGTCAATACGAGGAGGCTCAAAGAAAGAAACAAATGAAGAAGTTCCAAAAGCAATTCGGGTATTGGAACCCAACCGCTCCACACAAGCCTGAACGCTGGTCAAATCTGAAGGCATACCGAGCAAGTGGAGGGTATAGGCGTAAACAGGAGGGATTTAACGACTTCCTGCGATCAGCTGCTCGCCAGTCTGAGCGCCCCAGAGAGGAGAGCGAGGGCGTCAATGTCTCAAGGCCTATCTCATCCTCGGGCTCGACTTCCCCGCTGCCCTTGTTCGCACAGAAGCCCAGCTTTGCACCACCACCGTCCTACGATCCACGTACCGCAAGTTCTGAGCAAGACGATGAAACCCCTTACACGCGCCGCATGCGTCTCTCGCAACAGCAATCGAACGAAGCGCCACCTCCACCCTTCGAGCCTCAGCCACGTAGCTTTCCTCCACCACCTACTGTATCAGACGACGTGCCTCCGCCTCCACCTCCGCCAGTGCCAACCACGGGTGCCCCAGTAACAATCACAACCTCTATTATCTACGAAAATGCCACAATTTCAGCACCGCCTGTTCGTTACGCCAATGCCACGATCTCTGCACCCCCGGTACGATACGAGCAGCCACCGCCACAGCCCTTGAACGAGGAACCAGAGTACTCTGAGCGTCCCGCCAAACGGCCCAAGATAAGCAAGGCCGAGGCTATGATGGCGAAGATGGGTTACGTCAAGGGGCAGGGTCTGGGCAAGAACAACGATGGTGTTACAACCCATCTGGAAGTCAAGATCCGGAAACCTGCACCAGGTGGGCAATCGAGCATGTTCGACGACGGCGAAGGCAACAAGGTCAAGAGCGCGCAAGTCTGGGACGTACGTGGTGGCGAGAGGAAGAAGGACGAGCCAGGCAAGTTTGGAGAGGAGAGCTCCGTCGTCGTTACATGGGGCTGCGTGGAAGGGGTTGATTGGGGAAAGAATGCGGAGAGAGATGATGGAGGCATCAGGCAGGAAATGGGAGAGATCTTCAGCACAAAGGTATGCATGACACGAAACCCGTACAGCAAAAGGCTAATCATGTGCAGTTTGGCCCCGTCGAGAGGTTACATGTCGACGAGTCGAATGCTGAAGGAGTGGTTTACATACACTTCAAGTCGGTGCTGAGTGCGCTCAACGTAAGTCTTGCTACTCACACTTGCCCAACCCCAGCTGACATCAGCTCTAGGCTGTTAATCGATTTGACGAAGGTTTCCAGTACAGAGGTAGGAACATTCGCGCACGCTACTACGACGAGCGCAAATTTCACGCTGGCACATACGACCATTGATAGCAACGCTACTCTGATCAGCTAGATCTGTACGATTCCTAGGATGGCCAAGTCTCTGAAAGCCGTTTGTAACAGTCACACAACTAGCGCCTGCCGGAAATAGCTATGCCTCACCTTCACTGTACACGTGTTACCATCCTTCTATGCTTGAAGCCTTCTTCTTCACCTAGGCCCTTCCCAGTCACGTTACTCATCCTGCCATGTCTGGCCTTAGCTCATAGACAACGAAATATGCCTCACTTCGCTCTTGCCGCAAGAAGCACACTGAAGATCCTGACATTGATGTCAAACCAGGCAGCATCATCCAGGGCTTGCTCGATTGGCAGCCCAAATTCTCGAGGTTTCAGTGGTGGACAAGGCGAAGAAGACCACGAAGGGACGCAAGTGCTTCAGGGCGGGACCGTCGATGAAGAGGTCTGCCGCCATTCGAGAACGTACTTGCCAGCGCACTTGCCAGCGCTACGGCTGGTAGATAGCTGCCAGCACGGATCGAATCCATCACTGACGCCTAAGGGAGGGCGACGGCTCAATGAATGGATCGGATGAGAGGAATCAGGGTATAACGTTTATGTCTACAACTTAAGATCTCGCACCCAGAGCCAGCTTTTCCACACCATCTCGTCAATGTACAATATGTTCACGCTCCACTATGGCTTGTGCGCAACATGCATGCCCTATATATGAACTGCAATGAACCAGAACTCCGTCATATGCGTCTTACACCCTCTTCAGCATTCCCTCCGATATTACGCATAGCAGCCAGTCGCTTTTCATCTTTTGACACCGCCGGTCTGCTTACGCGTTACCAGGCTTCTCGTCCGTATCGATATGCCAAACAACATAGTTCGGCAGACCATAAACGCCATAGCCAGCTCTCTTCGCCATCTTTGCAAACCCTTCTGTCTCGGCCTGGTTCTCGAACGCGTATGCGGGGAAATTAACGCCAGAACGGTGGACGTCCGCTTTGACGACGATGTTGACGCCGCCGATGCCGTCGAGTTGGATTTCCTCGTGCGGGTTGGCGTGCCGGTCGCCCATCTTGGCCATGTAGATACGGTTTGTTTTGTATTCTTTGTAGCCTAGGTGACATTAGTGGGTGATTCGTGGTAGTCAAGGTTGGGAGTGGTACCTTCGGCGAGCACGACGTCCTTGTCGAGAGTGGCGGCGAGTTTCAGGGCGTCTGGAGATTCTTGCCAGGAATTGTAGTCGACTGCTCGCTGTTAGTGGAGACCAACCGGCGTAGAGCGTGCCTGTACATACAGCGGCCTTCAATGTCGACCATCTTGCCCTGCTTCTCCTTATATCGATGGAACCAGACGTCTACTTCTTGTCAGCAAGCGTCCCGCCCTTTCACGGTATTTTCGACTCACTGGGAACGAGGATATCCCTGTCATGCTGGACGAAATCCTCGATGATATTCGGCGGATTCTCAACAATATCGACATCCCTCCAATACACCCAGCTGTGATCAGGCTTCAGTGCTGTAGCAAGTAGATAGTTCCTCGCCTTGCCCATAGCCTTCCTTCTCGGCCCTTGCGCAGCGAAGCCGTGTCGCTCTTCTACGCTCTGCCCATAGCCTGCCACGCCAAAGCTTTTCTCCACTATCATCGTCGACCTGAAGGCAATCTCTGGGTTGTTCTGCACGCGCTCAAGCTCCATTGCCAGCGCTGCCATAGTATCATCCGTGGTGTCGCCGACGAGAAAGGCCAGGTCGATCAGCTCGTGCGGATACGTGAGCTGTGTGAGGAGGTCGAAGTACTTGGCAAGATAGTAGGACGCATCGCGCAGTGGTGTCAGAAGAAGGATCTTCTCCTTGTTCCGGACGGCGTCTACCGTAGACTTGACGAGGTCGAGGTTAATATGCTGGATCTCGGTGCTGTTGATCTCGATCGGCTTGCGGTGGTTGAAAACGACGGGCGTGGTGAGGTGGCCGTACCATTCTTCGTTCTCGTTGGGTGTCATTCGCATGGGCGGTTTTGAAGGGCCGAAGCAGTAAAATCTGGAGGCGTCAGGTCAGCATTCGTTCGCAGGCGCACTTGCATGCGTCTCAGAAGCGCATTATGTGCAGCCATGTATCCATAAGAGCTGCACGTACCTCTGCACCTCGCTCGCAGCGCTGCCCATGGACCGCCATAGCAGCACGATGGCCGTGACAATCGCCAGCGGCACCAGAAATCGCGGGCTGCGGACGCCATGTGTGATCTGCCTGTACGGCGGTATCCTCGCCTTCGCCGCCTTCCACGAGTAGCCTCCCTTGCCGGCTACCATCTGCGGCAGCATCGTGAGACCTGAAAGGCCTGCAGGCTGCTCGTCCTCCGCCTCCTCTCCCCGTGCCTGGCTGATGCGAATGGACGAGCTCCTCGCACGGATGTCGCCCGGATCTTTGCGCTGTCGCTGAGTGTGAAGCGGAGGGGACGGTGATCCTGGTGAAGCCAGCGTGTTGGTTGTTGCGCGGTGCGCAGACGGAGCTACACGTAGAAAGGACAGGCGTGACAGCACGTCCCTGCTGTGAGAGACTGCTTGTGGGAGGAGCGACGGGCAGAAGCAAGCAATTGCGCTCCCCGATGTCGACCACTGTCCGCAAGTCGAGCAAGCACTCGGTGCGCTAGCTGAATTGCTCGTCGGCGACGGGGTCCACTGATGATGACGCTTGCGAGATAACAACTGTTAGACGTTTCAGGCAAGTCGTTTGTTCTGAACGTTGGCAATTGCAGGCAGTGCTGTGGGATCTCGCATGGTCTAAAGTTGCTTATCTCTAAGCAAACATTTCCGCTTGTTCTGAACATGTCGCTGTGGACCCTGGTTGTCGACACGCGAATGCCAATGATGCGCTAGAGCACGCGCTACACCGCGGCTACAGCTGGATGCAACCAAGCGGTTGGACTTCTGCCTGATCATCACCAAGACGACTACATCAAACTTTGTAAGTGCATCATCCGCGCAAGATGCTACACGTCATATTCGGGATGGGTAAGCTTTTAGCTGCCCGCTGCGGCCCGCGCTGGGCGCCTCATTGTACCGAACTCTTTACGGCCTCTGATCGTGCGGATACGAGCCTTCGACTGTGGAGTGTGCCGACACCGCCTCTTTCACAGCACATAAGGACAAAAGTATGTGGCTGCGTTTGGGCGGCTGAACGAGGGGAGAGTTGGTCACGAGAGCTGGCCTTGCACTCTAGAAGTATACTGGACGTCAGCAAGGAGACCGTTGAAGGATCGATTCCAAGCTAACAGTCGTGCAGCAGCAGTCAAGGTTGGATCAAGCCTGGATGGGAGAAACTTTGCGCTAGACGAACAGATTGCTGACTAGACACACCTTCGCACGCCAATTTTGGACCTCCGTGGAGATTTGAATCAGAATCGGGAGATAATTACGTGTATCACCTATTGATATGCAGTTTCCCCTCTTCGGCAGCATCTGTTGGTCTCACTGCTTGTAGCCTTTTGTACTTGCAGCATCTTCAGAATGATATCGATGGTGGGAAGCAAAAGCGATACACCCTGGTCACATTTCAGCCTCCGCAGATGCTCGATGCGACTTCTCCCAGCTTCATCCGTGGAACCTCTCAAGACCTGGTCCTCAACCCTCTTCTGCGCCACTACTGCAAGTGTTGCTACCTTGCCGGCGGAACGGCATTGTGCTTCCCCAAGTATCGCTAACATGAGCTGCAAAACCATGCTAGAGGTGGAGCTGTATACATGCCAACACCTATCGAGCGCCTGCGGAAGCTCGAAATGGTGCCACGGCAGTGCCTGCGGGTGTCTTCGAGCACGGTGGGTTTGTGGAGGTATGGCATCATGGCTTCACCAACTTGTCGATGAACTGTCCGACTTTGGTGACTTGCAGCGGTACCGAGGCTGGATCGAATCTAAAGCAGAATCCTACCCGGATCTCGAGTGGATACAAGAACGATCGGTCAGTTGAGATGTGGATATAGGCAAACTGTTGTACATAGAGAAGCTCCAGGCGACAGTCGGGCCTATCACCGGTCGTACTCCGGACGACGAGGAGTGGCGCCCTCAAGTCGAGGGCAACGCTGAGGATCCTTCGGCAGAGTGCATCAGTCTAGTCTGGGCTTCGAAACGTAGTGATGGCCTTTGCGAGATCCTTCAGCGCCTGTGAATCATTGCAGTGGTGGAGGGAAGTCGGAGTGATTTCCGATGCATGCATTCGTACGTCGCTGAATACTTCATTCGACGTCTGACACGTAGCACAGAGGATGTAGGGACATCCGCAAATTTTCACACTGCTTGGCCACTGCATGAGAGCAAGTCCGTTTGTGGTGATCTGCGGGAGCATGGTGAAGCATTGCAAGGTTGGCGGAGTATTTATCTGCTTGATGATTGAATGTTGACTTCCTTGCTGCGACAAGCAGGCATCTCAAGCGAGAAGAGAAGAGCAGTTCGAGACGTCTCTGAAGGACCGCGAAGCTACGTTCGATCAAACCGAGCAGACGCTACGTGCGTCTTCCGTGTCGTCTGTCGGTCGGCGGTGGCTCGCAGTCGGGCATGATGAAGAGTCGCTAATAGTGGTGACAATCCGCGGGGGGAAGCACCGGTACGGGAACGAGGCACTGTTGGCCAGTCAGAAGTCTCGAAGCAGGGCGGGAAAGCATTCCTCACATGCAGGAAGCCCCAGGGATCCAGTGCCCAGACCATGAGGAAGCGATGTGGAGGACGAAAGGAGCTCTGAGGTCGTGCAATGCTGTGACAAACACGTTCGTATGCGACTATCCGGCCCTTTGCTCGGTGCTTCCTGCAGGCAGCGTCACACATCGTAGACCCATAATAGAGCTGCCATGAATCATGGTGCGGTTAGTGGCAGTTATTGTAGGACCGCATATGTGGGTAACAACGGCTGTCCGCGAGCGAAAGCTGATCGAAGGAGGTAGATCCGCGGTGAAGAATGGCTGATGGTGGTGCGGAGAAGCGCGCAACGTTGCGTGGCAAATGGCCTCAAGTTGAAGTTGATGGGAGCATAAGTACTGTAAAGAGTCAGACATCAACGCATCTCGAACCGCGCGATTGTGAGGCTGCGTCAGAGGCAAGACAAGCTGGGTTATCCCATCCTCGTGCTCCATTCTTTCGGGCGTGCCGTCAATAGCTACGCAGAAGTGAGAAGTCGCTGCGAGTGTTGCGACGACGCATGCATGTTGTTCAGTCTCTCCGCTTTCGGCTACGTGATGCAGCGGAAGAGTAAAGCCGCAGCCGTAAGCGAATGAACTTCGAGTGAGGGGATCAGAAAGCAACATGGACTGCGATGAGGGGCTGGGGTCGAACATTAGCCTGTCGGCAGGATGGGACGAAGGAATTAGCGGCGGCAATGTTGATGAAGAAAGGTGGGTCAGAACATTGAAATTGAGCAAGTGACAAAGCGAACGGTGTGGAGTAATTATTCGATTGTGCGTGTGCATCGATTGCGATGCGGGTATACCATAATGCTAAGCTAAGAATATGCATATTAGAAGGCCGTTCAGATCGTCATACAGATGCCGTTCGTCGTAAGGCGATGCCAAAGAAAAGTAATCAGACAACCACCCGAAATGTGCGCGGATTGCCGCGTGTATGTGCATGTCACACAGTGAGAGAGCAAAGTCTACTCCAAGCCAAATAAAAACGCAGAGCGACACGAAGCAACGAACTTTTGGATAGAAACAGAAACTTTTCCAGAAAGGGAAGATACTCAACACACCGCCAATGCCGCTGAAAATAACAAATTGCGGTAAGGTCATCAATGCAAGCTCATTCAGATTTCGTAGACCATTCGTTCGGAGGCCGTCTTCCAATGAGCCTCACCGCGAGTGGATGTGGCAGCGACTAGACACTGCTTATGCTGGGTGATCTGCTCGAGGAGCTGCTCCTTGGATGTGCTAGGCCATCGCTTGATCAACTCGTTCAGCCAGCTGTTTGTGTCTGCGAATTGCTTGTTGCTGTGTCTGAGCTGCAGAATGGCTGAGCCGTTGACTGAAGATTTGTTCCACATGGAAGGCTCAATGCCATCCTGTCGAACATCCCAAGCGATGTTGTTGTTCTTGAGCGCAATCCATGCACCTGGGCCGCCGTGTCGTGGTGCTGCAGTGTTCTCGATGTTGATGTTGGCCTGTCTGCAGACTTCTGCAAGCTCAGCCTGGTCAAGGGCTTGACAGTAGCGGTTGCCGGCTTCGTTATCGCTCTTCTGCACCTTGGAAGAGATCGTGCCAGTGGACGCCCGCTTGGAGTACTGCTTGCGATCCTCTCGCTTCTTCTTGCTTGCCTTTCCGCCTGTATGAGACACGACAGCGGTAGATTCGTGAGTTGGTGTGGTGTAAGGGAAGACGTGGCCGGCCTGCAACCTTAGGCGGTCCAGAGGCCTAGTCTCTCCATACTGAGGCTCAAGAGGGCAGCTGGAGAAGGCAGGAGATGCAGAGCGGGAGGGATGGAAACCGGACGATGCTATCGAAGAGACTGATGGACGCCTCGACACGTCGGAATCGTAAGTGGAGACGCTCGAGCTGTAGTTATAACGTTGTTCTGGCGTGACCTGGCGGATGGGTGGCAGCTTGACGTTGGTGAGCTCGGGCTTGCTAGACATCGTTAGAGACGTGTGGCAACAATGTATGAGTGATCGTACATGTTGTCAGCAGGCTGGTGCGACACCACCGTTGCTGGGTTGGGAAGGTGAAATTGCATTATGCAGAGTGATGAAGAAGTTAAGTGTAGGGCAAAGAAGAAGCCGCCAAAGGACGCAATGGGGTGAATGCAAATCGTGGATATTGTGATGCGAGACTGGAGGAGGAAGCTGATGTCCTTTATATCTGCTAAACTGGAGGCCACAGTAACATGCACCAGATCTGAGTGACGGCAACGCGGAAGCGGGTATCTGACCAGGTTCGTGGACGTTAGCTGATGGTCATTGCAACCCTTCACACGGGCGAGGATGTGCATCCTTTCGGTACCAGGCTTCTATCATGCAGAAACAGAAGAAGAGAAGTTATGTCTAGACGACTGTGACCAGATGCAGATAGCTTGTACCACTAGCAGCTGTGGGGGTGAGCTGGGCGATGCGCTCAAGTGCATCGGCAAGGGACGTCGTTTGAGACATGCACGAATCTGCAGCTGGTGACAAGGGCACCCTGCACATGCTCTGGCCGTTTCCTCGATGACAGCAACAGAATGCAAGGCTGCTGATTGCCTTTCACCGCTTATGTTCGCTTGTATTAACGAACAAACTGATTCGAGTAATGCTGCAATACACCTGCGCGGGCGGAGCTGTCAATGTCGAACAGCATTGTCGAATAGAACGTGCAGATGTAGCGTTCCTTCGGTGCGGGTATATCTTAGAGAGCAGCAGTCAGTCTTCTTTGGGCTTCGAGACTGATGCTGATGCTGGATCCGTGGCTAACGTTCCATTGTGGCTTGCTCAATTGCAGCGGCAAATGCACCGGTTGAAAAAGCAAATCTTATAGACACCATTTGCCAGGCTCACGGTCGGCGGCTGCGCTCTGTCGATTCGCGAAGCCCTCTAGACAAGCGGCTCGTTGCTTTGGGCACTGTCAGTGCCAAGGAAGTGGAGAAAGAAACATGGGTAGAAGCTAGGAGAGCTGAGCCTTGTTGTGTAACTGAGGTTGATGTGGTGAGCACAACCCTGGCTCAAATCTACAGGGGCTAGAGCATCTGCGCTCCGCGTTCCCCGCGCACGAGCAGTCCCTTTGGGAAAGTCATGAAGTGACAGAGATCATCTGAGTAAGAAACGGATATACGCGCGAATATCATACTGGAGCGAGTTTGATAAATGAATAGGCCCGAAGAGATAGCAACAAAAGACTGTAATTTTGCTTGTCCTATACGACGATGGAATGGCCTAGATACCCTATACACACGATTGAAGGGAGTGTAACAGATATGCAAGTGCAATCTCTCAAGAAACCGTCCTGCCGTTCCGCTCATCGAGACCGGAGAAAATTAACTGGTGTGTGCTGCAGATTGAAAGTCTATCATATTTGGACCCAGTAGCCAATTGATACATGCAGCGTGATACATACAGCTGTTGCATACGGGCCCATAAACCCTTCGCCCAAACCACTCCAGTCATCGTGTCGAGCTCAAATCTGAGCGCTTGTCGGAAGATGTCATACGCTATCAAAGGAACCCAGATCAAGGATGATTAGTCTATGCAAATACAATGGAAACGCCAGCGTCCGAAACCATCTAGAGAAGGAAGACAGCAGCCATGGCAGCAAGACCAAGGGCACCGTTGACGGCGCTCAGGCTGGTGGCGGCACCAGTCTTGGAGTCGCTGCCGCTCTGGCTGGTCGGTTTGCTTCCGGCGGTGGAGGGATCGACGAGCTTGCCCTGGCAGAAGTACTTGCCCTGAATGAGCTTCTTCTCCTGCAGGGGCTTGTAGAAAGCGCAAGCCTCGGTGATGTTGCCAGTGGACTGAAGGTTAAAAGCACCCTTGACGCTGTCAAGCTCAGGAGTCTCGACACTGAGATCAATTAGCGTTTGTTAAGAAGGGCATAGCTGGACTCCACTTACGTGCTCATGTTTCCGGAGATGTCGAAAGCACCACCGATGCTGGTCAGCTTGGGAAATCCGTCGATGGCGGAAAGGTTGGTGTTGTTGGCAATTTGAAGGTTGTCGGTAATCTTGGTCAACTGGGGAAAGCTGATGTTGGAGACCCCCTCATTGGCAACGATGGCGAGGGCCTCACCGATAGAGGTCAGGTTGGGGGCGGAGAAGGACTCGAATCCGTTGTTGTACAGACCAAGAGATCCGTTGAGAGTCTCGAGGGAAGGCATCGAGAGAGAGCCGATGAAACGGAAAGTCAGATTGGTGGCCCAGATCAGGTTGGGCAGAGTAACGGCGAGCTTCTCGTTGTTGTCCGCGAAAGTCAACGAGTCAGAGACATTACCAATCTGCATGTTGATTTCGTTGATGTAGCCGTTGTTGGCGACGAAGATGGTGTCGGCCTTCTCGATGTTGATACCCGATAGGGAGCGGAGAGCAGTGTTCTCAATGCGGATGTTGTCGGCCTTGGTGACCTCAGCGGTGAAGCCAATGGTCTGAAGGTTGGGGAGAGCGTTCCACTTGATGGTCTCGACGGTCTTGAGCTTGGGCATGTCAACCGCGTAGAGGCGGGTCAGGCCGTCAAGCTCGACAGAGCCGTCAACCTCCTCGAGGCTGTCAGCGCTGATGCGCTTCATGTTCGAGTTGCTCGTGGCGACAAGGTTGCCGTCGAGCTTCTTGATGCCGTTCAGCGCAATGTCGTCGGTGGTGCCAGTAGCAATGGCAATGGATCCAGAGAACGTCGAGCACGAGCTGAGAGCGGTGGCATCGCCTGAGTTCTGGATGGTCTTGGTCCCAGAGACCGAGCAGCCGTTGGACTGAGCTGTGAGAAGAATTAGCAGAAGCTTCGTCTGACCCAGCAACAGCGCCTCAATGGTGGGCCTAGCATACCGTAGACAGAACCTGTCAGGGCCAGAGCCGGCAGGACGATCTTAAGGAAGGAGGACATGGTGGCTGATGAGCGGGACGATGTTGGTACTGGAGTGCAATGTCAGTCGCTGGCTGGTGGAGTGAAGTGGGCGGCGGTGCGGTGTTGTCGTCCAAGGGAGGCGTTAGTGTTGCACGAACCGTGGATATTAAGACTGCGCGCTGCTGGGCAGACTAAGTTGCTCGGTGGATGGGTTGAATGATGCGTGGAGCGAGTGACAGAATTAGATGAAAGAGCACGGAATTAAAAGAGTAGCCCCAGCGCTGACGGGGAAATCGTAATGGTCTGACGAGCAAGAACGAGGGTGGAGGGTCGTAGAAGAAGGAGAGCGTCTCACTTCGCCTGCGGAAAGAAAGGAGGAAGGCAGGCGCGACCCCCTAGTCGTTTTAGCGCGCCGACTGCATCGGCTGTTATTGGCCGTGCACTACGCGCATTCTTTTTGCGTCCTGTGTCGACCATCAACAACAGGCTGGTGCATTGTTGGGCCACGCGCTGGCAGCTGACGGCCCCTCAGAAGGCTTTCACTGAGCACAGCGGCATAAAGCAGCAGCAGCCCGCCTTTGCAATGCTGCTGTGAATGCGCTGGTGCAGCGCTGCGACGGCTCCACCCACGGTTCGAGAGCCTGTCACAGCGGTCCTGACAGGCAGTGAAAGCATCGGCGTTTCCAACCAAGTGGCAAGGATAGCCTTCGCAGGTCCGCTCGTCCCGCAGCTTGCAAATCTTGATTTCTTCGACTTGTGCACGCTTTCCAGCATGTGCCGCCTGAGGCCTCACAATCCAGCGCCTGCCGGCTGATCGAGAATTGCCTCCCGGTGCTGCTGGCTGGTGTGTGCCATGTGGCCGTTCATCCGTGGTGCATTTCACTCGGCTGGCGAGCTCGTTCCAGTGGCCATGGCACGCCACAACAGGAAGCTAGCGGTCCACAGCGGTCTCAAGCCACCCCATCAGGATCGTTCCGGATCAGGATCTGCCCGGCCCCTAGACTCTAGAGCCTCCGCTGCCTAATTATTCAACGTACTTATCGAATCTTCAGCCTCGATGAACGGACGTTGCGTCTGCCCTGACCGTGCATGCTCACTTCAAACCTCCGTACGGATCTCCTTGCACAGCGCCGGACATCTCAAACAGTCCCGCCCCCTCCAAACCGTTGTCCTCTCACAGTTGCGTCCCCCCACACCTGTCCAGCCACAGTCGCAATTCTACCGCAGGTCGTTGGCTCGTAATTCCCAGCCCACAGAATGTTGAACGCTGAATTGCGCGTCCCCCGGCCAGAACACATCCCTGCTTGGCAGCCCGAATTAGTTTCGATGGCCTCCGTTTGGCCAAGTGCGCCCGGTGCAATCTCGAAGAGCCCGCCCCCCTCTGCGTAAACATCATCATCGTGACATATGAACATCCACTTGGGGCTCGGCCGTTACTTCTAGGTACCCGTTTCCCCCTGATCGCCCAGGGTTCCGCTTTTAGGTCCTCTCATTTTCTTCCGAGCTTTTGCAAACTTCGTTTGCCGCGCGCTCGAACGTCTGCAGCCAGCTTCGCAGCTTTTGATGTCGCGACAACAGAGTACCGCTTCCGTGTCTTTCTCTGTAAGGATCGTCGACCTTGTCGCTGAAAAATTGGAGCGTTGCCCTTGTTAGGCGAGACGGCTCTTACTGGCGTGTTGTGCAAACTGCTCATAACAGTCCACCTCCACAATAATCGTCAGGCATGACAAGACATTTGCCAGCGCCGCCGAGACCTTTATCTCAAACTCACGCGACGAACCTCAAGTACAAGGGGCGGCGTCAACAGATGCACATTCTGCCGAGCAGATTTCCTCGATCATGGAGATCAGATCCCGCAAAGTGCTAGACTCGGCGGCGTTCCTCTTCCAGCAGTGACATAACAATTGACTGTGGCAGGCTGCCTGCTCTGCAAACCAGCAGAAGCTCACGCAGTGTTGTGAATTACTTCACGCTGACACGAGCCATCGCAAATATAAAGAGCGCCGTATGCACGCACATCTTCGAAGCTCTTCTGCCTTCACGCGACTCACTTATCTTGGCGAACTCTGCTTCACACAAACATATGCTGAACTTCGCAAGCTGATTTAGTCGGACCTCCACTGATGGATATGCACAAAGACTACCAAGCAACTTCAGTACACCACCATTGTTGGCAACAATTCACCATTTGACTCGATGCAGAACCTCACTCAGATGCAAGTTCATACAGCGCTTCTTCCATTTCGCGGATGCTGGAGGGTCTCGACTTGATCGGTCTCTTGCACTTCCTGACTTCATGAGCTACGATTCCTGTCTATCAGGATTGCGTCGCACGAAAGATCTTATTGGATGTGCGAAGCGCATGGTTCGCCATCATGTGTCGCACATGTCAACTGGGGTGCATACATATGGTCTCCTACATGCTACATTCAGTTATGAGAGTGCAACGAAAGTGGACAATACCCAATATTTAGCCTTCTGACCGATCAACGCTCAGCAAAGCGAGGCGTCAACTCCTAGCACTCTCATGCCCCTATAATGAAGCTGTTGTGCCACACATACTAACACCTGTAGCGACCGTGTTTCCTCCCATTCAGACACTTTGAAAGGCCTAGCTGCATGTGGTAGGTTTTCATCCGAGACCCGGAGCCGCGGGGCCTGATTAGCTTTGTACGACAATGTATGCCAGCTCTTGACGACCTGGTTGGCAATCTGCCCTTCCGCTCGATCGCTGGAGCCGCCCGTTCTGCCAAACCCAGCTTCACCCCACTTCTTTGCAGCATACAACTTCCACTCGAACCTGAGTGACAACCAAGACCTCCATTGCCAGCCAGGATCTATGCCTTGCAGACCGCCTTTCTTCCGCACGGCAGACGGATATCTGCGCAATCAAGATCAATTCATAGTTCCTTGCGACAGGAACTGCAGGATCATGGCCACACAGACATGGCGTGTCTGTTGTAACTGGAGGCGCTGTAATGCATCACTTGAATTTGATGGAGACGACGGCAGGTCTCGCATCAGGATCATCCTGGGGCAGTCTCTCTCCACCGGCGCTCGTTTGTTGCTGCTATTTCTGCAGGCTTAGGTACTACCAACCACTTGTGGCGGCCTACATCGCCCTGGGCAACAACGGCTTCATGGGAAGCGGAAACGAGAAATGCTTCGCAGCGGTAAGCTATCGGTCCTTCTCGCTCATTCAGACGACATACGGAATATGACAGCTGTCAGATGTATTGCGACCCTCCGTGCATTCACACGCATGAGCCATCGACCATCAGAAGAAGCTTACTCACTCCTATCCAGTGACAAAAATAAACGTCATACAATGGTGTTCAATATTGCGAGCAGCGACTGCTCGGTACCAGGCCACTCAAGACAATGAAAGACCCTTCCAGCTACTCTAGCACCTCGGTGTCCACATCCGCGATGCGCCACATATACCACATGAACAAAGACCTGAAGAAGTTAGCTGTGTGACGAATAGAGCGTATGCTGCTCTGCAAGCGCAGAAGTGCTCTGCATTTCGGACATCCACGCACCTGTATGGCGAATATTTGCTCGCTATGGACAGCATCTCCTGCTCCGACATATATCTGCAAATCTAATGTCAACATCAATCGTGGGGCAGCATGATCGAAGCAACTCTTCTGCATAGGCAATCGCCATCGAGGAAGTCGTCAGCCATCGGCAGTGAACGTCGGTTCAAGCGTCCCCACGCCTTCATGCATGATGCATCGGCAACGGTAGGAGGTAAAAAGAGTGCATGAAGGTGGTACTCACTTCCATTTACCACCCTTATTCTTCAGCTTGGAGACGTCGCGGCCCATGTATGCGGCCATGCCTCGTCTGTAACATGTTAACAGAGTCCTCCCGCCTCCAGCCTGCGGCTGCTGTGTATCGACATTGTACCGGGATCCTCCCTCGCTTCGCGCGCGCTCTCAACCGTCAATTTGTACGACACTCGTCATGCACGTAGCCGACGTTGCTGTGGTGTAGCAAATGCATACACTACAGCGACACGACAGACCGCGCTATGCCTGATCTTTGCAACGACAACAGTGGCAAATGACGACCGAAACAAGACGGTCGAGTCAGAATGGAAGGAGACTCACTGCACGCCCAAGTCGCCTGTGCTAAACACATCCATCCTCTTCAGCCCAAAGCAGGCAAACATCTCCACGCTCCAACGCCCCAGGCCCCTGACAGCGACCAGTTTCTTGATCAGCTCTTCGTCACTTGCACTCACGAGGCTCTCCGCGGTGAATTCTCCAGAGGCGAACTTCTCCGCAAGGCCTGTAATGTATTCGGCTTTGCGCTGTGAGAGGCCTGCTGTGCGAAGGGTGGGCAGATCCTTGGTCAGGACCTGGGCTGGGGACGGAAAGGCGGGATGTGTGTCTTCGAACAGGGCGGTGAACCTTTTGCGGATTGAGGCGGCTGCTGCGCCCGAGACCTAGGTGCTGTCAGTGTTGTTCTGTCCTTGCCCGCAGACATGCTGTAGATGTCAATGTAATCGACGTCTCGTATCCAACCCCTCTTGCGTACATACTCAGCGCTCTTCGACGCTCATTGTGCTGCCAGTAACGTCAACATACCTGCTGTCCAATGATTCCACTCGCCAGCGCCGTAAATGGATCGACAACCTCCCTCAAACCCTCCGGGTTAAACATCTTGCACTGGTGGCCTGCAATCAATCTCTCCAGCCTCCGATTCCCCGTCACCTCCATGTCCACCTTGATTAGATACGCCTCTGCATCCTTCAACAACGTCGCGATCGTGCTCGTGGACTTCATCGGCGACCCGACGTCTGGCGGGAGATTATTCGCTTTCCGCTTCTTACTTGGCGACTCATTGACCACGACCTGCGATCCGTTCGGCGTCAGGACGGGTGCATTGGTGATATCTGGTGCGGCGGGGCGGTTGCGGTTCAGGCTCGCGAGTGAGTCGAGCAAGTGATCTGTATCTTTTGCTCTTTTTGCGTTCTCTGAGCCAGCAATGAGGCCCACGCCCGATGGCGTTAGCGTGAATGGTACCGGCTTTGTGCGTGAGACGAGGTCGGCTTTGTTGCGATGCTGACGCTTCTTGGACGCAGGGGTCGTCGGAAGATTGTCGACACCGTTGCTGGGCATACCGGGCGTGGGAAAACGGGCTGTCCCTGGCATGTCGCTGACGATGCCTACTGATGACTCTAGTTCAGTTTCAGGCGCCTTGCGTTTTCTCGATGCCACAGGTTTCTTCGGCGCAGCAACCTTTTCCAGTGCAGCAGTCTTTTTTGGTGCAGTTCTACCTTTCGAATGTCCATCGAATACAATAGCTGTGGCTTTCTTGCGAGTAGCAAGCTTATGTTGCGACTCGGGTGAAGGTGCAGGATAGTCCACGGCCCTGCATGGAGGGCCTGAGAGCTTCTTCGGGGAGCCATTTGCACCCACCTGCTCGTACGAAGCTTCTGGAGCTTCGGTCACAGCAACCTTCGCATTCCGAGCCGAGCGTCTGAGCGACATGCTGATTCTTTTGGTTATTTGGCAGCGGAATGGTAAAGTCTGACGTCATACGTCAGTTTGAGGATGCGCAGGACTTTTGGGCTACGACCAGATGCTCACTATGACTTTTGGTACTTGTCTTGGTGTGGACTTGTGTATTAGCATGGAAGTTGATTACTTTGAAGTGTGATGTCGGAGCTTGACGCGGTTCGCGCGGGGGACTTGCATGCACGGTTACGAAGCTGACGCCCTCGCACGTGATGGCACTGATGTTGGCGTTGCTGACATATCACTCGTTGAGCTCAGCTTACCACTACCGATAATGACCATCCCAGGAATTCTTTTGTTATACTGAAGCCGAAATACGACCCGGTGCCCAGAATGGTGCTGTTCTGAAACGCCTTCTCAGAGAGCATTCTGCACACGGTCAGGCTCCTTTTCTTCTGATGTCTCTTGTGCCATCTCACTAGATATGCCTCCATAGTCAAAATCACTTTTCAGATAACGGGCAAAAGCCTCAGTATATCGCTTGTCAACCTCCGCCAACGAAAGATCTCCAAAATTCTTCATCAAACCCTTCCGGATTTCTTTGTGAGGACTGAACCCGACGTTACGATCACAATTGTCTCAGCCCAGGGCCTGCGTGATCAAAATAATTGACTTAATACTCCACTTCAGGCCAAGCAGTGACCTCAGTCCTATCGTCTCTCAGCCTCTGCTTCCTTTCCGGCTTACCAGCACCATACCCAGCCGTGGTCGTCTCGCTCTTATCGCTTACAACAGAAGGAGCGAGAATGGTTACAAACTTGCCCTCCTCGTACCCGCGGCTGCGTGTCGCCCTAGAAATGCGGTGATTGAGAGGTGATGTCACCGTTGCATCCGTAAATGTGGTATATTTGTTCACTCTGGTGGTGTCGGCCGAGAGCTTGGGTGCCCGCTCAGTTTGGTCGCTGGGTCTGGGCTGGTCATGAGACGTGAGGCTTCTAGCCAGAGAGAATCGGATGATTGGAGCGGGTGCAGGAGTAAAATGCGTCAGCCCGCGGTTGTCTAGCGGTCGCAAGGGTATGTTTGGACCCAGTACACCGACACTAGACTCGTAGTTCGGGGTGTCAGAAGCCGATGCGGGTGGGTGTCTGCCCGAGTACGTCTTGAGATCTGGATCATCGGGTACGGCGAGCATGTAACGGAGCCCTCGTCCTAACTTACGAAGGAGCCATATCAGGGAATTTCCCTGCGCTGTGGCATGTTGCTGCGATGTACTTGTAATCGTCCCGAGATGCGAGTAGGTTGTAGTCGGCTTGAAGATGCACTGCCATGTCTCTGGATCGCGGATCTTGAGCAGTGAGCTATATATTGCGTAGCCGATGGGCTGCTTGATGGCTTCTTTGATGTCTTGCTCGTTGTTGAGTATCTACTCCATCGTCAGTGTATCCGAGATTTGGATAGTGACCCGTAATCACCTTGTATCCACTCCTCTCTCCCGCAATCCGCAGCTTCCTGTCCATTGCAATTTTATATCTCCATTTCTCGCGCAGCCAATGCTCCTCAATTATCTCACCTGACTCATACGCTCTTTGAATGACTTGCTGCAGCTGCTCGTGGTAGTCGTTCACGATCTCGATCATTTCCGCATAAAAATAACTCTCAGTAGTCAGCACATCCTCTCCCGGGAGACCGTACAGTGCTTCATTCTCGTCGCGGACGTGAGCTTGCCGCTGTTGCCCCGGTAGATCCAGGTGCTGGACTGAGTGTCTTTCAAGTTGCTCCTGTCGTTTGAGAAGAGTGTCGACGCCTAGATCATCGGTGTTGCACGAACGAAGGTCCCAGTCTCGAGTGCGGATGCTGTAGCCGTCTCGGACCTCGACATCATCGATTGCGTGCTTCCTTATCTTTGGATACGTTGCTGGTACTGGGCACTCTGTGATGGAGACAGGCGAGTTATTGGTTCGAGAGGAGCCATTGACTGGACGCCTTGACATGGCGATGTGGTAAAGACTGAGACGTTCTGGTCGAAGTGAGCTAATCAGTTCCTCGGTGTCAAATCGTTCATAGTCCGCTTCTTCCGTTTCCACTCTATTGTTGTTTTTTGGATGTGCCTCCCGCGCTCCTTCCTCTGGTGGTAGAGGAAGGGCGTCCCACTTTCTGTCCCTTCGTACTTGCTGCAGAACTTCCCCTGTAGCATCTTCTTGACTACAGCTAATACTAATGGGCCCCTCGTAGGATGTTCGTGATGGATGCCTTCTCGTTGGCTGAGGTTTTGAGTCGTAGCCTGTCTGTGAACCGTCCAGCGCACTTGGCCTGTCGACAAGGCTGCCCGCCACTTCATAGTCAACTGGTGCAGACGTAAGATCTATCTTGGCTGCATAAGGATTACCGTAGACGCCTGCGAATGGGTTGGTAGTGGCTGATCGAGACTGCGCTGGGAGTAGAGCTGGGGGCGGCGGCAGGATTGGTGGCTCCATGTGTGCAGAACCACGGATGTCACATCCCACTGGACTTAACGAGTACTTTGAGCGAACGCAGTCACTGCTTTCGAGAAATGATCTTGCCGTCGTAGTAGTAGCGCGAAGTTCAGGCTCTCGTGCGAACCTTGAGGCTGGCGGTAGGGCGTTCAAAGCTGGCGCAGACTGCGGTGGACCAATTAACTTGCCCTTATACGTGACCGCAGAAGGACTTGGACCGAACTCGCTTTTCTCAGACGTTTTGTTCACGGTACTAGCTGTCCTGAGCCAATCAAACTTGCCGCCCTGATGTTGACCTCCACCACCCCTCAGCCGCACCCCTGGCGAAGATGCATCGTCTTTATAGTACTGCGCAAGTCGCCTATTTGGGTCCAAAGAGAGAACAGTGCGCTCATCGCTGACCTTTTGCACCGGACTGAGCCTCGAGAGACTTGGGACTCTATGATCGTGAGACTTGGTCCCCAAGGGCAGGTGAAACTCGGGCATCATGCCTGCTTCGATCTTCTTCGAGTCCACATGGGTCTTGTTCGGAAACGCTTCCTTATGGTGACTTGGTTGAGAATGTGGTTGCTTCGAGAAGAGATTAGGGAAATTCTGTGCTAGGGAACTCTTACAGAGAGGCCAGGATAGGAATGATGCCGATGTCTCCTCGGTAGCCTGCAACATGATATTGAAGGCTATGTGGGATCGGGAGCTGAAGCAGCGGGACCTCAGATCTGCAGTCCTGGCACAGCTACGCATATGTGCGTGCAAGTTCGCAGGCTTTCAAGGGTTCTCGTTTGCAACAGTGACAGTGAATGGGTGCGAGATCGGCGAAGTCGCTGCTCCGTGATTGGAGACCTCGGTAGGCCAATGGCTCAGAAAGCTGTCTGCGTTTGCTGCAGCATGTGAAGATGGGTCTCGAGTAGTGAGAAGGTTCGACATTGTATTGACGAAACAGAGGTGATGTAAGATAGCTCTAAACCGTATACCGCTGGTGCCCTGCCAACGCCGAAGGCTCCGATGCTGCCGCATGTCGCGCGTGAGATAATGCTGAGATGTATGTACACACATGCGAGAACGGAAACCGGAATGCTCACTGGGATATCAAGCCCACTACGTTGCTAAACGCCATGATGTTAATCGCTCTTCAAGTGCAATGTTACGGTCATGCACCGCTGTACTGCCCGTCTTCTTCTCGTATCCGACCACCCTCCATCTTTAGCTTTAGGTGGACGAGCTTCAGCGACTCGAAGGTCATCATGGTCGTCACAGCTGCGGGGACAGCGCGCACCATGTTGGTACCCATGCCGTTATAGAAGGCTCTCCAGCCTTCTTCCTGAAGTATGACGCTACAGGTTCTGATTACACCACGGTATCTGGGCATGTTGATCATGCCATCAGAGGACGCTGTACCCGGGGGGCGGGTCTGGTGTCCTATGCCATGCGACCCTCCCTGGAACGATACGTGGTCGTGGGATGAAGAGGGCAGTGAGCGCTGCTGAGTCTGCAACCGCGTGCGCAGCACCTCGTGTGGGTACGTAGCCGTTGTTGCGCATACTTTGCTCATCACTGTTGCAGCCATGATGCCAAACCAGTGCACCTCCTCCATCTTTCCGCCTGCCTGGCCCATTTCCAGACCGGTGAACTTCATCTTGAGATACTCGTATAGCGGGAATTGAATAGCAACATGGGTGAGACCGAGGAGAGCGGGCGAGAGACCAGAGTAGAAGGATCTGATGCCTTCTGTGGCATACATCTTGCGGAACGCATCGAAGGTGTTCTTGTAGTGCCACGGTGGGCGGTGTTCTGGCGAGGCGCGAGCGCTGACTTGTGACATGAGCCTGGTCTTGACGACCCAGATGGGGTTTGTGACGAAGGTCGAGCATGCACCTGCTGTTATCGAGGAGATTGTCCGTGCAAGCCATTTGTTCTCTGTAGGCGCAGCATGTCAGCGTTGCCAGCGAAATGTAACAGGGCATGACGTACCCATCCTCTCGTTCAGCAGGTCCTTTGTAGACTCATACGTGCTCATGTAGACGGCCCATGTGGGAATGTATCCCAGCAGCATGGGGCCGAGACCTCTGTACAGGCCGCGAATGCCGTCGTCTCGCCAAATGGTGCGCGCCGTTCCGGTGAGGCCTTTGTATACGACGCGCGCAGGTCCTGAGTATGGGCGTGGGCGGAAGGAGCCCTGTGCCTGCAGACGGGTCTTGATAACATCGAGCGGGCAGGTCACGATGCCGGAAGCGACACCGGCGGAGGCCCCACACAGCGCATTGACCGGCCCGTCTGGCAGCCTCGACACCTTGACGGCGAGGGCAGCAAAGGGCGCGCTCCAATCGCTGCGCTCGGTGGCGGAGGTCATGTCGCGGGAAGAGGGAGCTGCAACTGTCGGCGCATACCGGTCGGAGACGATAGTCGGGGACGGCGGCTCGGGGCTGTGGTCAGACATGGGGGCAGCTGCAGTCACCGATGCGTTAGGGCCATGTTGCTTGTGTGCGCGCTATGGAAGGGGTCCGTACTGGCCGTCGTCCCCTGTGGAGTGCCTCAGTGTGCGGAAGCCCCGCAGCACTCGAGTAACACGGTAGCTAGCGGATGGGCAGCTCCATTGACATGCAGCGCGGCGGAGGATGCGAGGCGGCGGGAGAGCGGTAGAGAGCGTGCAGAGAGGTAATAGGCGATGCAGGACTGGGCGCTGGTGGGGGCTCAGCGCGGTGACGGGGCTCGCAGGGTGCTGGTCGTCGTTCGCAGGACGTCACGGCGTGAGCATGCTCGCAGCGAAAAGCACCCGGGTTGGAGTGGGGAGCTCTGCTAGCCGCACCTGCCACTTGCCAAGCACGTGGGCCCAAGCGCCGCCCTCGCAGCCAATTCCGTCTCGCGAAAATGGATGACCGCAACTCTCAGATTTGACCTCGACCACTCCATTGCCGGCACGCTGCCCCTCGACCACCCGCGCACCCCCTCGAACACCGCAATCATGTCTGCGCCTTCTCTCGCCCCCGCCATTATGAAGCGCCCGTGGCTCCAGCGCTGGATCAAGCCGCTCTCCAACTGGTATATCAACGCCGCCGGCTACAGGCAGCTCGGCCTCAGGTACGCTGCGCCCTGCAGGAACGCTAGAGGAGGGTCCAAAACCGACGCTCGGAGCATCTACGGGATGCACTGGATGCACAGAACGGACAATTGGAGGATGCTGGGATGCACAGGGACCTGAGCTGACGGATTGCCTTACAGGGCCGACGACCTGCTTCCCGAAGAGAACGACGTTGTCCACACCGCCCTCAAGCGTCTCCAGCCCCAGGAGGCTTACGACCGTGTCTTCCGTCTGCGCCGCGCATTCCAGGTACACACGACCGCGAGTTGGACATGAGGAATCAGGTGGCTAAGAATTCACAGTTGTCCATGAGCCATCAGCTCTTGCCCAAGGAGGAGTGGACCAAGTCCGAGGATGTACGTCAAAGCAGGGGAGAAGCGAAATAGGAGTTTTGAGGCTACTCGAGGCTAATTGCATGCAGGACTACCCCTACCTCACCAAGTACATCGAGGAGATTGAGACCGAGATGGCCGAGCGCGAGGACCTCGAGTCCATGGTCATCTCCAAGAGGCAGAGCAACGCCAACGCCGGCCACTAAGTGTGTACATACGGTGCTGTGTGACAGAGCGGACGATTGGAGCAGATGAACGAGTACCACGGTTGTGCAATAGAGTGTATAACACAACATCTTTCAAATTTGATACCGCAGTTTGGTCATTTCCATTACCATCTTATACGCTACTCGTTCTGTTCCTCTCGGACCCTGCGCGTTGACAGCCCCCTTAGAGCAGGCTAAGTCGAAATTAGAGTACGAATCCCTGAGAACCTGGAAGTCAGTTAACAATTCCCTGCGAGTGTCTTGCAACCTGATTAATCCCCTGTAGGCTACAATTATTCTGCTGTTGCGGCCGATCCTGCAACGCGAGGGCGTTCGTTAGAACGCCGCAGGGCAAGGCTACCTTGATCACTCCTCTAACAAACACGGCGGCCGAGCTCAACACATTGACTCCGATGTGCCAAGAGTCGAACTAACCTGCTTTAGCTGACCTATGCGAGTAGGAGGAGCTTCACTCTAAAGGCTACAATAAATTTGCTGCTGCGGCTCACTTTTCTCTTGTACCCCTAGAGTCAGCTTACCCAGAGTTCAGGGTACCGCTTCTGTCAGATTAAGACGCACACCAAGTCCCTGCAACTGTCCCTACCCAGTCGCAAAGTCTGCGTTCACCTTTCATTTTCATCTTCAATAGCATTGACTACCCGCTGTGACTACCTCCACGCTTACCTACATAGCTTTCAATTCACCGTTCACGCAATGCAAACCTCCGAAAAGCTCGATGAGCCGACCTCACCACCAGCTATTGGGTATGTACCCTCGAACGCGTCTCATCTCAATCTGAATTGACGCCGATTCAGCCCCGCAAACGCCGACGGCATGACGGTCGTCGAGATCGGTCCTGAACAAGCCACGTACCATGTCCATAAGGCGCTGCTTACGTTCCATTCTGACTAGTTCCGAAAGGCTTTGAAAAGTCCTCGGAGGGAGGCGGATGATTAGTTGTGCGACTGGACGCTATCGAAACGGCAGAGTGTGACTGCAACCGCTGTGTCTTGAGCAAGGCATCGTGATCAGCATCTGACTGTGGATGTAGTCAATGTCTTCACCCACTGGATTTACACCCACCTTCCACTGACCTCACACATGGTCACTTACATTTCCGGCGAGAAGGGCGAAGACACATCTGGCCTAGCCCTCATCAACGTGTACGTCCTTGGTGACAGACTCCTGGCTTTCGGCTTCCGGAGCGCGCTCGACGATCGCAAATCGGTATTACTCCACGAGCCTATATTCCTGCCGTCAGATGGGCCTTCGAGAACATATCTGGCGAACGACCGCTGCTTCAATTTCTCATTCACGACTTTTGCGAAAATTGGTACGCAAAGCACGATAACAGACAATATCAAGGCACTCCAAAACCTTCCGATGGCCTTTATCATGCATGCCATGCGATGCTACTCACTAAATTGCGAAGAGGGTGGTGACGGCTGTTTCTTAGAGCACGTGACTGTTGCAGAGAAGCAGTCTTGTAAGCACATCCACCCGGAATATGCAGCTAGTCACGACAGCTACGATTACACTGGCGAACTAAATGATTGTAGCGAGCGGTCTAAGGAGGCCTTTAACCGTGTCAAATATGTTGTTCTCTCACTGAGGCAACGAAAGCAACCTGCAACTGCTTTACCTGGACACCTACGTACATGACATGCCATCACATACCGATTGGATTAGCCCATCTTCACATTCACACCAAATCTATTGCGACACCATGATCCCAACCCCATGAGGATCACTACCTCAACATCCTTGTTGTCAATACCGAAGCCGCAAAGAGATCACCACCAATTGGGTATGCCCTCCCGTCGCATTGCAACTTCGATATCGCTAAGCAGAATAGTTCTGCGAACGCTGGTGGCATGGTTGTGATTGAAGTTGGCGAAGAGAAGAGGAAGCACCACGTGTACATGGCTTTAATCGTCTATCACTCAAAAGTTTTCATTGGAGCCTTTAATAGAACTTCAAAAGAAGCAGAGTGAAGCCTGATACATATAATAGATATCGATCCAAGCTCAGGTCTAACATCAGCTCTTATTTCAACAAAACAGTATACTGACAGCCTCCACAGTCAATATCTTCGTCCACTGGCTCTACAACTAGAGCATCCCCCCGTTCAAGAACAAGACTCACGTGGACTCCATCCTTGAGTATCTCGAGAACAAGGCAAGCAGCAAGCACGTCCCCACCCTCCTCAGGGCCTATGTCTTCGGCGACCGTATCATCGCATCTGCCTTCTGCCTCGCCATAAAGAACGCCACCGTAGACTACTACCCCATCGTCATCGAGACACCCGCGCTCATCGTATTGTGAGGCGTCTGCGCGATCAGCCAGAGGAAAACCCGGAGAAAAGCTATGACCAGCGCATCCGCTACCAAGAGCATGAAAGGCACGAAGAATCAGCTGTAGCGGGTTGCAGCCAGCTTGTGATGACAAGGGAAGACTGGGAGCATACGGGTGATCGAAGGAGGGCAAGTATACAGACAGAGAAATAGCAGCACGAACAACAACTCTGACGGAACTCGGTCCCGGTACTCTGACTAGCTCCAGGCAGCGCAACTAATCTAGCTATTGCAAAGCAATGCATATGTTGGTATCACTCGGGCTGACTGCAGTCGCCCCAGAATCAAGGAGTGGTATTGTGCAGCATAGTGGCAGCTTCCCGACCTTGGACCCAAATTAGCGGCTGAAACAAGTGGCGCCTATCCAGATTGGGGCCGAATCGAGCCTTCCCCACTCACCACACCTCTGGATCACCAACCTCCCGCCTCATCAGGCACAATGGACGAGGTGGACGCTCTTCTGCCAGTTGTGCCTGATCCAGATGGTTGTTGGTTCAGAGGGACCTCGCCTTGATACTAACACAGGTCAAGAACTTTTCGTTGGGCTGTATCATTCACCGGCCAAGAATTGTGCTTGAAGCCAAGCTCAACACAAGCTCCAGCCCTGTTGCCAGACTGGCGCTTGGAGCTCTCAGCTCTCAAACATTGACCTAATTTGGAAATTTTCGATGCAGGAACACGCATCGGAATTTCCAGCAGGACCGCAGTCACTCTGCGCTGATTGGTCAGAGCCCGTCAGGCACTACCCAAATGGCAGGACTAGTTCTCCTGGAGGTTAGCAACGCGAGCTGCGAAGACTTGTGGAGTCGCAGTCTCGCTTAACGATGCTCTGTGTAGCAACGAGCGATAAGGGCAGCGGGAACATGGCCGAGCGAAAGTAAACCTTCTGTGAGCTTTGCGTTACTATTGGGCAGGCTGCCTTTGGGGCTGAGGATGCCCCGTGAAGTGTTGCCGGTCAGTTTTTGCTTTTGAAATGAGTAGGCTGAAAGCTGCACGACTTAAGTCGGTGACGAGGGGCGCAGTGAAGACTTAAGAGCTATCTGTGGGTATATCAGTATCTCTGAAACCTTCACGATCACATCACCTCAGATCATCATCTTCGAAAGCAGGCCAAGCCACCAAACACTCGAATTACCCAGACTCAGTCTTTATCCCTCACCATGCGTGCCTCGATCGTTGCCCTCGGCCTTCTAGTTGTCTCCACCATGGCAGACAAGCTAGCCTTTCAAAACATCAGCTTCGGTGTCATGTTGAAACGTGGAGACATGATCCTCAAGCGTCAAGGTTACACTCCAGAGACAGAAACATGTGGCAGAGCCGAGACATGCGAGGAGGCGTGTGGAGCCAACAGTGTCGAGTGTTCCTCGACTGATACCTCCACACTCTACTGTCACCTTTCCAATGACGGCTCAGTATGTATCACGTTAAATGGGCGACGAAGCCTCGTTGACTGTCTGCAATAGAAATGCTGTCCTGACGACTCCGGCAATTCCTGCGAGGCTGGATACTATTGTACTTCTGACAGCGCCGGCGATACTTACTGCTGCCCTGACGGCTCGGGTATGTCTCCTTGATTGATGCTGGTATCGTTGCAAGACTGATAAAGAGCAGATACTGCCAGCTGCGCCCAACAATACTCCCTCTCCGTTTCCCTCATCCGCCAGACTGCAACCCCTATTCCTTCCGCCATTCCTCTCGGTAGCACAGTATCCGTCGAGACCCCAGTGTCCACTTCTGCCCTGCACGTCTCCATTGCGGGCTCGACCTCGGCCCGCACAATTGCAGCTAGCACTACAAGTAGGACGGACACAGCGGCAACATCAGCACCATCGCATTCTAACGGAGGTGCCAGAAAGACCATGGGTGCGGGTGCTGCTGTCTTGGCTGGCGCTCTGGGCTTCGCGGGACTTCTCTAATTGGGCATGAGTCAGCGTACTCAGCATGATAGTGCCGGTGATAATATGTGTGACGGAACTATAATACCATAAATCACGAAGAAGAATTACAAGTTGTACAGCAGTGCCCACGGAATCAGCATAGGTGCTATGCTTATCTTCAATTAGATCAAGGTATGATGAATGTAGGCTAAAACGTCTAGGGTATCTCCGCATCTCGTACTCAATACAGACAAGTTCACTTTGGTACCTTCCTGAACACATGCCTCTCCCAGCCATCAATATCATCAACAACAACCTCACGGTGGAGTGTGTAGTTTCCAAGCTTGGGCAGCACAACCGCCCAAATGGCCCAGTAAACACCGCCAGCAGCGATGATGCCGAAGCCAACAACGCAGTGTAGGTAGTATGGAAGAGTTTCGTAGACACTATTGCCCTCGCTGGGAGGCACAAAGGGTGCGATGACGAGATAGACGTTGCTCAGGAAGAAGAATATGGTGACGGGCAGAGTGGCCTTGATCGGAGGGTTCCAGTTGTACTCCTCCTTGTGGAGGTACAGCCACGCCAGACCAGCAGCGACAAAGACATTGACAATGGCGAGCGGGTATGAGATGACGCTGGAAGACATCAATACAGATACTTTGAGTTCGGATTTGTGACTCACTTGAGGATGAAGTTGTACGCATCACCAGGAGGGGGAGCCAACATGATGACGACAGAGACGAGCCAGTGCTCGAACAGACCAGCAAGAGGTGCGTTGAAAGGACGGTTACTTGCCCAGAGTCTGGACCAGGGAAGAATACCCTCGCGACCCAGTTCCTGCACAAGACGACCTTGGGAGAAGATGACACTGAGGACGTTTCCGAAAGCTGACAGAGCAACGAAGACAGAAAGCGCGCGCTCAGCTCTGGGACCGAAGACGTTGCGGAACAGCGATGCAGCTACAAGACGCTTCGAGGCGATGATCTCGTCCGCAGGAACGGCAGCGAAGTAGGCAATGTTGACGAACATGTATAGGATGGCGACAGATCCCAGAGCCAGAGGAGCAGCGATTTTGAGGGTGCGAACCGGGTTCTTGGTCTCGCTGAGCGCGTAGTTGGCGTTGCTGTATCCAATGTAACTCCAGATGACGTTGTACAGCGCAGTAACAACTCCATAAGCGCTTCCAGTGGTGCCGGCGAAGGCGTTGTCGAAGTTGTTGGGCTTCTCGATCTTGAGCACACCACCGAGTGCTGCCCATCCAGAAACGGCGATCAAGAGGATGATGAAAAGCTTGATTATTCCGAGTAGGTTCTGAAGCCTCAAACCCCATTTCAAAGTGAGACCGTGGATAAGGAAAGCAGAGGTGATGCAAGCCAGACCGACACCACGCTGGTTCCAGCGGTTGACTTCAACATTGGCGGCGTGGAGGATGTACTCTCCGAATACGACCGAGTTGGATCCAGCCCATCCCAGAAGGATAACGTAGCCAGTGTACAGACCTGTAGCGAGGAACTTGGGCTTGCTGTAGACAAACTCAAGGTAGTTCTTCTCACCTCCATTCCTCGGGATAGCTGTGCCGAATTCTAAGTAGACAGCCATACCAGCAGCAGCGACCAGCATGCCCGCGACCCAAATGATGAGAGATAAGCCAACACTACCAGATAGGGAGAGGATGGCACTTGGGGTCGCAAAGATACCAGTACCGACCATTCGGTTTGTGACGAGGAAAATTGCTGATGTGATACCGATCTGGCGCTTTGATTGGCGGACCCGGTAGAGAGATCCATTATCGATATCGGATGGTGGAGCGTCAGGATCGGACGTAGGCTGGCCCTCGACAAGTGTTGCCTTTACCTCAGAAGTGGCCCCGTATCTGGAGAAGAGCTTGGACATCGTAGACGACGATGAGGAGGAGATGAGTGGAGTCGACTCCATCTTGATGAGCGCTCAATCTTATATAGATTGCAGTAGGTATGCCAGAATCCTTTGCACATGCGACCCAAGATCACCTAGAAGTCGTGAACCGTATTGGCGAAATCGTGAATCGTATTGGCGAAAGCGTGAAGGTCACCTTGTCGGTCTGTGCGAATGGCGTGCCATCAGTCACAGCTACAACAGAGGAAGATTTTACGAAATACTTTCTGTGCGCAGACCTCTTGGAAGCTTGAACTCGTCCATGGCGTCGATGTCGTGCTCGAAGGCCCACTCAGGTAGGGAAAAACTTGCGGGAGCCATGCTGCAAGAGGCACACTAGTGCGATTCGCGATTATCAGTCTCGAAATCGTCAGTGTGACCACACCACAAACATACATATCGCCAGCTTGGCGATGTTACAATAGATATTCTGGAAAGAAATGCGGATTCTGTCGGCTTTGTTGAAGAATGCCTTTTTTTGCTTGCGGCAGCAACCGCCTTAGGATCTAGTGTTTGACTACATTACTTGAGGTTGATTGCGCAGCAAGTTCAAAAGATCGACAGACTCCCTCAGAAAGTATGCAGAGACACTGCATCAGACTCGGAGACTCAAACAAACCGAGAAGAAGAGATGAAAAACAATCAGGCGTAGCTACCTTGGTCACTGTTGCACGTTCGTTGCCATCGTTGCTTCATGCATTCGGGAAGGTACTTGGAAGCTCGCATTCATCAGTCTGTGTCACGGTATGCGAGCATGTTGAACAGTCTTGAGATCATCAAAGGGGGTGTTGCAGCTAAATACGCTGGCTTCGCTCTGCTGGCCAGAAGTGACAGGCCAAAGAGCGACCAATTACCGTGGCATTTGGCCGTCAGGACGTCAGTCGAAGGTAACCTAGGATCTTTCGTTCGGACTGACGAATCAAGTGCTTCTTTAATTCGCGCACGCATCTCTGAGACTGCCGTATGTAGCTGGTCTACCTTTCGGCTGTATAAAAGCAGCTTCCAGTTCTCGATCTGTTCTGATATTGGCAAGGTGGCGCTGGGTGTCGTGAGGTATTTCGTCGTCTTTAGTGTAAGTGATTAATTCGATAAGGGCATCGAAGTTGCCTCCCGGAACGTAGCACGTTGCGCCTGCCACTGAGCAACTGATGTCTCTTCGCTTCGCTTCGCTTCTCACAAGCTCGTATGCGTCTGCAGCACTGTATCCTGGGTGGATTGCAGCAATAAGTAAGATTGGCAATCCACGCCGGCATCACATCCATTCCTCCTTGAAGATCCAGAAATACCCTCCGAACGAATTATGGCCCCACACCCCAACAATGCCAAACGGCGTAACTCTCCCGGTCCACGTCCACGAAACTCCAAGTCCGAGGTACTGCTTAGCCAGACTGACCAGTCCATCTTCACGTACTCGCCCGGAGAGCCGGAAGTCACCGTGTTGATCATAGCCTCTAGTCTCGCGCTCAATATGAGCGCATATTCTCAATCGCATTCTTGCTTCTTCGGTGGGCTCCGAAACGACCATCTGTATGTTCTGCATTGGCGCGTCGACAACGATAGAACGGTTCCCAAAACGGTGATCTGTATAGTAGCCGGCCCAACGACAAGCTAGAAACTCGGGCGTTGTCATATGCTTGGTGTGACACGTTGCAAAGAGCCCTGCGGAGCTACGATATACGCTCGGCAGGTCCATGAACATAGAAAATGGTATCTTACATGGCATCGGAAGTATTCGATTTTCCCGTTTGCTATAAGTGGACGAGATGGCTATCAGCAAGAGAGGAAGGGCAGCAGACGCTTGCATCAAAGTCAAGTCTCTGATAAAGGTCGCGTAGCCTGGTATACGCACACTGAGTTGCTGTATCACGTTGTCCGTCATGTTTTGCCGGACAGCAAGTGCGGAGGCTGCCCCTGCCCAATCGGGAATGAAGTGGCGAGTAAACAAGGCAAGAACTTCGCTAAAATCGTTCGTAGATCCCAGGCGTTGTAGTGTGGTGTAATTGATAATGAAGCTGAAATTGGTGAAGTGCACAGCCTGGAGCTTTGCGGAAGCTATCTTGTCGCGAGCCTGGCCTGCGGTTCGTGACAGCCAGCGGTTCATCAGCAGGGAAGATGTTGAGTTCGTGTTGAACTGACTAAGCTGGCCATGTGGTAGGAGAAACATATCGGGGTCCAGGCACCAAGACACAGGATGATGGAGTGCCAGCAGATGAGGAAGCCAGTCGGCCATGTTTGAGGTAGTGCTGGTCAGCCATGCTGTAGGCTTGAGAGTCGACAGCCGGATAAGATCTTCGACAGCATGAGCCAGTCGAATTGTATCATCGATACCGGATTCACTCAAAACCACTTCGCCTTCTGCCCATTCAAGCTGCTCCGGCGTCAGTTCCACGCGACCTGGCTGCCTGTACGTCTCGAGCAGGTCATCGTCTGCGTCTGGCGTTCTGTGAAACGCATTTTGAGCGATGTCTTTGAATAAGAGTGGGTCGTAGCAAGCTTCGTGGAGTTTACGACTGGTGCGGATCAATTCAAGGAGACTGGAGCATGGCAGAAAGCGAGCTACGTGCTGGAGAAGCTCGTTAGGGAGCGCAAGTAGAGACATAGCCGGAGCGGAGTCGCAAAAGAACGACAATACTAGCAGACATCGCAATACAAGTGCATGAAGGTTTAACATGGGATCTTGCAGAGGCGAAGCCAGCAAGTTAGCGTTTCGCTTGTCGTTGACCCCGCAGGTGCCTGGATTGAAGTGGCAACACATCAATTCACTGCAGCATGACGCAACCGCCATGAAGCTTCAATGTAACAAAAGGCCTGCTGCGGGACTTGTCGAATACTCTGTTGTGTTTCAGTTTGCAAGTCGCGTTCAGTAGCCGCTCGTTGGTCTCTACACATTCCACCTGCCTACCTAGCCTAGTTGTTACTTGCCTGATTTTGACATAGTCACAAAAAGCCCTCAGTCAACACCACCACCACGACGACGGCATGCAGGGTAGCAAAAAGAAGGCCTCGAATAGCCAAAAAATTGGACTTGCTGGGAATCGAACCCAGGACCTTTCCCAGGCTATGATGATCTGTTCAATTACTTAGGTAGTAACCGAGATGCTAAGGGAAAATTATACCACTAAACCACAAGCCCAAGAACTTATTGATGAAAGAAGGGCGCGACAATATATATATATATATATATATACGTACGATAAAACTTTATACGCACCGTACCACTGAAGAATATTGACACGAAACAATCTAGTAGCGCGGATGGTGAGGCGGCGTCGAAGTTGGCCGATGTCCTGGAACACGCCAAGATCACGTGACGGAATCTCCACACGCAGCTCGTGATCAAAAGCTCCAGACCGAACGGCTCAGTCTCGGTCGATGCAGGTTTGAACGGAGTGGTCAGGAGCTCGTCGAATGGTCGGTTCAACACCCACCATGGCCAAGAATTTAACCGGATCACCTTATATCAGGGATGGGCGCGGAGACGAGAGAGAGCGCAAATGGGACAGGCGCTATCTCAGTGAATATGTGTTCGCAAGTGCTGAACTATATTGCTTGAAACGCCAGCCTATGCCATGCAGTGACCACCCATGCTTTACAACGATACAACTACACGAAATCAAACACATCCCCCTTGTCCGCAATCATCTTCCCCACCCTTTTCGTGCCCACGACTCGTTCAAGCTCCAGTCTCTCCCACTTGCTGAAAGCCACTCGCACGCTCGCCTCCTGCCTGCTGATCTCCCCACGTTCCACGCTCTTGCCGATGAACCCAACGACCTCATCGTAGAACTTGGGGTTCTCGGGTACACCGTAGAACACGACCCTCTTGACGCCGCGGATCTGATACCGGTGGAAGTGATGGGCTCTGCCCGTGTACAGCAAGAGGCTGTGCTTGCCACTCATGAAGTGTGAGCGCGCCTTGCGGACGTCCGTCGGGTCGGTGTATTCCTGGATCAGCCCGTAACTGAAGTCGCTGTCGACAAGCGAATTGCGGACGCGTACGAAGTCGAGGTATGACGGGATGAAGACGAGCACGCCAACGCCACCGGTTGCGGGCTTGGGCAGGCGACTGATGGACGGCAGGACGGAGGAGTGGAAGTATTTAAAGCGCGCATCCGGGTCTGTGAGGTGCGACGGCGAGTCGAAGCGTAGGAAGGTTTGCTTGATCCCGTAGCTGAGGGTTTCAATCAGCCCGGAGGTGTAGTCGGGCGTGTAGCGTAGACGACCGGCGACGTTGCGCATATGTTTGTAGTAGAGGGAGTTTATTTTGGGAGTCAGGAAGGCGGAGAGAATGATTGTTTGGCGCATGTGCGGTGCGTGGCCGTCCAGGTACCAGCTACGCACGCGTGAGAAGTCGCAGCCGTGCGGGTCTTTGGGCTGCAGGTTCAGGTGATCAAAGACGAATTCTGCGTGCTCGAAGTTCTGCATGAGGGTTGCGTCGGCCTGGTCCATGATGACAATTTCGATCGAGGAGAGGAAGTCGTGGTCTCCGCGCTTCTTCTTGTCGCCGGTCTCGATGGCGCGGCGCAGACCGAGTGCGGAGGCGAAGATGATGTCAGAGTTGTAAAAGGTTGAGTACAGCTTCAGTGTCTTGCGGGTCAGCTTGACACCGACTCGGAATTCGTTCTCGTCGTTGCCTTCGAATAGCTCCCGGAAGTCGTCTGGCTTGTCATCTGAAAACTTGTCTTCTGGCTGGGAGAAGCTGTCCAGGAAGCGCTTCTTATTTTCCTGCTGCTCGAAAGTGTGCAGCTTGGTGATCGAGTCCAGGGCTCGAACGCAGGCTTGCTTTGTCTCGAGAAGGAACAGAATCTTCGGTCTTGTGAAACCTTGGTCGCGATACTCAACATCGTCCTCCTCCTTTGCCGCTGCCAGTTTTGCATTGTTCTTTATAACACGATCTCGTGTCATCAAGATGTGGTTGAGAGCATGCAAGCAGGTTAGGTCGCGAAGTCGTTCAGCATTTTGCACCGTCCTTGCGCCAAACAGCAAGTCCTGGTAGCTGAAAAGGGAAGACGCAATTGTCTGCTCAAGGTCGTTGAAGTCGCCAATTTCCTTCTGGGCATTCTCGATCAACTTTGATTTCAGCCCAATGTTGCGTGTGCTCTTGAACCTCGGCCTTTCCAATGCCTTCTCGTCTGTGCTAGGGACCTGCAGAACTCCTTTCCCTGTCTCGGTGTGGCTCGACTTCTGAGCTTTCCACGGGTTGGCAGCCTTGGGTGGGCCTGCTTCCAGCTTCCTGGTCGCCCACTCGTTCTCTGCTATCCGCTTCAGCCGTTTTGCGAGGTCGTCCTCGTCGGGGCTGCCAAAGTGCTTGTCGAAGAAGGGGTTGTTCGCTTCGTTGTCGAGTGGAGTGTCTTCCTCTTCGTCCTCGATTTCCTCGGCCTCGTCCTCATCTTCGACCTCATCTTCGGCCTCATCGTCGTTTCCTGGTTCACCATCATCTTCTCCAGCAGACTCATCGTCGACATGCTCGGCAGCCGATCTCAGGTCAGTCTGGTTCGCGCGGCGCTTGAGTTTCGTTTGTCCCAACAGATCCTCCTCGCTCTGCGCCTTGCGCTTCTTACTTGATCGATCTTGCGATTGGGTGGAGGCTAGTGACTGGAGGAGGGCGGCGTAGGCGTTCGATGTGGGTTCAGCATCTGATTCTTCTTCTTCCTCGTCTTCTTCCTCGTCGGAGGGTTCTGGTTCTGTGTCTGATGGCTCGGGCGATTGGATGCCTTCGGCCTCTCTATACGGTATTAGCGACTGCTTTGCGCCTCATGCAGCCCGTTGCCGTACTCACGCCTCGCCGTCTGGGCTTCTCATTCTTGCACCGCCGTATCCACCACGGCCACCGCCCCGGCCTCGCCCTCGTGAAGCACCGGCACCACCCCGTCCGCGGTCACCACCCCGTCCGCGGTCACCACCTCGCCCTCGAGCACCGCCTCTCCCGCGATCTCCGCCTCTCCCTCTGCCTGCTCCTCTTGCGCGACCACGCGGGCCTCCGCGAGAGCCTCCGCGCCCTCTCGAGAACGCCATGCTGGTGTGTTGGTCCCTTGTTTTCACCGGGGATTGAAGTCTGCGACCCTGAAATGCTTACTTAGGCGACACGAATGCTCCCAATATCGAGGCTGTCAGAGACCGCACAGGTGACAGCTGCACTGTTGTGTCATGTTATCCATAGCCGTCTCTCCAGAAAATAAATATTAGCGTCCGTGCTAGCGAGAACCGCACCTGGCAGGAACAATCCATACAATTTCTGCCCCACCACCACCACGCCCTCTCGCTCCCGGCCTCGCACAACGCACGGCACCGCCCAGCGCAACTCCCGCCATCATGTCTGCGACCGACTCGTTCCTCCACCTCGCGCGCCCGCTCGGCCCAGCGCCCGTCGGCGCGCAGCCCTCGACGGCGCCGCTGAACGTGGTCATCCAGCCCCAGGTGCGCGCGCTCCCCGTGCCGATAGGCGGCGCAGTGTGTGCCATATGCTGACCGTTGCAGGCCGTCTTCTCCGTCCTGGACCACTCGCTCCGCCGCCCCGCCGACCAGGAGCGCGTCATCGGTACGCTGCTCGGCACCCGCAGCGAAGACGGCACCGAGATCGAGATCCGCAACTGCTACGCTGTCCCCCACACCGAGACAGCCGAGCAGGTCGAGGTCGACATGGACTACCAGAAGCAGATGCTCGCCCTGCACCTGCGCGCGAACCCACGCGAGGTCCTCGTCGGCTGGTACGCCACCAGCAGCGACCTCAACACCTTCTCCGCCCTCATCCAGAACTTCTACAGCCAGCAGGGCGACGGCACATGGCCCCACCCGGCCGTCCACCTGACCGTGTCCACCGAGCCCGGCAAGGAGATTGAGTCGCGCACCTACATCTCCGCCCCGATTGGCGTCACCGCCGAACGCGCCGCCGACTCGTGCCTGTTCATCCCCGTGCCCCACGAGATCAGGTACGGCGAGGCCGAGAAGTCGGGCCTGGAGCTCGTCTCTGCCGCCAAGAACAGCGAGAGCAGGATCGCCGAGGTTGCGACCGACCTCGACCAGCTCGAGAACGCCATCAGGCACGTCCTCGACATGCTCGAGCGCGTCTCCAACTATGTCAACAACGTCCTCGACGAGGAGGCTGAGCCTTCGTCCGCGCTGGGCCAGTTCTTGATGAACGCCCTCAGCCTGGCACCGAAGGTCGATGCCGCCGACATTGAGCGCGACTTGTACGCCAAGCCCACCTCTAAGCTGATCTCAGAAGCTAACACGCGGCAGCAACGCACACATCCAGGACGTCCTCGTCGTCTCCTACCTCGCCAACACCATCCGCACCCAGATCGACCTCTCGAACCGTCTCGCGACCGCAGCGCTTACTCTCGGTGGCGGCGACGCTCTTGCTGGTGACAACCAGAAGGAGGGCGGTGACAGGAAACAGGGCGGTGACCGACGGGGCGGCAATAAGGGCAGGCAGCAGAGGCAGCAGGAGGCCTGAACATGATTTATGATGCATTCTTAAGAGCTTGGGTCTGGCGTTTTGGCTAACGTGCGAGTGTAGCGTTGCTCAGAGACGTTAGAAGCGGCAACATCAACACTTGGAGCACGAAAAAGGATGAGGAGAGCGAGCCCACGCCCATCGAAGGCGCGACCGGCGGCGTGGGAACGTTGCATGACGATGCCGAGTGAAAAGTAGACCTGTAAAGGCGAGCATTTCCAGGCGCTGGCTGAGGCTGTGTACGAGTACCGCAGGCCTGTCGAGCATGAGCATTTGAGCGCCAATGCTCAACAATCAAACACCATTCAACGTTTAAGAGCCATTGTGTCTCGTGGCGTGTATCGAACCAATTATTGAAAATGATCGACTACATGGGGTGAATATCGAACCCTCGGCTTGTACACGGGACTGCCATGGCCACGATGTTTCTCAACCTCACACTGCTCGTGAGCAAGACAAGGCCAAAGGACAGATTTCTGTCCAGGGTCGACGATTTAGAAAGACTGATGCCAGATCGAACAAGGAAGATTTCACTACTGAATCGAAAGATTTATTCGCATTCGCAGTTGCATCGGGAGTGCCTCAGCCACAAGCCATTCAGACGCTGAATATCTTTCGGGGAGGCCGGGAGACATAGCATTTAGCAGGAGGCGCTGCCTAACATCTTACCTCGACAACACCTTCCCCATAGCCCTATCAATATGCTTTCGGAGAAACTCTTCGACCAAGAACTGCTGTACAGACTATAGACAAGGAACAGTGCCATGCAAATACGCTGGCCTGGTCACGTGAGCAAGTCCTCCTCCTGCGTACGATCCAATTGACATCGCATATGCTGCTAGTATCGAAAATCGATTAACGCCGTCGCAGTGCAATTTCTTATAATGTAGATAGTCCTGGATCCAAAAGTGTGTTGAGACCCGTCGGCCTGGTACGAACAGAGACGAGTATGCGCTCAGATGCGCAGACTCGTATCGAAAAGTTCGTTTTGAGAGAAGAGGTGACCGATCGTGGACCATGTCGTGCTGAAAGAGTATTCGAGGCCATGTACGATGGATAGTGCCGTAGAGTATGTCAAGAGAGATTCCTGATGGCTTCCCTTGTAGACGCTGACATGCTGCGTTCCTACACCACACTCTCATCATCTGCAAACTTCTCCTTCTTGACTTTATCCTTCTTCTTTTTCTTCTTCTTCCTCTCGCCCTCCTCGCCTCCCTTTCTCGCCTGTGGCTCCTCATCCTCCTTCGCATCCCCCTTCTGCAGCACCGCGCCCTCATCTGTATCAAACGCCTTCCTCTTGCGCTTCAGCTCCTTGTCTGTCTCCAGCATTTCGCTCACTCTGCCCAGCTTCCCTGTATCGCGCCTTAGCATGAATTTGAAGTCATCGAGCTTGATCTTCGCGCGCCTAGCGTGGTGAGCGACGGCTGCGGCTTCGTGGCAGGATTCGATGATGTAGTCGGTTACGATTTCGTCGAGCACGCGCACGGTTTCGGGGAGCGGGTAGTCGTTGTCGCCGAAGGCGAGGAGGAAGGCCTCTACTTGGGGTCGGTCAAAGAGTGTTCGTGTCTTTTTGAGATGCTTTGGAGGAGGAACGCGAGGCAAGATTGGCGGAGCCATGGTGGTGGTTGTGCGGACAATTGAGGTGGTGATATGAATGGGAGATGGAGAGGTTGAGTTGCGTTGACATGGCAAAGTGAAGGACCAGCAGGTCAGCCAGTCATGTTTATACGCACCACATAGAGGGGGACAGAAGGCGCGGTTTGCGAACGAAGGCGCGAGTGAAGGCACTTACAGTCTTGTGTGGGAAACTGCTGGCCCTTCTGGCGCAACCGCATGCGCACCTCCGTCATGATGTGACTGTTTGAGAGCTTCCGCGCTCTCTTGCTCCTTCAATTAAAGCTCTTGACCCTATCTTGTTGCGGCGTATGTGCGAGGCAGACGTGTTGCGCCGGCTGCGCCTGCAGCTCTAGTCGCGTTCGAACGCTTGTGCTTCCTGGAAGGTCGTTTGAATGTTGGATCGAGTGTCTTGTGGGTTGATCGACGCGGTGTAGGCGTAAGAGGTCCGGAGGGTAATAACGTATACGGCGGTCTGTTGATGTGTGATGTTTGCGCGCAAGAACGCGGTGGAGAGCAATGACGATAGATCATGCATGCACGCACAGGCCGCGGCTCACGTTCTCCCCGCCGAAAGTGAAAGCACCGCGACGACAACAGCTGTTCACTTGACATCACCGGCAGCAACACCGTCCTCTGACTTCTTGACCCCTTAAACTAGATTAATTGAATCCGCGAAAAACTCCGAATCTCACACACTCGCGCCAAAATGGTGCGTGTCGTGCACAACTCTCGACACTCCCGAACATCCAGCTAATGTACAAGTAGACGGCGCTCTTCAACTTCCAATCCCTCCTCCTTGTAATTCTCCTCACCATCTGCACCGCCACGTACGCGCACTACGTCTTCCCCGGCATCATCGACCGCAACAAGGAGAACTACTTTGTCAGCCCCATATGGAAGGCCGCCAGGGTCGGTGAGAGGCTGAGTCCCTATGTCAGTCTGGCATGTGTGGTTATGGCGGTAAGTCGGAGATCTCTTTGGGTAAAAGAGCATGCAGGGTGCAGGAAGAGTTTGAAGGAGTTAGTCTGCGATAGGGCAGGGCGCAGCACTGCGAGGACTGCGAGGATAATGAGGAAGGGATGATATTGTCAAAGGATGGTTCGCAAAGGTAGCCAACATGCTGACACCTTGCAGGCGCTTACGTTCATGGGATGAGCGACTGCTGAGACTTAATGTTGATGGGCGACAACGATGCATGAGCTACCAGGCGGTTTGGTAAGGGCAGGCGCGGCACAATGGTAATGGGCCCTTGGGAACTCCGGAGAACGACTCCAACTGTGATGCATGAACGGTGTGACTGCAAAGACACAGGAGACCGCGGAAAAGCTGCAGGTCGGGTATGCACGCCTACGAGCCCTGCATAGAGACCTCGCGCTTGCACAGAACGTTACTCATGTCAAATGAACTCATGGAACACAATCAAGATTTGAGGATTCGCGTCATCGCTAGCATTAAGGATGTGATATGTACAAGAGCGAGGACGCTCGCTCGCTAATTTTGTTGCTGACCATTTCTGATCAAGCTTGTTGGTACAAGAAAGTGTACCGGCACCTTTCAAAACAAAGGCACATCTCTAACCAGCCATAGACCCATCCTATACCGATTCATACAAGTGATGATAATACACAGACGTGATTCAGCGCCTAGAGAACACCTTTCCCTTCGTTCAGGCGCGCGTAAGAGTTGAGTTTTTCTGACATGTAAATTTTGGGGAATCATCGAGCCGGGGGGTATCGATGAAGGAAAAACAGATCAAGAGGAAAAGCAGACGGGCGAGAGCTGTTGAGAAGCTCATAGTCGTCTGCTAACAAACTGCCAACAAAAGGTTGGTGTCGTGAATAACCACCGACAACTATCGACGGGGGGAAACCGGCGTAACGTTCTAAAAGCAAGAAAGGCGAGAAGGAGAGGCGTAACTACGAACCATGAGCATAAATCATATCTGAAGGCGGCAGGGAGCCCGACTTAACCCGCTCGCTGCCTAATGCTTGTGGCTCATCTCCCCTTTCTCACAACACGAGTTAAGGCCGTGGCGGGAGCTTGCGCGCTCGTGCGAGCCTTCAACATCGCTAGCATCCTCGACAACGACATCGTCGTGAAGCATGAAGTCAGGCTGGCTGTGCGCATCATCCTCGTCGTCGTCATCGTCGTCATGGTCACTGACCAGGCCAGGGTTGGAGTCAACAGTGTGAGGACTGAGGTCCAACGGCGAGTCTGGCATATGCTCGTCACACTCTGACTTGACGGGCGATGGCAACGAAAACGGAAGTCGAGCGTGACTGGCTTGGTTGCCCTTCCTACTGCCTGGTCGCGCCAAGGGAGCCTTGCTTGCGGGCGCTTTGTTGGGGGCGCTAGCGGGAAGACGCGCTAGCTGAGGCGGGTTGGCATTGACTGGGGTCGGAGCTGCAGTGGTGTCCGCGAGATCGTCATCTGAATGGTCGATCGCGTCAAGATCAACCTTAGATTGAGATGTGGTGACGAGCTCCCTGAGGTTGCCCTCGAAGCCACGCTTTTGAGCCAGAGCACTCAGGTGCGGTGTTGACAGTGAGCCAGTGAAGTTGGTTGAGACAGGCTTCGACTCTTCCCTTGGGGCGGCGTTGAAGTCGCGGTGGACGTCCTTGGCTTGTGCAGTGAGGGTGGGTTGCACTGCAAGAGGATTCACAATGCCAGGGGTAGAGGGCACGGAGAACGATACTGCAGGTGCGGAGGCCGGGGTGCTGACCGGTTCAGTCGCGGTGACCGGTTGGCCAGCCTCGTTAATGTCCACCGGAACGCCACAGGCAATGGCAGCTGCGTCGTGGCTCTTGAATACCAGGCTGTGCTTGATGCGGCAGTGGTTGAGGAATCCTTGCGTGTTGGAGAAGTTGCTGTGACCACACTGAGCGCAGTAGAGTCGTACCCACTGACCATCAGTGGACCGCTTGTGTAGCAGAGGATCAATCTTTGGAGCTGGTGCTGGATTTTCACCGAGCGGCGGGAGCTTCAACATTCCAGTCGAAGTTCGTGACGTGCGGCCCTTGTTCCCGTGACCGTAGTCACCGAAACTGCCACGCGTCGTCCTGCCTTCACCAAGTCCAAAGTAACTCTGCTGCTGAGCAAGAACACGTTCAGAGATAGGGTCGAACTGCATGTCCGAGATCAACCACCTGGCGTAATGACGAGTGTATGGACCATCGGTGACTCCCCAGGGTGCGGCAAATTGAGGCTCTGTGTAGCCAGCAGGAGGTTGGAGAGCAGCTCCGACACCACGGCTGAGGTCTTCGTGAAGACCCCCAGTGCCAGGAAACGGAATCATTGAACAGCGCCTCAGCTGCTCCATCGAAACTTGGCATTTGGCCAACTCTTGCTCGATCAGTCGAAGCTCGTTGTGCTTCAAGAGGATCTCGTAGCTGATTTGCGCCTCGATCGCTTGTTGAACAGCGGTCAAGTTTGATGTTGTCGAAGTTTCATGAGTGTTGACGGGTTCAGATTTTACATTGACTTGTGATGGTCTCGGTGTCTTGGACTTCAGCACGCTGTCCTTCCTCGGTAGCTGAGCCTTGGGTCGCGATTCCTGAATTTCCACAGAAACAGCCTGAGGCATACTCTGCACATCTTCCGATTGCGAAGTTGCCACACCGTTCGTACCATGGTTCGCCAGCACAGGGTTCACCTCGCCCTGTGCGCTCTTCCACTTCTTCACAGCATGCGCCTGCTGCGTAGATGCCGGCTCGGGACTGTCCGTCGCCTTGCGCTTGATCTGGTTCATACTGAAGGCCGGAATTTCAATAGCCGGCATCTGTCTTGACTTGTGCAGCGTAGCCTTTTCCATGATTCTGTCGCCGGGCGACTCCGTACTCCACGGGAGGCGGAACATGGACTGCATTGAGAGTGAAAAAGTGGAAGCCTAAAGACAACAACGCTCATCTGTCGCAGCAATCGTCTGGCGCATTCAAGTCCAAAAGTGTCACTCCGTTTGATAACGTCGTGGCAAGCGCAGCAGAGAAGTGCGCAAAGTTGAAAGGAAAGTGTTGGAAATCGCGCGGTATTAGAAGGTGTACTGGGTATCAAGAAGGTGTGGTGAGGGAGCGCAAGAAGAGAACAACAGGCAGCTAAGTTGTTGTGGTGACGTGGTGTGCAAGCGCGAAGATCGGCCGATGAACGGGAAAATCAACACTGCGGAATCCGAATACTGGGTGAACAGATCGCGATCCTGGAGAGACAGACGTGCAGCAGCTTTGCAGCGCTACAGGAGTGCCGTGCAGAAAGTTCGTGGTGGAAGGGGAGGGGTGGAGGGGAGAGTTGGTGTTCGTGTTTGCGACCAAGGTTTGAGAAGTTGCGAAGTTGGGGGACTGCGCTTGCTATGGAGAGCTGCACGCTTGTTTGGGAGCTAGTCCCGAAGCGCTGAAAGTTGCCAGGATCCCTGTAGATGGCCGTCCCCCTGGATCGCTGCGATTGGCTTCGTGTCATACAATTCCTTACCGTGGAATGCCGCTTGGCTGTTGGCAAAGCAATACATCATGAGCGAATTTCACAGCCTGTCCTACTATTCTGCCCGTGAGGCCGAGTGGCCGAGCGGCAGGCCACAGTCGCGGTCGCGGTCGCGGCGAGGGTACGCACACCTTCACACGCATCGCGAGCGCTGCAAGCCAGTGAGTCGTGTGAAGGTTTGGGCAGTCGCGGGCATACATCATTGTGGGCCTGCTTGGCTCTAGCCTCTGGGGCGCATCACTAAGTTTTGGCTGACTTGTCCAACGTTTGCTGGCAACAGCTGTCTCAGCGCCCGTTACCTATGTCACGACTCGCATGGACTTCGCGGTGCACTGGCTCGCCCGCGCAGCCAGATCCCTCCTGGCGAGTACACTCTCAAACGCTCAGAGCGCATCGCAATCAACTTTGGCGGGGTGGGCCACGTCGTCGCCACTGAACACCAACATTCGCAAGCCCGTCAACCTGATTCAGGCCAAGCACCAAGCGCCACTCTCGTTCTACTGCTTTCTGGCTGGGCTGCCGGCTCCGCATGCCATCGGCCACGCTGAAACGACTCAACACCATGATGCGCTGCCTCGTGGCCATAGAAAGGGATCAACCTTGCCGTTATGAGGGGCACTACCATGCGCCTGCAGGGCTGCAATGCTCGCCGAAGCTCCTGCAGTCTGTCGGTGAGCGTGAAGTCGTCCACCGCCACGCGAAAGAGCAGCTTCAAGGCGTGCTGCTGCGTGTCTCCGAGACTAGGCCGCGGCACACGGGTAGGCGTCCGGTATCGTCCATCGCTAGAGTCCAACCGGAGATCCGGGCTCTCCGTGATTTCGCGAAACGATAGATCGCCTCGTGTCTTCCAGAACACAAATCACAGCTTCGACGAGTGTGGAGTTCGCGATAAGATGCAATTTTATCTTGATCATGTGAGCCAAAACCAGCACTACCGGCCTGGACGCAGGTACAACCCATATCAAATTGGCGTAGTCGCTAGCCTACAATGCTCCTCACGGAAGCTGTCCTATCCTCACTGGCCTCGATCGCGGCCGATCATGACGATGAGTACCTGAAAGACCAGTGGATCGGGGATCCTGGGAAATGCGACGAGTGCGCCGGAAAATATCTACAAGTTCCCCAGGAAGTCCGGCCTCAAAACAACAAATGTACCAACTGCATGGTCCACATTCCTCTGTGCGGACACCGTTCACCGAATGTCTATGCGCTGCTCACCGCTCACAAAGTCGCGCTCACAGGACATGTTCTCCGATTTAGTGATGCTGGAGTAGGGCGGATGTTTTCGGCTTCCGGCGAACAAGCTCCATCTTTCTGTGGAGACTCGTCCATGCTCATTATCTCCATGCTTTGTTGCAGTGTGCCGTTGCCGCGTGGTGATGCTGCCAAATTCTTAAACGGACACGATCCAGCTGCCATGGCCGTGTCTTCGATTTCGCTCTCGCTCTCACTTGCGTCGTGCCGTATCTTCTTTCCGTGCAGGTAGCCCTCTGGCTCGATTTCAGGAACAAGAACTTCATCAGTGAACTCGTCGCCATCGCGAACGTACCACTTCACAAACAGGTCGTTTTGGATCCAGATCACATTCGACAGTGCCTTGACAAGTCCGATCTTGCGGTCCATCTTCAGTTTCGGGTGTGACAAAATGGCCTCTGTCAGGATGTCTTGGACGAATGACAATGTGACACCCATGTGTACATACTCCATGTGCAGTGGATGTGTCCGCCCTTGTCCGACGTGCATCGTGCCCACTTTGTCGAGGTACTCCCAGAACTTCATCTTTGAGGGGTCGCTGCACAGCTTGTTTAGGTAGCCACGGAGGAACATCTTGCGGTGCATAATTTGAGGGGAGTTCTCGGTGAGGTTGGAATCGACAGATCCCTCGCATGATGTTGATCGTGTCTCGAAAGCTCGCGCAGTAATGTCATATTGCAACAGTTTCTTTTAAACGATGTTTACAAGAACGAGAATGAGGGCTCTGATGTATTTGGCTCCAGTCACTAGGTGCTCAATGTCACCTGTGAGTGTCAATACGTGTTGATGCAGCTACTATCTTGATACATACGAGAACTGAAATCGAGGAAAGACTGCAGGTATTGTATTCGGGTTTTCAGGTTTGTGTACAGGTCTCGGCGATCAATGTGCTGCATCGGTCGGCGCTGCAAGGGAGTCATATTGAAAGGTCTGTTTTGATGAAACAGCGTGGAGCTTCTATATGGTTCTCAACTGTCTAGTGTCGTTGTGCGCTCGTCCAAAAGGAAGTTTTATTGGTCTGCAGTTCATCTGACCAGTCAACCCCATCTTTTATAACACGCACTATGTTCTCCCGAAGAGTCATTCATGGTGCGTCGGGAAGCGCTGCTATGAGCCCAAGTGGTGTGTTGGGTCCGACGAAGGGATGGCGTGACTGAGCAGTGAGGTCGAACCACCTCGAGATTTGAAGAGAATCCGTGAGCCTTGTCGTCCTCCACCCATACAACGCGTATCTATATTTAATACGGCCAGTCTCGAATCACGCGTCAGTTGTTTGACATGCCTTCGAGCTATTGCCCTCTCTTCTCGTCCCTGGTAGGTAAGCTGAGCTCGGTCGTCATTTGGGCAGCTTCGTATACTCTATCGGGATGCTTGGAACAACGACTGCAAGTTCACTCTTGTGTCGTGATCAGTCGGGCAATAGCTTTGCGAATACCGAATACAATCATAACGATGGGAATGGTCAAGTCGCCGCTCGGCTGAAAGTCGGACCTGGACATAGCCTGGGTTGACACAGTAACGCCTACGCAACGATTGCGCCTTATGCCCTTTCTGCTGCATTATGGTATGACATTTCTATATCGAAACTATAAAACCAGAGCGATTGGTAAGTCATTCGCTCAGATAGAGAGTAAGTGTCAAGGTACTCCGACCGATCGCGGAGTAAACACCACGCAAGCAGGTGGGAATTATTCCGAGCCACGCTTTGCGCCGGTGGGTAGCGTACATAAGCGCGCAACCCCCACAACAAAGTACACCCCGCCAACATCATTGAGGTTGCATTGCGCTTTCCAGTCTATCTGACCAACTGTCATTCAAATCGTCAAATCGAAACCTGCAGACCCAAACCACCTGTATCTACAACGACTACCACAAACATGTCAGCTATCCAGAACGTCGCCATCATCGGCGGCAATGGTACATTGGGCAAGCCCGTACTCGAAGAACTCAAGAAGTCCGAATTCAACATTTACGTGATCAACCGCCAAACCTCGAAATCAGTATACCCCCGAACGCAAGTCATCACAGTACCAGACGACCTAAATGTGGACACCGTCGCCAAAGAATTTCAAGACAAGCAGATCGATGCACTCGTCATCACCATTGCAGGAAGCCAAGTTGAGCAGCAACGAAAGCTTATCGATGCTGCCTTCAAGGGTGGCGTGAAGCGAGTGCTTCCTGCCGACTTCGGCAGCTGCGACTCTGCAGATGAGAAGACAAATCAGATTTTGCCGCTGATGAAGGGCAAGGAGGGCATTCGCAATTACTTGATCGAGCTGGAGAAGAAGGAGCGGGACAGTGGCAGGGGAAAGCTGACGTGGACGAGTCTTATCAACGCACATTTTTTCGACTGGGGTCTCGGCAATGGGCTGCTAAAGTTCGATGTTCGGGGGCGCAAAGCGTACCTACTAGATGGTGGTAACATCAAGTTCTCTGCATCGACGCTGCCATTCATTGGGCAGGCAGTTGTCAAGATCCTAGAGAAGCCACAAGAGACGGAGAACAAGCTGCTCTATGTGCACAGCTTGTACATCACACAACTGGAAGTTCTTGCTGCGCTGGAGGAGGTAACTGGTGATACGTTCGAGAGGATTGATGAGGATAGTGAAGCAGAGCTCAAGAAGGTTAGGCCAAAGATGTTGGAAGGCGACCACGATGCGCGGGAGGAGGTAGTCGCTATCTGGGGTGTGGTCGCAGCGGACTGGAAGAAGAGGGAGACTTTCGCAAATAGCCTGCTGGGCCTGAAAGAGGAGGATCTTCATGAGGTGGTGCGGCGAGTGGTGAATGATCTGTAGATGAACACGCATCTACATAACATTAGCGCCCGGGGATGGGATAACTCACAAACGCTAGCACAATCATGATCAAGGCTTTGATAGTGTAGATCAAGCTTTGGGTCAGAACGATGCTGATGATGGCTATTCATATTGATGGGTATTATGTGTCTCGTTCGAATGTACCGGCTGCCCATACCAAACAGTACGCGCCTTCTTGGTGCTCCCAGAGATTGTCGCTCGAGCTGCAACTCTGCCAAGTATAGAGGACAGCATGTCCGTATCACAGAAATTCAAGATCATACAACCGCAAGAGTGTTCTCTAGGCCGTGCTCACATCTCCAGATCGAGGCGAGAGTTCCACAGTGGCCAAGTAACGGCACAGGCCTTCACCCTGTTGTGCTCGTCGTCAGTTCCACCCTCCAAACCCTTCTTCCAAGCTACCACATCATCGTCTTCGGGATCATAGGGTAGTGCCGGAGGTGCTTGCCAAATACTGCCGCCGACATGCTGATCGTTCTTTCGGGGCGTAACCACACAACCGAAAAGTTCAGCGACGCTTGACCTTAACGCTAGGCTGCTGAAAAAGACTGGATCGTGTGAGGCCTTTCGGAGAGGATTTGGTGGTGAATGTTGGTAGTTCTGGGTCAGAATGGTCTCGTCGCGCGGACAGTGGTACGCTCTGAAATCCTCGGGAAATGTTAGTCCAGGTAGTACGGATGCGCTACAATCAAAGGGCAGTACATTGTCACGTAGATTGACTGGAACCTCGTGCTTCCCCTGCTGCTTCCGCTGCTCTTGTTGTTGCTTTCTCTGCTGCTGCGAAGTACGCACTGTTGGCGCACGAGGCGGAGGCCAGGCTGCGATGGAAGGGACATTTGGTTGAAGAGGTCGAAGTGGGTTCATGTTGTCGACAGACGAGGAGGCCAGTCCTAACGACTTTTTTGGTGGTGAAAGCGGAGGTAAATGGCACATAACAAGCGTGATTTTCTCTCTTTCACCCCAACTTTACTGTTCAGGTATGTAGATACCCATGTCTTGGAGAAGAAACAGAATAACCTCGTGACTGAGCTCAACCCTGTTAACACATTCGATAAGCTGCTGAATTTTCTCGAATCACGCGGTTGTGTCTTGCTGTATAGCGGCCGCGCCTAGGACACCGTCCATGCACTCTTCGTAGAATGTCCGATGATTACTAAGGCCGCTCCAGATCTTTGAAAGAAGAGAAGTGAAGCGGTCTGATTTTTGAGGCTTTGTAGCCGCGCCCGCTGTGGTCTTCTTCTGGTGTTGATGCTGCATGGTGGTTGGGTTGATGCAGTGGCAGGTGGATAGTGCGACGAGAATGAATATAGGAAGAAACGACAGCTTCTCAGGCAAACGATACGGTGAATAATTTCATGGATGCTATTGTGTACGGCGTACATAATAGATCTGTTAAGTGAAGTCGACACTTTGTGAGTGCATTCGCAGGCGCGTGATCACGATCTTTCACTGATCACATACGTCAAAAGTGACGAAACCTACTAGATAAACGACCCAGCCATGCACGGATTCAATTATTGAGTCTCTTTAGGCTAATGCTTTGAGTCTAGGAGAGGTTCCATCTCTTGCTGAATGGGTCGTGCTCTGGGTCCATCCACCTGGCGTATTCTGCACTGTCCACCAGGCTCTCTGCGATATCCTCTCCATAGCTCAGCGCAACGAATGGGTAGGATGCGTCAATACCGGCTGATATGCCAGAGTTACTTATGATGTTCCCATCCATGACCCATCGAGCCTTCGGCGCCCTGTTGACGTCCGGTCCGGTACCGTACCGTGGCCGTGCGGCCGATGAGCCAGTTCAGCCGATGAGCCACCCCAACGAGATATTAGCAATAGAAAAATGAAGCTATAGAGCCACACTTAAAAGCTACCCTGCTGCCCGGCCGTCCGAGCCGCCCGGCCGTTCGAGCCACCCTGAACACCAAAACAGCAGCTTAACTTGAGGCTGTAGAGCCACGAACGATAGCTATTATCGCGATATATTCTAGAGTTGAGTTCTATAGGTATTGATTGATATATATAGCTATCTATATTTAGCTGGGAGCTTGATTGCTCGGCCGTGTCGTGATTGAGATGGTGGTGGGCCTGCTGCAGCACCTGAGGCATCATCACCACTCTGAGGCTGCGCAGCTGCTCTCTTTTTTGAGCCTGCCTTAGTAGCTGCCTTGAGGTCTCCCCTCTTGCCTCTTTGGGCGGGTTTTTGAGCTTGCTGGAGTCGTTGTTGAGTCCTACGAGCTGCCTGTCGTGAGGCTCGATCAGCAGCCTTACGAGCCTTCTCCTCTTGCCTTATTATTTGAGTTGCTGCCCTTGCTGCACGCTTCTGTTGAGCTGCCTGAAGCTTCTCCTGTTTCTTCACTTCACGTAGGCGAGCTGCCTCAGCTCTCTGGTGTTGTAGTTGCTCTTCTTCAAGCCATTGTTGAAGCTGGCGATCACGTGCCTCCTTCACCTTCCTTGGGGACCAGAATTTAGCTCCACCGTGATACTCCTCCTCTGCCTCTAGAGGCAGAGCCTTGCCTCGCTTTCTACGCTGCCTCTCATTGATAAGAGCTTGCATAAGGCCTTGAGCCTCGTGTGTAAGAAGGCTTTTCTGAACTGAGATAGAATGGAAGGCTCGGCTGAGCTTTTGAGCTCGTGGATCACTCCTATCGTGCACTACCTGGCGTAGAAGGCGCTCAGTTTTCCGCCAGTTAGAGGCGCTCAAGGCTGAGGAGTCGTTATCACTTGATTGGCCTGATTGAGCTGGCTGATTGAATCGTTTGAGTATCACCTCTGGGTTGAGAGGTGAGAGGCCAGCTGCCTCAAAAGCCTTGAGTATAGTCTCTTTCTTGAACGAGGCCTCCCAGGCAGCCATAAACATAGGATAGAAGTCTCTCTTACTTATAGAAGTAAGCCCTTGGCACCTCTCCATAAAAGCAGCTACCTGGTTTGAGTAGGCTGTTGAGAATGGCTTAAACATGACGACGTCAAGCGGCTGGAGGGTGTCAGTTGAATGAGGGGGGTATACTGCAAGGAGGATTCTATTCCGGTCACAGTACTCAATAAAATCCATCGTGAGATGAGATCCATGGCCATCAAGGATAAGTAATCGATAGCTCCGCCCTGCCTTCTCCTTTGTAGATCGATTAAACACTTGTTTAAGCTAGGATAGTCCTATATCGTTGTTCGTCCAGCCAGAAGGTGAGGAGGATATATACACTCGATCCTCTGGCCTTAGAGCCTGTAGCCAGGTGTCTTGTATTAAGCCTGAGGCTGATTGATATATCAGCGCAGGCGCAAGGGCTGATCCATCAGCACATATACAGGCCAGCAGCGTTATCCACTCCCGATTGCCATCCTGGATGTGAGCCTTAATCTTCCCCTCCTCATATAGCCTCCTGCTGAACACCCGCTTTGAGCGAGTAAGTATTCCTAGCATACAGCCCTTCTCATCCATATTATATATATTATGAGGCTCAATATCGTATTGGCTGAGCTTGCTGCACAGAAGCTTAAAGTAGAGGCTATACTTTGATAGAGAGTCAGCCTGGTGGCGCGAGCGATCGATGCCAGTGGTCCAGCGTGAGATGAGATGGACGTCGTGGCGCTGGATATATCGATCAACCCAGCCTTTTCCAAGCTCTTTTTTCGCGATCTCCGAAGCAAAGCGTCGTATCATAGGCCGTGAGGGAGGTAGGCCTTGCCTTGTAAGGCGCTCAATATAGCGTAAGAGCTCCTGCTCTTGCTGGGGGTGGAGCGCTTGCTGGTTTTCTGCCATGGTACTGCGTGGCTGCGTGGGCTAAAGGCCAGCACGTCACAATAGTAACATTAGATGTGCAAGGCGCCTTTAACGCTCTCCTTAAGAACCGCCTTCTGCACCAGATGGCCCGACAGGGCTGGCCACAAAGGACTATCCTCTTTGTTAACTCTTTCCTTACTGATCGAAGGGTCCAAGTACGCCTAGGCCAAGCCACCACCCCTAGCCGCCCAGTCGCCTGCGGCATGCCGCAGGGCTCACCCCTCTCCCCAATCCTGTACACACTGTATCTGGCAGAGCTGATGTCTATGGACATAAAGAAGAGATTTGGATACGCAGATGACATATGCTTATACCAAGCCTCACACTCCCTAGATAAGAACGTTGAGCTCCTAGCAGCAGACCTACAACAGATCAGAGCATGGGGCACAGCTAACAAGGTCACCTTTGCCCTAGAAAAACAAGAAATGATCCACCTTACTTGACAGAAGAGCAGCTACGCACCCCCCTGTGTGGTAGACGAGCATCACACAATCAATCTAATCTTGCCAAACACGTCAAGAACCCAGCCAGCCCTCTAATAGCTAGGGATCTGGTTTGACTGCAAACACACCTTTAAGCGGCATGTAGCCACGCACAATGCAAAAGCGGCCAAGGTAGCCTACCATATCCGCAGCCTAGCAAACACAGCCTACGGACCACCAGCTAGCTCCCTTCGCAAGGCTACCCTCGCCTGCGTATACCCGTCTCTTCTGTATGGGACTGAGTGCTGGTACAGAGGCCGTACTAAACCTCCACGTACACTCAAACCTGGAGGACCAGCAGAAGTCAGCACCTATGTTGGGTGGCACATAGCGGTTATGGACAAAACACTAGCTATAGCAGCAAGAGGGATCCTCCCAGTGTGGCGAACAACCCCTATTGCTACTCTCTTCCGAGACGCTGGACTACCCTCTGCTGCCACTGCGCTGGAAGAAGCCAAACTCCGCTTTGCAACACATCTACGCACGGTAGATGCAGAACATCCACTTGCCAGCCGCACAGCAGCTATAAGGATGAGCATAGGCAGGTCAGCTGGAAAGCTGCAGCGAATACGGACCAAGGTCCAGTATCTAGGATCTCTTCTGCCTGAGATACCTAGGACAACACTATCAGCCCCTTACTACTCACCTAGCTGTTGCACAGACCCCACTATAGGCTTAGACAAAAAGTCTGCAGCAAAGGCTTTCTAAGAATAGTGGGCTAACCTTCTACCTTTAGACGTTACTATCTTCTTAGATAGCTCTAAATAGTACACAAAGGAAGGAGAAAAGTAGGTCACCTATGGCTTTGCCGTGTATTAGAACAGAAAGCAACTGCAGACTGGACGCGGTTCACTCCACTCTACCTCGCACGTCTTTGATGCTGAGGCAACTGGAGCGTGGAAAGGCCTCTAGCACACTATCAGACAACCAGCGCTCCGCACGCGCCGAATCTGGCTATGCATAGACAGCACCTCAGTCATATGGTGCCTCAGGGGCGACGCACCCCCTACCTCACAGTGGGCCTTCCTAGAGTGCCACAGTGCCATGGAGACACACGACGTCTCAATCAAATGGGCCCCTGGGCACCTAGGCATTGAAGGAAACGAAGCAGCAGACAGACTTGCCAACCTAGAAGCCCAGCACCCATCACCCCCGACTGGAATAGCGGCTATGCCTACACTCTCAGGCATCAAGACAATAGCCCGCAAGATGCTACAGCACACGCAACAAACATGGTGGTCTAACAAGAAGACTAAGCTCTCAAAATGGTACAAGAGCTGGGATCTTGACTATGCACCACGCAGCAGACTACCTGAACTAGACCTACCAAGAGCCACCCTGGCTAGACTGCTCTCAATCCGATCTATGCACGGTGACTTTGCCTGGTACCACCAAAAGTACAAACACAACAACGCAACACTCACCTGCTCATGTGGGCGCAACAAGACACCAGAGCACCTTGTACTCTGCTGCAAGACCCAAGGGTCCTTCAGCCGATGGCCACTCCGACCACCTATACCACCATCCAGCCGTAGCGAAGGTGTAGCATATACTAGTGTGCTTGTTAGGGAAAAACTCGCTTTCATCAGTTGGGGTACAGCTGCCGTACTCTACCCATGGAACTATTCTGCTGAAAGTGTACACGCGTACGCTTACATGACGTCTACCGGAGCCTCACCGTCTGGAATAATGAGATTGTGCTCCATCTCCCTGAGATAGGCGTCCGCACCTATATCTTCCTAGTGATTACCTTTGAACAGTCCAGCAGAATGTCCGACTTGTTCGATGTGCAGACTCACTAGACCTCGGCCATCCGGCCATTGTGACCCTTTACGCTCCCAGTCAAAGTCTTCGATAGCTTTCATACCGTTGTCCCATCGTTCGTCTTCTGACTTTAGGGCATATTCAGACTCAGGGGACCGGTCACCATATGTCTTATCTTCCAAGAGTGATTACAAATCATTCGCAATTGTGCTCAGGTTTCCAGCCTTTCCGGTAGCTAGGTCTCCCAACGGCATGGCTGCAGATGCAGAATCTTCTTGGATCTGGTCGCTTGCTGGTGTCTCTGACTGCGCAACACGTATGTCTATCATACTCGATAAGTCGTCATCAGAACTTCTCACTGGAGGAGTGGTGGGGCCCTGTATAGAGATCTGTTCAGCGTCATCGGCCTCCACTGACGACGTATATCTGTTATCTTGTGGTAGAACCTGGCTTTGACTGGTTTTTGACGGCACCACTGGGTCATCGAGCGGCCCATCCTCGTCACTGAGTTGCGCGCTGGAAGGTACGTCCGAGAGCGAAGAGCTAGTTCGCGAGTGCGGGTGCAGATGCTTGTACGGTGACGACACGTGTTGCTCGTCTTCTGCGGCTTTAATAGACACTGGAGTGAGGCGTTTTATATGGAATGCTACGGGAGAATTCGGGGTAATGACTCAAGATCCGGGTCCTACGGAGATGGCTCGTACAGGTGAGCCCGAGTCTCGACCAGGCGAAGAAGGAAGTGGTGTTGCTGATGAGATGGGGCTTATTATTAGGTTTGTATCTGAATTCGTTCGTGCATTCTTTTGGGATGTCCCTCCTCGAATGGGCGACGATGTGGGTTCAGCAGGTGTACATTTGCGCTTGTTGCCAGTATTGGCAACTGTTGCTGTTTCTTTCATATCCAGCTCTGGCTCAGCAACAACGGGGAACTTGACTGGTTCATACCTCTCGTGCTCGTTGGTGTCAATTTCCTCGTTCATCTCACAAGCAAAGGCGTTTTGATTTCTCGCGATCTTGGTAAAGCTCGACGTAACAAACTTTGTCATGGCGACTACAGACTCTGGTGCGCAAGCCTTTGCACACATGAGCTCGCGATAATGTTCATTGTATATCCAGCGTGCCGTGAAGGGAAGCCGCTTGAGTGGCTCCTGGAGAATTCGCTGAGCGGACTTCGGCAGGTAGTAACTGAAGCCTTTGGAAGCTGTGATGGCGTACTTTGCAGCCTTTTCGGGATTGGGCTTTTGAGAAGTGGGCATAATTCACTGATGATCGTTCTTGAGGACGGGTACTTCACAGTTGATATTGGTATTTGGTGGGTGTGATACTTGTGTTGTTAGTGCACGCCATTTTAAGTGGAGGAGGCATCATGAACGCTCAGAAGAGCTCGCGAAAGAAGTGAAAATCATCTTTGCCAATCGTCTTAAGATGTTTTTAGGATTTTAGAAATAGAAAATACTGCGTAGTGAAAGACAAGGCGTCGTTTGTTCCGCGGATGCCTGCATTCACTTAGAGCGTGGAAGTCGGGCGCGCGAGTAAGAAATTGTTATTTGAACCATCTTTCTCGAGCAATGTCTAAGACTTTGCCTCTTGTGGTTCCTAAACACTGCTAGATCAGCGACTTGCTACAGCCGTATGGTTATTTTTCACCCCTTCTAAATCATTCATCGGCCTCATAGCTCCTCCACCCTTTCCACGCTTCTTTGCCTGTCAAGAATGACCCTGACCATTCTGCCTCCATCACTGAAGAGCCCCTGCCTCAGCGTGTCCAAGTATATCTCGTAGCTCGGCATATAACCGTCGATGAAGGCATTAACCTGATCATCTGACATCCCCGAGCCTTTTGTAGCAATCATCTTGTGTTCTTGCTCCAGGCGCCAGATGTACACATTGTGCAGATCGCTGGTGTCTATGTGGACGAAGAAGTCGAAATGCTGAGGACCCATGAACGCATCGCAGTATCTTCTCAGGTTATCGTTGACTTCCAGTAAGTGTGACAATTCATGTTGTGCGGGTGTGTTGATGGGCAGTCTTCCGGCGAGCGCTTGTGAATACTTCTCCTCGATCGCAGGAACTAGAAGAGGCTGGAAGCCAACGCACCAGCCTTCGAAGACTACGACATCAGGCTTCCGTAAAACTGAGTGCCACTCTGTTTCAGGTGCTCGATCGCCCTCACCACGAAATTTACTCTTGTCGAAACTTGGTATCTTCAGCTCGCCCTTCCCGCTATACGCTTCTAAATGTTTGAAGAACTCCGCAGCCAGTTGCTCGTCGTGTGTGCCTGGCTGGCCTCGCACACGATACAGGCCATTTTTCGGGTCTTGATCTCTTTGTGACACAAGGCTGTCATGTGTCTTGTAGAAGTCGTCCAGTGACACAGTAATGGTGTTGAGCTGATGCTCAGTTGTGAGGATCTCCACAATCTTTGAAGCCCATGTTGACTTTCCGGACCCTTGAAGCCCCGTGATACCAAGTATGATAGGTTTTAATGATTTTTCGTGTTGCTCTTTGATTTTTGGCAATAACACATCGAGCGCCCTCCTGATGTTCGATTCCAGTGCAGACATTGCGGGGTAAATTCGAAGGCTGCAGAAAAGGATGAGATGCTCATGGGGACTCAGTGCAACAACGATAGATGTATGAACCCAGCGAGCTCAGTACTGCCTTGTATGTCTCAGAGTGTGATTGCTCTTGCTTCAAAGTCCGGAGTGAAGGCATCGCGGACGGAGAAAGCCCGTCTAGGCACGGCATCGGCCCGGTCTTCTCCCCGCATCCTCGCGGAGTGGAGAGCGTGATTCTTTGAACACGATATGTAAGCCTACGTGCGCAAACGCTGCTATCTTAAGCGACCAATGCCATCGAATCGACGGATTTGCAGGAGCAAGGCCGAACGTATGATATGAGTGGAAAGTTGGACACATTCCTACTCTGCTCCAAGCACGCAACCGCCACCCGCAATGACTTTTGAACTATCGCGATGACTCTTCACGCTCCTTACACTGATCTTCACAAACAGGATTTACAATGATAGCAAGTAGATGACTCTGACCGCAAGCTCGGAAGTGCCGGCAGCGTCACGCTCCCAAACTCTTCGACCGCCCTTAACGTTGAGTAGTACGCATCACCACCAATACTTCAGACGAAAGAATGATTTTCCAAGCAGGGTGAACAGTCACTCTCTTATTGGCCGCAGTAAGTACGCTCCGATCCGCTCTTGGATCATCGCACGACAGAGGGAGGTATTCGAAAGGTACGAAGAAGTCGGCGGGAGGGTCGACCAGATCAAAGTTACGCAAGAGCCTGTTGAAGCAGCACGGAACATCCGGATCAAAGATGTGAAAGCTTGCCATGCGTGGAAAGCATCGACTCTGCAGTTGTGGAAGCTGACAGCGCGGGATGACCTGAAAAACGGGGACAACCTGCAAACCTACACAGTCGCCAAATCAGTCACAGATTCTACTGAAGGGCCCAGGGGATGGACAGCTCACACAGATCGCGAAGATATCGCGCGGAAAAACGTCATACACGCGATCGACGCATACAGCGCAGCTCTCGAGCCAGCTTTAAAAGGCATTATCATCCCAAAGCCTCATATTTGCACCAAAGTGTTACCACCACGCGCTTCGAGAGCCACCCGCAATTCCTACGAAGCTCTGTTCTCTGATGGCGGTCTTCTCAGTATCAATGCTCGTTGCAATGCCGACGGTCATGTCATATTTGGTGGGTCGAACCCTGGGCAGCAAGCGTTCAGCGACTAAGTAGAGAAGCATTCAGAAACCTGCATCAATGACGGACTTGCGAACATCGAAGGTGTGACTGACTGTGTCAAAAAGCTCGTTAACAAGAACTTCAGAGGATGGGATGATGCTGGGCATGGATCTGGTGAAGGCTCTTCAGTACAGTTAGAGTAGTATTATAGGCTTGAGTGTGGACGACGTTCCGTTCGTAGCCGAGCTACACGGCAAACCTGGCTAGTCGGTATGCGCTGGACATCATGGATAGTAAGCTAATCAATACTCATGACACTCTCGCGAGCTGACGTTATTTAGTGGAATGGCATGTATCTTTACAGTAGCACCTGGCTCAATTAGATCCATGAGCGAAGAGACTTATTAGGAGTTGGTCGGCTTACCTGATATGTATCAGATCACACCAAGTCAGTTGAAAAGGCTGAAGAGTGCATCTGTTCCCAAGGTCACGAAAATTTAGAAAGCAATAGATCATGCAAGCAAAGGTGCGATGAGCTCGGATGAGCAACACACTCAACCTCCTGAACACGACTTCAGACATGACTCGTGCAGATCTCCATTGCTCCTTCTAGTCTCCACGTACTATTTCAGAGCGCTCGCCTGCCGCTGCTTTACGAGAACAGAGCATTGTGTCAGATGCGTCGCCACTTCGTATAAAGCGGCAGCATAGACCGTTATGCAGCCGTTGTGCAACCGTCAACCACGGTTCTGAGACGGCAATGGCTTGCACGGCAGCAAATTGTGACACAATGAACCGTGGAACACGCGCCGTGTTCGACACTTGTCCACGCGACTTGCCTAGCAGGGTAATGTCGTAAGGACAAGGACTGCGCCAGCGCGTGGACATGTGGATTCGCGGGACAGAACCGTGGTAGATGTTGTGGCAAAGAAGTTGGTTGTTTGTTCGCTGTTGCCCCCCTTGAAGTTGCCGTGCACCGTCACTTCCTGTTGGGACTATGACATCAGTGACGAACTTTAGCACCTTGACACAACGCATGGCGGACAGCGTTGATAGCAGCAACATGAAATACGACTTGCGCGTGCGCGGCCATGGTAAAGACGACACGCATCTCAGCCAGTATGGACCGCACCTACAGTCTCGTGATCGAAGTCTGCGAGCGCGCAAAGCAAAACCCCCCTTGATGTTCCAAGAAAGACATCGCGATCATGATCGGGGGCCCGGAGACCAGTCCGGTACGAACTCGAAGCTCGAGGCGAGCTGCATGGTGCATTTGCGGGGTAAGGAGTAAGACATCCGGGGAGAAATCAGAAGTACGGAGATAAATGCAGACTGCCACCCAAAACTTTTGGAAAAGGCAGCTCAAACTGGCCAAGAACCTCATTTTTATCTGAAGAGCAGAGCGACAAGATCGGATTGATATGACGAATCTCTCAACGAAGCTAGCGGCCCTGGAAGCGGCCGGCAAGCCAATTCAGGTTGGCATTATCGGCGCGGGAAAGTTTGGGTCGATGTAGTGAGTGCTTCGATGAAGCTATTGGCATGTTTCTAGTCGTTACTGACAGATCTGTGGTATCTCCCAATCGCATCGGACAAAAGGCGTTCGACTGGCAGCCATTGCAGACCTCGCCCCTGAGCGTGCGCTGAACGCGCTCGAGAGGACTGGATTCCCACAGGAAAAGTACGATGGGACTGCCTTGTTGTCGATCGAAGAGGGCCTCAAGCAAGGCAAGACAGCCATTACGACAGATTCCGCACGATTGATTGCCACCCCCGGAATCGATGTCATCCTCGAGGTAACAGGGAACCCAGCTGCAGGCGTGAGGCACGCACTACTATGTTGCGAGCACAAGAAGCACATCGTCATGATCAATGTAGAAGCAGATGTGCTTGCTGGTCCACTCCTGACACGGAAGGCGCAAGAGGCTGGCATTATCTACTCCATGGCATATGGTGACCAACCCGCACTCATTGCCGAAATGGTCGACTGGGCGCGTACGGCCGGCTTTGACGTCGTATGTGCTGGGAAGGGAACTAAGCATCTACCTCAATACCACTACAGTACTCCCGACACTGTCTGGGATTACTACGGATTCACCAAGGAGCAGCTGGCAACCGGTGACTTCAACAAGCAGATGTTCAACTCGTTCTTGGACGGCACGAAAAGTGCGCTGGAGATGGCAGCAGTCGCAAACGGTTGCGATCTGTCACCGCCTTCTGATGGTCTCGCCTTCCCTCCATGTGGTACACATGACCTGCCAGAAGTCTTGAAACCGAAGAAACACGGCGGCCAATTGGAGACGAAAGGTATGGTTGAGGTTGTCTCTTGCCTCGAGACAGATGGCCGAGCGGTGTTCAACGATTTGCGGTGGGGTGTATTTGTTGTCATCGAGGCGCCAGGTGAGTATCAGAAAGAGTGCTTCAAACAGTACGGGCTCAAAACCGACTCGACTGGATGGTACGCAGCACAGTACAAGCCTTACCACCTCATTGGGCTCGAGCTTGGTATCTCCGTAGCCAACATCATGGTACGCGGTGAGCCTACGGGTCAGTGTAAGACGTGGTCAGGAGATGTCGTCGCTACAGCGAAGTGCGATCTCAAAGCTGGCGAGAATCTTGATGGAGAAGGCGGTTTCATGGTGTACGGCAAACTCATGACTGCGGCCGATTCTTTAAAGATCGAAGGTCTGCCCATCGGTCTAGCTCATGGGATTGTGTTGAAGCGAGATGTTAAGAAGGGCCAAGGCCTATCGTGGGAGGATGTAAAGTATAGCGAGAATACCCAAGCGGTGGCTCTTAGGCGAGAGATGGAGGCTGTGTATCGGGAAGAGTTCAAACTTGCGGGAAAGCTCCAAAGCAACGGTACGAATGGCGTGCGCCATTCGATTGTAGCGCCATAGGTCTAATTCGAAGTAGTCGCAGGTTTGAGGCATGCCACGATGTTACGAACATGCTGTTTGATCATTGACAAGAGATTGTCTACTGCTCAATCAGTGCAGAAAAAGGACCGAGCATCACCTGCCCACTCACGTTTTACGCTACCCTTCCCATGAACCCTTTCTCTTCGTCTATGAACTTTCCTTACAAACAGACATCGCTTCGGTTGCACCTTGAGATACAAAATGACAAAATCAGCGCGAAATGTCTGCTTTCCGTTTGCTGCACTCTTAGGCTTGCGCGTAATAGTCATCCATAATTAGGTCAGCGCGCCAGAATATTAGCGTGTTCATGCTTGGGCAACAACTAGCAATTGCCAGACTTGCAAGGTACATTAATCATGTTAGAATTCTGGCCGTGCTGAACTTCGTCACTAACTCTTGTAGTGTAATATGGATGATTCATGTATGCGACGCCTTCACACAAACTACCGTATGTATGGGCCTTATCTGGATGTCTTATCTGGTCCGACCTTCGGCAATTTCACATTTCAGACACACCACGAAAGACAAGGATAGCATACAGGGGAGAAAAATCTCGGTCTGGGTGCAAAAGGAACGGCACTGGACAAACAACAAGATCTCACAATATAACCTGGTGACGCCGACAGAGAACACATGAAAGGCCATCTCGGTGATTTTGATCTGAAGTGGCATGAAGAGTAAGAGATGAGAGCACAAACAAACAAAATGAAAGCCTTCTATACCCAGGACAGACGCTCGTTCTTTTTCATTACAGCCCCTGCGATGAGGGATTGTGGTATTGATTTCCCACTATTTTGACCTAAAACAAACGAGCCTCGAAATTTGCACGACGCTGAATTCCGTGCGGTGAAAGCAACCAGGGCGGAGCACACGTGGATGACTTCTGGAAGCATTTTGATGCTGGGCACAAGACGACAGACAGACATTGATTCCAAAAGCCGTGTTCTAGAGGCATACAGACGCAGATAGAAATGCTTCTTCTTCCCTGTCTTTTCAAAGTGAAGAAATAGGGCGATGACGGCACAAGATTAATGTTCAAGGACAGCCTGAAGCTGAGACTTTAAGGCGCGGCGACAAGTAAGGTGTCTTTGTGGATCTTTTGGAAGCGGCCAGAGATAGTGGAAAGGGAGATCTTCGACTTTGGTAGTGAGTCTCAGACAAGACAGCACAGGACACGTTTGCCCATACGTAGAATTCCGCTGGAGAGGCAGCGGAGCAGATGCAAAGAATAGCGAAGGATTATATTTTGATGCGAAGATGCAGAAGCGGGGAGGCAGTCACGACTCATTACCGCTCTCATTGATGGTGTTTCGAGAGAAACATGAGGGACATGTAAGTTGGTCACTATACTTTTGAGTTGACTCACGCAGAAGTGAGATGCAGAAGCATAGCTGTGAAGACTTTGAGGGATCGTTATATCGTCCGCAGAGCAGTCTTTCACGTGAGGCATTTGACCTTTGAATCTTAACAAAATAGAGAGACATTGACGTCAATGGTGATAGTTTCGGAGGAGAGCGACAGCAACAGATACATCCACAGTACATTCAGTACTTTTGGTGTGCAAAGCAACGGCGCAGGGACAGACATACTATGGCAGTTGAGCCATTTGAACAACAGAAAAGTCTTGGTCTCCTGCATCATGCTTTTGAGAAACATAATCAATTTGCAGACCATGGTAAAGCAAGGCAGCCTTTTTGAGCAAATTCTATACTAGGTATAGAGCCGCACAGTGAATCCTCGGAGCGGCAAGCATGTGCCAGAAAAGGTAGTGTTACGTACGGCAGCGCAGCGACCAGACATCGAGATATTCAACAACCTTTTGGAGGGGTTCAGAAGTAGTAACACAATCAAATGCACGAGATGAGATGGAATTTTAATTGGAGCGGCGCAAAGCAGGCAGGATCCACTACATGCATCCCACCCCGTGTTCAGCGTGCGAGTAAAGAAGGACATAGCATGATGTCCTGCTGTAGGATTCCGAGGAGAAAGTAGAACACATGTGAACGTGCTTGCGTTTTGATGGATTCAGAAGCTCCTCATAAAGATGGACAGAAGCAGGAGCGAGATACTTGGCGCTCTATTTGCCTTCAGGTACGTGCCAGGCCTGGAGAATTCCATGTCCGAGCTCGACGAGTGAGGAGCTTTACATCGAATCACAGCCACGCAGGTGCAGAATAGCCAATGAGGAGTAAGGTGTATGCAATTACTCTACAATAAGTCGTGTGTCAGGTCTACCGTGTCTATCGTATCTAGATGTTCTTCGAGACTCCTAGAGAAGAGGGTATAAACGCCGCCGATGCTTTTGTAACGCCTGTGAAATCGACTTTTAGCCGTAATCAAAACTGAAAAGGATCGCTATAACGCGAGAATAAGCAGCGCAGAGGTATCGTTGAGGAGGTCAGTGTCGATGATGCATCGATGACTCATGTGCTGAGTGTGGCAGAGAAAGCGCAGATGCTTTACATCTTTGCCTCCCTCAAGATCCGGCTACCCTGCTGCAAGGCGAGGATTTCGCGCTGCTCCTGGAAGACCTGTCGTGCGCGCTCAAGGACCATCTCGAAACCCTCCTTGCCTGCTTGTGCGTTCTGCTGAAATCGGTCGACGGTGAACTGCTCGATGCTGTTCTTGATCTTCTGCCACCCTCCGCAAAATGCTGTGATCTCGGCGCGTTGTGTGAAGCTGGTCTTGTTGGTCGGTGTTGCGGGGTTGGGTGTGTAGACGCAGGTCTCGCGGACTTGGAGCAGATCGGCCCATGTGATGTTCATCGAGCACATGGTAAGCCTCTTGGCGACGGGGTCAACGTAGGAGGTCTCGTAGACCATGGAGGTGTCGACACCGCCAAGGATGGCGGTCACCCATTTTGGTGCGGATTGTTGACATGTAATGAGGCGCTCTGTGCGCAACTGTGATGCTGATGTTAGCGCGTGGTTTTCGTGATAGCTTGACACGTCGGAGTGCTGATGGAGAAGCGTGTAGATGATGCACTTGGCATGTGATAGAGGGAGTCGCTCACAATTCCTGTGCTGGGATCCACTGAGCGAGACAATGTGTCGACAGCAATAACATGTGGGGTCTTTTCGTTCCAAGGGCCGTACTTTTGCCAGTTGCTTGTCGAGACTTCCTCCCACGAATAGTCGAAGTCGACGGATTGCTGGAAGTACTTCATCGTGAGGTCGTGTGTGTGGTCGTGTGTGTGGTCGTGTGTGTGGTCGTGTGGGTGGACCGGTGTCGTGTGAGATATCGGTTGCGGTGCGTCGTTGCGTGTCAGACGTTCAAGCTAATGAGTCTGATGCGATGAGTCTTGATGGCGCGTGTGTGGAAGAGATTGTAGGCGAGGGCGGTTTCTGGCTCGTGAAAGGGGAGCCTTGATGAAATTCTTGAGCGCGGGCCGTACTGTGTCTGAGCAAAAAACGGCGTCGGGGATCTGCGGGTCGATGATAAGCCGAGACCTTGGTCGGCTGCAGGATTTGCTGGTGGTCGTGGAAAATCAGTGTGGAATACAGTAAGTGTAAGATGGATGCACGGGAGGTGGCAGTCCTAGAAGAGAGTTGGATTCTTCAGAGAACCCTCCAGCTGTTGGGAATTACATTTGCTTGTATTCCCGTCTCCACAGATCACCGGCTTCAAGCAGCAAGTGCATTCCCGCCACGGAGCCGCTCGCCCAACGACGTGCCGCGGAAGCGGATTGTCAGGGCTTGGGGGTTTCAGCTCAGCGAATGGGCTACCATGCACGTGACAATGAGCAGCCCGAGTCCACCCGGTGACGTTTTCCATCGACAGCCGCACGAAGTCTGTTGGTTGGGTGTCGGTGATCTTTCAGCGAATCTGGGCCCGGGCGTGGGGGACCTGCCTTCGGTCCGGGGTGCTGTCTGGCTCAGGGTCCCTCGCCTATAATGGGTCGTACGAAGATTGCCGTTGTCGCCGTCGGTGAGTTTGACGTCTTGTTCATCTCGGTCACTGATTAGGCAGGAGCCAGTTGTCACAACAGTTGCCCAGCAATCGAGTGCATGTGAGGAAGTTGAAGGATTGTGATCTCAGCTGTCTGGTGCATATCTCATGTTGAAATCCAACATCTATAAAACCACGGGTATATGGTTGGTATCATAACTTTTGTATGAAGCGCCTGAACGCCAGACCATGCATATGGAGGTAAGGAGCAGCTTTTGATGCTCTCTCTTTCCACTGTCACCTCATCTACCATCAATCATAACTACCTTCCATTATTCGTCTACAACTCCAGGGCCTTCTTGGCCATGGCAAGGGCACCGTCAAAGTTCTTGTTGCCGCCGATGAAGCCTGCGGCATGAACGAAGACACATCCCTCGATGCCAGAGACCTTGTCGAGCTCGGCATCACGGACACCCTTCCACGCATCAGGGAGATCCTTGCGGTTCTGGAAACCACCGTTCTCCTTGCTGACAGCGCGGATGCGCCACTTGCCCTCAGGCTTGTCCTCAGGGAAGAGAACATACAGGACCTGAGGTGCAACACCCTGGGGGATCTGCGACTCCTTCTCGAGTGTGTAAAGGTGGTCAGCCCAGGGCATACCCTCAGGCAGGACCAAGATGCGGCCCTGGGGGTCGTACTGCAGACGGTTGTCGTAGGCAGCCTTGACGTTGTGGCGGGCTGGGAGCCAAGACTGAGCGCGGTCGGTGACCTCAATGGTGAACTGCTCACCCACGAACCGCGAAGCTGTCTCGAAGCGCTGGTCCTCGCGTGCCTGCTTCTCCTCCTCTGTGTTGGCGTCGTCGGTAGAAGGGCCGTAGTTGTAGCGGTTAACAACGCTGGCAATGCTGAAGCCGCGGTCCTCAAACTGCTTCTGGATACCAGCCTTCTCCACGTCCTTGGGCGAGAAGACGTTCACACCGTTGTCGTTGGCGTCGAACGCCTCGATGAAGTCCGTGTAGATCTTCTCAAAGAGAAGGTCGCGGTCTGCACCCTCAGGCAGTCCAGTGACGGCTGAGATGATGTCCTTGCCAAAGTGGAGGTAGACAAGACCAGCGGACGAGAGCTTGGTGTTGTGGCCGGGGAAGACGGTGTCGAAGCCACGCTGGTGGTGGTCGTAGCGCTTTGCGTTGTCATCGTACTCGCCGCCAACGTCGACGACAGTGTGGCATTCGGCAAGCTTAGCAGGGTCGCGGGTACGGACGAGCTCAGCATCGACGTAGGTGGGCAGGTTCCTCAGCATTGCAACGGCCAGAGACTCGTCGGCGTGGAAGTGGCCACTGCTGGATGTCAGTATGCCATGGCCCAGCCATCTGAGTGCAGCTGTTGCGCCCACCTGTGCGTTCCAATCTTGATGGTGGACATATTGAGCTTTTTCGCGGGGTGATCTGCGGACATGAATCTGTATCGTGCTGGGGTGATTCTGGGAGTTGAAGTCTTGAATATGTGCGATGTAGCTCTAGCAATTCGCGCAAGAGTAAGTCTGAACGACAATGTCATCCACACTAGCAGAAATGTGATACGAGAAGGTTTCCCTGCGGTGGATACATGTGGTCTACCCGCGGCGAGGCTGACTTGGCACAATCCCACGATGCGGGCGCTACGCAATTCCGGCCTGGACAAATGTCAGAGATCTTCACCGCACCGCAACTTGTCCTTTCCCTTTCTTCGCGAGAAATCGTGCGGTCGTTATCCTGGTGCTGGCGAAAGTGGGTGACGATTCACTTCCTGGTTTTGACGCTCCAACAGCCTGCTTCCCCCCTCCCGCTTGCCCAGAACCGTCCCGTGTCCTCATTGCAGCATAATTATCGTGCATCCAGCACGCGACAGCACGCACCAATAGCCGACATTTGTGCCTGACTCCACCAAACACACCCACGTAACTACCTGCACTCTGTTCGCAGTCCGCCGACTCATATCGCTGCGCCTTTCTCCCCACCACCTGCCACTCGTGAGAGTTTCTCCGCCCCGCGACCACGAACGAGCTTGCAGCGGAGCACCGCACCATTCGCACGTGAAAGCCGCCAAGCGCTAGTGCCATTGCGAACTCGCAGGCACACAACGTCACAAAGCACAACAACACGCGACGGTCGCAGCGACCGCCTGTCAAGCTCGTCGCTGCACGAGCTTGGCGATAAAGGCGCCTGCAGATGTGGTTCACACGCGTCCTCTCGTCGACCTTCTTCCTCGGCGCAATCATCTTCACGATCCCACTAGCCTTTGACATCGGCGGCCGAACGTGCGGACTGGCCTTCTCGCTGTCCCTGAGCGTCTACTACTTCCTCTACTCGTGCCTGCGACTGGCGACACCGGATCACTCGCGGTTCAGATGGTTTCTCTGCAATGTCGTGGCTTGTGCGCAATGGTTGGCGATACCGACTCTCCTCATCTGGAGCTTGAACAAGTTCTCCATCGATGCGACAAACAACGCTGGGTGGGCTGAGAGGACATTTGGAGGCAAGCGATCGGACTACACCTCGATACAAGACTGGATCTTCGGATCTGAGGGCTTGTTGCAGAACGCCTCGATTGGCACATGGGACAAGACGCTGAGGTACAGCACGCCGGTCTTCCAGCTTGCTGAGGGCTTCTGCAGTTTGTTGGTCATCCAGGCGGCTGGTCAGATCACAAGATGGGTCGTGAACAGGGAGCGCGGCGACAGCTGGATGGTAAGGCAAACGCACACTGTATCCCACCCAGGAGCTGACAACAGCACAGATTGGTCTCCTCGTTGCGTCCGCATCGGTCATCTCTACCTCTGTGTACTTCCTTTGGCGAATCACCACCTTCCCTGAGATCAGCAACGTCGATGCTATCCTCATTGGCGCTGCTATCACCACAGCCATCTTCCTCGGAGGGTGGGGAATTGCAAGTGCACGCGGAAACCCAGTGGAGTCTGCGCTGTTGGTACGTTTGGCTGCATCAGTTGCACTTACAATTACTAATATACGCCAGTTCGCATACGTCACTTTGGCCATTTACCAGATCTTCACTGACTATCAGCCCTCGCCGGGCTCGTTGGCCGCAGAGACCGCTGCACCTGAACCAGCTCTTCCGCCCCTACCGCCCATCATCATGGCATCCTACACGACGCTCCTCCACGCCTTGGGTTCGTTACCCTCCATCATCCACACCGGTTTCAACCTGATGGTCGGCGCTGTTATGACCATCACGCCCTCTGTCATTATCTCGCTCGCCTATCGTGTCTTCGTCATGTACGCAGCAGCGCGCATCATTCCCGCTATCAGAGAGAGTGGTGCCAGAGCGTTATCCCAGGAGCCTAGCCTGGACGACGAGGACGAGACATCCAAGATCCTCGGCTTCTTGACGTGGTTCAGCCCTAGTATCATCATCGCGGTCTATACCAGTCTGCTGATGCAGCACTTCGCAAGCGGGAATGGAACAGACGGTAGTGCCGTCAACGGTGAATGGTGGACAAACCAGGGAGGAGACGCCGGAGGTAATATGTGGAGGTGGATTAACCTAGCTATAACCATGGGTCTCTACGCAATCGAGCTTCAGATATCAAAGGCGGACGATGACGGCAGGATCCACTGGAAGACCGACTGAAACAAACGTCAATACCATCTGCGATATGACTGTGCGACGCAGAGAACCACGGTCAAAGGACACATCGATCGAATGGCCAGGGTCCACACCACTTGAGGAGGATATCAGAGATCAGATAGGAGGAATGAGACCTAAAGGAAATTGAAGACGAGAAGTAAGAGCGGGAAAGGTTAACAGGCAAGAAGCTAGAATATGCCACAAGAAGTGTCATTGGGGCAAGAAGTGGAGACCAGAGCACCTTGACTCGAGGTCAACAGCAGGGTCAGAGGTGGCCTAGCAGACGCCGCATTGGCGTTTGCAAATAAGTAGGAGTTTTTTTTTCTTGTGTCTGCATCACACGTTTGAGCGCGCATTATCACTTTTCAGATACCCGATTCGAGATCTTGAATGAAACACAGATATTCCGCAGTCCTCTTGGCTTCTTTACTGCATCCCAACTTTGATCTTTCCAAATACGCTCATCTCTTCCGCATGCTTTCCTCCACTTGTAAGTCAGGTCTTAACATGATGACCAAAACGCATGAAGAAAGAAAACATGTCCTGCCGCTGCATGCGACGCACCTAGCTGACTTGAAATCCCAGCACGGTGGTTTCTATGTGTTCCTCTGCTTCGCTCAGGGCCCCACTTAATAAGACTTACTTCCACTGGAATCACTGTTACTCATCCATATCGATCATTCCTTCTACGATCGAAACCTCATCAGCAAGTTGCGATGTCTGAGCCCCGCTCCATCCAAAAGCAGCCGCAACCGCCGCCGATGTTTCCTTTTTTGAAAGGTCAAAATGCTCTAACGAAAACATCATGGGTTTGTTTGCATCCGGGAAGCGTCTGCGCTTCCTCGAATGTCTTTTCCACGGAAGCATCTCAAGAACATCTCCGCTGTAACCACATGCTCTGTGGAATATTATTGCAGTCAGCGCGATAAGAATCTGGAATGTGCGGCCGCTGACTTCCAGTCTCATCAGTCAAGTTGAAGTCATCGCTGGACGATGGATTTCTTCTCATCCACAACTACACCGCGGACTCAAGATATCAAACAAATTGTCGCGAAGAGGATATGTGCTTCTCCTGCTGTCCCCAAAAACGACGGGAACCTGTGCATGACCCAAACTGCATCTTAAAGTTGTACTGCTCAAAATGCTTGGAGGCAATATCCGTTGCTCTGTATGTCTTATTCCTTGAGAGCCTAATCACTTCCAGATTGTTACAATATCTGAGCTGTGGTGAAAGACTTAAAAAGGGCTACATGCTCCTGCCACTGGATTGTTCCAGCGCCAGTCATTTGCATTTGGTTCTGCAGTCTCAACACTCTATCTTCACCACTTCCTGACTCTGCGGAATCCCAAAATTGGAAGATATTTTGCCGAATGTCTATGTCTCGTTCAAGAAATGGCATTCAAAAAGATCTACAAGTACTGGAGGTAGTTTACAAGCGTGGCTATCAAAATTCGTACAAGGACAATGTATGACTGGAGTCCGGGATCGTTGTGGCCACGCTACCCAGTTTGTGTCATCTTTTCTGCAGGTCGAAAAGGTCTCTGGACACATATCTACACCTCCGTACTCGACTGACATCATCTGTCGTATTACCAGATCATGTTGCACGGGTAGTCACGTCCTAGTCCTGTTGTGTCTAAAAATTGGTCTACGGTCGCCTTATGGTCAAGCCTGCTTGCTCCCATCTGTCTGCTTCCCACTTCACAATGGAAGAACGTCCAATATATTGTTGCTCTTGTAAGTAATACCTGAGTTCTTGCCTTCCGGTCTAAATTCGTTTCAGAAACGATGATGAGCGACCACCTTCCTGTGACTAGAAAAACAAAAACGCATACATCTCACGTCTGACATCAAGCTCTCGAAGTCCGCAACCGGCATACACATGTCGCCCACTTCGAATAAACCCCCTCCACACACAAGAGCCTCGACTTGCATCATGTCTATTTACACAATTCAAACCTTCCACTTATGGTCATGAGACTATCATGGCAAACGAGGAAAATATTGGTGTATATGCTCCGTTTGCGTTCTGGTCTGTTCGATCGAGTCCGAACATTAAAGACCGTCAGATATCCTCCAATGTCTCTTCTTTGTGGTCAAAACTGGACTTATCTCCAGATAGGACTGCCGCCATCTAATTTTTATTCGCATTTGGTGTTCACAATCGGTCGGACGGAATTGCATGAATGTGTCAATGTTGTGGCTGCGTTCATTGTGTGATTAGAAAAGCCGTCAAGCTTCAGCCATGGTCTAAGTACGGTTTGCTTCAAATTTTAAATATCATGGAACTCTGCTTATGGGCGACATTAGGTTTTGTCTCTCGAGTAGTCGAAACCGCATTACTCTGTCTAGATATTCGGGACTCTGCCTGAGGTGTCGACACTGCCCTCAATGAGCCAAGTCTGTTGAACTATGGAGACTGTCTGTGAGACTTCTCGATCTGCGCAAAATCTTTGCCGAGAGTTGAGGGTGTATCTCACACTCTTCCTCCATCATTCTCTAACTTGGATGAATCAGACACCATTTGATCTTAAGTAGTGCGGACTTGTTATGTTCTGAGTCCCATATATCGCCTGCGCCACCTCCTGGACAAACTGATCTGAAAACTTCGATCCCGCGATTTTCAAGCTCATTGTGCGAAATCTCTGGATCGGACAGGCTTGACAAGACAATTGACAGAGTCCAGTCTTTGACACCCTCTACAGCTGGGTCATTCTTTTCGCTGCACTCCTCTGGGCCTCAACATTCAAACAAAAGTGAACGAAACCTCGCGAGGTGCGTGTGCCCTGTTGTATGTCTGTTCAGTCCAGGGAGATACGGAAGATGATGTAGTGCAGATCCTGACATCGCTTGCCTACACCTGTTTGGAAATCTCTGGTTTGCGTGGCCCCGCTCCGGCCAATGTAAGCAGTCCACTAGCCCTTGCTCCTCCACCATCTTATACCCTACAGGAGTCAACATTGAGAGAAACCTTGAAAGATGGTGTCCAAGTTCATGAGGCCATGCACCAAGGTACATTGGGATTCGCCTTGTGTGTGCTTGTTTGTCTTCCTGCCAAAAACCGTCAGATCCAACACTGATATCCGAGTCTCTAGAGTCTTCAGCCCACGAAATACAACATGCATGCTTCTGACTTGGACTTTCTGAAGCCTACAAATTGTTCGGCTGTGCTTGAACTGTCTCAGTGTCGACACAGTATGACGCATGCTTGCCGTCTGCCTCGTCTTCGTCTAGATCCTATGGACGTATGACCGGTCGCACACCAGACCTCGGCAAAAGACGTACCTACAACTTGTCTGGGATTGCTTGAGCCTAGTGCTCTATTCACAAATTTCCCACGAGCACGTGGATACAGTCTCTCTTCTGTTGAGCTTGAAGCAACTAATGAGACCGGAGTGATCCGCTATGATGCTTGAAAAGAAAGTTCGCGAAGTTCCATGTCTAATTTATGCCTCAAGCAGTTCGCTTGGCAAATATCACGGCCCGAAAGCAAATAAGAGCGCATGTATGTTGTTCGAAGTTCTCTCAATGACTGGCAAAAGTTGGTATGCTATTTCACCTGTGCCTGATTGAGATTCTGAAGATCTCCACGATTAATGACAGAGTCTCTCCAGACTCACTGACTTACCAGTATCAGAGTCTGCAACAGCCCTCGAGAGATCTCAACCTGTAGCATGGCGGCTTGGATTTGGTTGAGGTGTCATGTTCACGGCATAGTCCGAGAAGCTTGCAGCTAGCGGCGACTTAGAACAGTGACAGCCTACTTCCTTGTTCGAATGACGGTATAAGATTTCTTTGCGAACCCTCCGTCCTGTCGGAACGGTCCGAATTATGAGCAAGGCGAGAGTGACAGAAAAGGCGTTGAGCTCCAAGCGTGAACTTTAAATTCTAACGTCAAGGCCACACATGTCTGAGGCGCAGACGTACCATGCTCCTTAGCAACACAAACTCTCGTCATCGACGTCGTCACTGTCGTCAATAATCGTTTCGTCGTGCAGGAGGCTTACCACCAACAACAAACACCACGTCGCTGCGTCAGACTATAAGCGCTTTCATAAAGCAGCACCTGCCTTGCCCGCCTTGGATTCGCCTCACGGTCACCCATCGGTGTGCTGATCGTGCATGCGGTTCGACAAGCAAACCACGAACGTGCCATCAACGGGAGCGCATGTCTCGACACAAAGAGCTCTCCACGTGTGGGGATAGACGCGCGCTCTGCTGTCAGCTGCGAAACTAAAGTGTACGAGGCTTCACCGCTGGACGGCAAGACGCGCACGGCAAGGCGTCATGTCGGCGCTATTTGACATTGCCGCTGTGGAGTTGCGCCACGTGCATATGCGCGGCACCGTTTCTTGCCGTCTTGATTGCGACCTCGCATTTGATGTTGGGGAGTGTGGACTGCCATCGACGGTTACGCGCTTCGAAAGCTCTGGCAGGTGTGGGTGAAGATCTTGATTGAGGAAGTAGAGTTGTGCTTATGCGTTGAGTGTCACTTAATTATAACCGAATACCTATTGTCAAGCTTCATCCGCCTTTGCCGATAAGTCTGATGTGTTTCTTCGAGCCTGAAAGGAATCAAACACCGCACTCGCGGCTGGTCACTGCATCTGCATTAGCTCCATCGACCGGAAACAACTCCGATAACAACACCCTAGCTATCTGTACTGAAACTTGAGGTTGGAGGCTGACAGCATCATGACAACCATGAGTCGCACTTGCGGGTTGGAGGATGACGGACAGTTGTCTTGCGCAAGATGTCGCAGAGCGGGAGATGCGCGGTCATGCAGGTCCCAGATCGTTGGCGCTTCGATCGGTTAGTGTTGGTGTTGCTTTCGGTTCGTCGCAGATGGACGCTGTATGTTGCCTCGAGCCCCACGAACGACTTCTCTAGACGCCACTGGTGTTGGAGTGCATCATAGCGACTGATGGATGTGATACGTTGCAGAGATTGCAGAGATCAGCTTCTTGCGGAGATGCCGGTCCTCGAACACTCACCGTAGTTACAGGGACCGGGCAGAGAGTGGAAATCGGGCAAGGCCTCCAATTGCCCTACCGACCAGATTGGTAATCTGGGCGACGCGGAACACCGCGGAAAAGCCATAGAGATACCTATGCGCAGTCGTCGGTATGCTGCATCCGTCGAACGCAAGGGCGCCTATCCCGTGCAGGTATGATGGGATAGCCAAACAAGCACCGGCGCTTAAATTTCCGCTTCGAGACAAAGCTGTGACGTTGCTGCTCGACCTCAGACAACGAGTGAACTACAGATATGTGGCTCTGTACAGGATTGAGCTGGCACAGCTCAACGATGGCTAGATGCTTGATTGGAAATGTGGGCAAGCCGTACCGAGCCACCGGCATAACAGAGCCTACGGTAGCGCAGTTACCACAAACACTGGGTCCGTTGCGGCGGGAGGGTAACATCGTAACTGTGCCACAGCCCTCGCGGTGCGGGAAATACCGTTTGACGAGCCTTGAAACTGGAAAAAGTCGAGCCAAGGGAAAATGGTCGGCGAGGTTATAAAGTTCGAGAGAAATGGTGCATTGATTGTGCTTCTCTGTATATGTGCAGTCGTCTTGAACAGGTGAGCATGATACAGTCAAACAGCAAATCGAAGCCAACAACTGCAGATCGCAGATTCGGATGTGTTTGCCAGCTCATCGCAGTGAGCTTTATCCATTTATGTTGAGATCTCGATTTGCTCCGAGAAGCCGACGTCACACCAGAGCCAGACGTTCCCAGGTATCGTGTAGGTATGTATCGTGATGCGCTGCGCAAGTGTATCCATCCGGGGTAATCGTGACTCAAAGTGCGCTATGCCTCTTCAGTTGAAGATCGGAACCATTGCACCGACACAAAGGATGGCCGTTGCTCATCCGCTGTTGCCGAATCAAATTCCGCGGAGGGTAGATGTTGAGATTTAAATATCGGGATGAAGTTCGAAGAAATCTTTGATCTGGTTTGATCACTTTCAGGTTTCAAAATCAGGTTTCAAGACGAACAAGAAAACAAGGGTGATAAGATACGCACAGATCAAATGCGCGCAATGATCGGAGAGGCGAAAGCTAATAAGGTTGAGGTGGTGAGCATCTCTTTTCCTTCACTGATCTGCCGCAGAACACACAACAGCAAGCAGTTTTTCTGATCGTTTCACATGAAGTCATTATCGCGGACCAAGGTTGGGGTGGATTCACGACAGTTGAAAGATTCCTTTGGATGGGTCCCATGCTCAAGGAAGCGCTGAATATAATAAACGCGTGGGTCCTGACGGTGCGCGTTTATGAGCCAACGGTAGCCACTCAATCTCGCTAGCCAAATCAGAAGCGGTAGGATTCGAGCCGAGCGTAAGCGCACGAATCCTGTAGCCGGGCGATGCTCAGTGAGGCATGGCTGATTCTTGCTCTTCAGCAAGGGATGAAGAACTCGCACTCCATGAATACCGGCACAGCGGGGGCGCAGTGCCAACGCGTACCAGTGGTTTGTTTGATCGCTAACGGGAGCGGAACGGGGCGCACGTTCGAAAAACGCACTGCTGGATTATGGTACGACGACATGTGTCAGTGTGCTAGAAGTCAGTGGGATGACCTGAATTAGCATTTTCAATGCAATGCTGCCGAGATGCAGCCGCGGATATCATGGCATCAGTCTGCTCGTCAGCCGATGCACGGCGACGAAAGGGGACGCAAGTTCCATTGGTCTTTTTCGCAGGAATGTACAGAGGCGTGACCGATCAGAGACCGCCTGATCATCTGCAAACGCCGGAGCTCAACGACCACGGCTAGTATGCTGGAGTTGTCACTTTAGCCGACCGACATTATTGCAGTCATCGTGATAGCGGCTCGCCGGCGGCACACCTTAGTAGGCGCTGGTGCGTGAGCAGGCTGCTGGGCGCCGGGGGTGCGGCTGCAAAGAACGGGCCGAGTAGCCAGCAACGAATTGTCCGCTGCAGAACACTGTAAATGCTGCGACGTGATGGGAGCAGTTTGGAAAAGTCGGCAGAATACACACCGAATTGTCGATGGCGAGTAGATTCACAGCGCGGCATTTAGCTAGGCGTATGGAAGTGAAATTCAAGTCAAAGGGCCGACGTGCCAGGCCATCACCAGCCCGTGGGCGAGCGCTCGGGGTGCGGCGTGGCACTGATTAATAAAACGGGCGAGGCCCAAGGGTGCCTTCTTCTTTGGTCATGGTGGTGGAACCCGGGCGGGCATTCGACAGGCGGTTAGCATGAGGCAGTGCTCCTGGCCGACGCGCGCGAGAAGGCGGGCGATACGCAGGAACAGCGATGACGTCCAATGTGGTGAGCCGCCGGCGCGCGCTGGTGCAGCAGCAGCCGTGTTCGAGCGCGGTGACATGCGTGTGGTCACTGTGGTGAGGCCTGCTGGCACCAAACGGCGGCGTGTTTGGGCTGCTTGGTTTTGTAGGCAGGAGCGAGTTCTCAAGTGGCAGGAGCAGCGACACGCGCCTACCTGCGATGCGCGGTTGACGCAAAAATAGGAAAACGCCCACTAGACAGCCTTGAGCCTGCAACATGCTGCGAGTCGCTGCAGCGCACACCACTGTGGGCATTCAATGTTCGCCGCCTGCATGAAACACCCAATCACGGCCCGCGTGCGCCTCACAGCTTGCGCAGTGTGAAAGCGTTCCGCGACGGCTGCTGGGCTAACGATGTCTGGCCGATCAACCTCGCATGCCGTGACGCCGGGAGACGCTTGGGGGGCCCGCTGTCCCGTGCCATCCTTGCGTGCTGCTCGAGGTATCACCCCTCCAGTGCACCCAGCGATGAGCTTTAGGGCTGTAGACGCGGTTTTTTCGCGAAAAAACGTGGTTTTGAGCTCCAATGCAGGGTCGGTTGTGTGATAGTCGAAGGAACCGCGCTTTTAGCTCGTCTATGCTGCGTTCTGTGGCCGTTCGCTGGAGATCTCGTGTGGGACAAGCGCGCAGGGACGGGCCAACACGCCCAATCACAAAGTTTGACCGGGGTAGGGCATCTGTGCCCCAGCAAGCCAGAGAAACAGCCGCCGTCGTGATCTATGCTGCCCGTCCGCTGGCAGCTGCGCCTACGTCGGGACGCCCCTCTCTTCAGGGCAGAACTCCTTCGACCTCATTGTCTTATACACTGCTCTCGCCGCTGCGGGTGGCTTTGCTCCCGATTGGCATCACCAAACCCACACCCCACATTGACTCCAGCACCCATGGCCCTAGGACTCTGCTCAAGATAACCACCTCTTCTGCTTGGGACGACAATTGCGCATTGCCGGTCCCCACCGCGCATCCAAGCCACCAGCACGACGGCAGAGCGCAGTCAGACATCTGATTCACTGAGCCGTTCAGTAGTCACTTCGACGCCAGCTGTAAGCGCGAAAGCCGCCCCTGTGTCGTGGAACCGCAGAACTTCAACTCATCGTGTCACCGCTTGTCCCGTCCATCTGGTCGCAGACAAGATTGAGGTGCTGGATGACTACGCAGTGAAGACTCAAGTCCACCACTGCCACACAGGGACTGCCGACTCCACGCAACGACCAATATTTCCGAAATCGGTATCTAGGACACGCGAAACGCTTGTTAAAAGCTTCCCGGCCAAATACAGTTGGAAGAACGCCTTGCAGCAGCTTTGATTCAGGTACTATGTCTGCTGTGCTGCACATGCCCGCGATCAACACTGCTCCATTCATGTTGAAAGAGAAGCTTGGGGACCCATTCGCGCCTGCCTTTACTGCAGTCAATGGAAGGCCATCGCCATCCTCGCCACACGCACCGACTGTACCACACGGTATGACAGCCTGGAGCTCTGTACCACGGGACCCTGGCTCTCGACCAGCCAGCCACTCCATCTCGCCCACCATGACCAACGGAGACAGATCTCCAGACAGTCCTTTCAAAAGGAAGAGGTCACCCTCATTAGATGACCAACCACCACGTGGGTCATCGCGAGAGTGGCCGACCCCTATCGGACCTTCACCCACGGTGTCCTACCATGAGCAACGGCCAAGCCTAGAGCCACACCAGCGGACGTTGCCCCCAATAGATCGTCTTCAACCTGAGCGTCGCTGGACTGCGGATCCCAGCGAATACCAGGACCACCATCATCACGAACCTCGACCCCTGGAGCCACCACATCACATGCCACCATCTCACATGAGTGACCCTAATGACTATGAAGACAATGCCATAGACCATAGCAGGCTTGATCAACACTCTGATCAGAAGAAAGTCGGAAGAAAAAGGCAGTTTGCCAACAGGACCAAGACAGGTTGTGGCACCTGTCGAAAACGCAAGAAGAAGTGTGATGAAGCGAAACCGAAGTGCAATAACTGCTTGCGCGGCAACTTTGAGTGTGCAGGTTATGCGAACAAAATTCCATGGTCAAAAGAAGGTGCTTCGAAGGCACCACCAGCACTACAGGCGAAAGAGCGCGTATCCTCCACTGAGATACCAGCTCACTACGCAAGATGTAACGTCTGCAATCAGGTGCACATTCCTCATTGTGAGCCGACTCAGAAGCCCTACTCGGAGTCCATCAGCAGTGATGGTATTCGACCAAGACCTGTCAGTGTTGATGAACAGCAACGCAAACCACCGTGAGTTCAGGACCATGTGCGACACAGTACGACCACTGACATGAAGACCACCAGAACACCAGACAGCTGGACTAAGACCTGGACTGAATCACCACGATACAAGTCAGAGCACCCACCACCTCCTCCACCTCCGCAACGTCAGCACAATCCTCGTGTGTACCATCACACGCCACAGACCATGAGCCAACCGGCGCCCAACCATCCTGCAGTAGCGCCACAGCCTGCGCCGTACGCACAACCCCTGCCGCCTGCTCCTGCGCTCGAGAGAACACCAGTACATGATCCGCATGCGCGTCCTCCGCCACCCCCTCCACCACCACTGGCTCCTATGGCAGCTGCGCCACCGGCTCCCTCACCGTCACGCTATTCGCACCCACCTTTGCCGCCCAAGAGCGAGAAGGACAAGATGCTTGCCGGGGAACCTTTCCTGCCTTATACCGACCAGCTTGTTGATGAGCGAACACTTTGCTCAGGAGCAGTATATCGCTTCAACAGCCTCAGTAATGCTGCGGTTCAGATTGCGACGAGCGAGCGTGAGCGACAATTTGAGTACATCATTGCAGCTAGGTGGATATACTCTCGACCTGGTGAACGCCGAGTCACTGGCCATCTTGGGGGTGGTATCAATGTTGCCATACCTTTCCACTGTGACTATGGCTACAACATCTCCGTTGGAGACAACGTCGTCATTGGCCCTAATTCCCAGTTTCTCGACTCTGGAAGAATTGCAATTGGCAGGAACACGAAGATTGGCGCTCGTGTCACGATCTCGACTCTCAAGGCTCCATCTGATACCAAGATGCTGAAAGGAAGCAAGGGCACTGAGATCGCACGCGAGGTCTACATTGGCGAAAATGTCTACATTGGTGATGGGTGCATCATCGAAGCTGGTGTCCGCATCGGTAACAACGCGATCGTGCGTGCTGGATCTGTTGTCGTGAGAGTGAGTTCATCCCACTCAGCAAAGACAAGAAAACCGTAGCTGACTCTCTCTAGGACATTCCAGCAGACTGCGTTGCCCTCGGCAATCCTGCCGAAGTACGACAGGTCAACTGGAAAGACTAGAGACCACGTGAGCTCGGAATACCATCAGCTCCTGCTCCAATATCGATGCACAGAGCGACACACCAAGCGTCGTTCGAACTAGGTACGAGCATACGCTATCGTATATTTTGCATATTTGTTTTTATTGAGCGCTACTGCGTAGCGCAGGCGTTTTACGGCGTTTGAGCATTTCTTTTGGAGGATACCCTGATACTTTGTACTTGATTTCGGTTCAACTTGGCCTGTTGGTATTCAAGAGGTGGAACTGGATATGGGAAAGGGAAACATACTATCCGTTGAGTAAGGAATAGCGCAGGGGCGCATGATTAGATGTGCAGGGCGAGGGCAGTCGAACGTGTTGTAGGTAGCAGATTCAGTAGCGGTCATATGGGCGGAAATCTGGAAGATTTGATATCTTTACCACACCAGTCTGGGCTCACATAGCTTGCCTCAAAATCATCGTCTGGCCCGCATTTCCTTCAATGTGTGTAGACAGCACTATCGGTAACATACAACAGGAAGGAGCGCGTTGTCACGTGCACTCACCCTTAGCGTCAAAATTATCCCAGACCTCGAACACCGCCAGCAACTCCGCCCATCACCAAGCGCTCCACGACACACAATGCCACCACGGGCACCCCTCAATTGGGGCTCACTGCCCCTCCTTCCATCAGCAACACGCTCGCTCAACCCTCTCGCACAACACACTGCCGCCACACCAGCGCTCTCCTACGCCAGCACTCGCGGCATCAAATCCACATTCGGCCCCAAGCGCGACCGGTTTGCACACCGCCACAATGCACCTGCCCTCAACTCCACAACGACAGCAGCGTTAGAACGGAAAGCGCATTCCACACCCTTGCGCACTGGCCTCTTAGCTCTTAAGCGCGGCATGACCGCCCTTTACGACCCAGAGACGGGAAAACGCACACCTTGCACCGTTCTGCAGGTTGACCGCAACGAAGTCGTTGCACATAAGACGAGAGATATCCACGGATATTGGGCTGTGCAGATTGGCGCGGGGCAGAAGGAGCCTAGGAACGTCACCCGGCCGCTTTTAGGGCACTTCGCGCAGGCGGGTGTGAGCCCGAAGAGGCACCTGGCAGAGTTCAAAGTCAAGGATGGTAGTGGATTGGGGCTGAGTGTGGGTGAGAGTGTGGGCGCGAACTGGTTCGCGCCAGGGCAGTGGGTTGATGTGAAGGGTATTTCGAGGGGTATGGGGTTCGCTGGTGTAAGTCACCCCGGGAGAATCTTTCGATCATGGAAATCACAAAGACCGCGTTCTGGAAGAGAGATGCTGACAGGTTATGCAGGGTATGAAACGCCACGGCTTCAGCGGTCAACCCGCATCCCACGGTAACTCGCTCACCCACCGCGCTATGGGTTCTGCCGGAGGATCGCAAGGATCGGGTTCGCGCGTGCTGCCTGGCAAGCGCATGGCTGGGAACATGGGGAATGAGAGCGTCACAGTCAAGAATCTGAAGGTCCTGCAGGTTGACGAGGCGAATGGGTTGATTGTGGTGACTGGCTGCGTTCCTGGACCCAAGAACCAGATTTTGAAGGTGCAGGATGCGCTGGGCAAGGCCTGGCCGAAGGGTCCCATGAGAAATGCTGAGCTGGCACCGATCGTTCAAGTTGCTGAGCCTGCCGAGGTCGCTACAGCAACAGCGTAAGAGGGGGATGATTTGGACTCGAGGAGATATCGTACCATACAACTGCCAGTCACGGGCGTTCCGGCAGCGTCAGTAGCATCGAAGTATGCATTGGGCAGGGCTGATATTGTATAGACCTGTGTATAACATGTAAGAGCTATCGAGCGCACTATTGAGCGTTACAAGAGACACTTTAAACGTGCAGCCACCCGCACTTCTCAGCCTTGTATTGTCGTTCAAGATCACACACCTTCCAACTTCGATCTCTTATCCAAGCAGGCCCCACCTCCGGTACGCGCCTACCTCAACAGTCGTCATCCTTGACGAACCCATCTCCGTCATCGCAGAAGTATTCTCCATTACTGGCAGAGGCCAGTGAGTTTGCGTCATCACCACTGACTTCCTCGCGCTCGACACTTGCTTCCTGTGTTCAATGTGGGTGCAAACTCACCCCAACCATTCCCATCGTGGGCATCTCCGGCTCAGCGGTCCCGAAACGGGTCATCACGCTACTGCAGACAATTCTGAGTCGTGGCCACTAGACACCTGAGTCTGACTGCGGCCATGCTCGGGATCCGAGTCGTAGTGAGGATTTACTGAGATGCGATCACCACCACCGCGAGTCTCCTTTAAAAGGTCGCTGTCTGAATCCTATCGCGCCTGAGCCTGCTGTCGTGGTGGCCTGAGGGGAGTAGACGAGGTTGTTGGTGACGGCCCTGGCTAGACCAGCAGTCACGCTGTCTGTGCGACATGGTTGGAAAGTGTATTGGATTGCCAATACCGACAGGTTGAGTATTTGAGTATTGTTTTATTGTTGAAGCAGGCTGCAGAATCTTGAACCGTCTTTACACCTGTCGCTTGACCCGGGTTCTTCACCGTGGGGCATGCCTGCAAAACAGCCAACACCCACACATATGTCTCCTTCGCATGCGTCACTGTCTTTTCAGAGCGTGATGATAGTTCCCATCGTCAATGCAGTCCTCGTCGTCATCGAAACTTTCATCGTCCGACAAAGCAGCGATATCACTCCCTTGATCGGCATCACTTCCCGAGCTGACACTATTTTCTACCTCCACGTCGCTATTTACTGCATCACTACCCTCTCCTTCGTCCTCTGTTAACGAACGTTTCGAGGCGCAGTCGCTCCGACCAGTGATATAGTCATCGAGCGAGATGTAGCCCCCTTCGTCATCGCTGTCACTGTCTCTGTTCGTCCTCTTCCTATCGCCGAACGATTTGATGGAGTGCCGGCCTGATCGCGAATCTGAGCTGTGTCTGCTGCTAATGCTTGCAATGTCTGAGCCCGCATCCCGCCGATCAACAATGACGATATCGCTTCCTTCTTCAGTGCCAGAGTCAAATGCTTTGGTTGTCGTAGCTTGCTTACGAGGACGCTTATGGTCCAAGTCCTCGATGTCAGACGCGTAGTAAGACTCGCGCCTTTCGGTATGCCTATGATCGTCTTGCGAGTTCACGTGCCGGGGTGGACTGCGATATCTCGAAGTTTGAACCTTGGACATTTCGGTGGTGTGCTCAGGGGTATACATGTTGCGCTGCTCGTGTGCTTCGATGCAGCCGTCATCCATGTTTTTGGGCTGAGTGATGTATTCCATATCCGAGGGATAATCCAGATCTGGTGACCGATGTCGAGTGCATATGTACGCGTGAGAAGCACAAGAGGGTCGATCTATGTACCCTGCGGCCCAGCGTCTGCGTTTGGGTTGGACTTGATCGGTCTCGATGTACCTTGAGTAGCGGTAGTCATCTGAAGCCAGCTCTTCGGTCTTTTTTTTTGAGTGTCTTGTTCTGCGAGGTCGATCTTCCTCGATGCGAGTTGCGTATCGTGAGTGCTGTCGATGGTCCATGTCCATGGCGAGACCGGTCTCAGCCTCGCGGTACTTGGTGCTGAGAAAGTGCGTAGCAATCGCCGAAACGTTGAGTGATGCGAAATCTCTAACTCGCCTTCATCTGATAGTCTTATCATTTGTGGCACGTCGAATGTTGGTGAGAGGAGGAGCAGAGACGTATGCAGCCTGCCTACGTGGCACACTATACTAACCGTATTCGATTCTGTGCATACGTGCATCTATGCATGACCTTCCAGCGACCACATCGAATTTCAGCTGCAGAGCATTTCATGTTATTCGCAATTTATAATTGAGTGGAACATGCGAAATATGGCATGGTGAGGTTGGACACTGCAGGCTATTCGCACCATTCGCACTATTTGTTCCTATAATCTATGTTATATCGAGCTACCTAGATACTGAAATGTACCTTGCTCCAGAGTTTATTACTACCGGTCACTCTGAATGCCATCTTATGGTTCCTTTACACACACTTACCGTACGTTCTCCTTGTGAGGGGCATACGTCCCTCATATGGACGGGTTTCAAATACCATGACAGACTGGAAACATACAGTACAAGTACGGCGTGCTCGTATACTGTTGTCCTCGGATTCGGCGAGTTTGACCTTGGACACTAACCCTTAACGGACTTTCCCTTTCCTCTTCATCTACATCCCCCAGGTGAACATCGTGTCGATCGTTGATGTCACAGTAGTGATGCTCAGGTTGAATCAGCGTCCTCATCGTAGTACGGGCTATATCGATGCGCATCATCATGCTTGGTAACTACATGTCGATACACATCCAGCAGATCCTTTGCATCCTGAGTATTTTCGTGCTTCCAATTCTCGGGTTGGGAGATTCCCTGAAGTCTTTGAAGCCACTGCGACCAGTAAAGCCGTTCTTATTCAGGGGCTGCGATTCCGACTCCTCGTATGCTCTGTCAGAACCCGATAGAGGTGGGAAAGGAGGGCAATGCTCTGAGGCGGTGCGGACACGTTGCTGAGTTGTCCGAGACACGGATGGGACAGCTGGATGATCGTTCAATAGACCGTAGCTCGTGCGACGATGGCTAAGGGCATACTGTCTGCGAGGGCAGCCAAGTTGCGAGGACCAGCCATGGCGTATCATCCAGATAAAACCTATTAATCTGCCACATGACACCGAGCTTGTTTTGTGTAGTAATCTGTTATAACACATAATGCCGTGCCAACACAAATTTAATACTACGCTTGCATTAATCAGTCTTAAGCCTTACTACTGTCTATATTTGTGGCGTTAATGCGCAACGCGTTCTATTGCGTGATACGTAAGGTAGCTGTCACTAATATTCACAGTGTTGTGGTTAATAACGCAGTAAATACTAAGCAAATAACGTTACACATCTACACCTGTTTAACGCCTCAACAACACCTTGCAGTAAGACACAATTGTATAATAAAACCCCTACAAACTATCCGCAAGTAAGGCCCCTAAATGCCTCAGCTACAGCGCGAGATGCACGCGAACAGTACTACTGTATATACTACACTGTAACTAGCAGTTGCTATCTGTTAGGAACACGAGTAATCTGACACATGACGCTGTCGGCTTAATGTGGCAAGTTGACGGATGACGACCTTCCAAGGCTGGCGAGGACACGATAGATGCAGTTGAGGATGTTAAATGCCTTGGAGCAGTTGCTACAGTGATGTCTAGACTTGAGTTGCTTGCGGGTATTTTCGCATACAACGAATAGAAAGCAGATCGCGGTGGCTGCCGTCAAGACTCACAAACGCTAAATAGCCTGTGTGTTGTACCTGTGGATATTTGCAAATATCTCTGGGATACTGCAAGGAAGCCGGCCATCGTTGGATTCTTTTATGCAGTCGAGCGGCGTGGTCCGAGGGGAGAGCTGACTTGCTTGTTTACAACGGTGTGTAGGTCGTAGATCGAAGGCAATACCAGCCTCCTGCCGTGGCTTCGCGTTGAAAGAGCATGATGGAAGGAGCTGTGTACCTCTCGGTGTCGCTGTCGCGCTAGCCGCATTCGGGTGACAGATGGTCATAGACGTCTTCCGACGTTCTCCCACCTGCCTTGTTCTCCTAGACTTTCGGCTCATTTTAAACAACGTCACGAAATACCCAGATGCTGACCGGGTATCGTTTCCACGTGGTATAATGTCGGGCAAGTTCAGCCGGAGTTGTCGACTAATGAAGACTTCGCCCGACGGCCAATCTTAACCTTAAATCCAGGCAAGCCCGTATAAGTAACTGCTAGGCTTACACAAGCTACTGCCGAGTCAACCTGATGCCGATGAGACCCACTCGACTTTTCATTACAAGCCTTCCAACGGCACTCTTAGTGTTGAATATCAAATTTCTGGATACCAGAGATTTGAGGAATTTCTAGGATTGTACGCACGTTTACCTGCGGTAGAGATCTGAGAACGTCCTTCAGTGAAGAGCTTTCGGAATCCAACACACCTCGGCAGGGCATCACATCATGCACAACACACACTTCGCCTCTCGTCACACTTGAAGTGAAGCAAGGCGTGCTGGGTGTGAATCCATAAAACCGTAATTACCATAAGCTCTTGCGACGCACGGCATGCTAATCTCGACTAGGCGTGGTCGACCGTAAATGAAAGCGGCAGAGGGTCTCGGTGGCAGCCTTGCGCAACATGCTTTACCCGAGATCCCACGAGTTACTGAAACATGCTAAGATGGGTCTCACCAATACCATCCCAACGCGCTCGAATCATCCGAGGCTATTCTACTCGCAGTGTAAACGTACCCCGATTAGATCAACATCCAGACCGACACTTTCTCCTGGGTGGCAGCCGCCATGTGGCGCAACCCACCAAACACCCTGGCAATAACCTGGACACAACGGAAGACGCCCCTATCGGGGTCATTACTTGTGGATGCAGGTCTGATTACCATGCCGTCTCCTGAGTTTCGGGTGATGAGTGACCTGGGTATCTGCTCATGGAATAATTGTCCGCCAGTGGGACTGGCTTGTGCGCTCAACTTCAAGCCAAAGGATCCCGGAGTATAAAAGTAGGATGCCTCGCCGTTCTTCTGGATTTCAAGCCTCATCTTGACATTCATTTACCCTTCCAACTTCAGTCTTTCGTTCAAAGCAAACTGTGTTTGCTGTCCATTCATTTCTTCGCCTTCTCCCACTACAACGATGAAGTTTTCCATCTTCGCCGCGGTTGCGGCGATTGCTGGCTCAGCCTACGGTGCTGATGCCGTCAAGGGAGCCGCTGAGGGTTTCGCCAAGGGCGTCACTGGTGGCGGCTCTGCTACGCCCGTCTACCCTTCTACCACCGCCCAGCTCATCAGCTACCTTTCCGACTCCTCCCCCCGTGTCATCGTCCTGACCAAGACTTTCGATTTCACCGGAACTGAGGGTACCACCACCTCTGCTGGTTGCGCTCCATGGGGCACCGGCTCCACCTGCCAGCAGGCTATCAACAAGGATGGCTGGTGCGACAACTACCAGCCTAACGCCCCCAAGGTCTCTAGCATCAAGTACGACAAGGCTGGTGTCCTTGGTATGACCGTTGGCTCCAACAAGTCCCTGATCGGCCAGGGCTCAAAGGGTGTCATCAAGGGCAAGGGTGTCCGTATCGTTTCTGGTGCTAAGAACATCATCATCCAGAACGTCCGCTTCACCGAGATCAACCCTAAGTACGTCTGGGGTGGTGATGCTATCACAATCAACGGTGCCGACCTTGTCTGGATCGACCACGTCACCACCGACCTGATCGCTCGCCAGCACATCGTCCTCGGCAATTCTGCCTCCAACCGTGTCACCATCTCCAACAACGAGATCAACGGTGCTTCCGCCTGGTCCGCTACCTGCGACGGTCGCCACTACTGGGCTCTGTACTTCACCGGTTCCTCCGACATGGTCACCTTCAAGAACAACTACGTTCACCACACTTCCGGCCGCTCCCCCAAGGTTGCTGGCAACACCATCCTCCACGCCGTCAACAACTACTTCTACGCCATTGCCCACGCTTTCGAGGCTGACTCTGGCTCCAAGATTCTTGCCGAGGGTAACGTCTTCCAGAACGTTGATGCGCCTGCTCAGTCCGGCCTCCCCGGCAAGGTCTTCGCTTCCGCCAGCAACCTCGCTGCCTGCAAGTCTTACCTCGGCCACAACTGCGAGGCGAACGCCTACGGAACCTCTGGTACTCTTGCTGGAACTGACACCAGCTTCTTCTCCAGCTTTTCTGGCAAGAACATTGCTTCCGCATCCACCGCCACTGTTGCCAAGAACGTCATCAACTCCGCTGGTTACGGACGCTTGTAAGCTATTCGTCCGCTTTGGATGGTGGCTAGGAGGATCACGGATCCGAACCGCTATGGCGGTGCTATAGATATCTTTATTCTTTGTACATACACTAGGCTTCTTACATATACCACTTTATTTGTTTCGCACAATCCGCGCCACATTGTCTCCTTCCATGCACTGACTCCATCCAGCCATCAGACTCCCGTGGCTTGTAGCGCTCACCGCAGTAACGGGCAATCGCCATGTACTCTGAATGGTAACAAGCCCCCTGAAACACACCTGAAGAGAACAAACACTGAGGCATCGCCCTCTTGTGTCAATACTGTGCTAAGATATCAAGCGTGCCGCGGCGGCTCGTACGAGTCGCCTTGCGTGGGTTTACACCGACCCTTGTCGCAGATCCTCCGACCCTTCAATCTGGCCGGGGAGGACAAACATCAATCTACAATTAAGCTGAAACGCCAGGTGAAAATCAAGCAGGAGAGAGGACGTGCCGCAACCCGAGATGCGGACGGTGATTGGACATTTGTCCGGGCAGAAGGCTTGTCCAATGCTGACGCACACGGTACGCGATTCCAACACTAAGACATGGGGTATCGAATAAGTACCTGGGTACCTACCTAGCCCAACGATCCAGATAGAGTCTCTCTCCTATCTCGAGCCAAGACTCGTTTCCAGCTCGTGCCGTTGCTAATCAATGTTAGTCCACGTTCGTCGCAGCCGTCCAGTCTCGTTAAATTTCGGATCAAGACCTCGCTTCCCCGCGACAGATCCATCGCGCAGCTTTGCAGACGCCCAACAGCCTTATAGCCATGCAGTCCAAACGGCCAAGCCAAGACAAACAATTGCGAGGTGTGCGGTAGTCATGTATACCTACTAGAGTGCATCTGGTGACTGCTGGATTTACAGTCCGCTGGGGGGGATGCGAATGCGTCTGATTCCGTCGATGACATCATCTAGCGGGCGGTAAATGAGTCGGTGGTGGCTGGCGCTCCCGAGAAAAAGATTCTGGACGGCTGGTGCCCAAGAGGGTGATGTGAGTTGAGGGGGCGGAAATACGCTTGCGGCGCGGTCGTTGAGCAGACTAACTGGCGACCGCGAGTGTAAGTGTGATCAGCGAGCTGGTGTTCGTTACCTTGAGCGCTGACGAATGAAGAAGGCGAGGTAAAGAAGGCGGACTGCGGATTGCGCAACGAGAGTGGTCAGCCGCGCCTGACAGGAACAGTATCCATACGATCTAGAAAGTGATGCAATGCGAGTCTAGTCTGATGCACGCTCAACGCCGAATAATGCTCAATACCCAAATTTTACATCTCACGCGCTTTCCCAAATCCGCTGCTCACCAGCCTTACATCATTAACATACCAACAGCCGCGACAACGAGCGCAAAGTATGTCGCAGACGGTGTCAGAAGCGCAGTCGCGAGGGATGTGGCCTTACCGCAGCACTCGCGAGTGTACGTGACATTGTTCGCGCGCGCAGCGACTTCGAAGACGGAGCCGTTGACAGGGCCCTGGTTGTAGAAGTCGACGAGGAGGAAATTCGGTGGGCGGCCCCAGTCGGCTGTAACATGTCAATAATTGGCTCCCGATGCAAAATATGAGATGCAAAAGATGAGATGCAAAAGAGGGGGGCCTTACAAGTGCACTGGTTAGCCATCAGTCCCAGACTGCCATTGCCCTCGAGTCCATTTGTGATGTTCGTCGCAGCGACGTTGGGGACCAGCAACTCCAGCCCGGCAATGGCGATCTCGACGTTCAGGTTGTGGTTGGCCATGTACAGCATATCGCGCGCCTTCTCGTCGCTGACGCCGTCAGGACGGCCGATTGTACAGGGGAAGTTGATGTCGGTGGGCGAGAAGGGTGTCTCCCACATGCTGTAGAATTCCCACAGCAAATAAGGAACGGCGTCGGTGTCAGCATTGTAGTCGATGAACGTGACAACACGCTTCTGCTGCAGCAACATCTGCCCGAGGGTGGGCCAGTCCGCAAGCTCCATGGCTGTCTTCGGCGGCTGGTAGATGTACTGGTACAGGCCAGAAGACCTGATCGGTTCGTCAAAGTTCTTTGCTGTGATGAGGAAGTTGCCGTTCGCGTCCTTGTCCGCGTAATTGTAGTTGCCGAAGATGATCGTGACGACATCGAAGGGGTGTGCTTCAACCCATGCTACAACCTCCTCCAGATAATCCTCCAGCGTGCCGGCATTGAGGAGATCGCAGGATGAGTGGCAGAGGTAAAGAGTGTTGTTGACGTAGTGAGCCTGGCCTTGCAGCATGCGAATGCCATCGTTCAACTGCTGGGTCACGCCGTAGTCCTGGTTACGGGCTATGTTGCGCGCCTTGGTGAATGGCGAGTTGTGGGCGGCAACTTCTGTGATGTTGGAGTATTTGCGGTTGCAGAACTCAACGTAGTTGTTGCAAGCTTGGGTGTTCTGGGGCAGGGCTGCCGAGCCTGTAGCAGATCCAGTCGGTGTCCTGGTCCTATTTCCACCACCGATGTTGATGACCGAGTCCGTTGCTGAAACAGTCGCATTGCTGGACGCGGTGCTTCCAGATGGTGAACTGGTCAACGTCGCGAATGTGCTGCCCTCGAAGTCTGACGGCACGGTGACGGTTCCGCCGAACTCGGCCCCGGAGCGCTGCCTCGAGCTGCCGGTCAAGGTGATGACGGATGGCGATGCTGTGGATGCTGAGCTATCCTGTCCTGCAGCAAGGCCTGCGAGGCATAGTAGCGATAGTATCGTGCCTCTCATGATCGACGCAGGGTCGAGAGTAAATATAGCGGTAAATCAAGCAGTCCAGTCCAAAGAATGCAGAAAATCGCTGATGCAGAAAATCCCCAAAGTCGCACAGGCGTGAGAAATGGTTAGTGTTGAAGAACAAAGTCGTGGGAGGACCCTGACAGAACGTGGCAGGCACAGGTGAGACCAAGTTTTGAAGTCAGAGCGCCGCGGCAGTGCTTTTGGTGATCGGAAGTGGCCTGCGCGACTCCTGAGGTGACGTCTTAGCCCTAATTATACGCAAGCTAAGCCCTGTAGCCGCATCGATCCAGCCGTTGATTTGCAGAGCCGCACAAGCTCTGCCGACCGGCCCTTAGCGCAACACGTAGTCAAGTCCAGTGGGGATGCGCGTTGGTGGGCTGCAGTGGTAGGTGCTCCCTGCGCCTGCCCAAGATTATGCCAGATTTCGCCAGAGAATTACTCGTTCAATCATGATATATGTACAAGAAGCGCTCGGTGCGAGCTCAATGGGGTTTCCAAAAGAGCAAAAAGTGCATGATCTTCCTCATCCCAGAGACCTCAGCTAGTCACGAGGAGCTGGAGAACATCTGCTCAAACGTGCTCTTGCCCTCTAGCTGCTTGATCTCACGCTTCAGAACGTCAACGCGGTAGTTCTTGAACGCCTTCTCAATGCGCTCCTTGGCCGCAGGGTCGCTTGTGATGGTCCGCGATGCCGATGCCGTGCCGGTGAGCAAGCCGAGCTCGCCGCCGAGGAAGAGGCCCGCGACCGAGAAGAAGAAGTAGGTCGCAGCATCGCCCCATCGCGAGGGGGCAAGCTGTGCGGAGATATCAGGGATTGGCTCTGCGCAACGTCAGATCACCGTGTCGAGCTGTGCTCTCGTGTCGACTCACCGGTTCGGCCGTCGGCAAACTTGAGCTCGACGGGCTTCTCCATCGCCCTGAAGGCCTTGAAGTATGCGAGGCGCATTCTGCGCAGGCGGACGGCGGCGAAAACACCAAGGCCAAGACCAGCCAGGGAGGCAACGGTCGCGTGGGTTCCAACCTTCTTAGCCGCGCTCTTGAGAAGCTCTTGATCCTGCTGGCTCAGGCTGTTGATTGTCAGATTCTGCCTTGTACGCTCGTGCGCGGCACGTACTCGTGGTTGATGTGGTCCTCCGCGAGCTGAGCAAGATCCTTGCTGCGTCCAGTACGGAATGCGGCCAATGATTCAGACATGGTTTCGGGGTGTATAGATGGAGGATTGGCGAGTGTTCAGTTGATTGGAGCTTGTAGGGCGAGGTCGAGGTCGAGGCTTGTCCGGCGCCCTTTGTAGGTTTGAACTTTTGGGTCGTTATGACATCACCAGACCCAGGCCAGCATCTGGCGGCGTCTATGGTCGGGGAGCAGCACGCCAAGTGCTCCCGCAGTCTTCGTCTGTCCACACATCGCCCCATGGACGTTTCTGCGCATGTCTCTTCTTCGGGGTTCGAATAATGGTAGCATCATGATCGACTCATGCCTATCAATTATGAGCGCAGCTGCCTGCGATGTACCACCACTTGTTCACATGTCACTCTACAACTTCCATTCAAGTTCAATCGAATCTGATTCTCAGCGTCATCAGCATCATTGAAACGTTGTATTCTCTATTAATCACACCCATCACCCACGCGCCCTTGTTCATCTCAAGCAGTCGCGCCCTTGTTCATCTCAAGCAGTCGCGCCCTTATTCATCTCAAGCAGTCGCGCCCTTATCCATCTCAAGCAGTCGCGCCCGTCACCTGCACACTATACTGCAGTCCCGCATTCAGCTCAGCGCTAATCTTAAACGCATCGTACATGACCACCTCGGGCGTCCTGGCCACAACAAGCGCCACCTCATCAGCAGCAGCGACAGCGACGCTCCCCTTGCCAGCAACGACATCCGTGTACGTGACGCCCGAGGCGTTGGACACGACCAGCGTCGCCGTGTAGCCTGCGTCTGCAGAGGTTATCGCCACACTGACCGTGTTGCCGGTGGGCGTGAGCGGGATGATGTTGGCGCCCATGTACCTCGGCGCTTTGGCAGCCTTGACTGTGTACGCGCCGTCGGCGCCGTCGAGGGATTCATACTTTAGGCCGGCGCGCTGCGCGACAAACGCCTCGTGGGCCTTTGCGTGTCCGATGTCGACAAAGGCCATGTGCGCCCAGTAGCGGCCGACGGCCCTCTGGACGGTGACGTTGCCCGGGGCCTCGGTGAGCAGGCGCTGCAGAGTGTGCAGCGGCGTCTCGTTGGACTCGAGTTTGTACTCCCTGATCATGCGCAGCAGCGTGTCGTTGCCCAGCCCCTCGTAGCCGTCGGGGTTGTTGGTCAGGTATGCGAGGAACGGCCAGGACTCGTAGTAGTTGGCGGACCCGCCCGGGGTGCCGTCGACGAGCACTTGGTGCGAGTCGCCAATTACTTTCTGCAGCGCGATCATGCTGTCGCCCTCGGTGCCGTCCAGGCCGTGGGCGGCACGCGCTGCGTTGCAGACAGGCGTGGAGACGTACGTGTCTGCGATGAAGTTTGCGATTGGCTCCCACCAAGCGCCGGTGTTGACTTGACTAATCCAGTTCTTCTCGCTCAGATGCATCGAGTGCCCGTACTCATGCACGACGACGGCAGGCACATCGAGATACTCATCGACAATGTCAAGATACGCAAGACCAGCAGCCATGTCGGTGCCCTGGACGCCTGCAGCGCCGGGCATGTCAGAGCTCTGTTTGGAGTAGACGTTCAGCTTGTACCAAGGGCCGACTTCCTTGCCGATGCCGCCCGTGTTGAAGGACAGGCCAGACGTGCGCCATCCGAGGGTTTCGACGAAGCAGGCGTGTGCTGCTTCGAGGTGCTGGAGCGATTTGTTTGCTTTGGTCGAGGTGGATGCACCGAGGACGCGGAAGTGGGCTGACTCGACGAAATCCGAGCCGCCGCCGCCGATGCTGGGGTTGGCGGTGTACTCGGCAGGTGCTGCAGCGTCGGCGCGGATGATTCGGGTAGCGGCTGCAGCGGACGAGACGATGGGGTCGGATGGCAAAGTGGGCAGGCAGGGGCTCGGCGTCGGGACGTCAGAAGGCTTGGGGCACGCATGTGGAGCGGCGGAAGCAAGGACAGCGCACTGCGCGAGAAGAAGAAAAAGGACCTGTCTTCTAGCCATATTGAAAGCAACGAATGTGAAGACGAACGAAAGAGAGGTAGTGAGCGTGGTGGACGGTCAGCATCTCGTGGGCAGGTGCAGCGCCTTATAATCTGGAAGGCTGTTTCTCGGAGACGCCTTCATCATGGGCATGCGATGCGCCCAGACGTTCATTACAATGCCGTATTCTTGAAAGTGGGCAGCTGTCGAGTGTCGATGGCGGAGGCTTGGCAGCGGTGGTTTAGAAACCCACTAACAGGCCGTTGAAACATGGCTTGGCGTTTTGTGAGGTAAACGAAACGGGCTGTAATGAGACAGGACGGCCCATGCGTAGAGTCGGGAGCATGGATATTGGGAGTCGTCCAGTGGTAAGCGGCGGGGGTGAAAAGGTGAAGTGCGGAATGACATTCTAGTTGATGCACATAAAGTAGAGTACCTAAACTCTGTGTACCTCGAGAACGAGAGGCTCGTGCTTTGGCGCAGCTCCTGTGTAGAAGAAGAGCCGGACGCAAGTCACGCCGAGATTCTTGAAGATGTGGGAGGCTGGCGTCTTCTCCTGTGAGCATGGCACATTCTCCCGTGAGCATGGCACATTCTCCTGTGAGCATGGCACATTCTCCTGTAAGCATGGCGTGGTGAGGTAGGACGGCATTGTTCCTGCTTGTAGCAACCATTTACGAGGGCTGAAATCTATGATACATACCACGAGGGCGACGCAGCCTCTCTTCATACGCCATGCAAACGCCGTGCTGTACAGGCAAGCCTGTGGACAGAGAGAAAAGGATTACAGCTTGGCTCTTGGTTCAGCTGCTGTACGGGCTGGCCTGTGGACAGAGAAAAGGAGATTACAGCTTGGCTCTCGGTTCAGCTGCTGATGCACTGGCTTCCTGGTTCAGTGTGACCTTGCCGTCGGCGGCGCCTTGGCCAAAGAAGATGACCTCGACAGTCAAGTCGTCCCTGGATACATTAGCGTCCTGGCTTTCTCAAGAGCCGTGACGAGCACAACGTACCTGTAGCGCCTCGAAAAGGGACTCGGCAGAGTGAGCAGAGCACTGAGCTGGTCCTGGTCCTTTCCTCCGAGAGCGTTGCGGACGAGATGGGTTGCAACGTTCTTGTCCTCGACGACGAAGCGCTCGTTCAGGTTGGTCTTGGTGCCCCACTGCTGCTGGCGGATGGGGGCACGCTGGCCGGCACCGGCGCCGTTGTCCTTTTGGTCAATGGGAAGCTGCTTCTCCGACGACCACCAGCTCTTGAGCCACGACTGCGCCTGGGGGCTCGGGCCGGTCACGCTGGCTTGCGTGTCGAGCCACTGCCCGACGAGGCCAACGACTTCCTCGTTGGTGAGCATCTCCCACAGTCCGTCCGTGGCCATGACGACGAAGTCGCCCTTGTCAGGGTCGACCTTTGTGGTGGTGACAATGGGCTCGGCAGTGACGTAGGGAGGCGTCTTCAGGAGCGCTGACGGGGAGCGAGCAAAGTACGACTTCTTCAGCTCGGCGTTGGTCTCGAGGGACCACTTGTACGAAGCATCGCCAAACGCACGAGAGGGCTCCAGCCCGCCAAGCACGCGGCCGTTCCTCACGACGTTGGGCTCGCCGGGGTGTTCTCTGCGGAGTCGCTCGGCCTCGGTGGTGGTGCCGCCGGTCTGGTCTTCGGAGAGAGGGGTGGCGGTCCACTTGCCGTTGGCAGCTCGACGGCCCAGCACGGCGCGAGAGTCGCCGGTGCAGGCCACACGGAGGAGCTTCGAGCGGCTGTCGTAGAAGGAGAGCAGGGCGCAGGAGCCGGAGAGGGCCGGGGCCAGCAGCTCGGCGGCAGCGATCTTGGTCTTTGCCTGCTTGACCTTCTTGACCGACTCGTGGACGATTTCGTTGTCGAGGAGCACGAAGCCGCTCTTGATGGCCTTGTCAATGGACGCTGGGGTCGGGAGGCGCTGGGCGGGGTCGGCGAGCGCGGCCTTGTAGGTGGTGTTGAGCTCGCGCGCGACGTAGGAGATGAGCGTCTGGCGCAGTTTGGCCGACGTGACCCAGCCGCTGGAAGGTGGCTTGTTAGCTTGTGGTGCAGCGGGCGGGGGAGGCAGCCACGTACCTGTGTCCGTCGAAGACGCCCCAGAACATCCAGTCCGTGGCCGGGGCGCCGTCGTCGGTGGCCGCCAGGGTGGAGGGCACCTCGATGATCTTCTCGGCGTGGTCGTCTTCGATGGGGTCGTTGCTGGGGACTGTCGGGGTGAGTTAGCATGGTCGTGTTGGGGAGAGACAGATGACAGGAGACGGTCGAGAGACACAAGACAGGAGACGGTCGAGAGACACGAGACAGGAGACGGTCGAGAGACACGAGACAGGAAACGATTGAGAGACAGATGACAGGAAACGATTGAGAGACACAAGACAGGAGACGGTCGAGAGACAGATGACAGAAGACGGTCGAGAGACACAAGACAGGAAACGGTCGAGAGACACGAGACAGGAAACGATCGAGGAGAGAAACAAGACAGGAAATGGTCGAGGAGAGACACAAGACAGGAAACGGTCGAGAGAAACAAGACAGGAAACGGTCGAGAGAAACAAGACGTACGCTGCACCACGTCGTAGCGCACGACGCCGGCGCCGCGGCCGACGAGCCACGACTCCTCGTTCTTGCGCAGCTTGGCCGTGGCCTGGTGCGGGTCCAGCATCTCGACGACGCGACGGCCGTACTCGTCCGTCTCCTTGGCGATGGGGCCCGACCCGGTAATGGTGCCCGTGAACAGCTCGCCCTGCCCGACGACGAGGGCCTTGCGCGTCGGCTCGCTGTCCGGCTGCGTGCTGAGGGCGGCCGCTTGCTGGGCGACGGGCGAGGCGGCCGCGCTGCGGGACTGGGTGCCGTTGTAAGCGTAGAAGGCCCCGGAGGCGACGGCGGCAGCTACCAGCGCGCCTGTGATGGCGCGGAATTGCATCGACGAGGTGAGGAGCGGCGCCGATGGTCGCGCGCGTCCGCTGTGGTGGCCGAGGCTGCCGTGGGCTGGCCCGATGCCCGGCGCCGCGAACGCGAACGCGACACGGCTGCGGGCGAACCGGCGCAGACAGGGACGACGGACGGAGCGCGCTGCTTGGAGGGCCGCCCGACGCATTGGGGCAGGCACGGGACAGGCACGGAGGAGGTGAGCGGGAGTTTGCAGGGTTGGACGCCGCGAGGGAGGTTGACCGCCGCGCTCGCCGCTGAACACTACTGGTACCGTGTCCGTGCACCAAACGCCCGGAGTCACCGCGTAACATCTAACGTACCTCACGGGCGAGTGGCCGGCCCGGGCGAGTGACGGGATTTTGCCAAGACCACACCAAACTTCACTTTCTCTTGCATGTTACAGTAAGTTGCAGCAACGTACTGTAACATACGGTATACAGCACTAATCTACAGCATCTTCTGACCCGTGACACCAAGGCATGTAGCAAAGCCACCTCTGACCTGTGCCTTGTAACAATGTCAGTACTGTTCCGGCGCGGGCTCACCATCAGTGTGAGCCGTGATACCTTTTGGCTTGCTAGCCTTGGCGGCCGGAGCTGAGGGTTGACAACAGCCACAGGTCACACCTTACTATAGAGTTGATTAACTACTGTAATTAGAACAAGATTCGCCTAGCTGCTCTCCCTCCTCACGTAACCTACACGCTTTAGCCACTTGATGTGGTAATGTTTAAGCCACTGTTGACAGCACAACGTACTCCATCACCGAGCCGGTCAAAATCTGCCGAGACCAACACAACTCCGCACTTCACAGCATGTCTCAGCAACATCACGACTTATTGCTTCAACACAAAGGGAGCCTGCAGCTTGCTCTCTAGGCCTATAATACTGGACAGTTTCAGAGCCATTGGGCTGCTGCTGCTGCTGCTGCATTCAACGTCAACTAACGCAGGCTCTCTGAACGCGCCAGCAATACTCCATTTTAACTTCAAGTAGACGCAAACTGCCAGAAGCTCACTACTGTCAGGCTGGGCATGTGGCAAAGCCACCTCTGACCTGTGTCTTGTAACGATATCAGTACTGTTCCGGCACGGGCTCACCATCAGTGTGAGCCATGTTACCTTTTGGTTTGCTTGTCTCACTGGCCGGAGCTGAGGCTTGACAACTACAACTGAAGAGCAAACAATTATTTAATCCTCAATTTGCAAGGACTTGCGCCTTAGCTGTGTGAGGTGGCAGATATAGCTGATAGACTGTTAGGTGTGCGTAATAGGGAGCCTGTCAGTAAACTCTAGGCTACAAAATTTGTAATAGTTATATTTAGATTAGCTTAAGATGGTGTTTAACTGAGCAAAGGATATACAGAGGATACTGCAGGAAGATCCCAAGGTAATTAACACGTAGTTTATGCTAGGCTGGCGGATGGGTAGGGTAGGGTAGGGTATAGGTATAGTCACGTGATTTATGGGTAGGAACTAGGTAGGGTACATGAGGTACCCTACCCAAACCGTTTGGGTAGGGTAGCACGTGACTGGGTATAGGTATAGGTAGGGTAGCACGTGACTAGGTATAGGTATAGGTAGGGTAGCTAGGTAGGGTCTAGGAATGGGTAGTTATTAGCAAAATCTAGGTTACTACTCTAGACTTTGTACTATTGTATACTTTAGAGCATAAGTATGTGATAATAGACTGTGATAATAAATTATAGATGCTTTTTCTTCTAAGTATTGTGTATGCGAAAGAATCTACTAGTACAACCTAGGGTTAGTTGTATACAAACTAGGTTAGTAATATACCCAAACCAAACCTATACCTAGCACGTGCTACCCTACCTATACCTATACCCAGTCACGTGCTACCCTACCCTACCTATGGTCCGTGCAACCCTACCCTACCTATACCTATGGTCCGTGCGACCCTACCCTACCTATACCTACGTCCGTGCGACCTATACCCTACCTATACCCTACCCTAGGTACATGGTACCCATCCGCCAGTCTAGTTTATGCTAGTAGAGGGTACTAAGGCTAAGTATAGCATCTACAACAACTGTAACGATCTAGACTCTAAACCTAAAGAAGAGCTAGAGCTGGCCGGTTACATTAGCTTAGCCAGCTTGGCTTAAGCTAGATATATATCATCTACGCAGTCAACTAGACGTCTGGTTAACTTGTGTAGGCTGGCGGAATGGGTATACTCCAACGTCCTTCGTGGGTACCCCCCAAAACCTTATCAATAATACATGGATTCTAGCGAACTAGGGCTGAAAAGAAAGAGAAAAACCACCTCTACATTTTTGTAGTAGAAGGTTTTGTTATAACTATTAAACTGCACAAGCTAGAGGCTAGAAAATGTCAAAAAAGGGGGGGTACCTAGCAAGCATACCTATTAATAGGTATACTTTGCTAGGTAGTGTTAATAACTTAGCTAATACTAGGCGGAATCAGCTAATTCTTTTTTTATTAGAAGGCGCAATACTAGGCGCTTCTATCGAATAATAGATTATGTAAGCGTATCTCTGCTAGTTAAGAAGCTATAAGCCAAAACGTAAAAAAGCATACCCTACCCATCCGCCAGCCTAAACTTGTGCATGCTTTTTAGCAAAAGTTGTTAGGAAGTAGTTATCCTTTATTGGCCTTTGGCCAGACTACTGCATCTTAATCCAGAACTTAATCCTCCACGATAAGAATAAGGGCCTTAAAGGGGCTCTTAAGACTTAGAAGAAGCATAAGAAGAAGAGCAAGGCACTTGCACTTCAGCTTAAACAGGAGGACTATTATAGTGGAGCAGTATTCTAGTGGAGCAGTATTCTAGTGGAGCAGTATTCTACTCTCCTCACAGAGTTAAGAGAGCACGCGACTATAAGAGGACTAGACAACAAGAACAGGAGGCAGAGGAGTCTAAAAAAAGCAGAGGTAGCTAGGTCAAGGCACGCTAATAAGCTATACAATGAGAGGATCACTCATAAGAAGCGTAAGAAGCAGGTAAAGGAGAAGGCAGAGCAAGACCAAGTCAAAGCAAAGCAGGCCAAGGAAGTAGCTGAACGTAAGGCTTAAAGAGAGCATAAAAAAGAAGCTAACAACGCTAAAAAAAATTAGCTGTACAATTGTCCCAAAGAGGCAAGTGGAAGGCTTCACAGTCTGCAGCACCTAGAAAGAAGCATGATTGTGGTGCAGCAGCTACGCAGCGTGGTGTTGCTACTGCAGCACCTGCCCCAGCACCTCGCACTCACACCACTCGCAGCTGCAGAACAGCAACTGTATATAACCGACATGCATACAAGAATATTATCGCATAGGCCTATGGAGCACTCCGCCAAGATATCTCGTGATAACAGCTATTGTGGGTGGTTCTACAGCCTCACTTTTGCAAGTGCGCGTTGGGGTGGTTCGGCGCATCGCGCGCACGGACACGGTACATAAGCGATCCATCGCGAACACGACGTCATCTGCCACGCACAAGTCTCTCGAGTTTCAGTGAGGCAACAACAACAACAATACCAGCAACAATACCAACACTCGCCATGTCGTCGCGCGCGCTGAGACGGGCGCAAAAGGAGCAGGAAGAGAGGGAGCTGCAGGAGAAGCTCGCGCAGCGGAAACAGCAAGAGGACGAGGATGAGGACGAGGACGAGGACGGGTCAGAAGACGAGATTGCGCCACAGCCACAGCCACAGCCAAAACCGAGTCTCTTTGCCATGCTGGGAGACGCCGCCGCCGACGAGGATGAGGACGAGGACGAGGACGAGCAAGATGAGCCCGCCGTCGCAAGCACGCCAACGCCAGCGCCAGCGCCAAACCCCTCCAAGAAGACCAAAAAGAAGAAGAAGAAGAAGAAGAAGAAGGACAAGATCCACAGCAAGACGGCCACCCCGCAAGGGGACGCCGCAGACTCTGGACTCGACGAGATCGACCAGGCTCTGCTTGCCCTCAAGCTCACCTCCGCCGGAAAGAAGGGCACCGACGACCCTCTCGCGCCCGTCGTCAGTGAAGAAGCCCAGCAGCTCTTCTCCGCCCTCAGCATAGACACCGCCCACCTACACGCCGCCAACGAGATGAAGAGGCTCTTCGGCAGGACCGCCCTGCAGCACGCTGACGACGACGAGCCCCGCCCCCGCGGACCCCAGGGCATTGCCGCCCGCGTCAACGCCCGCAACCAACCCGGGACGCGCCTGGCCGGCCTCAGTCTGCGGCGCAACCTCTTCATCCAAGGCAACGAGGAGTGGCCCCGCGCGACCTCGGGCGGCTTGGGCATGGAGGTGGTCGAAAAGCACGACGTCGGCAGCATCGAGTACCGCTTCGTGCACAGCTCCGCCTACCAGGAAACACAGCGCCAGTTCCACGTCGCCGTCGCCAGCTACGACCCCGAGCGCATGGTGCAGCTCCTGCACGCGAACCCCTACCACATCTCGACGCTGCTGCAAGTCAGCGAAATCGCAAAGCAGCAGCGCGACAACGCCTCCGCCTCGGACCTGCTGGAACGCGCCCTCTTCACCTTCGGCCGCAGCGTGCACTCGACATTCGCCGCCTCGCTGGCCGCAGGCAAGGCGCGCCTCTCGTTCCGCCGCCCGGAGAACCGCGAGTTCTTCCTCGCGGTATGGCGCTATATCGCGACCCTCTGCGTGCGCGCCACGTTCCGCACCGCGCTGGAGTGGGCGCGGCTGCTGCTCTCGCTCTCGCCCGAAGAAGACCCCTACTGCGTGCGGCTGCTGGTCGACCAGCTGGCCCTGCGCGGGCGCAGCCCGGAATCCCTGCTCGCCATCTCGACCTGCGATGTCCTGGAGCGCGCGTGGAAGGTCCCGCCGAACATGGCCTTCTCCGTCGCGCTCGCACACGTGCGCCTCAAGGACCCCGTCAAGGCGCGCTCGAGCCTCAGGAACGCAGTCCGCGAATACCCCTGGCTGGCCGCCCGTCTGTGCAAAGAGCTCGACATCGCCCCCATCCCGAAACCCGTCTGGGGCCTCGAGCCACACACGCCGCACCAAGAGCTGCTCACCCAGCTCTACGCCCCGCGCGCAAAGGACCTCTGGAACACAACCGAAGCCACCTCGCTGCTCGTCGAGATTATCCACACCTTCAACGATGAAGACCCGCTGCCCGACGCCGCAGCCCCGTACTGGCTCGCCCCGATCGACGACGTACATCTCGCGCGCCACATCATCCTAACCGACGACCCCAGCCTGCTCAGCCTGCTCGACCCCGCGCTCAAAGCGCTGTACACGAGCGTCTCAGACCCGCTGCCGCCCGCGGACAACACGCCCAGCTACGCCGCCTCGCCCGCCGCGAGCGCAGACGGAAACCAACTCCTCGCTGACCTTGAGCGCCTGCGCGCCTACTTCCAGTCCATCGACATCGAGGGCCTTGTTGATGCTGGCTTGGCCGAGGACAGCCTCGTTGCTGCGCTGCGCGACGCGGGGACGGGGCTCGATGAGTTTCGGAGGAATAGCGAGAGGTTCCAGGATGTTCGGAGGAGGCTGCGGGATGTGGGTGTGCATGTTGTGTTTGACGGTGAGGAGGAGGAGGGGAGGGGGAGGGGGGAGTAGGGATGGGCTGTTTGTGGGGGTTGGATGCGTACATTTGGTTTATGAATGTGTAGGTTGGGTTTACCATGTAGGTTGGGTTTACCATGTGGGTTGGGTTTACCATGTGGGTTGGGTTTACCATGTGGGTTGGGTTTACCATGTGGGTTGGGTTTACCATGTGGGTTGGGTTTACCATGTACGTCAGATTTACCATGTACGTTAGATTACCATGTACGTTAGATTACGACCATGTACATTACATTACGACCATGTACATTACATTACGACCATGTACATTAGATTTACGAAAGCTCCAAGCTATGGATGGATGACAGTGCTGTACTGTCATGACCACGCTGTAGTATACGCCAGATCCAAAGACGCCTTACTGCAACCACACCAGATTAGCGTGTACATGACCCATAGACATCTGACAACGCTGTCAATATACACCAGTCCCCACTCGCTCTCCACCCCTCCCATCACTCACCCCCCTTGCCGCACGCTCAGCACCCCCACATCCCCACTCGCGCGCTCCTCATACAGCCGCCGCAAATCCTCCACGCTCGTCTTCTTCACGTTCAGCCCCCGCGGCGCCAACCGCTCGCCCTGCACCGCCGGCTTGCGCGTCTGCTCGAGGCTGGGCATGCGCTTCAGCAGCGCCGGGCTGACGGTGCGCGGCCGCGGCCCAGACGCGACCGGAAGGGAGGTGGATTTGCTCGCCGGCCGGCCGGTCAACGGGTGCGTGGGCGTCGGGGTGGGGTGGACGGGGCGCGCGAGGGCTGTGAACTGGGGCGCGCGCGTGACGCCGGAGACGCTGCGTCTCCGCGTGTCTGCTGCAGAGATGCCGTCGGGGCTGTGCTCGCGTGCTACGTCGGACTTGTCTGCGTTGTCAACCTGCGCGGGGGTCAGGGCTTTCCTCTTAGCGAGCGTCATGTGAGGAGCAGGAGCAGGAGCAGGAGCAGAAGCAGGAGCAGAAGCAGGAGCAGGAGCAGAAGCAGGAGCGGGAGCGGGCGCAGCCGATAGAGGGGGCTTCGCGTCCTGTGCAAAACTCATACAAGCAAGGATGGGGACTTGAGCTGCCGTACCGCACTTGTCCTCGTCGGGGTATGCTGCCCTCTGCACTTGGCCAGACTCTCGTCGTCGCGGCGCGAAGCCGTCCGTGGTTGCTGCATATGTCGAGGGCGACTCGGCCACGTCGTTGGGCGCGTCTGAGACGACTGTCGAGTACCGCGGTGGCACTGCCAGCGGAGGTGCTGGTTTCCTGTGAACAGAGTCGCCCGAGGACTTGGCCGAGGGCACGCGAGACCGGGGAGGGAGGGGAGGCGGTTTTGTCGCCGACGACGTGGCTTGCGGGTAGTCGGTGTAGGGCTCGGGCGCCTTCTCGTTGTCGTGCAACGTGATGCCGCTCATCTGCTCGTCAATCGAGTCCCTGGCGTCGGCTGTCCTGACCTCGACTGGGTCCTCCCACTCGCTCATGTCGCTGGCCTGCTTGAGCTGGTCTCTGAAAGCGCCTGCTTCCTGGCCGCACGCCTCTCGTAGACCGTGGCCCCACAGGTCGACGGCACGGGTGAAGATCCTGCGGATGATGGAAGACATCTTGGCATCCTCAATCTGGTCCGGCCCACACAGGAGCGCCGGCGCAAAGCAGACAGCCAAGTTCTCGGCCGTCATCTTGTTCTGCTCCTGCCGCGACGACACCTCGTGCAGCAGTGGCAGCAAATGTCGCACTGCAATCTCCCTCGATATCGCGGGCAAGAACGACCACTCGGAGCTGGGCGAGAACAGGTCCCGCAGCTGGTCGAGATGCGGAATCTGCTGCGAATCGCCAAACAGCCGCTTCAAGTCTCTGTACGACTCTGGCGGGAAGACGGGCTGCCGCAGACCAGAGTACCAGGCCTTGATCAGCGCCGCGGCCATGAAGACCGAGTAGGCGTCCCGGGTGTCCACCTCGTCGATGATGTCGTCCTGGTGCTCGGCCTCGGGGTAGGGCGGCACGGGCAGCGCGACGCCGTTGTCTTTCCACACAATGTACTTTTGGCCGCGGTCGTAGGCCTCCTTGAGGACCTCGCGCAGCTTCGAGTGCGCGGGGATGCGGAACAGGCCCTCGGAGGTCACGTTCGCCTCCAGCAGCACGAAGCTGGTCGTCTCACGCAGCACCCGGGGGAAGCGCGTGGTGCCTCTGCTGGTGTACGGAAACGGGTTGCGCGCGGCAAAGGCGCGGCGGCCGGTGGCATACGGGACGAAGATGTCGTCGGCGATGCGGCGGTCGGTGAGGTAGGTCGAGGGCGGGATGAGGAGGTTCTCGATCGGGATGTGGAGCGCGAGCTGGGTCAGGCTGGAGGCGTGGTGGATCTTGCGCCGGAACTTGGGGCTGACAATGGTCGAGAAGACCTCGGTCAGGATGCGCACCCACGCCTTCTCGTGCACAATGTACAGGCGCTGCAGCCGCTTGCGCATGGCCCGCGACAGCACGTGGTACGCCTGCAGGAACCAGCCCCAGCCGGGCCGGTGCTTGCGCGCCGTGACCGAGCCATCGCCGTCGCCCGCGAAGAAGACGACCTCGTACTCGAAGCCCTTCAGCAGGTCGTCCTCCTCGGGCAGCCGCGCCAGCACGTACGGCAGCAGCTGGTCAAAGTCCGTGTCGTGCGTGTCCGGGAGCGCCGCCGCGTTGAGGATGAACACGGGGCGGCCTTCGCGGGAGGGGATTGGACTGCGGTAGAGAATGGAGGCAGCCGTCTTGGCCAGGTCGTCTGAGTAATCTGAGCTCTGTCGCGGTGGAGGGACCGCCGAGAGCGACGAGCTGCGAAGACGGTTGGCGAGGTGCGCACGCATGCCGTCCATGGCGGCGGATGGGGAGGAAGAGAGGGAGACGGCGGCCACGCACGAGTATGCGGAGCTGCGTACGGAGCCTGACACGTGCAGGGAGTCCGGAGGGGCCGCCGCTGCGCTCGTAAAAGATGACGTTGGTGTCTGGGGAACAGAGGAAGAGAGCCAGCCACGGCCAACGTCCGGCGCTTTAAGCCGCGGGAACGTGCGCGAGGCCTGCGACCGGTACCTTTGTATTTATAACGTGGCTGCGCTTGATTCGACTTCACCTTGCTTGTTTACTGGTTACACAATGTCCCAAAGCCTGTTCCCTGGCGGACGTCGCCCTGACCCTCGCTTGCAGCTTTCATCGTGAGAGGGGAGTCGTCATGTGAATTGGTGGAGCCTGACCGTGACACCGGCAATGCCTCTAGTCCTTGCTCGTGCCATGGTGCACGTGGGAAACAATTCTCCAATACGAGAACGTCGCCACAGCCTACGAACCGCCGTTGCGCCTGGGTCCTGCCACTAAGAGGGGTATCCAACGAATACGAGAAAAGCGCACGTCCGATTGTCCGAGAATACACGTTCGATAGCCCGAGAATACACACGTCCGATTGTCCGAAAATACACACGTCCGATTGTCCGAAAATACACACGTCCGATAGTCCGAGAATACACGTTCGATAGTCCGAGAATACACGTTCGATAGTCCGAGAACACACGTCGTCATCAACTCATCTGGCTCGAACTTGCACCTCCATTCTGCCACCAGGACGCATCGTCAAATCCTCCCTGGCCCTGGGGGTGCTGGCCACCGCTGTGGCTGCCGCGCTGGTACGATATGGGATACGGTCCACCGCCCTGACCAGCGTGCTCGTACCCACCTGGCGCACTGGCTCCAAACCCGCCAACGCCCGTCTGCTGCCAGTCTTCGTTGATCTTGAACCCGTCGCGCCCGATGCGTTCGCCCATGTCTCCCGCATGAAGGACGCTATCCAGGCCCATGGGACTCACCTGGCTGTAGCTGAGTCGTGGAAGGATGGGAGCCGGCATGCCAGCAATGGGCGTCCAGAACATGGCATCCGCAGCATCTGACGTCGCTGTGCTTGTCGTCGCTGCCGTCATCGAGGATATCGGCTGCGAGTACGTGTACGAGCCCATAGTCATACCTGCGCTGAACGGCGGCTGAGTGGGTGTCTGCGATGCTATCGGTGAGCTGTGATGCTGGCTAGGTACCACAGAGTTTGATCGTGGTGCAATGTGCGTGTTCACAGCGAGATTCCTGTTTGCAAACATCGACAAGCTGCCCCTCCTGTCGGGCTCAGGGACTTGAGAGTATCCACCGGTTCCCATGCGGTTGACGAGAGCAGCCGTGTTGGGAGCCACGAGAAGAGGGTCAGGGGGAGGGCTGATCGTCCCTGGCGGTCTGTCTGGATCGTGTCGAGGTACTAGCTTCGAGCTTCTCAGCTCTTCGGGGAATGGCAGATTCCAAGTCTTGGAGAGAGTGTGTATGATTCGGAAGCTTCTCGCTCCAAAGTAGTGACACTCGTGAAGGGCCTCGAGGCCTTGCAGCCCCTCGACAAGATTCTGACGCGATGTCGAATTGTCTTTTGAATAGAGAAGGTGCACGATCGAGACGGAAAGGAGGATATGCGGAATCGCGAGGTGTGCTGTGCGGAAATCGTACAGCTGACGGTACAATCGCGTGAGCTCGGAGACTTTGTTGGCTGCTTCGATGCACTTGTCCTTGGGGTGGACGTCCGAGTGTATCAAGTCAACCTTCAGCATCGGTCTGAAAAGGTGCACAATAACACACCAGTAGAGCATGCTATCAAAGGTCAGCTGTGGTCGCAACTCAAAGCATTGCACCTACTGCAGAGTGAGAATGTGAGGCTCAGGTTGTCGGCTACCCTCGATCCTCATAATCGTTGGTAACTTCCGGTACCATGCCTGGTACTTGTTGTACTGGTCTAGGAGTCTGGTGCTGGTGAGCCTCTCCTTTGGCGCAAAGAACATGTAGTTGTTGTCGTTGATGAGCTCTGAAAGCGCAGAGAACTCTTGCAAGAACATGCGTGTGGTAATGATTGTGGCTACGCCATAGTTGGCCGCAAGAGGTCCACTCGACTCCTCAATGATGGGCTTCTCAAGTGTGATGGCTGCTCGGGGCAGTTGGGCGATTCGACCGGCGCAAATGGACCATACTCTGTGCCGCATTAGCTTCCATTTGGAGATGCAGACCAAAACACTTACGAGTCGACCGTGAAACAGCCCCAGAAAGTGACTTTCCTGACTTCGACCTCGCTCGGGGTTAGGCCCAGGGCTGGGCTGGCGCTGTTGTTCAGGTGCAATCCCAGCTCAACACACATGCGTATGCACCTTCCAGCGTACCCAAATCCTGAGCTGTCTCGTCCAGTGCTGGGCTCGCGCATGGCCATGACGCACAGAGCTTGTGTGGTGGTGAGGCTGGGCAACTCGTCTTGTTGCAACAATCTCCTGGCCTCTGCGAAGAAGTGATCGCCCGCAGTGCGAAAGTTACTGGGATCTGTTCGCCCAGCAGGTTCGTCTGTCAGATGACATGCATAGGCGCAGATGGCGTTGACCAGCAAAGGTGAGCAGTACTTGTTGCGCCCCTCATGGAAGTCTTTGTAGAAGCTCTCGCGGCTGAAGATGATGTAAAAGGGGTGGCTCCATGTGAAGTAGAGAGTGAGTAGTCGGTTGACGAACGCTAGGTCGTCTGTGACAGTCGTCCAGGTAGTCCCTCGTCTCTGCACGTCGACGGTGTGCAGCCGAGCCAGGCCGCCGCCGTAGTCTTCATCTTCTGTTACCAATCCTAAGCTGGCTGAGTGGCCGAAGTGTCTGCTCTGGCCTGTTAGGGTGACTGCTGGTCTACCGAGAAGCACGCTGAGGTCTGATTCAAGGCTTTGCACGTCAAAAGGCAAAGATGGCTGGGGTAGCGCGACAGGGTTGCGCCATGAGTTCACCAGTGCGGACGCATCAGCTTTTGGGTCTTTGCGGATTTCCTGGATAAGATCGAGCACATGATCTTCTGGCAGGTTTCTAATGGAGTCGATGATGGAGTCGACAGTTAGCGCTTCTCCTGCGTGCGACGCGGTAGCGGCAGAGGCTTCACGCTTGGTGCCAGAGGCCGCGGACGATGACTTGGAACGCCGGCTCTCGCTCTCGGCATCGTATTGGCATGGAGTCTTGTAGACCGCTGTGCATGTTGCGCAGAACGGTGTCGCGCCGTCACACTGTAGAGCGGTCAGCACCTACCCGGACCGTTGTTTGAACACGAGAGTAGACCAGTCGGTCAAGTGTACCGGTACTCTGTGCAATCGAGCGCAGGAGCAGTCCGCGGAGGCGACTCTCGACATCAGCCCACCCCTTAGCCTGGACGTCTACAAATCAAATACGAACGCTCACTGACCTTTGATTTGCGTTTGCGACAGGGCACACATGCGGACTGCACACATCTTCTCTTGGATCCTTTGGACTCTCCCTGCTGGGCGTCCCCATCGTCGGGCTGCATGGCTGCAACGCCGCGAGCCATACTGCTAGAGTGTGCAACAAAAGGTAGGAAAGAACTCACGTGCCCAGGTGAGAGGCTTCAAGTTCTGGACATGCTATGTCTGGGGCTGGTGGGTTTGCAACGAAGATTAGCCACTGTTCGCCTGTACGAACAGGACTCGGTGTCGGTAGATGTGACGCGCGACTAGCCCTGCTTCGAACTTCGAATCAACGCGCCTCTGCCTTAGCTCTTCGTTCCCAGCAACCAAGTAACGAACAGACTCGACACCGGTGGCGGAAGTGTCCCGCAGATGCGAGACGGGCAGGGTGCTGCAGCTGGCTCGTATAGTCTGCGGGCGAACTACTCAGGCTCGCATCTGGGTGGTGCTCGGTGAAGTTTGCCGCGCGTGGGCAGGGTGCAAGCTCGGCTAATGCCGTTTGGGCACTGGGGGACCGCAATCTGTTATCGGAATTCGTATCGAAATTGAAGGAATCCCATGTTTTAGCCGAGCGGCACGCACCATAGACTGCACCTTCTGTTTGGGCCCAGACAAATCGATCCCAGGGTCGAGTGGAGGCTCTGTCGGCAACACCGAGGCAGGCTCTGGAGTTTTCGGTCTGCTGCCATCTAGATGTTATTGCCGTGCCCTAGAGCGGTCCGCCTAGGTAGCTCTTACGACAACCTAAGAGCAAACATCGCAGTAGTGGCGAACTGCTGATACGCTGCTTGCCGAGCAACTGCTATGCCTGCCTCACGCAGCAAAGATATGCTGGTTGTTGATGCATCGCCGATGCCAACACAAGAGATGAGCTTGGATGAGCGCATGGTGGGGTTTAGAATGAACGATGCGCTGACAGATCCTTGACCCTCTACGACAACGCGCATGCGAGAGCCCTGGAGGCGGCAGTGATCTCCAGAACCCCTGGCCGAAGATGCCGGTGGGTAGAAGGGCTGGCTTTAGCCTGGCCTCGGACATTTTCCAGCACTGTGGCTCTGGAGGCATCAGCCATGCTGGACGTTAAAGCCGCACCCGCTCAGGCTGTCTGTTAGCGGCACGCCGGCTGAGTGTTAGTCGTTAGGTTTGTTCTTGATGTCGCAGCCGCGTGCCGATGGCCTGCGGCGAACCGCGACCTTCTGAACAATTCTTCACTCTAGGCTTGTGCTCACTCACGCTGTCTACTCGGCGACGATCTGTTGTAGTCGTATGAAATGATCAGGCGGCTACATCACCGCGGTATTGCGGTCCTCTGCCATCTGGTTCTCACTTGGAATCTTGATGTCTGTGTGAGGATGTTGAAATCAACAATCCGAATTTCTAAATACACCATTCTAGCAAAAGGGCCGAAGACTAATCACCCGCGTTCTAGGCACGAGCATCGTAACAGGAACTCCTTCGAACATCTAGAATGTCAACACAGGCAAGCATCGACCGCACGTCTTTCATGTCGGGGTATCTTGCAGGTATTAACTAACGGTATACGGTGCAAATAAATGGATTGGTGGATATCATCTCCACCAGATCAAGGTCTATGTATGTATGAGAATTGAATGGAAGATGCTAGATGTTACAACGACTCTGCAAGTCTACTTCTGCACGGGTACGACACCCTCGCGGATCGGCAACAGGCTCCTGGCACCTGCTCTCGCCTGCTGTGCCAGAACTGCATCCATGATGACCAACGCAGCCATAGTCTCAACAATGGGCACCGCGCGAGGCACCACACACGGATCGTGCCGGCCCTTGGCTTCGAGAACACCCTCCGCCTCGTCGTAGGTTGCGGTCGCTTGGGCCTGGCCAATGGTGGCCGGGGGCTTGAAAGCCACATTGAAGTAGACCGGCGCGCCGTTTGTGATACCACCCTGGATACCACCAGAATTGTTGGTCCTGGTGGTGAGTCTTGGTCGCGGGTAGTTTGAGCCGCCGTTAGCACCTGCGGGAACGGCGGGTGCCTTGATAAAAGCGTCGTTGTGGATGGACCCGGGTACCTGGGCACCGCCGAAGCCAGATCCAATCTCGAAACCCTTGGTAGCTGGGATGGAAAGCATAGCGTGCGCAAGCTTGGCCTCGAGCTTGTCGAAGCACGGCTCACCCAGACCGGTAGGACAGTTGCGGATGACACATGTCACTGTGCCACCAATGCTGTCTTCCTTCTCCTTGTACTCTCCAATGAGCTCCTCCATGCGCTGATTGCTCCCCTCGTGTGGGCATCGCACGGGCAAGAAAGAGTCGACAGTCTTGCGGTCAATCGTGTCGATCATCTTCAAGTACTCAGGGTTGGTGGAGGCGGTTGGGTGGGTCGGTGTGGGAGGGAAGAGGAACACGTTGCCAACGGAGGCTGTGAAAGCAACGATCTCGATGCCGTAGGCTTCGCGCAGGTACTTCTCTGCGATCGCGCCAGCAGCGACGCGCCCTGTATGATATTAGGCGCTGGCTGAGAGGATAAGGCGGCACGCAACTCACCAATGGTCTCACGTGCACTACTCCTTCCACCACCAGAGCTGGCCTTGACACCGTACTTCTCGAGGTAGGTCCAGTCTGCGTGACTCGGCCTGGGGTACATATCCATGGTCTTGTTGCCGTAGTCCTTGGGGCGCTGATTCTCGTTCATGACCCTGATGCCAATAGGTGTGCCCAGTGTGAGACCGAACTCAGTACCGGACTGGATCTCAACCTTGTCCTTCTCATTTCGCGGCGTTGTGATCGCGGACTGTCCGGGACGGCGGCGTGTCATCTGGGGCTGGATATCGGCCTCGGTGAGCTGCATACCAGGAGGGCAGCCGTCGATGATGGCGCCAACGCTGAGGCAGTGGGACTCACCATAGCTGGGACGGTGTCAGGAATCATACATCTAATTTCTAGCCAGGGCAGACGTACGTGGTGACCTTGAAGTGCTGGCCGAAGGTCGACATGATTGCGGCGTGGTGGGGTTGCGATTGTACGGGCAAGGGATATGCAATTGCTCTCTATGGGAGAGAGAACAGTCAGACTCCTACGTGAGCTGCGAGCTCAAGTAGTGACGTATGTGAGGAAAAGTCTTGATTGACGTTGCTATTATGACCGATGTTGGAGTCACGTCTCGAAATTAATTTGACGCGGGGAGATCTCAAACCGTCATGATCCGCTCCCGGAGTCAGTCCGCTAGCGCGTAAGGCTGAAGGCATCATCGCCCATTTGGACGAAAGCATATCCACATCAAATGGCGACTCGTGAGATGTGATGTTGTCTGGTCTTTGAAAAACTGTAAGAGAAGCTTGTGTAGTGTATGTGATTTGGTGCTCGAAGAGCATAGCTGCACTGGAGCTGCATCAAAGCCACTTCAACATGCATCAAGCAGAGACATGAGTCCAACGAGCTTAAGATGCACCGGGGCACCCAGCCCTACTCTGCGCTCTCATCGCAACAGTGGCTGCGAAGACTGCGTTGTGCCTCATGCTGTAGGTGACTAGTATTTGTAGAACAGGAGAGGCTCAGGCCTGGACCAGAGCACCGCGGGTCGCCAGGACTCACGCACTTGATATGTATCTATACCGCAACCTACAGGTCCTTATGAGGAGAGGACTTGAATCCTGAAAGCCAAGTCTAGCTCAAATCAACCCAAAGACGTTGCATTGAAACCAAGCTAAAGCGCAAAGGCGCCCACGGGTGATTGCAACCGAGACGGTGAGTCGCGTAGTCTTGTCGTCGCATGGCGTCTGGTCACGCGGTGGTCGCCCATTGTATGAAGGTTGGCGATGTCATGCATGTCGACCAGCGGTCCTGGCAATGAAGGGTCAACGCACCCATGGTTGACAGTGCGTGCTGGCAGAAGTGACAAATGGAGTCTCCTCTGGACAAATAGCAGACGCGAAAAGTGTGACTTCTGCAGCAACGTCAAACAACGACACCAGAACGCGAGACTATAGCGTCTGGGATAATGAGGGGATCGTGATGAGGGCACGTTGTGTCGGCAATTGGGCGAGCACGTTCGGCCTAACCCGTCTAGCGTCGCTGCGGACCCTGAGCTCACCATCTGCGGTGTTTTCGTTCGTCGCAAACTTTCCCTCTCGACCGCTATCACCACATCCTCGCATCCTCTCTTACCCCATACACACCTCCATCATCACCCACCATGACTGAATACGTAAAGATCGAGAAGATTGTCCCCAAGTTCCCGCCGCCGGCGTTCGGGGACATTGCCAAGGCATCGAACGACGTATGTTTGGGCTGCCCATCTCAAGCTTTGGGGTGACGCGATCGCTGACTTGCGCCCGTGTAGCTTATCAACAAGGACTTCTACCACACTGCCGCAGGTCGGAAGAATTAATTGAGCTCTAGCGGCGCGCGCTGACCTCTCTCTAGCTGCCCTTGAGGTCAAGCTCAAGGCTCCCAACGGTGTCAACTTCACCGCCAAGGGCGTCTCCCCCCACTCTGGCCCCGTCGCCTCTTCCGTAAGCTCAATCGCATACAGCAGACAAAATACAGAAAGCTAACAGAACAAACAGCTCGAGGGCAAGAAGGCTCTTTCCAACGGTACAGCATCCACTTCTTTCAAACCCCAATCACTATCACTATTCATCCAAGCACACAACACCAACAAGCTGAACGTCAGCATTTTTCACCTCTCTCAACCCCCGGGCGGCAAAAGCTTCGCCACTGGTTATAATATCACTTCGCTGACGACAAAACGCCCAGGCATTAGCATCACCCAGTCCTGGAACACCGCCAATGTTCTCGCTACCAAGGTCGAGCTCAACGACACCTTTGCCTCCGGCCTAAAGACCGAGGTCCTCTCCAACTTCAGCCCCGCTGCTGGAAACAAGGGCCAGAAGGTCAACTTCCACTTCAAGCAGCCCAACTTCCACGGCCGCGTCTTCGCTGACTACTCCGCCGCTGGTGCCATTGGCGCTGTTGCCGATGCCGTCGTTTCCCACGAAGGCTTCGTTGTCGGTGGTGAGGTCGGCTACGATGTCCAGAAGGCTACCATCACCAAGTACAGCGCCGCTGTCGGTTACACCACCCCTCTGTACAACGCCGCCATCACTGCCACCAACTCCCTGAGCGTCTTCTCCGCCGCCTACTACCAGAAGGTCAACCCTGCTGTTGAGGCCGGTGCCAAGGCCACATGGGACTCCAAGTCCGGCTCCAACGTCGGTCTTGAGCTCGCTGCCAAGTACAAGCTTGACCCCGCCTCTTTCGCTAAGGTGCGTAGTAAGAAGGGTACGCGACATGACATGCGCTGACAATGCACAGGCCAAGATCAACAACCTCGGCATTGCTTCCCTCGCCTACAACACCAAGGTTAACAGCGGTCTGACCTTCGGCATCGGTGGCTCTTTCGATACCCAGAAGCTCAACGAGGCCGGCCACAAGCTCGGCACCAGCTTCACCTTCGAGGGTTAAGCGGACGATGCGTGTATAGTAGGGCGGGAAGATGGTGATCGTTTTAGACTCCCTTTGGTTTCGTAGCGAAGCGCCTAGTCTGCGATGCAGTGAGCGACTGTAGTATGGCTTTCTGGCATGTACAAGATTGTCTCAATGCGAAATTTGGAAAACCGTCTTGGATTGCCCTTGTGTTGAGGGCAGGTCTATGACATAGCTTTGTGCCTGGCGGCCTCCTGCTTGTCGTTTGCTACTTTAAGGCCTGCACCTATGGAGGCAATGATGCTTGCAACAACCAGAAATCTAGTCAAGTGGGAACCACCTCTAGCATATTCTTGGTCTCTCCGGTACAGCATCGACCGCCGCCGCCTCTTCAGTATGTGCTCAGTGACCTTTTCGTGGGCCTGCTTGTGCCGGACATCGTCGAAGTGGGGTACTCCTGACCCTTGACGCTGCTGTCCAGGCCCATAGCCACCTTGTTCGCCGTAGCCCTCGGGACCAGCTTCCTGGCCGTCAGGATTCGGGTTGTGTTGGGCGTACTCGGCTCTCTTCGCGCCGTGCCTTCCGTAGCCACCGCTGTTGTAGAAACTCGGCGGCGGCCCGCGAAAGGTGCCTCTCTTCTTGTTCAGGCCAGTGGCCGGCCTGGACCCAGCGTAGCTCGACGAGCTATAGCTGCCGGGAGGGTGTCCGCCACCTGCGCCCCGTCCCCATCCAGACCTACGCTCCTGCTGATGCAATTGCGCATCGTACTGAGCGCGCTTCTCGGGCACAGACAGGGTGTGGTAGGCCTCGCTGATGGCCACGAAGCGCGTCGAAGCGGCAGGATCGTCCTTGTTGTGGTCTGGATGGTTCTTCTTAGACAGCGCGTAGAACTGCCGCTTGATCTCCTTTGCGTCGGCGCTGGGTGCGACTTGCAGCGTTTCGTAGTGGTTCGGCGCGCTGTCGGAGAGACGGGGCGCTGTCGCGTGGACGAATCGAGGGCGTTGCGAGACGACGGGCCGCTGGAGGCATGTCTGACATGTCCATTGGGCGCGCGCCAGCGGCCGGGCGAAGAGGGCCGCGCGGGGTGGCATTGCCCGTTTCTCAGCGAGAGCGTGTTGGGGGGAGAGTGAATTGCTGTCGCTGATGTCACCACTGGAGCGTCCAAACGCAGGGCAGGTAAAGCCGAGCGAGCGCCGTCGTCGTCGTCCCGTCGCCGCAGAACAGAGCCGAGGGCCCGCTTCACAAAATCCCCGCCGTGCGCACACGTTCGACAGATACACATCACATGATGGCGGCGCAGGTAGAAAGCGGTGTCGCCGACTTGAAGTGTATGTGTGCGCGCCTCCACAAGGGAGGCGGGACTAACAACGCGCAGTGGACGACTCCAAGCCTGCGAACGGCGCAGCGCAGAACGCCGAGAAGAAGGCGGAGGGCGCGGAGCACGACGACTCGGACGACGACAACGAGGCCGACGAGGGCGCTGTCGAGGGCGCTGCAAAAAAGAAGAAGAAGAGAAAGCCCCGGAAGAAGAAGAAGGCCGGGGCTGCGGGCGCTGCTGGCGCGAAGACCCAGACGTCCCCTCCCCGCGTGCCCCTCTCCGATCTGTACCCCAACAACGACTACCCCGAGGGCGAGATCTGCGAGTATCTCGATGAGAACAGCTACCGCACCACGAGCGAGGAGAAGCGCCACCTCGACCGCCTGAACAACGACTTCCTGACCGACTACCGCAAGGGCGCCGAGATCCACCGTCAGGTCAGGCAATGGGCGCAGAACTGGATCAAGCCCGGCATGGGCCTGACAGAGATTGCCGAGGGCATCGAGGACTCTGTGCGCCACCTCACCGGCCACATGGGTCTCGAGATGGGCGACGCGCAGATCGCAGGAATGGGCTTCCCCACTGGCCTCAGCATCAACCACTGCGCAGCGCACTACACCCCCAACGCCGGCAACAAGATGGTCGTCAACTACGAGGATGTCATGAAGGTCGACTTTGGTGTCCACATCAACGGCCGCATCGTCGACAGCGCCTTCACCGTCACCTTTGATCCCGTGTACGACAACCTCGTCGAGGCGTGTAAAGCCGCCACCAACGCCGGTATCAAGGAAGCCGGTATCGACGTGCGCATGAGCGACATCGGTGCCGCGATCCAGGAAGTCATGGAGAGCTACGAGGTCGAGATCAAGGGCCAGATGCTGCCTGTCAAGTGTATCCGCAACCTCAACGGACACAGCATCGGCCACTACACCATCCACGGCGGCAAGACGGTGCCAATCGTCAAGAGCAACGATCAGACCAAGATGGAGGAGGGCGAGACGTACGCCGTCGAGACATTCGGTTCCACGGGCAAGGGCTACGTCCGTGATGATATGGAGACAAGCCACTACGCGCTGAAGCCTGATGCGCCCAAGGTCGCGCTCAGAGTCAGCAGTGCGAAGACGCTGCTCAACTCGATTACCAAGAACTTTGGTACACTTCCGTGGTGCAGGCGTTACTTGGATCGTCTCGGTCATGACAAGTATCTTCTGGGCTTGAACAACCTCGTCTCGGCTGGTATTGTGGAGGCGTACCCGCCGCTGTGCGATATCAAGGGCAGCTACACAGCACAGAGCGAGCATGTAAGTCGTGATCATTTCTGTGCGGTTTGGCCAATGCTAATCAAGTATAGACTTTTATCCTTCGACCAAACGTCAAGGAGGTCGTCAGTCGCGGCGACGACTACTAGACTCCAAGACCAACAGCGTGCTTCCTGAAAACGACCAGACTGCACCACCAGCTCAAGCACGGGAATAACAGGTGGCACCACGAAGTCACGACAAAACAGCATAGAACAAAATCAACGCACCTTCACACAGAGCAATCACGCTTGCCACATGTCGTTCAGTCCCTTCAAATGAGAAGTTTATGCTGATGCCAACCCTGTCGCTGGGAGCACCTGCCTACAGCCTTGCTTACATATCTCAAGTGCATCCACGCTTTCGTGCAACGCCACGACACCACTCCACTGACTCTCTTCGCAACCAATCTGCAGATTTCGTGTATCCTGGTGCCAGCTGACCAACGCAGCACGAACAGCGACCATCGGAAACACCGCTCGACAGCCTCAGATCCTTGACACACGAGCCCCAATCCAACAAATCAGCGCGGGTGAAACGAGTTCCGGATCACGGTACGTCGATAAGGATTACATCGACAGGCAGCTAGCTGCACGTCCAAATCAAGATTTCCCGCATTCTTCCTGTTAATTCTACCATTCCAGAAATCATCAGGCTTGCTCACACGTCAGAGATTGTGGCACGTTCAGATAATGGGCCGCTTGGCCCTGCGTGCTGTACGAGCGAGCGCAATGAACGTCTTCAAGGCAGTGTCGAACGTTGCCAGGAACTTGGGTGTTTGAGACACCGAGCAGCTGGCGTTGAGGACGAAAGCGCAAAGCACAAGAAATGCTGATCGTAGAAACGGGCGATGGCCTTTTAGCATTCGTCGGACCATCATGTGCCAAAGGGATCATATTTCCATGAGGTCCGGATGACAAATGCCTGCTCTGTGATGGTAAATCAGAGATCAAAGAGATCATGCTCTACTAGGAACGCAAGTGTATTCTACCTTCGCCAGCATTGAGTTGCAACGTGGCCATCTCAGGTATTCATCACAGTACGTTAGAAAGATGAGTATTCGATGTTGCTTTGATTAGATTTGCACGACTACCTAAGCCGAACCAGCCACACACTCCTACCATGCCATGCGCGCATGGCATGTAGAAAGTGGACTCCTCAACACCTCCGATGCATAGTGTATCTCCCAAACGAATCTCGGGATTTTGGAAAGGAAAAAATGGGTGGTGCCAACTCATGCTTGTAGGAAGCCTCTAGCTACACCTGGTAAAATGTCTTGTACAGAAAGTGGTATCGTAAGGGAAGAGTTGCGCCGGACGCCGTTGCGCTGATGCAGATGGGGAAGCAGAAGGAAAGTGCGCATCGAGGGAGCAGTGCTGTTACTGAGTGGACGTCTCGTGAGCAGCGGGTGCTTCTTCGTACGTCTCTGTCGCCTCGCCAGTCCTCATGCTAGACGGGACGTGTGCTTCAGAGACCTGAGGAGCTGGCGTAGAAGTGAGTCGTGACTCGGAAGCGTCGTCTTGGATGTAAGCAATCTTACTCCAGATGCGCCAGTGCAGAATAGTAATATGGGAAATGCGGTTTGCGATATCCGAGAGCTTGTGTGTATCGGGGTGAAGAAGACGGTGGAATGAGAACGTATCGGGGACAGTAGACTGAGAGGGGTTTACAGATGGAAGTGTCGTAGTTGTTGTTGTGGCAGGGACGAGGTTATTGAAGAGCTCAATAGGGGATGAGGTGGAGTACTTTTCGATCGTAGCAAGGATGATTGGCAGTACCGCAGACTCAAGATTGCGTGCTTGAGTCGTGAAAGTACTGAAGAAGAGGTGCCGCAGGAGTCGATTCGCGCGTGACATGTTATCGTAGTCGTACATTGTGGCTCGGCCGGCGAGGGTCGAAGCTTGCCTCAGGATTTCCAGAGACAAAGCCTCAGAGTTGGCCATCCATTGATGGGGCCCGTAGCCGACACTTGACTCGCCCATGATTGCAGTGAGCGATGAGACCACCTGCTGGCGTGTAACTGACAGGCTCGGTCCCTGGAAGCCGAATTGCTTTAGTAGAGTTGCGAACATATCCAAGCAAACCTCGAAGAAGATGTGGTCTTCGATCTCCGCCTTGATGATCTGTAGTCGATCAATGTCAAGGTACATAGCTTCCGGGAAGTCAGACCGTCCGTCCTCTCCGAACAGTGTTGCTATCACTCCACGGACGAGAACCTCGAGGTGCAGACGTGAAGGATCGCGCTGAGTGCTGCAAACCGGGCCAAATTCTGCAGAAGCAGAGTGATACCACTTCTGTGCATTCTGAATGTCGAATCGTGCACGGCCGTTGACGAGTCGGTCCAGGTGGTAGTGTGTCTCGAAGTTGATGGTATCCTCAATGAGTAGTGTCTTAAGGTTACGTATCTGATGGTTTGCTACGTCCTTTTAGATGTTAGTCAGATACTTTCTCCATCATAACGCTGACTCACGAGTTTCATGGACTCAAGTATTCCCAGCAGCTCGCACAGTCCCTTGACGATGCTGTCTGGCTTGTTCTGTGTGACGCCTGTCCTAGTGTAGGACACCATCTTGTCGACCCATTCGTCCCTCATGGGCGCGCAATGCTCCTTCAGAAGACAGGACATCCACTCTGACAGGCCCACCAGATCACATATGCCTCTCTCAATCTGCTGCATCAACATGCCTACGTCCAGATGCTCGTCTACCCTGGAGTGGTCGCGGTCTGGTACCAGGCTCTTCAGCACGTCTCGAATAGTCTGGAAGATTTTGGGGATGCGACGCTCGGCGTGACGAACGATAGTCGGCCAGTCATGGGTGTCCATCTCTTGCATTGGCAGTGTTCCACGAAATAGTCGATTGTACAGCTCCAGCTCAGCTACCAACGCCCTCCAGTAACGATGTGCTGCCTTTACCTTGCCTTGTCCCTTAGCGCCGTCTAGGTTGGGGCGAAAGCTTAGATTGCGGTCAAAGTTGACGTCGTGCCGTAGTCTGATGTTCGTGATGATGTTTTGGATGTCGAGTTCGCTCAGTGACTGTCCTGTGATGGGTGGTAGGTCGGTTCCTTCGCGATAGGCCTCAGCTAGCTCCTCCCCTTCTGACCCTGGAATCATGGTAATGAGTAGCTCAGCAAGCTGTTCCGGTATGTCTAGAGTTCGTGGTGGCGAGTGCGATGGTGATCGCGTAGGCTGTACGGCGTACTGCTCCCTCCGTCTCTTGTCGTGCCCGGCATGATGCCTCTCTTCAGGTGGGGGTGCATCGCGCGTCGTGAGTGACCCATGCCATGACGATACTGATGCCGCCCTCTTCCTTTCCACCGCTGATCGCACAGCATAGGTGTGCTCGGTGGCCCGGAGGGTGGAAGGGTTGCTGCCTGCAGCCTTGGGTGTCTGGGTGCCCATGTCTTCCTGCTGACGGAAGTAGTCGCAGTTACTTTGCAGTGAACGACGTGCTTTCATGCGTCAAAGGCCCTGATCTATGCGTGATACCGGCAAGAGGGTGGGAAGTGGTGATGATAAGTCTTGAAGAAGCGAACGCCGACAAAGCGCATGTGTTGCTACAAGCGCGAACTGCGACAAGTCAGCGACCAAACCAAACAAGACAAGGCGTTTGCAAGACGCAAGCTGAAAACGTGTTCGCGGTATGTTTGACAGAAGCCGCGGGCTCCCGCATGAACCAGCGAGACGGATCCGAGTCAAGCTTGCAAAGTGCGGCTGTACGCTTGATTAAGGTGTACCTTTTAGCATGTGCCAACGTCGATGGCGGATCTGGAGGATCTTTGGGACGCAAGTCTTAGGGCTTGTGTGATGTTGACATAGTAGAAGGGAGGACAAAGAGGTCAGTTGTGCTAACTGAACACAACGACGTTTGCGGAAGCTTGATGAGACGGCTTCGTGACGATGCAGCTTTGCTAGAAAAGCAAAGCGAAAACGAAACAGAGCCAAAGAAGACAGAAGCAGAGAGACAGACAGGCGAATACTACTGAAGGTAGCGGGTATGCTGCGGCAAGGTGTGAGACTGCTGCAAGGTGTGTTGCGGAATTCAAACAGCGTCTGACTCGATCTTGGGGAAAGCACTGTTGTGCTGGTTGTGAAAGAGGCTGAAGTCAGAAGGTCAGCCCTTGCATTACTTGGAAGAAAGGAGGGAAGAAGCAGAACAAGGAGCTGTCGTGTTTATGCCCGGGCCGTATCTTAAGATGTGCAACAGCCAATACCAACATCTGATACGCGGAGCCGATCGCCACAGCACGACAGACGGCACTGGGGCGTTCGCGACCCGTTGCTCGGAGCATCCCTGAAGTGTGAAGCTGCAAAACAGGCCTTCCTGGCACCACACCGCTGCTTTCCTGCTGCTCAACCACGGTGCAAGTCGCTGCCGTCGTCGCAGAGCCGCAGTAGCGCTTGCCCAGCTGCCGTCAGAAGTCATGGTTGCAGCTGCTGTGCGGAGGGCGAGCTGCAGGCATGTCATTCCGGAGAGCGCATGCGGTTAGCCGGAAGGAAGAACACAGCCGAGATTGGCTGGCGGCGCCGCAACCGTCACCAGAAGCCTCACTTTTCATAAACCAGGGCGAGCACTTCGGAGCATTTCCTCGCCAACCGTTGCGTCTGCATCTGACGAGAAAAGCAATTCCGGTCGATGCGTGCAGCAGCTGACCGGTCGACGGCCTCGTCTATCGTGACTGCACTTGCGCGACTCCAGCGCCGCAACTGCACGCACTATCGTGCCGTTTTGGCGGTTGTTCACAGACATGGGCACGCGTCGTACGCTTTAACACCAGCAGCGACGTCGGAGCCAAACTTGATGAGGTTGTGGTGGGCGCTTTTCGTCAAGAACGGAGTGTGAAACGTCATGTTGTCTCCTTGTCAATGAAGTACCGACGAACAGCCGTAGGATGGACATTGCGCTGATCTGGTCGACGTGAGATAGGGCCGCGGTGCCGGCTGTGGTGGAGAAGTGTAAGAGCCTGCAGGTGTCAAAGACAGAGCGACCTCTCATGTCCGGCGGGAAAGGCGTCGTGTGAATATAAGAGACCGCGAGGCTGCATGTGGGATTATGCCGGTACCGACGGCGAGGCGCGCGGGTCTTGTATGAACTGGACTGGCCGGTGACATGGCCCATCTATTCCTGAGGCAGTAAGAGCAGTTCGAAGCACGGACAAAGAAGCAAGCAGACAGAAGAGTTCCCACAGATATATGTGTATGTAGGAAGTGTTTTGGGTCCAGGCAGCAGCGACTGTCGAAACGGAAGGCAAGAAGGCACATATCTTTTAGCGCTTGCCTTGTGCCTGGCTAAGTGCCTGGCCATCTGATTGGCCGCTTTGCTGACGTCTGTGAAGGTGATCCTCCAGCTGCAGGTTATGGTGGATACACTCTGGTCGAGGATCTGGCTCACCAGAGAAGAAGCCATTTCGACATCGAGGCACGCTCTGCTTCACGGGTAAGTGTCTCTCAGAAGCTCTTACAGTCCAGACAGGACATACACGGCAACCAAAACGGTAGTTGCATGATGTTATTCTTCCTGACTGCTCACTGATGTCTCTCATTCGCTGCCTCCTCTTGTCCACCTCTATTCTCGGTGTCAGTCATAGCATGCTGCTGTGGTCCTTCAGATCCACGCTGACGATGCACAGCATGCATCGTCCTGTATTCCCGTCTCTGACATTGCGAATCCGCATCAGGCACGCGTGCAGACCAAACGCGTGCAGACCAAACGCGTGCAGACCAAACGCGTGCAGACCAAACGCGTGCAGACCAAACGCGTGCAGACCAAACCCGGCATCCCACCAAAGAGGGTATAGCAGCAGCACGTCGAGAAAAGCAAACACGCGCACAACTCACCCACCACACGCTCGATCGACGCCTCTCTCCTCATCTCCATCATCTTGCGATTCGGAGCTTACCGCTGTAGGGCACTACATCATCTGCCTTACAAGACGTGACAGCACACTAGCAGTTAGCACCATCAGTCGTATTATCGCATCCGCGCACTGCATATCGCGCGAGTTCATCTGGTATTGTGAAAAGTATGCACGCACGGATATATTAGCACTGCTTAAACTTCACAGAGCGTCTGAGTGCAACGAATGAAGGCGTGTATTAAGTATAGTCATGAAGGCTGCAACGACGCGGTTTACAGCGGCGATGTGTGCAAGCGCCACGATCGAGCAGTCACAATTCTGCGTCCCAAGCTAGATGGAGATACAAGACGATTGCGGCGGGAGGCCTGAGCGAAAAAGACCGGGCTGAGTGGTGGGGGATGTTGCGTGTGCTCATGAAGAGATCTCGATAGATGAGTATCGATATCGTACCCGTATTGGGCTGCTGCGGTAGAGTGCCTGTTTACGCGCTCGTCTCCATGGGCGCTTCCACTGCGTCAAAAAACAGCGGCTCCCCGTCGTCTGGCGTGGGAGGGACGACGCCGATCGCGAACGAGGCCATCTAAGCCTCGATGTCCAGATCGTCTTTCTTCCCGCTGCGGCCCCGTCTCGGCTCGGCCTGCGGGCTGCGGTCCTCGCGCTCGTCTTCACTGCTGTTCGACGGGCTCTGAGGACGGCTGTCGTTAAGGTTGCGGCGGCTTCTAGCCATCTGCGGTGTGTTAGTCTTCTGGTTTCGTATTGGGGGAGGATCCTTATTGGAGAGGAGACATACCCATGCGCGCACACCACCGATCAGACCCAGATTGTAACCCGCCGCGAAATCACTACTCCTCTCCCCCGCGGCACTCGCGCGCGGAATGTCCAAATGACTCAGCCTGCTTAACGCACTTGGGCTGCGTGCATCAACTGCCACCTGCTCCATAGCATTGCTATGTTCTCTCGTGGGCGTCCTAGCGGGACTGGCAGGGCGGCTCGATTGCCAGAACTGGCGGAAATCTTTCGTGAGCTCTTGGCCGGTGGTGGCCCAGTTCGCCTTGATGGAGTCGCGGAACTCGACCATGTTACGCTTGAGATCGAGTTCGTTTTTCTTGAGCCACGAGACATTGAGTTCCTTGCGCGAGGTGCCGCGCTTGAGTTGGCGGTCGACGTACTGGTCGTAGTCGCGGACGATTCTGGGCTTGTCAGTGGCTGCTTGCAATGTCCTGGCGTGGGTGGAAAGCTTACTTGGTGATGATGCCAGTGGTCGAGAGACCCTCTGTCCGCTGGGTTACAAGGAACATGCCCCTCTCCTTGATGGGACCGTAGATGTCGTCGCCCTCGTCTGCGCCGTAGGGAAGATCGTCGTGGGCGACGTAGTCGATCTTGTGCTGCTCGAGGAAGTCGGTTGTGACGATCCAGGGGCAGTCTGGGACAACTTCATCGACCCATTTGCAGTGTCGCACACTCTCAGCACGCTCTCGCGCCGACAAAACAGTGAGGCCCTTGCGCTTGTGTGTCTCGGTGTCGCCCGTGACGCCCACGACGAGCTCGACCTGCGGGTTGTTGGGCGCCAGGTGCGCGAACGCAGTCTTGGCCTGCTGCAGCGCACGCATGTGGCCGATGTGGAAGAGATCGAAGACGCCATCGGCGTACACGCGGATCGGGCGGTCCATGGCGGGAGGGTTCGTCTTGAAGCCGCCGGCGGGGTCGGTCAGGCCAGCACCAGGCGGCGCCTCCATGCGCATTGTCGCCGCCTCGCCGTTCTCGCCGCTCTTGATCCGGTCGGCCGAGGAGCGCCTGCTCTTCTTGCTGACGCGCTCGTCGTCGTCGTCGTCGGCATCGCTGTCGTCGTCGGGGTTGCCGGCGCGTCCGCGTTTGGCCGACTCGGCCTGGCGCTCCTTCTTGGACGTGACTTCTTGCAGAACCGAGTCTTCGGCGCCCTCGTCAGACGCGTCGCGTGATGATGGCTGCACGACATCCATGGCGTCCTTCTTGACGGAGCCCGCTGTGTTGGACCTCTTGCGCTTGGGAGGCATGTGTGTGGCGTTGCCGAGTGCGCGTTATATGGCTGCTAGTTAATGCTGCAGTGCAGAGAGCAATGGCACCGCGCGCTGATGTGGCGTTGTTGAGAGAGGGAGCGTCGAGCCCGCCGTTGGGGAGCTTGGGCGCCGGCTTCGACGGGTGTGCTTGCGGAGAGTGGAGCAACGGGAAGCAGCACTTGGGACCTGGGTGGATCAAACCAGACCACTGCAGCTAGGATGGAGAGAAGAAGAAGAGGATCTGGCTAAGCGAATGCACAAGAGGATACACAAGCGTAGGATATACTCGTAGAAGTTGACACGGTGCGCACGAGATTATTGCATCAGTCCATCATTTTGGCGCCCGTTCCCTGATCGAGTGCAGATCCTCCAAAGACGGCAATACGTCACAGCCGCCATCCGGTCCCAGCGCTGTCCAGCAACCAAAGCCGCACACACGCAACGGTGGCCCTCCCCACGTGCAGCAGTCGAGCGCGCAGCTGGACGCAGGTTTCGTCAGCGTGTGGCTCACGCTTGAAATTGCATGTGAGCGTGGAAATCGTCACTGTCGCACTCCAAGTCATCGTAGCCATCATGAAAGGACGTGTCTTGACAACATGGCAGCGGCCCCTGAAGCCTGAGGCATTTCTACGTGCCGTCTAGATTCACAAAGTTATGCTGCGGCGCCTCATATATGAAATGAGGATCGTGAAGGCATCGTGGCTCTTTACCCCTTCAAGATGGCCTCGTCTAGTGTCCATACGCGCACCTCGCCCTCGTCACCTGTGCTGACAATTATCTCCTCATTGTCCCATCTCTTGCCCTTGTCTGCGCGCTTCGCCCATGTGACGTGGTTGATCTCGAAGACGTCGTGCGCGGAGAAGATTTCAGCGACCACAACCCACTCAGTCGGTGGTGTCTCTTTTGCTTCCGCAACAGCACCACCAGCGCCCTCGACGCCCTCCATTGCTGAGCCGTTGGATGTACCATTTGAGTCCTGCCGCCTCCACTGCTCCTTGTACACCACAATCTTGCCGTCACTACCTGCGCTGACGAGCAGTCCAGTCGTGCGACTCCAGCTGACAGAGTAGATAGCGCGATCGTGAGCTTTGGGAAGGACAGCTTCCTGATACCAGTCCTCGTCGATGGCTGCGGAGCGAATGATGCTCGGCATACCCGAATTCTGTGGCTGCGCGCCCTCTCTCGGCTTCCTCCTCCAAACCCTCACCGTGCAATCATCCGCGCAAGTTGCAAGCCTCGGCCCACTCTGCTCCAACGCCTTGACATGCTGTAGCTGCTCATCTTGCAGGCCTTCTCTTTGCCTCCTGAAGTCGAATTTCGCGGCACCCGAGCCCTCAAACTCCGCCCACCAAATCGTCATACCATGCCCTTCCACCATCGCAACCTGCACCCAGTCATCCTGGTCTTCTCTGTAAAACCTGACAGTGTCATCGTAACTCGTGCTGACCAGTAGATCCTCCTCCGGATGCCACGCAACACACTTGACATCGCCATCGTGCTCCTGCAGCACCGCAACCGTCTCAAAGTTATCATCCTCCAGCTCCTCCCATATCCAGACGCTCTTGTCGCGGGAGCAAGTCGCCAGATACTGCCCGCTGGGAGACCAAGTGAGGGACTTGATCTCCGACTCGTGGCCGTCGAGGATGCACGAGAATTGATATTCCTCTTGATCCTCATCCTCCTCGTCGCCGACTTCCCGCACCTCCTGGGCAAGGTGGTCACCGTCTTCTTTGCGCCAGATGCCGGCGCTACTATCGAAGGAGCCCGTTGCGAGCACAGACTGGCCCTGGGTGTGCGGTTTCCAGCTGCACGAGCGTACCGAGCGCTTATGCCCGCCGGTGATGGCGTGCAGCAGCGTGAACGAGGTGAGGCTATAGACGCGCACGCTGCGGTCTGAGCAGGCGGTTGCCACGATGGGTTGCGACGGGTGGGGCGCGGTCTGCCATGTTCGCGAGTTCGAGGGCGGCGACAGCGTGGAGAGATGTGTAAGGGTCGGCGTTAGGTGAGACATTGCGAGGATTCGACGCCGCTGCGAGCGGGCTTGAGCGTGTGAAGGTCTGTCGAGCGTCTGGAGACTAGAAACTGCCTGTGGTAAGATGGGACGAGGGTTTCCGAACCTCGATCCGACTGCGCACGAGCTCTCTAGGGTTTGTAGAGGCAATTGGTGAATGTCGTAAGGCTCGGTCATGTCGCGGGGCAGAAAGTTCGGCAGCGCGTCATTTGCCAGGTACCGGTAGCCGGCCGGCGACAGGGGTGTCTGCGTTATCGGACAAGTCATGCATCATGCATTTTTGGTTCATATCTTGCATTTTGGATACACATTATGCGTAAGCAACTATGGTGCCTCGTGTTACACAGCGTTCCATGCTTCCCATGTACTATCCATCTCCCATAGGCGCCGATCCATGCGTGGGTATTCTAACATGCAGAAACGCCGATTATGCTTGTGTGAGGAAAAATTGCTCACTTCCTCTACGTCCTTCCATAGAACAGGTCCTTCGGCAGTGCTCGTGTCGCATGTGGGTCGCGGAACGCGGTCGTGATAGATATCAATCGATCCGCCAATGTCTGCTGCTCTGTATCAGCAACACCAGCCTCGGACTTGACCCCCATGTCGCTGAGCTCCATGGTGGAGCCTTCCTTCTTCGACTCGTCGTGGACGATCTTCTGGGTGGAGGTGACCATAATACTTCCCCAAGGATGAATGCTGCTTGCATCGACGCATGGTGATGATGGGTTCACCAGGCCCTTTTCCGAGCACGAGTCCGGCTGGAGCGTCATTTCAGATGACATCGACCGGTATGGTCGCAGCCTGAAGATCCACTTGTTGCTGCGCTTCTCAGGCTTTTCGGTGAGAGAGGGAGTTTGCACGAGGGTGGCAAACTCCTTGTGGTTGCGGATCGCCAGAATCTGATGGTCTGGAGAGCCGGGATATGACCTGAGGCAAGTCTGGAAGAAGGACATAGGGATGCACTTCAGTGTCGTGCTATGAAGAGACTGAATGTAGATCTCTTTGATACCACAGAAGGCAAATACTGTCGCTGGGCTGCGCTCCTTCTTCCCAACAACACCATGAACAATGTCGAGCTGCTTCGCGGAGAAGATGGCACGATGCAGCGCGGGTTCGGGCGCCTTGTTTAGAAGATCGAGGATCCTGTTGCGGAAGTTTTCCAGGAACGCATCGTCCTTTTTAGTCCCCAGTCCCAATATTTGCCCGGATTTGGCGAGGCAACCGTCGAGCGATAGCCCATTAAAGCTAACCAGGACCTTCAGCTCACCCAGGGAAAGATCGCCATTTGCCAGCTTGACCATAGGCAGCCTGTCTGGGTTCGCTCGCGGTACGACGATATCGAGTCCTCGCATTCCTGGCGCAGGTTGCAGAAGGAAGCATGCAAGATAAGTCCCACTTAGTGGGATCGATGGTTCCCTATCGGTAAAAGTATGCCAACGGTCGACCATGTCGTAGAGGTCGTCGCGGGTGACCTGGAGACTACGGGCCAGATTGTCGCCAACTTGTTCGATGTTCGCAAAGTGATAGCCCAGGTTCTGCAGGCGCTTCACCTCGTTCGCATCAGCCTTCTTGGTCAGAACCAACATTTGCCCTCGACCGAAGAGGATCGGGCTTGCCATGCCGGTCTCAAGGTATCGGTTCGCAACGTCTGTTGCAAGAATTTCCCTCCTGTCGTTAGGGTCCTTGAACACAGCTCTTGCCATCGACATGGAGGTACCTGTGGTCACGACCTCTTCGTATAGGTTGCCGAGGTTCTGGAGGCCAGTATCGAGCGTCTTGGCGATATCGTAGGCAGTGACACAGAACAGTTCCCGGAATGTAGCAGAGTATGTCGAGTCACCCTCCGAGCTGAACGAGCTTCGACTATCTGGCGCTGTCGAGGGTGAAGTCGTCTGCAAATATCCAGTGTTGTGCAGGTGCTCGCGCATCGATGGGATCAGATCAGAGACGCCTCCCCAGTGGCGAGAGACCCGAAAAATCCACTGGAAGACAGGATGCGCAGTGTTGAATTCATCGGCGAAAGTCTATCGAGGTCAGCTACGTTGATGCTTAGTATAAAAGAGCTGTCTCACTCTCTGATGGAACTGGCGAGTGATAGTCTGACAGGGCAGAAGGCCACCTTGACTGACCAAGAGCTTACCACTTTCGTCGAATGTAGCGCAGGCCAGTACGACCTGTTGGGCGCGATCTTTGAGGAGTCGGCGGTGACGCTGCTTCAAGAAGCCAAGCAAGAAGCACACAAAGCAGGCGCTCAAACACTGGTGGAAGTCAGTCAAAGTATGGCGATGTTAAGATGAAGGTTCTTACCAGGCAAAGAGCGATGGTGAGCGTGATGTTGCGTTCTTGACGGGAGCCTTCGTGGTAGCCTCGCACTTCATACCACGTACCAGCAGCACCAGTCCAGTGCATACCAGAAACGGCCAGAGCCAGAAAACAAGCTACCACACAACGCCTGAAAATGTTGTTCAGCCACGATCCGCTCCAATGGAAGAAGAGGCCGAAAGATAGCAGACTTGCGCCCACTGCGATACCCGCAGCACCGAATACATGCGGCCAGTTGAGATGCAGGCGATAGTTCTCAGTGCCGTTATTCCCAAGGTAATGCATCTCAGTGATGGCTGCGCCAGCACAGAAACCACACACGACGAGAGATACGACTCGAATAGCGGCGTGCTTGCTCCGCCTGTAGAAGCGGTCGGCAATCGTCAGCCCAAGGAAGATGACTACGACGGGGATAACGGCGGATAGCGCAGTATATGTAGGGCTATAGTAGAGCTGAATCTCATCCTCACCGTCACCCAAAACAATGGCTCGGTTGCCAACGAAGTGCATGCACCAGATCGCGACTAAGCCGAAGGAGACTGAACAACCTGCGATTTGCACCCTGTCTCTATCAGCAGTGGTTATTATTCATACGATGACAACGTACCATGCTCTCCATCCTGAGCCGGACACTCTTCGATGTAACAGCTCTACCGTTGTGGCGGATCCAATCAAGCTGACTAGGTAGGAACAAAAGATTAGATATGGTGTGAACGAGATGTTTGGCCTGCTCCCGATGGGGTACTTGGCCTCGAGTTCAGGACTTGGGCTCATGATGGACAAACGAGGTGACAGATGTCACCGGTATGTTGTGGTGCCTTGAGGATTTGTCGATGTGGATGCACGGACAGATCCTCTGTGCCTGTGATCTGGAAAGAGTGCGTTCCTTCAAATCTGGGTTGTTTGGTTGTACGATTGTATGGATTCGTATGTGATAGGCGACAATGAGGTAAAGTGGAACGATGCTTTTTAAAAAGTCTTAGCAATCCTTCAACAACAAGCCCAAAGCGAGATGCAGGAGATCGTGGCGCGTGAAGCCTTCTGTCAGGATGCAGGGCGTTTCGTCTTGTACCGACCTGCCAACCCACAGGACCTGCGAGTAAGCGTCAGTCACTTGAGTTAGGCTGGATACTTTAGCCCGGAGTGATCACTGTAACAGCGTTGGCCCCGGAACAGATGAGGAACGCTCAGCTGGGCTGGGCTGAGAAGCCTAAGCCATTACCGCAATCTATTGGAGCCCCGACCCCGAGCGCCACACCAATTGGAATACCGCTGACATAGGTGGAGCCGCGAGAAATGATCGTGAACAAGCGTGATTCGAGTGTTGATAAGGTTGGACCAGTACTCCGCCAAGTCGACATGCAACCTCGACAGCTCGCAGATTGCTGTGTCGTATGCAATTAAGTTATTGGTCTCTAGGCTATGCCGCATCTTCGTGATTGCAGAACATGCTCAACCGTCATCACAGTTGATGCATGAGAACTGCGGTATGGGAAATGGGTGAAGTCTGTTTCCATTCGTGACAGATCCACCCTGGTCATGTCAAAATGGGTGGGTAAGCAGTCCGTAGGCCAACGAACGGCTAGAAGCTAAGATTTGTGGTTCGTCGGCAAAAGGTACCTTGGTACTGCCAGTCAAACGTGGTCGACGAGGATGGCGTATTGCTGAGGGCCACCCCTCCGCGAACAGTGCTGTGCGCTTGACAACAGATCGACCCATCGCATATTTGACCACGTGCTTGGGGAGCTACGACCGAGACTTCGGCATGCAAATTCACTTTCAAGATGTCTCATCTACCCCAGGGCCAAGCTGCGAAAAGATTGTTCGTAAATATTGGCCGCAACACGGCTGCTGTCGTAAATGTTGAGTGGAATCGTCTTGATGGATCTTCAACTACCAACAGCAATTTGCGCTTTCCGCTTGCTCTAATGGCCAACTGGGAATTTATGTGATCAACTTGCGCAATCCGCCATCTCGCGGTGCTTTTCATCGCTGAACTGCTGCCGCGTTTCGAACAAAGGGGTTCAATCGCGCCAGCTTTGATGATCTCGGCCGACGGTCCGTAAACTCGGAGCTTCAACACGTGCTCGCCGCTCCAGGACTGCCTACTGTTTGGTAGTCTGCGCGAGAGTCATGGAGCCTTCGTCGGTCCAACCATGAATGGAAAAAGATGAGACCTGGCTGCTGGATCTGGAATCGCTTAAAACACTGGCCCGTGCTGAGTTGATCTGCGCTAAGCGAGGGAGATGAGATGGCCTTAACGATCCTTCCGGATCATTATTGGCGGGGTACCGCGATTCAATGATTCGCGACGTTCAGCCGAATCTCGTAAATGTTGGTACAATGAGGACTATGAGGTCCGTGTTGTAACATGCTTTCCTCTGGCTGGCGTGCCACGTTCGTGCTCGCTTGTTCCTGTGTCATAAAGCAGTAGCTTCCGTTGGTGTTGAGACTATGAAACAGCTCTCTAGACCGATCCAAGCACAGGTCCTCGCCAAGGATAGGTACCGGATAAACTAGGCCATTAGACGTCAGTCACGTTGTGGAACAGGAAGCTTTGGGCGATTCTCTCGACTGCAGTAGCGTAGCTCAGTTTTCATCCTTCAGGAAGAGCTTAATGATAACCTCGCCGTCATGCAACCCGCCAGGGTGTCGAGACAATGGTGTCAACTTTGGTTGTAACAAGGTAGGCAATGACGCACATACCTTGACACCGTTCTAAGAGGTACTCCAGTTGCATATGCGGTCGCCAGTGTTACATCCACATAGGTATCGCGAGTTTACTAGTAGTGCGCCGTCCTTACTGGTGGTGTGAATTTCAAAGGCTTTCTGAGAGCTCCGGAAGCGTATTGCCGGATCGACAGTTTCGCTACAATGAACGTGCAGGGTGACTTGCAGATCGCGGATCGTCGAGCCGTTTGTGGGTAGGAGCTAGGTATGTCGTTTGAATCAAGGGTGGCGTCCGTTAAAAAACCTCTGGAGGCGTTCGCTCGATTTCCTTCTTTGTACGCAGAGCCCTGTGGAGTTTTGGCAGTGACTTATGCGCATGCATGGTTTTCAGCGGTTTTTCGTTCTGGCAATAGTGTTGAGTGACCGGAGATAGAGTGATGATGCGGTAAGCCAGTCTTGGTTCCTTGACGGTCCGTATGAGCGGGATTCTAGAACGGTGGCTCGAACAAGTCTCATATAGCAAAGTATGCCTTGTCTTGCAGCAGAGCCATCATTCATAATCTGCGTGAAAGCAACAGCGCAGCATGCTTTTCGAACTCCAGTACATCCGCCGCAAGTGCCCGAGCGAACGTCGTACTCCAGCGTCAAGGTCTGCAATAACTAGGATTAATTGTGTTGCGGTCCTCAAATTTCGTCGAGCTGCATGCCTTCAGCAACGACCACGTCGTCGGCCTAGCTGGGCCGAGCGTGGAGCAAAGCTCCGTAACATTGTTTGCGCAATAGCGGAAAGATGGTTCGATTTGTACACAAGATGTGAAGTGTGAGACCCAAGATCCAAAGAGATTGGCGTTACGCGAGTTCGCTCCCACGGAAGGCGACAAAATTTGGATCGTCGAAGCATTCGGCTCCGAGGAGCAGTTCATCATCATCATTCTTCGAGGAGTCTCGGGTGGTTACTGCCCCGAGGAGATGCAATTCCGACGGAAGTCCGTCGCAAGTTGCTGTGGCTGCAGGACAACCTTCGATAGCTTGATCAAAGCCAGATGCCCGGCCTCCGTCGGGACCCACTGAACTGGGCCTGGATCTGCGAGTTTCTCCAGTCTCCTGCCACGGCTCCTCTAGCATATCATCGGGAAGAGGTGTGGACTGTGGTTCGGCAGTGATGAAGGATCGCAATGAAGTCGCTGCTTTGCAAGGAGTGTGTTTCTGTAGATGTAGCCAGAGCTGAGGGGCGACGGACGGGACCAGGCGACTCCCGTCCAGGGCATCTGCATGCTCTCGACCGTCTATGTGCTGAAGAGATGGTAGTTGAGCTGCCAATGACGACAATTTCCGTTTCAAGGACACAGATGCGGTGCTCACAGTAGCCTCAGATTGGCGAAGGGATCGGCTGATAGTCGGTAGCAGGTTCGCTCTCTGTGACAAGGACTATTGATTGTAAGCATTTTACGCTTGTACTGGACTTCTTTACTACCCACCGAAAGGTAACTTGGCTTCCATAATGTAGGTGCGATATCTGCGAGACCATATCCGAACGTGTTGGCTTTGATCTTGATTCCAGGTAACATCTTGCTATTGATGCTACTGAGGATGGAAAGCCGTAGTGCTCCATCAATGAGAGTCTGCATGGTTGGAGGCTCGACACCTGTGCCAGAAGCTTGTGTTTCTACCTCGACGTTGCAGGCCTGCATTTTCGGCTGTGATACGTAAATGGCTTCGTAGGGCGGGGTCATTGGGGATGTTGCGGGTCTTTCTGCCAACAGGGCCAGAGATCGCGGTATTTTCGGAGTCGACGGTGAGAGTAAGGGAATCGTAGCATTGGAAGCTAAGGGGAAAGCATCCGTTGGTTCGTGGCAGAGACCATCGGTATCTTGGCTGTTCTTTGATGGTGACATGTTGTTGCTGGTTGTTGATGTCTTTAATCGCTTCGCTGTCGAGGTATTTCTTCTAGGTATTAGCTCCAAGATGTCCATGGACATGACCACTGCGTCGAGCAAGAAGACAGGGACACCCTCTGGTGGTCGTACGTCAGCTGCTGAGCTGTTCGAAAGAACTCGATGATGCTGTCTCGCTGCGAGTGTCGCATTCTCGCTAGAATGATTGATCATCACCCGCAGTATCCCTGGCTCTTGGGCATCGTAAGGTAAAGACGGCTTCAAGTTCAGCTGTACCCACGCCTATTGATCTTGTGAGCTTTAGAAGGCCTATACGCATTGGGAACACTAACCGGTGCATTTAGTATAGCCTCAGAAAGTTGCTGAAGGTGTTCGCCAGCAAGCGGCTGGCCTCTGAAGGTAAGGTCCAGGTCGATGTAGAGTCCATTCCCACGACCCACCCATACTTCACCCGAAGACAAGAGACTGAGAAATGAAGTCGCATCGCCTTGCTCAAGGTTAGTGCATTGCTGCTGTGGTGAGATGGTGATCAAAGTTCGAAGCCAAAGCTCGAAATTAGCAGTCGACGTCGAGAGCACTGCTCGTCCAAGCTCAATCGACTTGCGCATGCTTATAAGCCATCGTGGTACGACGCTAGTCGTTGCAAGGCACTGGTGAGGTGAGGGAGAAATCGTTGTACATCGCTACGTACCTGTCCTGGGGCGCCCAGACACTAATTTGGCAGGGGAGCTCAGACGTTGCTTCCTGCGGAGCTCGAGATCATCAACAACACCGCGATGGGTCCTTCAACGAGGCACGCACTGCAGCGCGCCACCAAGACATTGCGCAGTAAATGCGTTCCTCCACATGCCTCCTTGACCTCTGCGACGCGCAGGAGTCTCACATGCAGCTCAATCAGGCGAACCGATGGTGTGTTCCGTGAGCTCACCAGTATGCGAGTTCGCACGCCCTGGGTGGAGGCGCTCCGTAAGCAGCAGCAGGACGGACAGGAGCCTGGCAAACCATCTGGAAAGTCAGAGGTGCCCAAGGATCGCGATCTAAAGCCCAAGCGTATGAGCGACAGCTATCATTCTGTCGTGCTTCCTTTGGCTAGAGATCCTTGGTTACTTGATACGTACCTGAACTCATCAGGACACATTCGTCTAGGCACCATATTCATGGATCTTGATGCGCTCTCTGGTGTCATTGCGTAAGCCACTGGAGCTGCGTAGAATCCACCATACCCTCTAAACGCTTTTGCAGGTACAAGTACACTGGTGAAGACGTAACGACGGTCACCGCCTCCTGCGACCGAATCACGATTCATCACCCACTGGATGAGATTTGCGATCTCAAGTTGTCTGGTCGTGTCACGTACGCCACCGGTCGAAGCAGTCTGGAGATCACTATGCAGGTTGCAAAGGCTCCAAAGGAAGGCGAAGAGGTCAAGGACGCAGATGTCTTGATCAATTGTACCTTCACGATGGTATCTTTGGATCCGGGAACGAAGAAGTACGAGAACGACATTGCCATCAAGGCTTTCGACTAATCAACGATTTAGACCAGTCAATGTCAATGCGCTAATTGTAGAAAATGAAGAAGAACAGCGGCTGTATGCCCTAGGCGAGCGGAATTCCCAGATCCGCAAGGAGAGACGAAACACATCTCTGATCAAGCATACGCCGAACGATGCCGAGAGCGATCTCATTCACGCATTCTGGCAGAAGCAACTCCAGTACCATGGTCAGTCGTTGTGCGGCTATACCAAGCATTGCTGAACCTGACTTCTACAGACCCTCACGACGAGCTGCGCAAGCCTGACAATCTCCACTTCATGGACGCGACTCGCCTTCAGACCGCTACAATCATGCAACCGCAGTACCGCAATCGACACCACTTCATGATCTTCGGTGGTTTCCTCCTCAAACAGACATTCGAGCTCGCGTTCACAACGGCTGCAGCATTCGCCCACGCTCGACCTACCTTCGTATCTCTCGATCCTTCGACATTCCTCAACCCCGTTCCCGTTGGCAGCATACTATACATGACAGCGCAGGTGGTCTATACAGATCCTCCGCTCATCGGTGCTCCAGAAGAGGAGTTCGACGAGAACAGCGAATACACTAGAGTGCAAATTCGGGTTGACACCAAAGTCAGGGATGTCGAACACGGCCACTCGAAGCCAACAGGCCAATTCAACTACACCTTCAATGGTGGGTGTCTTGATGTGGACGACTTTCGCGATGCGCTAACTTTTTGACAGTACCCAAGAACATCAGGGTGATGCCGAGAACATACCAAGAGTTCATGTACTACCTTGAGGCACGCAGGAGAGCCGAGCAGGTCAGATGTACTTTGGAAGAGGGAGCCAGCATTAGTCCCAAGCGAGCAGCAGAATCTCTTACAGAGTAATGAGCACTCGCACTATTTCAATGTATTTGTATGTCTATTCGTAAACATAGGTGCGACAAAACTCATGTCAGCCTTCCAGAACCAACGCAGGCGAACGAATTCGAGCGCCTACGAACGCCAATACCATACCAGCACCAAATCCAAACATCAGTCAACTCTCTTAACGCCAGAATATATGGAAAAACCGCGGCCACAAGCAAGGAGTGCCCCCAATTCCCGGTTGAGCCGCATGAAACAAGGCGCTCAAATGCCATGCACCCCTGCAACCAACAGTGAGGCTGACATGGCGCTGTAGCGTACCGGTATACGTGATTCGTTGGGGGAAGATGTCGCTCACTCCTGTGCACAGGTCAGCTATCTGCACCTCAAGTACCGGTATTGCTTGACACCGTCTTCTTACTGCTCCTCGCCTCGGAAACCGACCTTAAAACTTACCAGCGAATCAACATCGTCCCTCAAACTATTGTCTCATAACCCGCTACTACCTCTTTACCATTCGTCCAGCTGCAACTCAAGATTCACGTCCTCGGAGCAATCGTCGCAGTAGTAGTTAGAGAAACCGCTGCATTTGACCGTTGGGTTCTTGCACATATCAATGCTCCACGCGTCGTAGGAGTAGCCGGAGAGAAGACGTGAGGCGCAAATTTCGATCGAATTGGCCCAGATGTAATAGCCGTGGTTGCAGTAATACCAGGAATACGTGTAGGAGCACATTTGGGATTGATCCCAGAATTTAGAGCGAATACAGGCTGGGTGGTGAAACTCCGCCCAAGGTCGTCAGCCCGACTTATATCCTTAGCTATTGAGTCACTCAGTCACCTCCTCGGAGGCCGACCTTGCCTTCTGAGGTTTGAATGCAGCCGCGCCGAGGAGGCTCCGTTATCTTCCCCGGATCAGTTGCTCCAAGTGCTGATAAGACGAGAATCGGTCGAACGGCTGGACCCTTTGTCCCTGCATGCATTTTGGACGTTGCGGTGAGAGGAAGCCCTTTCCGAACGCTCAGTCCGTTGCTCTCCAATAACAGCACCCTATCGGTCGATCCTCCTAAGCGTCAACTACGGGTTTTGCGACGTGATCATCTCCATGCCACCCTTCTAGCATCGTGGAGATCTAGCTGAGAACAATCACGCGATTCAGACCTCGGTCAGGCACAGCAGGACCCTGCATGAGATAGCGCAACCCTCCATGCAGGGTTCTGCTTAGCGCGCTACCGCTGTGAAAGGCTGCAAAAGTCGAAGTCTCCGTATCCTCAACTTCGATTATTCTGGCTCGCGCTACACATGAGAGGATATCCTTTGAATTCCTCACTCGCTACCGTCAGCAATTTGCGCGCTGCCCGCGTGTCCCTGCACGTAGCCGAACTCCCGGCAGAATGGAACTCCACCTCGCGAGCTCGGCAAATTAGGTACACACTCCCCGATGCCGATTACACTCCGACATCACACAGAACGCAATGATCGCTCATACGGCGGTGCAAAGAGTCCGAAGGAGTCGGGCAATTCACCCCGCAATGCCGAGGTCATCCAACGGTTTTGTGCGAGTTTCCTGATCGGGTAGGTTGACGTAGAGTTTCCGGAGTGTCTCACGGAGTTTCGGTGGGTGGGAGTCCGATGGCCGAAGTGGGTCGAATTATTTGAAAGCTGTCGAGGTGGACAGTGAAAACCGAGAGAACGCAGGACTCTGGCTGTGTACGGACTGCGTCATGCGATCTGTATTCGTAGACAAGTCCATACCTGACCATTGGCATATATGCGCCCTCGATTTGCAGACACGTCCGCAACATAAAGCAAACTGCGTTTCGGTAGTATCTACATCTTCTAGGGTATCCTGCAGTTCCTCTCAGAAGTACTGCATGTTGGACGCCAAAATAGACACCTCTGGGTTCATAAAAGCCACCTCATCTACTCAGGCCGGACCCATGAGCTGGTGACCCGCAAAATGTTCTTCGGATACCACTGGCCTGAGTAAGGATTCGACGCGTACATCATGCTAGTCTTCAGGGATCATCTCACTGAGCAATGCATATACGCGATCGTTTGGTACAGCAATGCCCAATATAGCCGTATCCCCTGCCATATTGATACTAGAATACACGAGCAATGCTGGAACAAGCTCGGTCAGAGTTGTGGAGGTCTACACTGCTCAACCAGATCACTGGCGGCAGGATAGCTTGTGACATGTCAAGCGGATGGATGATGCTGATGCCGTTCACCTCATGCTCCAAGTATACGTTATTCTATGCGAAGGCTTCTCCAGCTTCGCGATCCAGTCTGGACCATACAGCAGAAATGCAAGACCGGCTAAACTTATCTCCTGGACGATCCACAAATGTTCCCAGTAAGGTCTTTGAAGCAGATCCAGAATCAAGGGCTCCCATTGGCAGAAAGCGCTTTTGCGAAAACCTAACCGGGTCGGTCCTTCCCGGCATCGAGATTTTTCGATTGGCAACACCAACATCGTCCTCACTCAAGGTATCTCGGCCAGCCGCAATGAGCAAGTCCACGATTCCTCTCGTCTACCTGACATCGTTCCTCTTCCTGTTCGGCGAAACACTACAACCCGCCCCGCGCATCTCCATCTACGAATCTATCGTCTGCCAGCAACACTATGGATCACCTAGCCCGCACGACTGCAAGATTGCCCCTGTGCAGCAGGAACTCGCACTTTTAGGAGGCATTGAGAGGCTCTCGATCATCATTCCGAGTATTCTTGCTATCCCGTTCGCAGCGCTGGCGGACCGTTACGGGCATTCGTTGATTTTGGCGGTCGCTATCTTTGGTGTCTTTCTTGAAGACGGCTGGCCATTCCTGGTCTGCTGGTTTCCTGACGTCTTCCCAATCCGTTTGATCTGGCTGCACTTCATGTTTAGCTGTGTTGGTGGCGGTTTCACGGTTGTAGTGACAATGCTACATGTCATCATTGCAGATGTTGTCAGCGCAGAAGACAGAACGAAGATGTTCTTCCGCGCAAGAGCTGCGGGTGTAGCTGCCAGTATTTTGGGCTATGCTGCTAGTGGTCTCCTCATGAGAGTCAGTGCCTTCTTGCCTTGGGCTGTTGGCCTGGTTTGCCTTCTTATTGGAACAATCACGGCAGCGTTGATTCCAAGGATGACGCTGCAAGATCACGATATACTGCTGACTGTGGACAAGCCAGTAAGGAACTGGAGCATTGCGGCTTCACTGGGTGCTTTGAGAAGTATTTCGAAGCTGCTCTTTGGAAATCAACAAGTCCTGGCGATGTTGATATTGACCTTCTTCTGTCAATTGGGCTACGACTCGGTTCCATCGATGCTGGCCATCTACATTTCGAAACGATTTGGCTGGGAGTTCTCAGATGTGAGTGCCGTCTTCGCGCTATTTGTTCGGCACTATCGTGATCACTGACATGACTCAGGCCAGCTTCTTGAGTTCACTCGAGATGGGTATCGAGCTCTTCGCGCTAGTGATCATATTGCCAGCGCTTACTTCAGGCTTACCTTCAGCATTCCAGGGGCTATCAACTTTTGCGAAGGACAAAGTCTTCGCCCAAGCTAGTCTCGTTGCCCTTGCAATAGGCATGTTCTGCCTTGGTCTTGCACCCGTAGTCGTCTTAGCCATCGTTGGCATCGTTGTGCTCGCGCTCGGAACTGGGCAGGACTCCTTGACTCGCTCGATAGCGACCGAGATGGTTCCAGCGAATGAGCTCAGTACCCTTTACTCGGCCATTACAATGTTGAGAGCCATCGGTGGCTCGATCAGTGGACCAATTTATGCCTGGCTATACACTGCGGCACTCAGACATAAAGGCGAAGATTGGCTCGGTCTGCCGTATCTGGTGGCTGGTGTCTTCTTTGTTGTAGCTTTAGCATTGATGACGGTTGTGCGTGATCCCCAGAAGGAGATCAGCGAGGAGGAGACGGAAGAGGGCCGGCCCTTGCTCAATTGAGAAGAGTGCGGAAGACCATAGACATACACAGCTGAACGAAGACTCAGGACGGATCTCGTTCGTACTTGATTGTGAATCTCGATTTTGATTCTCTTGGTTCTACGCTTTTTCTTTCTTCTGCGCTATCCGGTACCTTCATCTTGTTAGCTGCATAGACAACGCCTTCCTTGCGGAAAACTCACAGGAACAACCTTTCTTTCGACCAAATTGGCTTGTCCGGATCATCATCCACCTCTTGCACGTCGAACATCTTCCCCGCAGTCTTCATGAAAGTTAAGTCTGCTCTTCTTCTCCTCTTGAAGCAGAAGTAACACACTGTGTTAGGACCGATAATGTCTTTGAGCGTCTGCTGTAACAAAGGGAATGCAGGTTCGAAGTATACGCAATCAGCCGCGAGGATAACATCAGGGTGTTGGGGTAGGTTCGCTGGTGTAGGCTGGCCCCAGTCGTATATCGATGCAGAGACACGACCTTCGAGATCGTTGAGACCAATGTTCTTCTTCATGAGCTCGAACATCTCGTCTTGATCAGTGATGTGGAGTGTCTCGGTGACGTTGCAGCCGACAGCTACTGCAAGACCGACAAGGCCGCCTCCGGCGCCCAATTCAACACTGCGAGAGTCAGTGTGAGATAGTACTAGAGTCCTCACGTTTAAACCCACATTGTCTTTCCCGCAAGATCATCCTTGTGCTTCCTTAGCATATACTTTCCGAGGACCATTCCCGCTGGCCACAGCTGTCCTCCACAACCATTCGTGAGATCTTCATGGACCTTTAGTGGGGGCGAAAGCACGCTGTCGAAGTCTACTTCCGCTAGACCAGCAGTTTTGAGAGGCGCTGGCGGCACGAAGTCGAGCTGATGAGCACCGAAGATGTCGTTCTCTTCGTCGTCTGAGGCAGTCATGTTATGTAGTGTTGTGGAATTGGAAGGCGTGAGGGACATTTTGTCAGGGTCTAGTTCGGTTTGGCTAGCGCAAGTAGGTGGGGCTAGGTACCTACTCGTACTTCGTACATCTTCAACGTCCTTTGAGCTTCACCTCTTCTTGGTTTCTCTCTTTCTCTTCCAACGTTTCGACTTCAGCGCTCACAATATCAACAAAGACTCAACATCAGCCAAGACACTTACTGTAGACGCCTTAGACGCATCGTATCACGTCAAACGGAGATGCCTCCTTATCTTATCAATGAGCCTCGCTCTGCATCATGCCTCCTCTCCACCAATCTCATCGAGGCTACAGTGCGCATCACGACGCCAGAACTCTGGGCATGCTCTGAAAGAGGAGACTGCCTGTCCTGGATGCGCTCAGCTGGGGGTATCTGGGTCATGTATAAATCTAGCTTGTCTTGCGATTTCTTCACGTCTGTTTACTTGACTTTCGATTATGCGTAGAAGCGGAATCGAGTCTCATTAGTGTATCTAGTTCCACCATGGGTCTTCCTACAGATGTTCTGAAAGCCTGGGAGGCTTGCGATTGCACTGATACACTGTTTGTTCTGGTTTGCTATGTCTTCTGTACGTCCGAGAACCTCGAGCTTCGTGATTATCAGCTTTCAGCCCGTTTGCTTACATCAATCTTGCTATCGATATCACCATCACTGTTGAGACCTTGAACTGACGTATACAGGCTGGGGCATCGTCCCTGCCGTCGAAATCGCCTACTCGGGCTACCCCATACGCTCCAACTCCCTCGCGGCAGTGATACCCTCCATTCTTGCCGTCATCGTCTGCACGATCTAATGGTTCCTCATCGGCTATACCCTGACGTACAGCGAAGGTGGCCCTATTTTTGGCAACTTCACATACGCCCTCCACCGCAACGTGCTGTCTGAACCTGTTGGCACCATCCCGGCGATCTAGTTTAGTTTCTTCCAGCTCGTCTTTCAGGCTGCTGTCTGCGCGATCGCTGTGGGAGGTGCTTGTGAGCGAAGAAAGATCCTGCCGCTGAACCCTTTCATTTTTACGAGGTACCAGACTGTAACTTCATAGATTTGACGCTAACACAAAGCCTAGCTCTGGTCGACTTTTATCTAAAATCCTCTAGCTCATATGGTCTGGGGTGGTGACTTCCTCCAAAACCTCGGCGTCGTTGATTTCGCTGGCGGCGTACCAGTCCACATCAACAGCGGCGCAACCTGTACCGCTATAAGTGTCTACCTTTCGTACCCTTAGTTCCGCTCGAAGAAGTCCTCGACTCGAACTCCTTCCCACCTGGTCATTCACCGCCCAGTCAACTCTCTCTGCCAATCGCTGGCTATGATAAGCATCTGGGGTTCGTGGCTTGCTTCCGACGCCGGAACTACACTCGCGTTCAACTTCGAGTCTGCAATGGCTCTGTGTGTAACAAATCTGTGCGCTGCTAGCGGAGCAGCGACATGGATGCTCTACACTTATGTTGAAGTTGGCCGCTGGAGTCTCGATTCGTGTTTCATGGGCGCCATCTCTGGGCTCATCATGATCACTCTGTCCGCTGGTTTTATCGACGTGCCTTCAGTTATGGGTTTCGGCATTGTTAGTGCGCTGTTCTATCGACAAACTCTGAAGATCAAGTTCAACAACTTTGCGAGACGATGGCGCTGGGTCGACCGTGGCGATACCTTCGCTACACACTGTCTAGGTGGCTTTCTGGCGACCATTGGCACAGGCTGTCTGGCAAGAAAGGAAGTTTCAGGCTACGATGGTGTTACGGAGATTGCTGGAGGCGTCTTCTTCGATGGCAATGTAAGGCAGCTTGGCATCCAGATCATGGAGGCGCTTGTTGGCTTCACATGGTCGTTCGTGGGAAGCTTCACCATCTACGCACTGATTGATTGCGTGCCGGGATTCAAAGTCCTGGCGGAAGATAAGTAAGTATCGAGTGCTGTAGGACGGGACGTAGCTAATCGTAATAGGGATATTATTGCAGGTCGGGACGCAAGCCAGATGGACGAGGAGACTGTGGACAGAGACACAGAAGTACTCGCCATTTGCAGAACCGACTGGTGAATTGCACTTGGATTGAGACGGATGTGTGATGAGCGGGATGGTGACAGAAGTAGAGCTGCTGAGATAGTCTTGATAATGACGTATGCTAGGTCCCATGTTGAAGTCTACATAGCATCGCCACCAAACAAGAGTTCTGTACTGGTCTCAAAGACCTCTGACAAGCTGCGGTACAAAGCACACCCGCAACTGGCTATTGTTTGGCTGCAACTTCGCTCCTGTAGACAAGAGTGGATACCTCAGTCTGCGGCTCATGACGGGATCGTTCCGAATCAGCAATGTTCATCAATCGGAATCATCGCATGCCAGATCTAGCCGAATCCGTAATCCTTAGCTTATCATTGGCTGGAGATGATTCGGCAGTCAGACGGAAGGAGCGATGCGTCAAGTAACACTCCGGGCCTTCCTTCCAGCACGACCAACTTAAACAATCAATTCTGCTCACTTCTCAGCCTTAAGTACCCTGAGTTCTTCGTTCGTCGTTCACTGACCAACTGCCCGTGTTTCTGCAAGGTTTGGCTGAGAATCGACACCTCGGTTGCCGATCCCTGCACGCCACCTGAGCGTCTTCCTACATCAGCTTTTGCGCCCAGAACGCTTTATAACCGACGTTATAAGTTCCGCCCTGCACGTATTCCCGCCGCTTCCTCGCCTTCCGCCGTGCCGTTCCGCTTCACACAACCTCACCCCTACACCTGTACATCACACCGCGCCGCCATGTCGTTCTCGTCGCTCGTCTCAGATATTGCCTATCGCAACCCTACGAGACCAGAGCTCCGCTCAGCGGCCTCCGAGGCGGGGCGCTCATATGCCAGCACAGCTGCCACCAGCGTTAGCATTTCTGGCGACATTAAGAGCCAATTGCACGGAGGATACTCGCACCCCCTCGCACGAGCATGGCAGGCCGAGCGCCAACTCACAAAGGTGCGCTCGGCATTGTTCTAATTCGGCCGCCCGCCCACTGACATGACATAGTCGATGCTCATCTATCCCCTCTTCATTTCAGACCAGCCTGACGAGGAGACACTGATTCCTTCGCTGCCGAATCAGCACCGCCGAGGTCTGAACAAGATCGTTCCTTACCTCAAGCCGCTTGTCGAGAAGGGTCTGAAGTCAGTCATTCTCTTCGGTGTACCGATTGCACCGAACGCAAAGGACGCTCTCGGCAGCAACGCAGACGATCCCAAGGGCCCCGTCATCAAGGCTATCCGCCTCCTCCGCCGCAATTTCCCCGACCTCTTCATCACCGCTGACGTCTGCCTTTGCGAGTACACATCACACGGCCATTGCGGTATCCTGAGAGACGATGGCAGCCTGAACAACCAGCTGTCAGTTGAGCGCATTAGTGATGTCGCTATCTCATACGCATTGGCTGGCGCGCACTGTGTGGCGCCCTCAGACATGAACGACGGCCGCATTCGCGCAATCAAGCTAAAGCTGATCGAGGCTGGGATTGCCCATCAGGTCGTCCTCATGTCATACTCCGCCAAGTTCTCTGGCTGCTTGTACGGCCCCTTCCGCGACGCCGCAGGCTCGTGCCCCTCTTTCGGTGACCGACGATGCTACCAGCTGCCACCGGGCGGTCGTGGTCTTGCTCGCCGTGCAATTACGCGAGACATCAACGAGGGTGCAGACATCATCATGGTTAAGCCGGCGAGCCAATACCTCGATATCATCAGCGACGCGAAGGAGATTGGCAAAGATATGCCAGTTGCAGCATACCAGGTGTCTGGTGAGTACGCCATGATTCACGCAGCGGCGGCGGCAGGCGTTTTCGACCTACGGGCTATGGCGGAGGAGGCCACACAGGGCATTCTGCGAGCAGGTGCCACGATCATTGTCAGCTACTTCACACCTGAATTCTTGGACTGGTTGCAGAACTAAGCGGCTGTTATGCGTTTGGTTTCGGTTCGCTTCGCCTCGTATCAATGTCTTCGACGATACCTTGTTTTTTATGGCATTTTCAAAAGGACGGGTTTGGTGTTAAATATCCACGACTGCTCAATTGACGATCTCGCTTCTTCACCTGCACCGCCAGTTTCGAGCGTACTACGAGACGGCACTACATCTGGATCTCGAAACTCTCAAAAGCCCTGATGTCATTGAGTGTTGACAAGTTGATGTTGACGCCTCCGGCACTAGACTCAAAGATCCCCTATGCTACGAATCCCGATTTAGGTGAGGAGATCTTGGATTGACTTAAGTGTTTTTGCAGCGACCTTGCTGGACACGAGTTGGGTGATTTGGGAGGAAGATCCTGCAAGTGTGGCTTCCTTGGTATAGGGCGGCACTCGGTTCGATGGGACATCTGCGCAATCGTTGTTATTGCCCTCATATTTATCAAATAATGTCAATGGCATGAGACTATACGAGATGTTGGAGGATCACACCAAACGAGACATGGACGTCCAATCCAGAGATGGCGGAGTTCAAGCTAACTAAATCAAATGGATCGGACTGATAGCGACAATCCTCCACGAGAATGAAAGATCCAAACCACACACTCTCGGACACTTAAGCATCGTTCCACACCATTGCCATCTTCTGGTACCAGAATCGCGAACCGACCACGCATGTCGCGGTCCATCTCTCATCTACCAAGTATTCACACCATCTGTCTTAAGTGGTACGCTCAATATCATTCGTCCCCCCTCGTCCACCTTCGGCAGTCTCCTACCCCTGATGTTGATCTGTAAGCTCTGGTGCAACAGACTCGGCGCCCCCAAGACGTCGTCTCACTTCTGCCTCATCTTTACGAACTCGTCCCTTGCTAAACCCATCTTGACATGGCTGTTCTCCCCGTTATGCTGCGACACCGTCATGAATGGCACCGGCGCTCTGACCCCGGACAGGTAGTCATGTCCCACCCAGATCTTCGTGTCGTCAGGTAAGGCGAGCAGTTTCTGAGCAGCCGACCACAGGTCAATGGCGCTGCCGCCGGGGAAGTCGGTACGAGCAGCGCTTATGAAGGGGCGGAAGAGGGAACTGCCCCAGAAGACGTTGGAGCCAATTGAGTAGCCGATGTGGTCGGGCGTATGGCCGGGTAGGTGTATGGCTTGAACCTACATCACACCAACTTGGACCACTTCGTCTTCTTCAAACAGCTTATCGAAAACGGCCTTATACTCCTGCGGAGGCACGCCATATCAGCGACCAAAGAGCTTTGGACCTGGTTAATGCCTTTCCCGATCCCAATCTGAGGTCTCGTGCTGGTCTTGCTTAGCTGTGCTTGGAGATATGATGCAGAGCTGAGATGATCGGCGTGCGCATGGGATTCAAGGATGTATTCTACCTTGTAGTGTTTATCATGGATAACAGAGAGCACAGTGTCGGCAGATTTGGTGCTGATGCTGGAGGTGCAAGGGTCGAAGTCTAGCACAGGATCGATAATGACGGTAGCTCGGCTTGAACGACCCGTAACGGTGTATTGGAAGGTGCCTGTGGTGAGCTCGAAGATGGGTTGGATGATAGGTTCGGACATCGGACTGGATGTTTCCCGGAATTCGAGGCTATGCTGCGTGTTATGGAACCTAGTTTGGATACCGGTGTTCATGTGAGTTGCTTGGAGGCTCCATTGTCTTCGTCTTGAAGAGCATCCTTTTTGATGGAGTTGCGCAGGCTTTAGGTGATGCGCGTGAATGACACTAGAGAAAGTACCTATGTGCTGCAATGTATACTTTGCTGCCGGCTCTGCTGTCCTCGCTGTTACCATTCGTAAAACATGGAGGGTACTTGAGCGTAGGGAATCCATCTCTAACATTGTACAATGTGAAGCCATATTCGGGGCCTGCACACTGTATGACATTCTCCTGTATATATCTTACCGAAGACTCGACGAAGCCAGAGCTCGTTACTGCGTAGCCTCTTCATTCGGCGACCCACATGCAGGTGAACGCCGGTGGTGGCGGCGATCCGTAAGCTGTGCCGCTGCGTAGCAGATACAGGTAGACAGTCAGCTCGTGGGTGTCACCTATACTGATACGTGAATCAAATCTTGCTCAATATCATTACGCTGCCTGCTGCGTCGGCGACGTAGTTTACATACGATTTCGGCGATGTCGCTAGTAGAGACAGTGTTGCGGAACGCACCCTAACTCTATTCTTGCATCTCCATCACCGCCGACGAGCCGACAATATCATGCGAACAACGCCGACGGTCCGAAGTTTCAGGGGTTTATTCTCACGACGAATGATCTTTTGCTTGCGGAGAGAAAGGGCAAAGAATCGAGAGCCAATTGTGACAACGCTAGAGCTGTTAGCGCGTATGGTGTGATTGCGGGTCTCTGGAAATCCTACAGCTCCTCGGGCAACGATTTCTCAGCAAACACATTCAAGGTCTGATCGCGGGTGTGGAGCAGCTCTGAGAGAGGAGAGGAACGAGAGCTATCTTGAAATCCTGGAGTATCGACATTGTGAAATCGTTCTGGAAGACCAATATGATCAGCAGCCGCGTCACGTGCCAGATGGCGCAAAAGGCATCTGCCCGTACATTCGCTACAGTTAACACCGCATCGCACAATCACAAGATCGTTGTAGTCGGCGCTGGTGCAGCTGGTTCTTCGATCTCGCACCAGCTTCTGCGTAACGGGAAGTTCCAGGCCAAAGACATCGCAGTTGTCGACCCAGCCGAGTATCACCACTACCAGCCAGGATGGACACTTGTCGGTGGCGGAGTCAAGAACAAGGAGGACCTCAAGCAGCCTCTTGCACCTATCCTCGATCCTAAGCTGAAGTACTACGCCAGTAACGTTGGCAGCTTCACACCGGATGACAATAGCATCACACTCGGCAATGGCGATAAGTTGAACTACGAGCACCTCATCGTCGTTCCTGGTATCAAGGTCGACACATCCAGCATCACAGGTCTTCCCGAAGCACTTGCCGACTCTTCATCCCATGTCTCGACTGTCTACACCTATGAGACATGTGACAAGGCTGCCCGCAGCATCCAAGCCTTCAAGAAGGGAACAGCAATATTCACACAGCCCGCTGGCGTCATCAAGTGTGCCGGTGCGCCACAGAAAGTTATGTGGCTGGCTTGGGATCGCTGGTCGAGCACCGGACTTTACAAGAAGAACGACCCCAGCTCTGCTATCAACATTTCCTTCGCTACCGGCCTGCCGACTATGTTCGGTGTACCCAAGTACGCTGCAGCCCTCGAGAAGCTGCGTGTCGAGCGCGGTATCGAGGGGCTCTTTGCTCACGACCTTGTTTCCATCGACGGGCAGACTGCTACGTTCAAAACTGCCGCCGGCGAGAAGGTTGAGAAGAAGTTCGATCTGCTGCACGCAGTGCCCAAGATGGGCCCACATGCATTCGTTAAAGAGTCTGCGCTAGCCGACACTGTGGGCTACGTCGATGTCGACAACGCCACTCTCCGCCACAAGAAATTCGCCAACGTCTGGTCTGCTGGTGATGCTTCATCTCTTCCTACTTCTAAGACAGCGGCCGCTATCACCGCACAAGCACCCATTCTTGTCTCGAACATCCTTAAATCACTCGAGAGCAAGCAGCAGGAGCTTAATGCCGACTATGACGGCTACACATCTTGCCCACTTACAACTGGTGAGAAGGAGGTTCTGCTTGCTGAGTTCAAGTACGGCGGTGTACCCAAGGAGACATTTGGCCGTATTCTTGGCCTCGACCAAGGCGTCCCTCGCAGAGCCTTCTACTATCTCAAGAAGGACTTTTTCCCCTGGGTATACAAGAATTATATGGTCAAGGGACAGTGGGGTGGACCCAAGGGTTTCATGAAGTAGGCGTTCTGGCTACCTGGCAGAGAAAGTGAGATGACTTGAATGAAGATAAACAAGCATAAGATACCATGTACGCCATAGAACGTTTACAGTGACAGCAAACCATCATTCGAAAAGTCACATTTCCCAAACTTGCTCACAATCATGTCACTGGAAAAAAGTCAGTACTGAAGCCCTCGAGGTACTCTGTGTTGCGTTTGCTGCTAGTCCATCTAGTCAACGTTGGGATCACACTTCAGGCTGCGCAATGCTTGTTGTGCGTGCTTTCACCTTGAACCGTTTGCCCCGTGCAAACACTCATGGTGACCAGAAGATCTACTGCAGCCTGTTCCCCGACCTTGTTTCCAGCACGCCATACCTCTGACAATTTTCATTGTCTTTAACGTTCACATCAACTTGATCATCATAAAGATTGGGCGCAATCACTCCAATTTTTGTCCCTATGTCCGATCCTCACGCGCGCAGACCTGGTGAGCTACCTCCAACCCCCTCTGGAAATTTCTCTCACCCGAGCCGTCGGCGCGATCCGTCCTTGTCTCCCGAGCACAACCAAGATAGCCCAACCATGGCGCCCAAAGACTCACGGTACATGTTGCCTTTCATGCCATCCCATGCCTTCTTGCGCAGCGCCTCCAAATTATCTCTCCAGAGCGAGCGACAGGCGTATGCAGACTTCGACTTCGGCTGCGAGTCATCAGCCCGCCCGGCAACATCGCACAAAGCGTTTTCAATGTACTCGGTACCTGATCTGAGCGCCACCGCTCTCCCGCCAATGCATCCTCAGCGCGATACACCATCTGTCCCGCAGATACCGCAGAAGTACGGCGGTTCTGCTCCTGTCACCATCAACCCATCCAGTACTCGTCGATACATCAGGAGGCCACCACCAACACCAAACAAGAGCGCAAAAAGCGGCAAGGGTAGCACATGGGGCAGGTGGAAGTTGAAGGTGAAGACGGCCTTCCGTATCGGGCGAAAGAAGCAGTTGCAGATAGGTGGCCCAACCGATTTCGAGCATAAATCGACCCGAGGAAATGGTCAACTGAGGGAACCTATCACTGGTGTGTTCACATTGCCCGCATCAGGAACTCGGGTTCCTGGCGGTGCCGGTGGGACGGGCCTGACGATGAGTAATAGGCTCGATAGTGGTAATCTGGGCAACAGACCGAATACAGACCATATTACGGGAACAGACTCGGCCAGCGCTGGAACAGGAGGAGAGAAGGTACATGGGGGGCTTGGACACCAGGATACTGATGGAACCGCGGCGTCAGATGATGGAGACAGCGACTGGGAGGACGAGGCAACGAGGATACTTCGAGGTTGGGATGAAAATCAAGTTGGAAAGGTTTGATGTGATATTGAAGAATGAGACGAGGCTTGGAGAGGTTTGAGGTGAATATGGGTTCCGATTAATCTGCTCCGTTTGCCGCCGCTTTTCATGTGGGCCTTCCTATGCCCATATTTTTAGGGGCCGCTCGCAATCACCCCGTCAGAGCGCATATACGATCTTGTACCTACTGATCTTGCCGTCTCTGTACTCTTGAAATCCCTCAGGTACCTTCTCCAAACCCTTCAATACCTTTGGTTGATTTGGTTTGATGGTACCGTCTTCGAGCCATTGCGGCAAGTTCTCAAATAGCTCTGCCGACAACCTGTGGTCATGCTCGTTTGCTGTCCACTTGAAATCTTTGTATTGGTGGTATTTCAAGAATGCTGTCCATACCAGCACATCAGTAACCTTTGCTTGGCGTGACACACCCTCCGTATTCGGGTGTAATTTACAAACTCAGCGATGTTTAGAGGGATTTTGGAGTCAGTGCGTAGAGTGTGAGGAAGGAACGCCCGGCGGGGCTCAGCATATTTTATCTAGTGACGTCATGTACGCAATCGCAAGTTTAATTGAATTACTGCTGCAATCTTAGAGGTGCTACCGAATACACATATGGAGGTGGTTTGAAGGACACTGGGCTGCAATTGAGCGCATGGCTCCTGTTCCCAGCGCTGCACGGTCAGGGGAATGGACGAAGTGGGTCCCTTGCAGTTGACGCGTCGCGTGCCCTCTCTATACCAATCTCCTCCTCACCCGCACCACTTATAATCGACCTTTCGAACGAAGCTTTACGTAGAAATCGCTTTGCTTGACAAACCAGGCGTTATGAAGCGTCCATTCCTTGTCTGGGAACGCTAATTTGATCTGTTGCATTGTCAGCCAATCCCTTACAAACCACAAGAGCCTACCCACATCAAAGCTGCGCAACACCGCAGGAACCAGCTTGTACATCTCCAGATAGCTGACATTCTTTCCAATACATGTGCGCGAACCGGCTCCAAAGGCGAACATGCTGTTCTTCATCTCGGCCTTCTTTGCCTCACTGGCTTCGAGCCATCTCTCCGGTCTCCACTTGTCCGCATCTTGACCCCAGAGGTCCTTGTCGAGGTGCAAAGTCCATGCGCTGCAGCCGATGTTGGTACCACCTGGCACGAAGACATCGCTAAGTTGAACACCTCCGGCAGGCACTAGCCTTTCCAAGGGCAGACCTGCAGCAGGGTGTGTTCTCAGCGATTCATTGATGACAGCGCCTAGATACGGCAGCTCTCGCACATCGCTCCACGCCACTAGTGGGTTCCCGCGCTCGAATGTTCCGGTTGCTTCAAGCTCTTCAAATTCTGCGCACAGCTTAGCAAGCTTATCTGGGTTTCGAATCAGGTTATAGAAGATCGCTCGGAGCCTCACGAGCAGTCAGCGAGATTTTCCATCAATCGTAGCAATTGACCTACGAGATGGCGGTCGTGTCAGAGCCAGCAAACATGTTCGCTACAGTGAGCGCAAGTACACGCTCTTCGCTCATGAACTCTGGATCTTTCCGGTGCGCTTCCCGGAATCTGGAGAGAAAGTCGCGACGTGACTGCGTCCCGACGACTACTTCCTTTTCAGATCCTTTCACTTTACTTTCCTCGATTCGTCTGCTAGCGAAAACAGCGACTGGTGTACTTGGTATGAAGCCTCGAGCACTCAGCCATCGACGAACGGGATTCTTCAGAAACAGTCGATCAAGGATCGGGACCTGGCCAATCTAAAGCATCGGTCAGCAGATATTCCTGCTGGTTCACCCTGTACTGACCACTGCAGCATAACTCAAGAGCCACTCGAGACTCGATATGATGTTTTCGACATCTTGCCCCCGATCTAAGAAGCCCATTCGCTTGGAGTAAGTCAACTCGCAGATGACATCAAATGCGTAGTACTGAAGCCATGCGCCCAGATCGACAGTCCCAGACTCATCGTCTTTGTCGGCGTACCGCTGCTTCAGCTGTTTCAGGAACTCAGCCGTTGTGGAGTCGACCAAAGGTTCGAACTGGACCAAGGATGTCATTGCATAGGCGTTGCTAACAGAGCGTCGCAGCTTCGAGTGGAACGCCTCGTCAGTCGAAGTGAACAAGGTTTTCAGGGGAACTCCCTTCGCCAACGTCTGCTGCACAGTATAGAAGTCGGACTGCATACCCGGTCAGCCAAAAACCATGGCCGATGGTGTGTACGGACCTTCACAAACCCAGCATTGAGCGCGTAGATCTTCTTCGCCGCCTTGTTGCTCGAGCAAAGTATCGTTCGAGGTCCGATCCGCACATAATCGCCATATTGCTCATGCAACTTGATGTGCCAACGCTCCGGTCGGTAGCCCCTTACCACAGTAAGACGATAGAAGTCTGTGAGGGTTGCAAGTAATGGCCCCGGTACGTGGTTCAGCCCGGTCCCGTATCTGTTATACAATAGCCGAGCGATCAGCGCAACGACACTAAGCGCAACGATGGAAATGGGTGAAAGCTGAGCCAGGAGGTATTCAATCATTGCTGATACATACGCAAACCTCACGGAAGCCTGGAAACGCAGCCATGTACGACTTACTAGTGCCTACAGATATATGAGTGAACACAATGCGCTGTTGCGCGGTCGTTCGTTGCGGTTCCGGCCCGCTGAGGGGTTTCCATGGCAAGCCCCGACAATTCCGCTGCCGGCACCAATTCGCGGGTCCTCCCCGCCTTCGCCAGAGCCTGTGTTTCAACCAACCACGTGCACGGCAAGAGTACCGACTAGCTCTTGTCCAATCCAGGACTCAGCGTTCCGCAGTCTCTCTACCGTGTCCGTGCACCCAACGATCGGAGTCAACCAACGATCGTTCCGAGCCTGTACGGCCATCACAAAACTGAGGCTGTAGAGCCACCTACAATAGTTATTATCGTGAGATATTTTGATAGAGCATTCTATAGACCTATGCGACAAAGTTCCTAATACAAAGTCACTAGTATTTTGTGGCAGTGCGGCCACTCTAGGTGATAATAGTTGGGCATGGCAGAGGAGGTGTCGCAGGCTTAGGATAACTACAAGCACCTACAGCACAACGCAGAGGCTTCTGTTTAACTGCAGAAGCTTTTAAGGATGTATAATTGCCTCTTTAAGATAATTTAAGAGCTTTTTTAGCGTTGCGAGCTTCCTTATCCTTACGTCTCTGCTCTTTGCAAGCATTAATAGCTGCTTACTCCTTTGCCTTAGCCTAGTCTCTTGCTTTTTTCTTCTCTGCCTGCTGCTCACGCTTTTCTCTTGCTATCTTCTTATTGTAGATTTTATTAGCAGCAGCTTGCTCCTTTGTCTCTGCCTTTTTTTGCTCCTCCTCTTGCCTTTTGTAGTCTGCAACAGCTATGCAAGCGCGCGCCTCCTAGAAGGACTAAGGAGACTATATTATTGCACCTCTATAATACTCTTAGTATTGTTGCAGGTCTAGTTGCCTATTAGGTTGCTTCTTATGCTTCCTGTTTTAGTATAGCTTCTTGCGTAGGCTATCTACTTTAACTTGAAGTAACTCTACTTAAGATAACGTACTCTATCACCAAGCCGGTCATATCACTGAACCAGTCACTTAAAATCCCACCAAAAAACACAGAAACCATACCCCTGCATCTCAATAACTACTTAATAGAATCTTCTAAAAACTTCAGAATAGAGCTACATCTATACTAATAAAACTATTTAAAAGTCTTAGACTAATAACCACTATAGAGAAGAAGATAGCCAGAAGATACCCAAATACAGGAGTAGCTGCAAAACAACATAACAAATATACGACCAAGCACTCTAAGACTTTTAAACAGTCTTATTAGTATAGATGCAGCTCTATTCTAAAGTTTTTAGAAGATTCTATTAAGTAGTTATTAAGATGCAGGGGTATAGTTTCTGTGTTTTTTGGTGGGATTTTAAGTGACCAGTTTGGTGATATGACCGGCTCGGTGATAGAGTACGTTAATAGATAAGTTAGTGGATAGTTTGACCCAGCTTCTGCGCGCCTACACTGTGCGAATCCCTTACCTCTGCCTAAAGTGTAGTGCAAGCCTTAAGCTAATTCTCTGCAGAATAAGCTATAGAACTAGAGGAGACTAATCCTAAGTTGTTAGGGGTGGTGTAGTGGAACCTATTAAGTATAACGTCAGGAATTACAGGCGATATACTAGTAGCTGTGAAGGCCTTTAATATAAGGCTTTCTTTAAATGTGTTCACCTAGGCAGGCCAGAACAGGGCATAGAAGTTACCTTTAGACAGTGGCGCAAGGCCTTAAGATGCCTAAAGGTGGTTATTAAGTTTATAGGTGTAGTTAGAGGAGAGAGGTTTAAAGCAGACTATGTCTAATAGCTGCAGAGTCTAGGTACTGTAAGGAGGTAACACTACTAATATAATCTATTTCTAGTGATAGTAATTAATAAAATCTAGCGTTAGATGACTCCTGTGGCTATCTACAATTAAGAGGTAGTACCTTAACTACGCCTTAGGCTTTAAGTAATAGTTAAACACCTACTTAAGCTAAGCTAGTCTAATATTGTTGTTTGTCTATCCAAAGGGCGATAAGGCAACATAGGTTGAGTGCTTTTCTGCCTGGATTTCTACCACCTAGCGGCTCTGGAGGGTGGAGTTTTTTGACGCAAAGATGATGCCAGGTGGAAGAGCAGTATTATCAGCGCAGATCGCAGCTAGGAGGCTCACCCACTCACGTGAGCCATCTTGACAAGCCTGCCTGACCTCCTTCTTCTTATATTAACGCTTACTGAACCCCTATTTTGTTCTACCCAGCACTCTAATTGTGAAGCCCTTCTTATCTATATTGTAACGTACTCCACAAGCGAGTGGCTCACACAAGCGAGTGGCTCACTTTTGCCAAGACTACACCAA